GGGGGAGAAAAAGAAGGCACAGCCCAACAACAATTTGGTAGGAGAAACAATCCGAGTTTGACGTTGAATGGGTCTGAGAGGATTACTGTACCTGATGATCCGATCCACGCAAGGATTTAGACTAGGCGATGGGTAAGAAGGTCAAGTTTCCGAAGACCCATTCGGTCGACTCTCAAATCGAAAAAAAAAACAGCAAAACTGGAAACACACGATGGAAGCCGCGCAAAAATGGAATAATAAGTGATTTGCGGTTGTGTGGAGATGATGTGACCTCAAACAATGATTGCGATTTGGACTTTGAAATTAATTTCGACACATTTCGCGACACACCAAACGAAATACGCTCGTGGTGGCGGGTGACCGCAAAATAGCTCGAAGAGACCGTCTCGACAAGAAGGTCGCTCTAATCCGTCCCAATGAAACTAAACGATTGGTGGAGGAATTTTTTCTGCCGGCTTTTTTCTTTGTTGGCCAAATTTGGGTTAATTCGAGCCATCTCTGATGCGCCTTTAAATTTGATCTATATTTTTTTTATTTCATTTTAAATATGGTTATTATTTGCCTTTAAAGGAGCACACGCCATTATTGTTTAATGGTCTTGAAGCGCAGCCATCATATGTTCAACGTTGTGCAATTTTCCGTGAGCGTGTTTTGCGGAATTTCTAGACGAGCTCAAACTTATCACTCAATTTTATGATGATTTGCATCTGCGGACAATTTTAGAAAAGCCCTTCATATGTCCGCAGATAAAAATCATTATTTATTGATATTTACTGGCTTCGCTTTTGTTGTCATCGCTATTTTCAAGGAAAAAATTAATATTTCGTATAGTGCATTTCCAAAAGAAGCTTCTATCACAATTTTTCGCTGCAAGACCTTGAATTTTGAGGCGGGAGCGCGCACGCGAACCGCAACGCGTCTGCCGACATTTAAAAATCACACTATTTGAGGCGAAATTTTTTCTAATTGGAGATCAAAAATGAATTCAATGGAGCGCACTTGCGGCGCCAAAAAGCTGAGCGATAATTTGAGAAAAACAAATTTGCAAAAGTCCGTAATAATAGGACAGCGTGTTTACAGAGGAAGGAACGAGTTGAGCAAGAAAATCGATTTCTCGTTGGGAAAAAGGTTAGTCTTATCATAGGGCAATCAAGTCGAGGTACATTGATAACAGAGGTCTATTATTTTTACGGGTGGTATTTAGCTCAACCATCGAAACAAGTGCTACAGTATAAATGGCAATTTAAAGGCGCAAACGTGACAAGTTAAAACTGAAAATTCGAACCGAAAATGTCCGCAGATGGTTTTTTTATAATTTGGAAAAATTGTGCGAATCACTCATTTTTTTTTTGAACGGCATGCTTAACCCGCTGGAGCTCAAAGCAAACACGGCGTCGAGAAAAAAGCTGACATGAAGTGCTTCTTCATTATGATCATCTTCGAGCCCGGCTCGACAATTCCACTTTTTCGGGCAAATACGACCAAAAATGGTTGGGGGGACACTTGACAATTGTTGATCGCCGAAAATCGCGCGATTTACACAAATAATAAAACAACGAAAATGAAGAGGAGGAAGAAGAAGCCTCAAAAGCTCAATTTGATGGCAGAAACCCGTTGGATTCGAAGCCTTTCAATTTTCGTGTGTGATGCTCTCGGAGCCGAGTGGCGCGCAGGTGCTGCCGACCGGCTCATTCCGCAATTCAAACAGATGTTCGTACTACTGTATTATAGCAAGGTCAGAACGTCGAGTGTGTGCTTCTTTTTTTGGTTTCGAGAAAAAATCACACAGATTCCGGCATTTGAGGCCGCTTTTTCTCAAAGGCGAAATGTCCGCAGATGCGAATTCTTATTAGAGTTCGAGTTTCGGATTGCGGTTTCATTCGCAATATCTAATTTTTAATAAGTGAGAGTTGATTTGCGAGAAGTTTGATTCGCAGGTTAGCCGTAGTACGGTATCCCAACTGTTTAAATTCAAATTCGAATTGCCGCCTTGAAAAAGTGCGATGGTCCACAATAATTGAAGGATCGTGATTTTTTTTGCAAAATTCTGCTCGAAAAAAAGTTGGCGCCTTAAAACAATAATAAATCGTAATTTTTAAAAATTTTTTAAAAATGCCAAAAATTTAAGAATTTGGCGCCATATTCAAATATTCGGAATTTTTTTTTTTGTTGAAAAAAAAACTGAATCGCGAAATTTTAATTTTGTCCATCGATGAAAACAACGAAATTGTTTTTTTTTTTTTCAGATTTTCTCAAAAAACTTTCGAGAACGTGCTCAATCGACTGGTTCGCGGAACTGGATTCTCCACGTGGATTCCAAAAGACTACTGTAGAGCTGTTCACAATAAATAAGAAAATCAGTTTTTTGGAAAAAATGAAGGGTACTGTAATCAGGGATGTTTGGACATTTGGAGATTAGAAAAATGTGAATGAGATTGACGCTGACGGTCTCGCAGCGATCGCAAAAAAAATTTCAGACATCGACTATACAATAAAATCATCGAATAATGGGAGGGTCCCGAAATTATTATTATTTTTTTTTTGTTGCGCTCTCGACGCACAAAAAATGAGCGAGACAAGTGCAAAACGGGAAAAAAAGAAAAAAGTTGGCATTTTTGGGCAACGGCGAGAGCTCGCCGCTCGGATCACCTGGGTTACAGAGGACGACGCGCCGCATCGGGATGCCTGGCTGGCGCATCATCAACGTTTGGGGGCTGTGTGAAGTCGACGTCTTCCGAGCACACACACACACACAACTCAAACATATATACATGAATAAATGAGGCTCACTTTTTACGACTATTCATTCATTTCGGTGCGCGCGCGCTTCGAAGCAACGCCGTCGGCGAATTTTCTGCCGGAAATGATGAATGCGAACACATTTGATTTTTGATTCTCATTTTCTTAAAAACTATATGAGTCTTCTCAGCGGGTGAATCATTAAGTTGGGAGAAGCTTTTCAAAGTGGGCGGAGCTTGTCGCCTATTCGCTGACACTGGACTACTATATATGTAGGTTGGAATGTTAGCATATTATAATACTAGCCATTTACTATATCATTGGACGGTTATTAAGATTTCAAAGCTTTCGAGTTGCGAGCAAATACGGTAATCCGATGTGGGGTGGGGGACGGATGGCGAATACCTAATTCGGAATATCGAATGGCTTCTCATTTCTCCATTCTTTCGACTGACGCCATCAAACCAAGTAAAGTAAATTGAGCCACAAAATCGCGAAAGGAGAAGAAGAAGAAGAAGCCCCAAGTTGAAACCCAATAGGCATCACTGCGCTCTTCACTAAGCCGCCTCATCTGGGTATGGATATCAATTTTAAGTCGACTCGTCTTCTTCGCCGGAATCGGTTCGAAATTTTATAGCGTTGTTTTTCGACATTTTCCAGGCATTTGGGGAGGGGGGGGTTCTCACAACGATTGACGAGTAGGCTTGCAACTGATGCTACCGTAACCATGGATGAGGGGGGGGGGGGTCTCGTAGATATTGCGCAATTCGGAGACATGTTCAGTTGAAGGGAACTGCCAGATTTTGTGACATGCGCCTTTAAACATAGTCTCCCACATTAAGCTACGTGACAGGACAAATCTTAAAGGCGCATACCAATATTCCAATATTATTCCAAGGATTTTTCAGGATTCTTTGAATTTTTTTTCAATTGTCGAATTTTGGAATGACAATGAAATTCGCAAAAATATCAACGTTGTGCGTTCTCATCAGATTTCGACTTTAATTTGAAATATTGGGTTAGACAGAAAAAATAAATTTGAATTTCGCGGGTTGCAAATTAAAAATGGTTCCTTAAATCCAGAGATTTTGTTAAAAAGAGCTCAAAATTCATAAAAACAATATCGTTTTTTTATTTTATTTGAATTTTCTTCTTTTCCATACGAGACCCAAATTGGACAATACAGTAATCGCTCCAAATGCATTTGTTAAAAGTTCTGCAAAATCAGTGGGCCATCCAAATTTTCAATTGTTCTCTTTTTTTTTAATTTTTAAATATCTAACGCGATTTTTCTTCGAAATTCACATTTATTTTTGAAATTCTTAAAATTAACTCAAATTATCTTAAAATAATTTCCAATCTGATTGGCGTTTTCAACAATTTTCAATTCAGCGAAGATTTCGTGCGAAAATCACACTCGTTGTGTTGCACTTTGTTTGTTCGAAGCAAAAAAAAATGGAAAGAAGACGACGACGAAGAAGAATGCGCTGCTTAAAATTCATGCCATCCCCGTCGTCATGCATTCATCAAAAAAACCGTGTGTTTCTCGGTGGTCCGTCGAGGTGTCGATTGGCCGCCGCCGCGCGAAGCCGAAGCAGCGATATGAAATGGAATAGGGTTTGTCACGCGATTCGACGATCACTTGCGAATTCGCTGCTCTCGTCCGCCGATTACGACGGCCAAGTTCGAGTTGTAGCATTCGATTCGCAATTCATCGCCTATCGAGGGATCGCAGGACAAATTATATAATCATAATCGTGAATATATTTGGTTCTCATAATTATTATCATCTGCGGACAATCTTCGAGTCCACTTTTGATATTTCGAAAATTAATAAAAAAAGATCTTGTTGGAGAAAAAAACTGAGCATTCGTAATTGGATGATAGAAATGCGTCTCGAGACGATTTATTCTTCGATAAACAATTGCTGAAATCGAGACAATCGTGATCACAATGTGCCAAAACCCATCTGCTGACGTTCGTCGAGGTTTCGAAATGCGATACGACGACAGGTCATCGTGACAAGACCACATTAGCAAGTGATCACGGCCAGTGTCAACAAGAGCAATCGAATATGCGAATGCAACCCATCGCCGCGCAACCAGTATAAGTCGCCATCACGCACATTTATATGTATTTATATATAATGTAACTTGAGCTTTTATTCAACAAAAACAATTTCCAACAGAAGGCGGACCAAAGAAACTCTAAAACATTTGAAAACGGAGAGGGGTCTAGCTAAATCTAAACAAAATCGCGATTCATTTTTTCAGGAGAAGCATTTTTCGAAACCAACTCGGCCGCTCTTTTTCCAATTCGATGACACGCTTCCCATTCACAACTTGCGGCTTCTCTTCGGGATCGCCGCGGAATCGAACGTGCACCTTTAAATGAGATAGTTTCGCAATCGCAAAATCAAACACCGCTGCTCACCGGTTTGTCTTGTCGTTCGCCCACGTACGGATTATACTCCATCATCTTCTTTTTAATCTCATTTGTCAGCAATCGAACCTGTACAAAAAAAGTGTAATTCAACAAGAATTGGCTTCGAACATCAAACTCCTCACTTTTTCATAGCATTTGTCGCAAATCGTATCCGATGGATGAATATTTGCGCACGCTGGACATGAAACAAGATTGTCGACCGGCTTTAGAAGTCGATTCACTGCGAATTTTCGAGTGACTTTCTTTGCTAAAATTCGATTTTTTATCGCAAAAACAAAAGAAATAATATAATTCTGGCGTTTTGAAATACTCTTGAAACAAAAAAAAACTTTTTTTTTTGGTAATTTTAAGAATCTTAATCGTTCTGGTTAAAACGATAAAATAATTTCAACAAAAGATTCATATTAATTTTTTTGGCATAATTAATCTATCTCAAAATTGCCAATTAATATTTTTAGACACTGAATATTACTATTACTTACTATAAACAAAATTCTACGCTCAAATATAATGGCAGATTTCGCAAAAACCAAGAAAAAATCAGCTAAAAATCATCTAAAACCGCAAAAACCGTATAAATATTCCACAAGGTGGGCCTTGTGAACCCATCCTTAAGCTTAATCCCGTAAATCTACACTTAGTTTTGCGCCAAGACTACTGTCATTGTTTCTTTGTAGTTCAAAATGAGTAATCACTTCAAATGAATTAAATTCGAACAAATTATAAGAAAATGGTTCGCACCTATTGTGATTCTCCATTTTTTTAATGAGGAAATGTGGAAAAAATAAAAAGACAAAAAATGATTGTTTTTCTTGTTTGCTGCACTGAAATTTTCCCAATTGTTTTCTGTGTTGCCCAATTATTTCTAGAATTTTCGTCCGAAAAAATGGTCTTCAAATATTTTTTCTTCGGAATTGCCGAATTTGACAAATTTGAATAACCAAATGCGTTCGCCATTATTGATCTCAGCGCTAAATCAACAAACCTTCTCATGCGCCTTTAAGCAGCATTTCATATTAGCTCAAATCGAAAATGAATATAAGACCAATTTCAATTATAAGCAACGTCCCCCCCCCCTAAACTCGTCCGTTCGACAATAACAAACATACGTTTACTAGTCCTATATTTGGGTACTCCGAAGACAATACTAATATCCTTTATCATTTCCTGTACACTTCCGTAAATCATTGAAGACGTTGACATCGTCGAAGAAGGTATTCCAGCGTCGAATGCCAATGCAAACGACGGCGGAGGCGGCTTATGTCCAATTACTTGCATAAAAGCATCAATTGAACGCTTTAGTCGAAACCAAAGCTGATGCTGGCTCATTCTGAACCGGTAATTTCTAATGAAATGATCAACTTTTAACAAAACTCAAATAAGATGAGGATAAAACTCGTTAGAAATATATAACAATTATTTCACATTCAAATATATTTATGATAGGGTTGGTGTTGAAAATGAAAGTAAATAAATAAGAGAAGTAATTTACATTACACGAATTTCGGCCACCAGGAAGGACACATGAAATCAACCGACTTTTGTAATTTAAAAAAAGGAAGTTTTGGGATCAATAATTTAGGACTGAAATACGTGTGCTTAAAATTCGTCTTCCTCCTCGGCCATCTCCTTCGCATACTCAAGCTCCTGCTGCTCACGCTCACGTTGTTGTTCGATGCTTTCGACAGCGATCTTCTTCTTTGGTGGATATCTCAACGCCTTCACGGCTTGATTATGCAATTCGAGGCAATAACTAAAAAAACTCAAGTGTAATGGCACAGTGAGATCATACACGGGTAAAATTTTGGGATACATATTACAATCGTAAAAAAAAACAAGCACCTTGTGGATATGGATTTACGATGAGTTAACAGTAGTACGGCAACTGAACTACCACTGATTAAATCGATGTTATTTTAATTTCCTCCGAAAAAAGTACGATGAATACGACGACATCAAAATGCTCAATTTTATGCTATGGTAATATTAGACTTCAAAACTGCGCCAAACGGCCAATAATAAACCCATGTAAAGTAAAAATTCAACTATAAAAGACATACCGAATTCTGGTATCAAAATGAGATTGAGGTTCGCTTGTTCGATAAATATCGGCAGTCTCGCTGCTTTGCATGTATCGCTCGCTGTCCTTCGTGTCGGATGTGATGACAGCGTCAATAGCTCCTTCAGCAATTGCCTTTGAGACCTAAATAGATAACTGTCTTCAAATTACGTTCCACTTGTAAACTAACGATGTATTCAGTCTCAGTTTCATTATCCATGAGAAGTTTCTTGGCAATGTCCTTGATGTAAATACGCGAATAAGCCAAAGAAATTTGCCGGATGGCCGTTTTAATGACATTTTGACGCAGGCGAACAATCAAGGTGAGAGTGTCATCCTTCTCGAACTAAAAAAAAAGCTTTAAAATTTTAATATCAAAAAGCCTTACAGTCTTTCCATGCTGTTCCAAAACTTTGTTAAACTTGACAATATCACCGAGGCGAACGGCTAAAATTATCTAAATCTAAAAGAAAAAGCTTATTATTTGCAAACCATGGGTCAAATCCAGGTATGCCGCCATGCATTTTCTGTAGATTTGTTGGCGGAACACATTTCGCTCGGGAATTTCTCCCTTAACAACAAAAATTAAATTGAAAACCCGAAAACATTGAATAAACCTGAAGCAAACTAATGACGACAACCCATTTTTGAACAGTTTGCTTGAATCCAATGGCTCCCTCTTGCGGCGCCTTTCTTTGCGCTTGAAGAAAATATCCAGCAGCCGCTGAGTAGTCCAATTGCAGAGCCTTTATGCGCCCTTGGTAGTACATGTACCGAGCCAAGTCGTTGTTCGAAGCGTTTTCAGGGAAAGCGACCTTATTCACGAGTTGGGCAGCATTTGGATATTGCTTATTAAGGAGGTAAGCACGGAGAAGTGAATAAATTAAAACGGCTTGTGATTCATTGTAGCGACGAAGAGTAGCCGTGCGAAGGCGAGAATTCAAAAGTCTAAAAATTAAAACTTGAAATTATATACAATTTCATTTATTACCCAATAAGATCCTTGAGACGATTTTGTTTCTCGTAAATCAATGTAAGATAGTACGTTGTTTTAGCCGAAAAGCTATCTAGCGAACGTTTTTCCGATTTCTCAACTAAAAATTCGATATTTAATCGGCTCTGTTACATTCCCATTTTCTTACTGCATGCAGCTTGAGCGTTGATAACTTCGAGAGCTTCAGCATATTTCTTTTGATCGAAAAGATAAATAATAACAAGAAGACGAATATAAACATCCGCTTCAAGACTTGATGGAACAGGCTTAACAAGCTTCTTTGGTGATCTGAAGAAAACTGATAATTTTAAATTTAAAAATTTCTAACTTTGTAGATTTCACTGGAGTTGTGTCCATTGGCGTTGGCGCAAGCTCTGCTGCTGGCGGAGCAGTGTAAGGAACGTATTTAGTAAGTTTTGGACCAAATGAATCGTCACTGCTCAAGTGTTGGTTGATAACCTTATTCAATACCTCGTTGTTTAATTGTTTTCGCGTTTTTGGCAAAAATTGAAGAACTCTTCCAATCAAGTGGCTTTCTCCTTTATCCAACAAAGCAACATATTCTTTGATATCTTGAAAAAACAACGATGAATTTAGAAAAAAATAGAAATTTTACTCTCAACGGCAATTGCATTCAAGTCTTTTGGTGGCTCAGCTGGGGCCTTTGATGATTTTGGTTCGTCAATTTCCATTTTCTCAACTGCAGCTTGGGCCATTGGCGGCATTTTCTGCAAAAAAAACCGCCTCAATTTGCCTCAAAATACGTAAAAACGGCGAAAAACGCAAAAGCCAAAATGATGATTTGAAAACTGGGCGGAGCTTGCCGATGTTTGCAGCAAATGTGGACCACGGACAATTTGTGCGAGGTCCTAGCGCGATTCAGTGAGATTTTTCTCGAAAATTCGAGGCTCCTTTAAATTGGCGAAGAGTTCAAAAAACCGAATTATTTTATTCGAGTGTTGATTCGTACGTATTTATGTCGATTTTTTCTAATTTTCGTTTATTTAAACATTCTTTTGATAGAAATTGCATCATTAAGCGTTAAGAACTCTCAAAAGTACCTAACAAGTGAGACTTTCGTAATCCTCGAATTTAGAAATTATTTGGAAATCATCATGTTTCAGATTATCATTGCTAATGGTTAGATTTTCATTATCGGAGCGTGTCCCATTTTTGCGATTGATTTCACGCTCGTATTGCTAATTGTAAAATTATTTATATTCCACTTTCCTCTTTTAAACCATGGAACCTTCTAGAACATTCGTGCACTTTTGTGGGGCGTTCTCCCTTTTCCATTGACTCACTTCCACACATTCTCATCTCAGTTTGCCGTTTGTTTCAGCTCTACTACAGCGTTCAAAAATGTCGGTTCTCGGATTCGACATTGGTAACCTCAATTGCTACATTGGCGTAGCACGCCAAGGTGGTATTGAAGTTATCACCAACGATTATTCATTACATGCCACACCGTAAGTTGTTTTTTGATCATCTCTAATTTGTTTTAATGAATTGTTTTTACAGTGCATGTGTCGCATTCGGTCCGAAAGATCGTTCTATGGGTGTGGCTGCCCGCCAGGCAGTCAACACGAACCTCAAGAACACCATCCTTAACTTCAAACAATTGATAGGACGTAAATATTCAGACCCGATTGCGCAAAAGTTTATTCCATTTGTACCTTGCAAGGTTGTTCAACTGCCAAACGATGACATCGGTCTTCAAGTAAGTTAACTGATAAGAAACTTCCGCTCAATGTCATCTTGTTTATAGGTCACCTATATGGGAGAGCAGCAGGTTTTCACTCCGGAGCAAGTTTTCGCAGCATTGCTTACAAAATTGCGAACTATTGTCGAATCGCAGCTTCCGGACGTTAAAAAAGTCTCGGACTGTGTTGTTACGGTACCATCTTTCTTCACGGATGTTCAACGCCGTGCAGTACAAGCAGCCATCCAGTATTCCGGATTGAATGCATTGCGGGTTCTTAACGAAACTACCGCCGTCGCTTTGGCTTATGGAATCTACAAACAAGACCTTCCCGATGAAGGCACCAAGCCTCGACATGTGGTGTTCCTTGACATTGGTCATGCTTGCACGCAAGCTTCCCTTGTTGCATTTAACAAGGGAAAACTTACGGTATGGTGATAACGAAGAATACATGTATTATTTGAATACTTTCAGATGTTAAACACCACGTATGATTTCGAAGCTGGAGGCCTTTGGTTCGATAATCTCATTCGTGAGCACTTCAGACAAGAATTTAAATCCAAATATGGTAAGATAAAAGTATGAGTTTTCAAATATTGTTTATGTTATCTTTAGGAATTGACGCCGCTACTAACCCGCGTGCTTGGTTGAGACTCCTCGATGAGTGTGAGAAGACCAAGAAGCAAATGTCAGCTAATCAAACACCAATTCCTATTAACATTGAGTGCTTCATGGAAGACAAGGATGTTTCAGGAAAAATGCAAAGGTTGAAATTTTTTACATTGTTCAATTTATCGACTATGAATTTTTTCCAGAGCTGAGTTTGAAGAGTTGGCTAAACCAATCTTCGAAAGAATCAGGAATGTTCTTGTCACTCTCTTCGACGGAGTTGAGGTTAAGGTAATTTCAATGCATATCACTATTTTTTTCTATTTTAAATGCTTTACAGCCACAAGACATTGATGAGATCGAGATTATCGGAGGATCCTCACGTATTCCAATGATCCGCAGGATTATTTTCGACTTATTCCAAAAGGAACCTAAAACAACCATGAACCAGGACGAAGCTGTTGCTCGTGGTGCTGCCATGCAGTGCGCGATTCTCTCGCCAACATTCCGTGTTCGCGAGTTCTCTGTTAAGGATTCGCAACCGTATAGAATTCAAATCTCGTGGAGTGGTGGCGCCGCTGAGGGAGGGTGAGTACTAAACATACGCTCAATAGTGGCCATACTTAGTCAAACATTACGCATTTGTTTGCACCTTTTGATAGCGAAAATCAAACGTTAAATGTCTACTCGATTCAGACTATTTTTACTTTAGGGAGTCTGTCGCTTTCTCCGAGCGTGATGAGTTCCCATTTTCCAAGATGGTCACACTTCATCGTCAAGACACATTCAAAATTGATGCTCATTATGCGTTCCCGAATCAAGTACCACACACTCAAGTGCATCTTGGTTAGTTTTTTTCGAAAAGATCAATTAACCCTGTAAGTTTATTATTAATGACTTACTTTCAGGAAGCTGGCAAGTTTCAAATGTTAAACCTGCACCCGAAGGAGGTCCGAGAAAGGTGAAGGTGAAGGTTCGCGTCAATCCTAATGGAATCTTCTCTGTCTGCTCTGCTACTATGTATGAAACTCAGATAGTTGAAGAGGTAACGTTTTTCATTATTATTTTAATTATTAATTAATTTTTAGGCGCCGGCTGAGCCAATGGAAGTTGACAATCAGCCGAATGTTGAGGGTGCCGCTCCACCAGCGGAGGCGGAACCACCAAAGCCGAAAACCAAGACAATTTCAATCGAATTGCCAGTCACTGAATCAATTCCAGTGCACTATGACGTTCCTAAGTTCGCCGCTATTGAGGTAGAGAAAATCGATTTAAGAAAATGTCTCATGATTATTTTTCAGCAACAAATGCAAAAGGCTGATGCGAAAGAGCGCCAGAAGGCTGATGCCAAAAATGCGCTCGAAGAGTACGTCTACGAGATGCGCGAGAAAGTTTCGGACCAATATCAGGAATTTATCTCACCAGCGGTAAGCAAATAACTCGAAATATTATGAAAAAATTTGTTTTTTATTTTCAGTCCGCTGAAGCTTTCCGCTCTGATTTGACCGCGACCGAGGATTGGTTGTATGAAGACGGAGAAGACGCTGAGCAAGCTGTTTATGAGAAACGTTTGTCCGAATTAAAGAATGTTGGAACTCCTGTTGTAGAACGGTACAGAGAATTTGAAGCTAGAAAGGTAATGTTTAATCAGAACTAATTTAAAGTAAAATTTTAAAATGTTTAGCCTGCTTTTGATGCTTTTGACCAGTCTATCAATCGGGTTCGCAAGGCATATGAAGACTACGTAGCTGGCGGAGAAACTTACGCGCATCTTGACAGCAAGGATATGGAGAAGGTGATCAACGCCATCGATGACAAGAAGAAGTGGTTGGATGAGGCTCGTCACAAGCAAGACTGTCGTCCAAAAACTGAACCACCAGTGGTTTATGTTGAGGAGATCAATCAACAAAGAAATGTAAGTGCCGATTTTGCGAAAATAATGAAATATTGTTTTTTTTTTACATTTTAAAAACATTCATTCTTTAGGCTTTTGAGAACATTGTGACTCCAATTCTCACTAAGAAGAAGCCAGCTCCTCCACCACAACCAAAGAAGGAAGAGGCTGCTTCGCAAAAAGCTCCAGAAGCTGGTGATCAAGCGCAGAGTCAGCAATCCGAAATGGACGTTGATTAAATTGGAAAGGAGGACATATCTCGATTATTTTATCTCCGCCCTTATATTAAATTTTTTTAAATTCAGCCTCCTTCGCGATTACTCCTCTGTAGACGAGATCTCGTATTTATTTTCTCAAACATAGAAGCGTTTTGTATTCTCGCCTTATTCAGATTTTTATAATTATCAATGTCTTTTTTTCCAGTCCAGCATCCCGTATATTATATTGCTACCGGTTCGATTGGTTGTTGTCGATCTGGTAAAACTCGTCCCTGTTTTAGCACTAATTTATACGCTGGTTTTTCAATTGCTTAGCGCTGACTCCCTACAGTTTTCTGTTTTTATTTGTCTTAAAATAAATAAATTATTGAATGGTAGGTCTAGAGGTGATTGTTGTAATGTGATGTTATTTAAGTGTTAATAAATGCTGTGCATTGCGTATTTTGTTGGTTACTATCGAAAATGAAAAGTCTAGAATGACCTTTGGGTAAAGTATTTGAGCCTTTAAATTGAAAATGCAAATCATCTGCACTTTGTGATGTATGTCCGTAAACACCGATGGATTAATACTACACACGATTGACTAGTGTCAGCTTTTCGTTTTGTTTTTTATTTAAAAATATAATGAAATGGAATTTACCTATAGAAATTTTTGATGCAAACGTGCGATTTGTCAATTTTTTTGCAAATCTAGAGATAATATTGGACAGAACTGTGAATATTGGATTTTGCAAATATTAGCAATGTCACATGTTATTGACAAATATTGAAAAACCATTGAACGATAACTGATGGGAACTAAAAAACTCCTTTATTTGGAAAATCACCGAAACAAACTGCGAAAAATTGAAATTTCGAGGATTTAAATTTCTTTTTTTGGGAAGTATCAGCCTGCAATCATTTTCATTTCTTCTTCGAAGTATTTTAAAAATGATACAAATCGAATATCAATTCATTCAGCAATGGGTACTGAACAAGCGGGCGATGCTCCATATGCATTTGCCAAAAGCGATGGACTTGATCCACTGCTCATCGGATCAGTTTCGTTATTGTTGCTTGCGTAAGGATTTTTTTATTGAAAGAAGAACGACTTTGGCAATTTTCAGATTGAGTTTTATAATTTGGCGATTGCTCAAATTGCAATGGGATGAGCAAGATGCGAAGAAACGAGTGAATATGCTGATTGCGATGAATGAGGAAAACGACAGACAAGAGAGAAGAGGAGCTAATGGTATTTATTGATTAATTGATTTTCTACCACAAATATGATTGATGAATTTTATGAGAATTTAAGCAAAAATATTTGATTGAAATGATTTTCATATAAGTAGTAAAAATAGTAAAGTCATAAAAAGTTAAAAAGAAAAAAAGTTTTGTTCAAATGTAGAACAGAAATTTCGACTTGTTGAGAGCCAGCTCGAGCCGAGCCCATTTTGGATTTGGCATAGGCTCAGTCAGTCCCAGCTGTCTCGCACAGTCTCTAGATTTCTAGAAAGTTTAAATTTTATTCAAAAAGCGCCTGTTTTGCATTTTCAGGATAATTTTTTAGCAATTTTCAAGCATTTTATCTTAAAATGCGCCTTTAATTTAGGCTGTAAATCTACGCATTTAGTTTTGCGCCGAAAAATTTCTCTATTTTTTTGGCATTTTGAACATCGCACGAACTCGTCAATAATTTCCAAATATTTCAGTCGCTGGCGGAATGCGACGAACAGCTCGACGTCGTGTGAATCGTGATGAAGATGACGACGGATTCGTGAATCATATGATGGCTGCTGAAGGTCTGGGGCCTGATGAGCTTCCAGAAGACATGGGTGGGAACGATTTAATCGATTCTTGAATAATTTTACGAAATTCATAGACTTTGATGTCGACGCTTCTGGAAAGAAAATCGGCAAAAGGAAAGCGGCGAAATTGGCGGCAAAAGAGGAGAAGAAGCAAATGAGAGAATATGTGAGCTATTTATTTTAAAGAATTAATAATATTTATTCTTATTCGACGATTTATTTTAGGAACTTGCTGAACGCGAGGAAAAGAAGAAGCGAGAAGCGGAACGGGAGAAACGGTTGGACGAAGAACGAGAACGCGAGCGAAAAGCTGAAGAAGAAGAGGAAGAGAGAAAACGAAAAAAAAAGGAAGAGCGCGAAAAACGAGAGCATGAGGAATACCTGGCGGTAATTCCGTTTCAACTAACATCCATTTAAAGGAATTTTGTATTTCAAGATGAAAGCTTCGTTTGCTGTTGAAGAAGAAGGAACCGATGCGATCGAAGGAGAAGAAGCCGAGAATTTGATTCGCGATTTTGTGGAATATGTCAAGACGAATAAGGTTGGTAGCTGAAAAAAAAATTTAAGACGAGGTGTCGATATTCTGCGCCTTTAATCGGTTCCTATCTTTTGCCCGTAAATCTTTGCGCGAAAATCGCATTCAAAAACTCCGTTACCATTACCGTAAAATAGAAACAATCTATTCGAAATTTGAAAACTTCTGATCTTTAAATTACTGATTTCTGTATCTAATTTTTCTTTAAAAAAACGAGTTAGAGAAATTCTTGCAAAATTAGAATATATTTGAAATTAAATCAACGAACAGTTGTTCCGGAATAGTGTGTTTGCTGGAAACCGAATTGTGTCTTTTTCGTTTTTCAGGTTGTCAGCATCGATGAGCTCTCGGCACACTTCGGATTGAAATCAGAAGAATCTGTGATGCGACTGAAGCATTTCATCGATGAGGGTCTCCTTCAGGGAGTCATGGATGACCGAGGAAAGTTCATCTACATATCCGACGACGAATACGCGGCCGTCGCCAAATTCATCAACCAACGCGGACGGGTCTCAATCAATGAAATCGCCGAGCAAAGTAATCGTCTAATTCGCCTCGACGTTTCTGCCGAATAACTGAATTCAATATAAATAAATTAAGTATTTTTTTTAATAAAGCACATTATTATGTTAGACAATAATCAGAAAAATATGTATATTAGTAGCAGTTTGAAAATAATAGGAAACCAATTGAACCCGAATTGAATGCAAAATCGCTTCACAGAAATTGGGAGGTCATTTTTCAAAATTAAGTATAAGGCAAGCACTGGAAATGAATAACAGCTATTTTAAAAAAATAATTCAGGGAGGATTCGTTGTCGAATCGTCTTCTTCAAGAACATCGTCGTGTACGTCTTGGCCGGATTCAAGAATATCTTCTTCCTGAAATTCAAAAATTTTTAACTCTCAACTATTGAGCTCATTTTGTGACCAAAAATTCAAGCATCTGGCTTCGAAAATTTAAAGGGGGTCCTTTAAAAAAGACGATTTTTTGTCAGAAAAGTAGCTTCGAAAATCGTGCACTTGAATTTGAAATTTTTGATTTGTTTTTTTTTTTTTCAATTTTGAACTTTATATCGAATTTCTTTAAATATTCTAAAACTCAAAGGTAAATTAAGCCGGTAAATTTGAGAAATTGCTTGATCATCAAATGTTGGAATTTTAACAAATTTTATCAAAAAATTTTTTCCAGAAAAACGGCTCACCACCATTAACTGCTTCGCGGTTCCATCACCAAACCGGGCATCTAATAAAATCCTTTGCATATTAAATTTCATGAGAGCTTTCTTAAATATTCAAAATTCATGTTTTTTTTTTCATTCCAAATAACACTTCTTACATCATCATCATTCAGCCTGCTTAAATGTTGGCTAATTAGTTGCTGAAATGCAAGGTCCGCATCATATTGCGTCTGATGCGGCTGGAAATCTTCTGATCCACCTTCAACAACAACTTCCGATATGTCTTCATCGCCAGGAATCCCACGACGATCTCCAATCCCTTGATGTATGCTCGTCGCCGACGTCGACGGTATACTTTGCGTTGTCGCAATCCGATCATTCGTCTGCTGACTCGATCTCGCCGATTGCCCGCTTATCATCACGTCCGGCGATGTGCTGAGCAACGGGGATTCTTCATCTGAAAGACATTCTCATTTTTGTAAAAATCGAAAAACAAAGTCGAGAATTCTTACGTAAATGTCCATCAGGATCAATTACAATAGTGTTTTCTCGGATCCCATCGTCAATTATTTCATCATCAGCAATCGGAACACCGCCGGCAACTATCGTATTGTTATCTGCAAGCAAAATTTCGTCAAAGTATGAAAATCCTATACAGCGACTCTTCAAAACGCTCTCAAGGGTACTTGTCAGTAATTTTACCTTTTTTGAAGTGCAATACTTACAATTATCACATGTTTTTTTTTGAAAGAGAGAGAGAGAGAGAAACTTTAAAGAGAAAATGATGAAAAAAATTCAATGCAAAGAAAACCCAACAAAAACATTCAAATTTTCACATCGACCCATTAAGGTACGCCATATTTTGGTAACTAAATGTTCGAAATTTTTCTTAAACTAACCATCTATTCGATTCTGACTCATTGAATGCGATGAGCTCGCACTGCTCATCGACGAGCCTCTCATCTTCTTTCTCGGCGGCTGCTGCTGCTCAGGTGTCGGCCTAAATACCACAAATAAGATATTTCAACTACATATTAGCCAAATCACTTACGATCCCTCAATAAGTGGCTCCGGCGGCAAATCGTCGTAATGAATATTTCTATTCGACTGTTGTGCAACCTAAAAATCAAAATTAAGCATAAAAAACAAATGTTTTAACCACATTCTGGGTCTGATTACTGGTTCCCGGAGGTACTGTAAACAGCCGATACATTTTCTGGCCATTCCCATTTTGATAATACGTCGTTGTATCAACCATCATCGTCATTGGACCCGTGTTGGTCGTCCCATTCTCATCCTTCTTGATCGACTGCAACACTTGGCCTTCTTGAATCGAACGAGGTTGCTCTTTTACACGAGGAATATATTGGATCGGTTGCGTCGAGCTGATCTGGAAACGTGAAACAAATATTAAATGTATAACCATCGCCAATTTTGGTATCGTATTACGGATGAAATGCGAATCAATTGGCGCAGGACACTTTTTTCCTAGTGTAAAATCTCTTGTAGTGAATAATGAAAAAAAATGTAATCTAACTACGAGCTCATAGACTATATTCAAGGCCGATGAGCAGATACTGCAGATAATCGCTATTGCTCCGCAGTCAGGCGCACCCATTCAATTCCAGCTTGGGTGATGCACCGCGGAGCGACCTCGATCTTGCGACCTTTTTTTCGAAAACGCGCGCGTTTTAACCATTCGACTACGAAGCGCATCGCAAGCTTCCCCTCTATTCGCCATAGATAAGCGCAACAATCGAAAACTAACCACAAGTCGTCGAACCGGCTGCGTCGAAGATCCCGTATGAACCGTATACGTGCGTTGGGGTCTGAGAAAAAAAAAGAGCATGCGGAAGACAATGCAGAAGAATCTTACGGTGGTTGATGCGCCGAGACCTGCGGCATTTGCACATTGGATTGCGCGCGTTGGCGAGGGATGCCTGACGGTTGAACGACAACATAGCCGGCTCCGGAATGGCTGACGACGGGACGGCAACCAGATATCATCACGTCTTCGCTGATATTCTGCGACATGTCGTTGTAGAACACGTCCTTGTCAATATTATCATTCGAATTCACAACTTCTGGAATTGAATGAGATAAATGCCCAAATGTTTTTTTTTAAAGAAAAATAAATTATTCTGCCAGAGTTTCAGAAAAAAATTGTGTTTCCATATACATTTTTTTATTTTCTAAAAAAAATATATATAACGGTATCATTTCAATTTTATCCTTAAACTACGATTTTTTTGGCAATCAGTTCCTAATATGCGAAAGAAAAATGTGAAAATGTGCGGCAAACCAAGAATAACACATTTTTTAGGATCTGAAACCTTTTTTGGTAGCAATTTTTGAAAATGTACCCGTTTTCCGTTGCGGCTCGATAATATTCAAAAACGGCTCAATCCATCGCATCTCGCTCATTATTCGATCCGACAGAACTTCGTCCGGTTTTTCGCGTTTCACCGAATCCGGATTGCGAAGTCGCCGCGTGAATTGCTCGAGGATGTCCGTCCACACCGCCTGTATCGGCGTCATGTCGCCTCGCCAGAAGATGTCGTGCGTCGACAACCGATTCCACACTTCAATCTTCTGACGTTTGAGCATATTTTTCGTCAGCGTCGGTTCATAGTTCATATCGTACAAAATCGGATTCTCTTTGACGAGATTGATTAGCCGAATCTGAATTTCGGAAAACCAAAAAAAAATTTGAAAATTTTTGAGAAAATCTCACAATTGTTTCTTCATTATGCGCAGCATCTTCAGGCCCATCAACAAAATCGTCCTGAAGCAAAATTTTGAAGAGAGAATCTGAATACAAGAAATACCTCAAGAACATCGTCATCCAATTGATTTGCACCTTCTATATGGTCGCTATCTGAAGTGCAAAACGATTTGAAAGAGAACCTGAGCAATTTAGAACTAATTTACAAAAATAGACTTTATTTTTTCATCTACAGTATTCAGCAAATTGTCCGCAGATACAAAAAGATAAATGAACCATTCAAATCTCGACTCAGCGGCCGATTTGGGTGCGCATTTCAAGTAATTTATAGAAATTTACCCTCATTCCGATTTGTGATCACTTTTGTCAAGCTGGTTAGCCGATATTCTTCCTCATGGTGCTCTGCAACCAAAATCTCGCATTCTCTAAACAAATCGGAGAAATTTTTCTTACGATCCGACCCGTCGGCCATCGTCATCATCGACATGGATCAGCGAAAGCGAAATTCAAGCAATCGCGCAATTTTCTGCAAACACGGAAATTCAAAAATTATTTTTCGCGAAAAAGAATGATGCGCCATTCTCTGTTTCTATTATTGGTTAGTTCATTTCTTGAAAATTTTGGACAAATTTAGACGATGGAAGAAAAAATTGAAGATGAGGGGAGCACAATTCCCCAGCGATTTGAAAAAAAATTATCTTATTCCATTTATGAAATATCGAGGAATTTTGTTACTAAAAAAATGCATACTTGAATTTTAATTAAAAAAATTCAACATTTTCGAATTTTCAAGCTATTAAAGGGTTAGCTTATACATAATAAAAAAAAAACAAAAAAAGCAAAATGAACAGAATTGAGAGAAAAAAGTTCAAACGCTAACGTTTCGCCGCGGTTTCCAAGCAATTTTCAGTCGATTCACATTCCGTTTTGGTTTTTTTTTCCAGTCGACATTTATTTTTTCAAAATCGAATCCATATCGCGATTCGTCGTTGACTGGTCTCTCGATCCATACTCCCCCTCGAATCTCCATCTCGCCGCACAATTCACCGTTTTCGGTGCGGTGTGGTGCATCGGCTCGCGGCGCACAATTCGAAAATCGACGACGCTGGCGACGGGGACCCGAGAAATGGCGGGGCCCGAGCGCAGCGAGAAAAATATTTCGCTGGTTGCGGTAGTTGGGGCGGAGACTCGAGAGGAGATAGGCAACAAACCGCAACGCAACCGAATCGCTTTGGAAACCGCAACGGAACGTCGGCTGCGAAGCGGCTTTCTTGATGGTGCAGCCGATCGCAGCGTTGAATCGTAACGAAGGAGCGAAGGCAGGCAGGCAGCGATGCGAAAACCACGCGGGCAGCGCCGCTGTCGACAAGAGAGCACGGCATTGCGGGAGCGCGCAGACGCTCGAAAGCATTTTCGTCGCGAGATATCGCGAATCGATTCGCACTATGCGTCTTTGGCTGAAAATTTGCATGGAAATTGAATGCAAAACACGATTTTCCTGTAGAATTGAACGATTGATGCGAATTTTTATATCAGCAATTCTTGAGAATTTGATAGGTTAATGCAAATTATTACAAAACTTTTTTGATATTTTTGATTTTCAATAGATTTTAAGATCAAATCGATTTTTTTGTATAAAATATTCGACCAAAAATAATTCGAAGATGATGACTACCTTTATGTCAAAAATTAATTTTTAATTAAAAAATAATTAATTAAAATCATTTTCCGCTTCATACTACTGAAGTATAATTGACTTTTGAGTTAAAAATTGAATTCTAACTGGAAAATTTTTGAAACGTCTGAATACTTCTGCCATGAACTAGCAAAGTTTCCAAGATAATAATTATTTTTGACGGCGGGTTTTCAAACTCGAAATGAATGCTGATAATCCCTTGAATGATAGAATCTTCATGAAAACTCTACAGGGCGCGAGGAGCATAATTTTGTGGTTTTACGAAAGGCTAAGCTCAATCGAATATGATTCATGGATTTGGTACGAGCGAACATGCAGTTAGAACAATTCCCAAATTAAAGGGGGATTCTTCTTCAGTGAGAAACCGTCTTACGTGGAAGCTGAATTGAGCCCTCATCGATTGAAAATTACTTCCAGCTTGTGAACGGGGAAAAATACCATTGAAATTTGAGTGTAAAAGGGTGACTATCGTCAGAATAATTAAAGATATTTTGGAGAAGCATGTGCTTCTCTGGACCAAATAGTATTTCGATGATAGATATTGGAATTATTAGCAATATGGAGTTCATATTTAAACTGTCAGTGGCACTCAGCAGTATGAAATCAATTTGCCTATATCTCACACCCTGTACACCCTACAATAACTGAAGATCAAGGAATTCCAACGATTTCAAAGGAGAAGTTGGAAAAATAGGATTAAATTTTTTGAAATGATTTTCATGAATTTTTTTTTATTACCACGGCATCCAAACGGGATTGCAAAAATAATAATCCGATCGTTTGAAAAATTCGGAAACTGAACACTGACATCAGCATATGATATAAATTTGCAGAAACGAAATACGTAATGACACGCTATGCGGAGATTGAAGGTTTTTGTTGTACAGGACAACTGTATCAAATTTGTGGAAAAATTAATTACCGAGAATAAATTGTGCGGTTGTTATAAATACCCACCAGACGTAGATAAGTTTTCGATCGCCTTTGATCTTTGAATAAATCGCTGTAATGAAAAAAAAAATGAAAAATTTCAACGATATTTGACCTACCGGTAAATAGAGTTGAAAGATTGTGGAATTTAGAATTCTGAAAAAAAAAACCATTTTTATTATTAATTCATTCGCATTCATATTAAGAACAACTCAGAATTGAAAATCAGAATCTAAATTACCGCACATTTTTGAAATGAAAATTTGAAAACGATTTAAGTCGTCAAATAAAATGCAACACACATCTTGTACGTGACCGTACTCAAAAAATTTCGTTTTCAAATTTTTTTTTTCAATTTCGAATAATATTTTTGTTTTTACTGTAGCAGTTACGATAAAATTAAAGATAATCAAAACGCCGCAAATTTCCGAAAACAACAAACTCTTAAAACTTTTCGAAAATTAAATTACAGTAATTAAAGGAGCATATCTTATTTTGAGGTAATCGTGTCGAGAAAAAAAACAATTCTTTTTTTTCGAATTTTTTTTCCGATTTTTTCAATTTTCAAGCTGATTTCAAAAAAATAATTTTTGCATTATTTTTTTACAGTCATGGACGCAAATGGTAACATAATTCAAGAACTGCTATGTCCGCCTCAATCGTCATTTTCGAACGGTTCAAGTAAAAAAAACAATTTTAATTTCAGCATTAATTTTTTTCTTTTAGCTGCTCCAAGTACCAGCACTGGTGAACCGTGGTGGGAAGTTCAGAATCAAATTGTTCGTTACTCGAAACTGTTCAAATTTTTAAATGTTTTATTTTCAGCCGCCACTTCAATTGGAATGCCAAGCGTTCGAACAGTGCAATGCACCCAATCTCCGTCCTCCAATCTCACCGCTCTCGTTTGCATTCGAAACTCAGAATCCGTTCGCAATGGTTTGCGGCTCAGAAGTCACTGTTGCGACAAGCAATCCTCATCGATCTCCTGAAAAGTGAATATAAAATGAATTTAATAATCAAAAAAAAAGTTTTGCTTAATTCAGGTCGATTTCAATGGGAAATATTAAGCAAGAAAAAAATTCGGAAGAATCTCTGAGGCTCAATGATTTGGAAGTGAATCATATCTATTTTTTAATTTTCCGAATTAAAAATTTATTAAGGTAGTTGATTGTGATGCAAATGAAAATCGATGTCGTGAAAACCAAGCTCAAGCCGCTGATTTTGAGCCAAAGGCATATCAAAGTTGGGAAGCTTTCGGACAATCTGTCGAGGAGAAAATTCAAGAGGAAAAATCGAAAAAAGCACAATCATTAGTAACGATCAAGAAGAATAGTGGGGTCGAAATTTGAGAATGTTTGAAATATGTATTTCAGAAATATATTTAGTTCGAACTATCGGTGAGACTTCGAAAGGGTACTATGTGAACCCAGCGAATTCTGGAAAACGTAAAAATGAAGAGGGTTCGTCGAAAAACGGAGGTTTTCAGGAACAATTTTCGATTTTTCACCTTTTCAATTTTTTTCCAGTTTCATCGCAATCATCTCACGAAGAAAAAGCTTACAACAAGCGTTTGAGAAATGATGAAGGTATAAGCAAATAGAGCTGGGCCTCTTGTGATAAAAATTATCGAAAATCTTATATTGTCGATGTCGCGCGAATGTGGAAAATTGGCGAAATGCCAAAAAATTTAAAAAGAGGTCACGTTGCGCGGTGTGTGCCTTTAAACTATCCTTATGCATAGTCCCGTAAATCTACACTTTCAGTTTTGCGCCAAGACCACTGTCATTGTTTTTTGGCATTTCGCCACTTTTCAGCATTCGCGTGACGTCCACAATAGTAGAACTATGCAGATTTTTTAAAAGAACCCAAAACTACTGGGAAATCGTGTCTTTTTTTTCAATTTACATAGAATTTTCGAGAATTGATTTTTAAGGATATTTTGTGAGATCTGCCAAGTACCATAATTATTATTATCACCGTTGTGCTTTCAGGGTGTGATTCGAATACGAATCCTAGTGATTCGGATGATGCGCCAATAGACGTTGTAACTCCTGATGCTCCAAGTGAAAGACCACCGGCTCCGCCCGACTTGGCTCCTCAGATTCCTCAAAACTCGCGATATTTCTTGCCGAAAACAAGAAATGTGTGCAGTCCAAGAGGTTTTTTTAAAACTTAATTTTTCAACTAAAAAATAACATTTAATTTTCGATTTTATTACTCGTAAACGTCAAACGTCTCCGCCGCCATTCCTCGAACGCCAGGAAAATGCGAATCCGAAAAAAGATCAAGAGAATCAAGCTAATGATCAAGATGATCAAGACGAAATCATCGACGTATGTGTTGATGATGTGATACCGAAGAAGAAATCGTAGGGATTCATTAAAAATTTCTAGAACATTTTTGTCGATTTTAGCCTATTCCAACACAATCCTCATCAATTGCTGACAACTAAAGTGACGTCGAGCTCGATTCCGATCATGCCGATGACAAAAACGATCATGGAATCGAAGAAGGAGGCAATTGAGAAATCGCATGCAAAAATGTACGCGAGAAAGTCGGCAAACTCTCCGGGAACCAATATCTCGCGTGGCGTCATGTGCGCACCGAAGGATGTATGTCGACCGGCTTACAAAGAACGATCACCAATAGTCTTCACAAGTGCAGCGGTGGGATAATCATTTAATTAAAATAAATTGAAACATGTTGACTTCCTTTTTTAGAAAACTCCTAGAAAATCGAAGCCCGCTTGTCAATCTTGCGGTGGTTTTAGCGCCTATAACGTCGATATGGACGATTTTCGATTTGTCGCGGATCTCTCCACAATACCGGTATATAAATTTATTTTATAGTGTTTTTTTTTTGAAATTTTTGTTTTGACAGGTTCGCGCGCATCTTTGCGAACAGACTCGAGTCATGGTCGCTAGAATGGCGCACTGGAATCGCGAATTTGCCAAAAAGTTTGAATTTTAAAAATCTGGCATTTTTCCTTAAAAAAAATGTTTGATTCAGGATGGGCGACTCAGCCAAAGACACGCTTTGGCATAAGCCTGATGAGGTGACAGCTCAACAAACGGGATTTTGCAGTGCCACTGTCCGCAGATGCCTCGACATGGCCAATATTTCGACACTTCCCAAATGTGCCGATAGAATCGGAATATCGGTTTTTGGCTTCTAAATTTGTTTTGTAACTTTGTGACTTTTTTTTTAGAAGAATGAGCTAACCCAACTAAAGAGCATATTCACTGATGATCAGAAATTTTGCGGTGAGCAAATGCGTACACCTCATCTTTTATCGGCTTATTGTCCTAAGCCCACTGGAAAGGTTTTTTTCTTTATTAATTTCTTGAATTTTTTGCCTATTATGGGGAATTTTGTAGAGATTCAGTATTGATGGTCGAGATTTGTCCGAAAAACGCGTTGATGGTTCAAAAACTGTTCCGAGACCGTAAGTTTTCGTGTCTTCCTTTAAAATTACTGCATTCGTGCTTCTTTCTTTTGTCCAGAATTCCTGGCACCCGCTTCGGTGTTCGAAAAGTCATCGTGAATGCTCCCGAAGGCGGTCCGAAGAAGACGATTCTCCGTTGGCCGAGCAGCAATCCACCCATCATTGCCAAATCCGACAAGACGTCGCAATTGCCGGTGGTGACTCCGCTGCTGAAAACCGAAAAGGAGCGGGCCACGACGAAGAAGGCGACGGCGGAAAAGAGAGCACGTGGACGACCGAGAAAAATCAAAAAGGATGTTGCTGAGGAGCAGCAGCCGACGGAAGAGCCCGTTGAGGAGAAGAACGAGAATCGAGCCAAGGCGAAAGCTGTTAGAAAGAAAATTACAGAGGTAGGTGAAGAATTTAAGCAGTACCCCTTTAACAAGGGGCGGAGATAACCTGGAATATATATATGTATAAGAAGGGTCTGTTTAAAGGCGCATCTATTAAAAGAAAAACAATTTTTCAAGAATTAGTCAACGATATCAGTCAGTGTCAGTAATTTATTTCCCATTTCTCAAATAATTCAGGTTGAGCGTGTTGTGAAGCAAGTTCTCGGCGAAATGGTCGACATCATCTCGTCATCATAAACACTGAACTTCTCCCCAGTTTTCTTGTTTCTTTTTTTTGTTTTACTTGTTCTTTTTCGTTGATGTTCATTTTTTCCCCGCCCACATTCCCGAATTTAATGCCACTTCTATACATTTACGCATCCGGCCATTCTGCCCGCCGGATTCTCGCCGCCGATTTCTATTTATGGAGCCTGTAATTCTGCACTTGTCAATTTTATAATAATTGTTATGAGCCCAGTGAATGTTTTATTGTATTAGTCGGTTAAAACTCCAACATGTTCGACCACGTTTCATTTTTCGATTTCTTCTCGATGAGTCGAATTTCGAATCGCTGGGCCATTCTTTGCACTTTTGTGGCATTCGTATCTAAACTCATTTTTTGTTAAATTTTTAAATTCGAATTGTCGCTAAATATTAACAGCGCGTACGCTAAAATGCAGAGTACGCAGACACGCTCACGTCGATTTGTCTCGAGACCAGAGCTGCACGGAATTCCGTTTTCCGTGACATTTTCCTGTTCCGACATCCGTATTCCGTGTTCCGCTTGAGATATCTCTCAATACCTAGCACGTTTAGCGAATCCAATAAGGTTAAAAACCACAGCCGGAGAAATTTGTTTGACAAAAAGAAGGTCCTTATCGAATGAGCACTTGGAAAATCTCACATTCTGCACTGTTAATTATAAAGAATTCGAGTTAGATTAAGTTTGTGTTCCGTTTTCCGTTAAAAAAAATCGTTCCGTGTTCCGCCTTCCGTTTTCCGTTCATAGAAAATTTAAGTTCCGTGCAGCTCTGCTCGAGACATCTGGCATATAGCCAATACTTTTTTAAAACTTCGTTCTATCGTTTGACTCCGGCAATTTATGGTATTGGTTCGTTGAGTGGCATGATTGCATTCTGAAGGGCGACGAAGTCCAGTATATCGACGTCGTCAATCTCGTCGATTCTTGAATGACAGATTCTCTGAAGACTTTGAAAACCAACGAATTAAAAATATCGAGTAGGTGCGCTATTAAAATGATTACAAATGAACTTGAGAATTTGTTAATTTTGGCAACACAGGCTCTCGGCACGAAATTACATATACCTTGCATACTTGTGGACCATCGCACTTTTTCGAGGCGGTAATTCAAATTCGATTTTTAAAGAGTGCAAATCTGGATGCCGTATTCTGGATAACCTGCAAATCGAACTCACCGTAAATCGGCGCAGGGCGCTCATTTGGAATAATCGAATCACGAAAATTGAGAGAAAGATTTTCTGTATATTCAAAAAATTAGGTTAAAACACAGATAAGGTCCTCACAATTATTTTATAATGCTTAAATAATAATTATAACAATTCTAATATGGATCGATGCGATATTCGACTTCGGCGAATCCCCAGCCTTTGCGGTTTCCATCGACAACGAACTCGGCCATTCCTTCGTTGACTTGACATGCAAGATCGAGTCCCATTTTGAATGAAACGACGTCCTTCAAGAACACCTGAAAAGAAATCGATTTTTTCTATCGACACACAATTGTAATATCATTTTTACATCGACTTCGTATTTTTCGGATCCAACATCAAATGAATAGTGGAATTTTTCGGGGAACTTCTTGTCTTCGCCGTGGTTGTATAGTGAGAAGTGCACACGATCGACTGGTTTTGTTTCGCCGCTTCTAAAATATAAATGGTGTGGAATGAAAGATGGCGTTTTATTACGGAGTGACGATGTATCCGAACTCGAGGTGGCTGAATACCACTTCTGGCATCGAGATAACAGAGGTGTGAATGCAGGTGCCATCTTCCAGATGGTAGATCATCATTATATAGCTGAAAGGGCAAAACTTGCTCAAACAACAGCAATGTGCGGAAAAAGCCGTCGGAAAACTTTTTACCGCCCCAAAAATCCCGGAAAATTTCGTTTTTCTTTCATTTCTAGCGGTTTCAGAAAATTTTTTTCTAAAAATATGTCAAAGCGAACCCCAATCCTAAATTTTTAAATTTATTTTTTTAAGGTTTGCCCATGTACCTTTAAACATTCTAAATTAATATTTTCTTCAATAATTTCACGATTTTACGAACATTTATGTTCGAACCCTTAGGAAAATCGAAAAACTCGCTCATTCTTGATCAGCGTCCGCCTTTTTTTTTTCAATTTTGCATATATTCTAAAATCCTTACCGTCGAATATCCTTCCATCTGCGATAGCCTGCAATTGTGTGATCTCTCATGCTCGTCATTCGAATATTATCAAACTTCTTCTCACCAATGCGATATGTGCCTTTAAGATATCCAAACTGAAATACCATTTTTTTTTCAAAGAAATCCTTGTTTTATTTGAATTTGCCTGCTCATAATGGGTCTGATGCGACGCTCTCATTTTTTCGAACAACTGCCGACTCCACGGTTCGATCGCCAACGAGTGAGCAATGGCTGTCGGCGAGACCATTTTGTCGAAATCGAAATAATCGCCGTGATTTGTCCATTTCAAATCGAATTCGGCGTCGATTCGCTCAAGATTCTCGGGAAGTGGATCGACTCCAATTTTTGCGAAAATCCTCCTTCCCGGCGATTTTGTGAGTTGTCCTTTGAACTGAACTCGCCATTCCTCCATTGGTTTGATGCACGTGACGACGAAACCGCTGGCTGTTCGCCATTCCTTGTTCGAAACGTTGATACTCTGAAATTATTGTCTATTATTATTATAAGCGACAAACGACTAAAAAAAATGCGGGGCCTTCGAATTCGCGAAATTAGCGTAGATTTAAATTAATCGTTGACTGAATATTAAATGGGCGTACGATATAGTGCAATGTACGCAATGTCGCGTACTTCTAACTACACCAAGGCGCATTGGCACATAGCCAAAAAATTTTTTAAAATTTTGTTTAGTCGTTTGCCGCCGACATAAATATTGAATTTCGGGAAACATTATTCGACAACCTTGACATTGGTATTCGTGAGTAGTTCTTCATTCACAAGGGTCCCAACATTCGGAATACGAAGAATGAAAAACAAATTGATAATGTCATTGGGTCTTTGCGCAGTTCCCAATGTAAAATACCATCCATCCGAGTTTGAAGCATCAAAGAAAACCGCGTCAGCGGCAAAATCCTGAAATCAGCGATTTTTAATTACAAAAAAAGAATGTGATGAATTAATAGTTGGCTCAACATTTCAATTTTTTTATGAAAATTGAAATATTGTTGAAAAATGACAAATGTATCCAGGTGTCGTTGGGTCCTGCGTTTTGTACGCAATGCTAAGAGACAGTTACCGTAATCCTCGCAGCGATTTACGGGGACTTTTTTTTTTAATTTCGCATATTCATTTTTTTTTATTTTTCGTTCAATTTTTTAAATTTTCTTTCGAAATTTTTTAATTTAAATTTTTAAATTTTGCAGAAACCGAGTTTAATAATGTATTTAGCAGAATAAGCACTATTAAACGATATTTTTTGGTAAAAACAGCAAAGATTAAAAAGAAATCATTTTTGTCGTTAATAAAATTATTTAATCGTGCTTTGCTTTTTGTATGCGTTTCTATTATCTTGTTTTTGTATTCTTCATTTTCAAAATAATTTTTAGAGCGTCAAAATCTTCACAATAATTCCCAACTCAACTGGACAAATGGAAAAGTTCATATTCTGAAAAATAAATAATTAAATTCGGTTTCTAAAGGTTATAAATATAAGATTTCTAAAGAAAATAAGAAAATTCAGCAAAACCAATTGAAAGAAAATTAAAAAAAAACTCCGTAAATCGCAGCGAGGATTACGGTAACTGTCTCTTAGCATTGCGTACAAAACGCAGGATCCCACGACACCTCGATACATTTGTCATTTCTCAACAATAATTTAAATTTGGTTGAATTAAAAATTGTGTAATTTTGCGAGGAGAAATATCTAGTAGAAAAGTTTTGGGAAACACATCGAAAAATATTTTCTGTTTTTTTTTATTGTACCCTATGGCCGGAAAAGGGTCCTCCGGGTTCCGATTCTTGAAGTCAGTTTGAAAATCCGACATTTCGGACATCGTAATATCAATTTTCAAAAAATGATCCTAGAATGTCAGAAATTGATACAAAAATTGAATTGTTCAAAAAATGTTAAAGGGGTCCTAGGGGTCCGAATTTGAAATTTCACACATTTTTAAATAGGCAATATCATGAGATAAAATTATTGGCTGAAATTTTCTAAAATGTTGATTTTTGACTATTTATTCTGGGTGGTATTAGAAATTCAGAAAGAGAGAGAGAGGGAAAAAGGAAATTGACACTACATATTAGTAGGGACCCTTCGAATTGAGGGGTCCCATTGCCATCATTTGTTTTCCGTCAAGAAATTTTTTAGAAAATCAATTTTTTTGTTGAAACCCTTCACCTTTGGCAATTCATGTTTCGTCTCCATTTTCTCGATATTCCGTTCGCCGCCGTCGCCACCAAATTGCGAATTCATCAAATTCTCCGATTCGACGCTCTTCTGCTTCTTTTGCCGTCTGGCAATTATGAAGCGCATCAGATAGAATTTCAAATGATACCTGAAATTTGTCGCTCTCACAAATCATTCAATTTCAACAATTACCATGTGCCGCGAACACTGTAGATTCCGGCGATTTTGACGGGATCGGGTCTCAACGCGAAATGGACGAGATATGGGAAAATGATGAGCAGCGGAATCGCCAGCAACAACATTTTGAGGCACAAATAACGAAGGATGGTTATCGCCGAATATTGGTGATAACGATTATTATATGGAATGGTTATGCTGAACATTTGATAGGGGCAATAATGCTGATGTGGCACTTGCAGATTTTTGAGACACCGAGATAACTATTAGGTATAGTCGGCGTCCGGCGACTGCTTTACGCGGGTAGATTTACGCGCATGCGCCTTGAAAAGGTCTCACCACGTGTAAACGCTTATTTTGCTGTTTTCACGTGAACTGCTTCATTTTTCTTTATAAGTTTGGCATTTCCTTGAATTTCCAACGATTAAAAAATTATCGTACCATTCCATAAAATTTGAAATAACCAGTTAGTCCTTGCGGGACCATTTCGAAAGACGCATTCCCGTAAATCTACCCGCGTACAGCAGCCGCCGGACGTTATTGTTAAATAATTATTTAATTATTTTATGAGAAAGCGGGCAATTGAATGCTTAAAAATTATTGAATTACTCACAAGGATGATAAAAAAAAATCACATTTGAAATAAAAAAATTTTTGTTGAAACCAAAATAATCTGGAAAATAAAATGAATAGGATTTGAAAATACATTAATTTGTTTCGAATTATTCCCAAATTTCAATATTCAAAATGAGAAATGAATTGATTTCGAAGATTTTTGAATCGAAACCAAATTTTCAAATTATCAAAATTATCGAATCCGATTAATTTCCCTAAGAATGGAGGTTTTTTTTACTTAGTGGTTTGGAATTTTTTCTAATTTTCCACACGAATAGATCGAGAATCTCCCTATCGAGTGCCGTTCAAAATGTTTTGGATTCAAAAATCTTCGAAATCAATTCATTTATTTCTGATTTTAAATATTGAAATTTGGGAATATTTCGAAACAAATTAATTTATTTTCAAATCCTATTCATTTTATTTTCCAGACTATTTTGACTTCAACCAATTTTTTTTAATTGCAAATGTGATTTTTATCAAGGATTTTCAAAAAATATTATTGTATCCTGTTTTATAGCAGCTCTTTTTTTTTGGGAAAGTATTGTCTATTCGCCTATGATCTCTTCTCCTCTCATCTCTTTTAAAGGCGCATGGTCTCATAGTTGCCAAAGCCCATAAATAGCTGAAATTCAGGAGAGTACTCGTGTGGGAAAATTGTGGGTCCCCCCACGCGGGAAGAATTTAAAGGACCCATTCGAATGATCGTTTTCAATCCGCAATTTTATATGACCAAGCGAATTTTTGTTTCAAATTTTGACAAATTACTTTCATTATATGAGAGGGGTCAGAAAGTTTGTGCAAAATTCGAAAAAAAATCAAAATTTTTTTTTTGAAAACTCACTTCTCTTAATTTTCATAAAATTTTGAGAAATTCTAGAAGAAGACTAAAGTTTTAAAAATTTGAAAATTTCAGAATTTCTGTTTCCTTTTTTCTGAAACCGTTGATTTTTCGAATGCCAACTGTTTAAATTGAAATTGGAATTGTGGGCCCGAACAAAAAATACGATGGTCCACAAGGCTCTCGCCTTTTTTTTCTTTCTGATGGTAATTCATATGACCTCAGCGTAGCATTTCCTTTTGAGGCTGTCATAAACAAATATTTTAATTCGCTCTTGCTGTAAACACACAGGAATGCCGATTTTAAATATTTTTGTGCTCGCCCGACGACCAACTATTTTCTGTTTTAATAAATGATTGACACTTTTATTATCAAGAACATTCAAATAATCGTCTGAAAAGTTAGTTCCTGTTATAAAGAAAAAAAATTGCATCAGAACCTCAAATTTCTTCTCGTTTTTTTGAAATTCAGATTTTCTTTTTTTTTGTGGAAATGTGACGAATGCGAAAAACTGCAGCGATATCCGATGCATTGTGTGCGTACACCGAGTCGCACATCTCAATCTTACCTACAGTAATCTCATTTGAAAATTATTTAAAAAAATGTTTCCTGTGTTTTTAAGGACACAACACTTGGCGAATTTATTGGTTTATCTATATTGTTCTGTTGAAAAAGTGTAATAGTTATTGTTTTTGTATATTAATCAAAGTTAATTGTTTAATATTAAAAAAAAAAACTATCAATGATTAATTAAATAATTTCAATTGAGATTACTGTAGGTAAGAGCGAGATGTGCGACTCGGTGTATGCACACAATGCATAGGATATCGCTGCAGTTTTCCACAATAGCAATGAAGGTCTTTTTGCAGTTCGTCTAAAAAAATTGCATGCAAATTCTTTAGATAATTTGCAATCGAATGGATTAGGTCCCCATCAGGGCTGGCCGGAAATCCGGAAAATTACCGAAAATAGAAATTTCGGCTATTAAATGTCTTCAACGACAATTCGAAATATAAATACCGAATTTTCACTATATCAAAAATTATTCAAAAATGACGTACCTTTTTGTTTCGTCGATTTTTTCCGACATCAAAATAAAAATTTCAGCAATCGGCAATTTAATTGCAGCACAGCCAAACTTCTAGTTATCAATATACGGACCTTCAAATTTTTCAGTGAATTTTGTATTCAAATGTAATAGCAGGTAGGGTTTGGAAATTTTCCAAAAAATCTGTAATAAAAAAATATTTTTTAAAAATTTAAAACAGACTGCAAAAAGACCTCCCTTGTAAATTAGTCTACATAATAATTATATATTTTATTTTTGGTGACGCCAATTATACTCATCATCTCCGCATATCAAATTGAATTACTTCTAAGAAATTCACAATACGTCTGCCTATTGTTTGTAGAAGTTTTGTTAGTTGTGGAGCGACTTGTTTTGATTTCATCGGGTGGATTATTGTTAAGTAGAAGAGGTCAAAAATATTGGTCAAAAAATCTATTACTTATTATCTTGTAGGTAAATTGACCTTCCCTGATGATGATCTAAAGATCGAAACGTTGGATAAAAACATTTAAACAGTGTGCAAGAAAATTGAAAGATTCCTATCAAGAAGATCTGTTCTACTGTTTGTAGAAGCACACAATCAGCGGTTGGTTATTTTCAAAGCGAGTAGTTTGTCCAGTGATGCTTATGAGAAACATACATTATTCGGCTGATATCATCAATTTGTGAGATCAAACGGTAGTCCACGTGATTGGCGCGAAATTGCCTCCTCCCACCATCGGAACCCGTATTGGATGCGCGGCGGCGGCGGCGGCGACGACAAGTCTGTCGAGCGACTCCGCACTTCACACTGTGTATATGCATGCGCCTACTTGAGTTTCGTTCGATCACGTTCTGGCGCGGATCCAGTAACCCGCCCACAGGCACTCGATGCGAAACAACCCGAGCAAAACGTGTCAATTCTTTTTTCCGTGTTCTCTTTTCTTCGAAATTGTTTTTTTGCTCGCCAACTTCAATATTATTTCTTTTTTCTTTTGTTCAATTCTCCCTTTTATTGGATTGAATGGGACGAAGAAAAGAAAAAACAAAAATCAACAGATCAAAAATCACATTGATCATAGCACTATGGGGTCGATAGAAGATGTTTGATTCATAAAATCTCTATTTCAAAAAAAAATTGTTTGAATAAAATATCGCTGAACGAATTGCGTCATTTTTAAAGGCGCAAGCCATTTCAAATACTGATTTTTGGCTAAAATTGCTCATCGCCGTCAGAAATAATTCTAATCCGGCGGCGAAAAAAACATAATACTTCCGTATTTGATAGATTTCTCGTATTTTCTTGAAAATCGGTCTTGAAACGAATCAATTTTCTTTTTTGATTAATCAAGATCAAATTAGAAGCCTTTAAGCTTTGAAGCATTGAATTTTCCCTTATTCTCGGTTTTTTAAAATATATTTTTCTGAGCCAATTGTTTTTTTTTTGTTCAAGTGCAATATTTTGAAATACATTTTTTTGTTGAAGCTTCAATTTCGTAAATATTTATGTATCTATAAAATTTTTAATTTATTCTGATTATTATATTGTCGGAGTTAAACGACTTAACGAAATTTTTAAAAAATTATTTGGCTATGTGCGCCTCGGTGAAGCGACATGTACGCGACATTGCGTACATTGCATTATATCGTACGCGCATTTAATATTCAGTCAACGATAGATTTAAATCTACACGGATTTCGCGAATTTGATAGTCTCTCTTCAATTGTTTGACGTCCACAATATTAAAATAGAAAACTCAAAAAATTCTGGATTTTTCTGAAAATTGCATATGATTTTTGAGAATTTTCATAGGATTTCTTTTTTTTTTCTCAAAAATCTACCTAGAATAATTGACATTTGTTGTCATGACGACAAAACCTTTCTTTCGCGATTTGTGAGAGACCCTTCTCATTTTTTTTCGCAATCAGTTTTTGAATTTATTTTCCAAGAGCAGAAAATCATCCACAAAAGCCATGGTTCTATTTTTTTTTTGATTGTTGTCTGTTCGACAACAAACAACAAAATTGTCATAAATTTGCCAGACAATCGTTTTTCGTGCGATTCCTCCAATTTTTGAATGCAATTCACCTGTCTGGCACAAGCTTTTTTTTCTCAAGGTTTCAAATATAAAAATAGAACATTTTGAAATTCGCCTCAAATTTTTTTGGATTTTCATTTTCAACATTTTTTTAAAAAGCTAGTGCTCGTACTTCTCACATTTCGACTCCAAATGACATTGCAAAGGTGTACGGTAACGATTGTTCAAGCTTGCAGTCTTTTGGTCTTGAAAAGAAAGCGCTGTGAGACCTATTTCCTTTTAACGTGAAGCAGCGGTTTTTAACTTTTTTTTGCAAATCATAGAAAAATTGAGAAACGAATTAAAGGCGCATCTGAAAAATGGTGGCTACATATATTCGAGCTGGTTTTGGGTGTTTTAGAAGTAAAAACTGAAAAAAGGAAAATTGATAGAATTGAATTACGTAGAAGCATTTTAATGAAACATGTGTTTTGGCGTAAATTTGGTGATATCATATTAAAGAGAGAGAGAGAGAAAGAAAGAGAGAAAAAGAGAGAGAGAAAGAGAGAGAGAGAGAGAGAGAGAAAGAGAGAAAAAGAGAGAGAGAGAGAGAGAGAGAGAGAGAGAGAGAGAAAGAGAAGGGTATCCGCCAAGGCGAATTTCTAGAAAATTTCCATGAAACAGTTCGCCATCGATTCGACAAAAAAAAATTTGAACCCGACGAGTGTAATGTGTGTTGGCCTACACACGCCAATTTCGTGATATTGATAGGAAAGAAAAAAAAATGTTCTCTTCTTGAGGTGGAAATGTGTTGAATCGTGATTCATTTTCGTCCACCGTTTCCCAATTTTTTTGTCTTTTCTTCAACACAAAAACTGACGAAAAATTCGCGATTTCCGGCCCATCGTTTATTTTTATTTTTTGGTCATTTATGCGTGCTTCCTTCCTTCCACCTTTTAACCTTCTTCTTCTTCTTCTTCTCACTTATGATGGTTTTTGGTATCAGTCGATTGATATGAGTCCGATTGTACCTTTCTTCTTTTCTTTTCTCCATCTTCCATTTTTTTTTTCGAAACAAAAAATGCCAATCAAGATTTTGCGCTTTTAATTTTCCCACCAAAATACGATTTTTTGAATTCGCTGTAAGACCATCCTAGTAGATCAATCCATGGCAATTTTTATTCAAAAAAAAAACTCCAAAAATAGAAAATAATTATTGGTTTCCACATCATGTGCCTTTAATTTTTCTTATTTCCCTTGGGGGGCATTTACATTTGATCAACAGCAAACACGCTCCATTGCAAATTGTTTGAATTGTTTTCCAAAAAAACAAAAACAACAAAGAATGAACATTTTCGATGATTTTGTTTAGAAACCTTAAAATTCCATTTTAATCCATTGGCCGTTTGAGTAGATCAAATATGCTCCATCGCACTTTTCCTCTTTTTTGTTGGAATGAAGCACTTGTTGGGAAAATTTCAACTCGAACTTTGATAAGAGTCGAAAATCGTCAATTTTCCTACTGTAGTGACGTGTCGACATGACATGATCTCTGTCGTCGATGTCGTTCCTTATCAATTCAATCCGACGCCCATTTTGAATTTTTGGACGTGAAAAATTATCGCGTTGAGACCCGACATTTGACCGGAAATCGTGACGACGCGCATGATTTCGCCAATGAAATCCTCTCGTTTCGATTTTATTTTGCCTTCTGCTCTTCTCAATTTTTCCGAAATTCCGGTTTCAATTTTTTTTTGCGGTGTCAATCACCACCCGCCCGCTCGACCGCACACATGTGAGCTCAGCTCAGCTTCAGAGAGGGGGAGGTTGCTCTCAAAAAATCTCAGCAGGTCACCTGATTCTTGGTCGTCAAAACACCCTTCGCCGCGATTCGACTATTTTCGTCGCAATTCGATTCGTTTTTGATCTACCTTCTTTTTGAACAAAAAAAATTGCGAAAATTTGTCGGCAGATCGCCTTTGTTATTCGTTTTCAGATTTTCAATCACTTCGATTCTTGAATTCTCTTGTTCTAGATTCTTCCGCAATAATGTGCGCCGGTGTTCGCAGACGTCGATTTTCATTCTTTAAGCGAAACCAATATTTTTAAAGGGAGGGAACGCGCAAACTAGAAAGCATTGCGAAGAATGATGAAACGGATATCCTGTTGATTACAGTTTTCTTCAATAAAATCGAATTGGGAACTTGTTTACGTGGCATTATTGCGTTTCGAGACCCTCTGATCTCTGAAAGATATGTATTTAAAGGGGCTCGGTCTTCAAATGCGAACACGGTTGGACGAGTAGGTGGAAGGCCATCGGCAACAGCAGCTGCCGCTGTTTTCGCCACATCCCGAATTTGTTTTTTTTTTTTCGCTCCTTCTTCTTCTTCTTTTTCTTTTTTCCCCGTTTTTCAGTCGCCCCACATTTTCCCATTTTAATTTTACTGGGGTTTTTGTTTGCGCAACCCTCCACGTTTTGTTTCGTGCCTGTTCAAATATGGCGAAATTTGCGAGATGAAATTCAATTGCGGACACGTGCATTTCAATTTACGACAATTTTGATTTTGTCGATTTATTTTGTTTTTTCATTTTTCGAAATTCACCCACAACTTCACATCGGCGTTGCTTTTTGATAATTACGTGAACCTTTCATCGATTTTGAGATCATTGCCATGTTTGGAATCATTTTGTTTTGCGACCATGGGTGGAGCGAACGAACATATGGAGAAAAACTAGTCTAGACCGAATCATTGATTTGTTCAACAATCGATTGTTTCCTTCAAATTGCTTCGCGCGTTATCATTTAATAGAATAGACAAGATTGTGTTACATTTTTTCAGAGGAAATAATGGTCTTAAATATCAAAAGAGCGTCGTCATTCGAGGGAGTCACGAATCACTTCGAGGACATTTTGAAACCGTTCGATCATCAGGTGAGAAATTCTATAATTATTTTCGATTCGATTGTTTGATTTGTGTTATTGCGATAAATGCTTTATTCCAAAAAAGGCTCTTTCTTTCATTTTGAATTATTTTCTATTATGGGTACGGTACGCGCTTCTGCGTACACCGTGATACAAAATTGCGGATTGTTTACTTCATTTCTCAATTTCTCCTATTTTTCAATTTTTCTTTTCAAATTACAAGTTTTCGTGAATTTTGAAGTGATAAGCTCGCCGAGAAAAGTTCGTGCCAATTAGTGTTTTCTCGTTTGTTTGCATCCGGTTTCGTTTCTCACGCTCACTTTTTCTTGATCTTTCCTTGTGTTTGCTTGTTCTTTTTTTTCGCGAACTTTCTCTTGCTAACTCGGTGAATTTCCAGGTTGGTGGCCACACGCCGTTCACGTCATTCAACAATGGTCATCTACTCAAGCCATGCGATGAACGCGAGCTCATATTCTATCAGGTGATGCCCTCGTGTTTGAAAAAGATCTCGCCAAAGTGCTGCACGACAATTCAAGTAAAAAAGACGTTGCGATGAAATTGAGTGTAATGATCGAAATTTTAGGGTCCAATTGTTAGCAACACCCACGATTGTTGTCCGCAATGTAAAACGCAACAATTTGAGAATGTTGTGATTCCGGAGAGTATCGAAGGCTCCCCAATTCTGAATAAAAGAAAATTGTCAAAGTAAGAGCGTTGAATCGTTTTTCATTTCGTTCCTAGACGCATTTATTTGCAGGAACTTCATAGTGATATCTGATTTGACTTATGGAATGAAGTGCCCTAGGATACTAGATTTGAAATTGGGAACCCGTCAGCATGGAGATCACGCATCAACAGCGAAAGTCGCCTGTATGACGGCTAAATGCCAATCAACCACGTCCGCAAATTTAGGAATTCGTTTGTGCGGCATGAAGCTGATTAGTCCCGGGAAACACGTGCTCATCGACAAATATGAAGGTGAATTTTTTTTGCTCGCGAAAATTCATATAAGAAAGATTATCCCGTAATCGCGAACGCTGATTAATTTATAAAAATTTGTAGGAAGATCGATGAGCGAACAACGACTTGCCGAAGAAATCCGATCATTCTTCGATGTTTCTCCTGAAATCGTCGAGGCAGCTCGAAGGAAAATGAAGCGAATTAGGGAGGTGTTGTGCGAATCGGACGGAGTTCGACTTTTTGGAGCTTCTCTTTTAATAGTGATAGAAGGAGATCCGCATGGTAGGCTCATAGGCTCCAAAATTCCTTCATAGAATTTTTTTTTGCAGTTGAAGGCGTCCCACCAGAGAATCTTGTTCGAATCCGAGTCGTCGACTTTGCCAACGCCACTTTTCCGGGTTTCCTAGGCGACAATTTGTATGAAGGAATTGATGATGGATCGATTTTGGGTCTCGACACGATCGAGAGATTCCTCATGTAAATCAAAAATTCTTGTTTTCGTTTCTGTTTTTCGTTTTTTTTTGTTTATTCGTGTTTTTTCTCACTTTTATTCATTCCTTCTATCAATTTCTTCCATTTTCTAATCCACCTCAATTCTTTTCAATTCCTTGTGACTTTACTTACGGGTTCCTAGAAACATCACGTTTATTTATTTACGAGTTTTTATGTATATTTGAATAAATATTTCAAATTTTTGACTCGTATTCGACTAGCTGCTTCATGAATCCGCTATTTGGTCGGATATCTCAAATTGGATGTTTGAATCGATTGTTTAAAAAGGCCTACCTCGAGTTTTCCGGCACTGCTCCATCGCTTCATGCGCCTTTAATTTTAACGTTTTCATGAGATATGCGCAGACAATTGTGGCGGACCTCGAAATTCCAGCATTGCAGTGCGCGAAAACCTGAAAATTTTTGGATTTCAATTCTAATTTCGTGTATTCCCTTACAATTCCGTTTTCTTTTCTCGCATTATCAATCCACGAAAATATATCATCGAAATAATCGGCGATTTGGGTCTCAGGAAGATCCAAAATGTCGATTTTTAAATATTTGAACCTTTTAAAAATTTGCATATTTTGAAAAATTATTGGCTTCTTTTGGTACTTGTTTGGAAAATGATTGGGTATTCCAGTGCCCACATTTAGGATGTGCGTTATTTTTTCGTTTTTCAAAATATCCAAGTCAGCAGCGACGTCTTGGCTTCCTAAAATAAGAAATTTATTTTAGGCTTGAATTATTTATTTCGAATACAGTAACACCGGGTGTATGCGGACATGCGCATAATTTGACGACAAAATTATTTGTTTCTTTACAATTTAAGTTTCTTTTTCTGAGTTTTCGCGTATAAAGCTTTTTACCAAATGTCAATCCTTCCATTGCTTTTCCAATAGTTAAATCTGGCTCCAAATCAATCACAAATCCGCATCTTTTCAAATATTCTACCTAAATATTGCATAAAATTTTATAAATATTTTTTTCAACCTTTTTCCTTCTTTTATTGGAAATTTTAGAAGTTTCTGGTCTGAAAACGCAAAATAAATTCAATTTCCATTCGAGACTCACTTCTCCTCCTCATATTCTCCTTCGGCATTCTTCTTTTCCACGATAACCTCTCCGTTTGGTAGCGTTTTTCTGAAAAAATCACATTACCGCTTATGGGTTCGAAGCAAACGCGCTCCACCGAACCAACGCTATTTTCGAATTTCTGTTTTTCCGCAAACTTTTTTCTGCCTACAACCTTCGATTTAATCGATAAACTCACGTTATTTCTGTCGTTTTTAATTGCTTACGTGCTGATAATAGGTCTTGCAACGACGGCATTGCTGAAATTGTCAAATATCGTATTAGAAATTTATTTTATTCCAACGCGGGAAATTCAAATTCCGCTATTTATTCAACGCTATTATCATTACAAATAAATAGAAGTCGATAAATCAATTGCATTAAGAACGCGTGCATTACTCTGAGACGTTCGTGCTTGTCACCCGCTCGGATGCAAATGTGCTCTATTGTAATGAAGCATTGGCAAATGTTTTGAATATAAACATTGTTTGTCTTTAGAGGCTTTCGGGTGGATTTAACCCAAAAATGGAAAGAAATGAGGAACTCGGGACAAATTTGAGGATTACGGTGGCTGCTAGTCAGGTATATATTTTTTTGTCTTATATAAAACTTGAATATTAATTTTAGGGTGGTCGGCGTTACATGGAAGACCGAGTGTTCATACATACGGAGCGTAAAGCCGATAATTCGCTGAAATGGACGTTTCTCGGCGTTTTCGACGGACACGGCGGCGAGCACGCGAGTGAATTTGTGCGCAGAAATCTGCTAGATAATATCATAGTTAGTTGAGTTGTTCGTCATTGAATTCATCGAGACGCGTTTAGAATAATGAGAAATTTCATAATGATGATGACGACGATGATATACTTGCGGCGATTCGCGAGGGATTCCTCACCACTCATAATATGATGAAAGAAGTTCATGGTAGAAATCATTATCCTCGAAATTTCCTTTCATGGAGCCACACTTTTTCTCAGATGAGTGGCCGTTCACCCCATCGGGATATCCATCAACCGCCGGAACCACAGTTAGCTGCGTTTTCATAAGAAATGGAAAATTGTATACAGGGCATGTTGGTGATTCGGCAATTTACTTGGGAGTTTATGCAGGTATTTGGACCGGAAACTTTTGATTTGCTATTTTTTTCGTAATTTATTTAGAGAATGGCGTTCGCGCACTCCCTCTAACAGTTGATCATAAACCGGAATGTATGCGAGAGCAGGAGAGAATAAGAGAAGCTGGAGGAAGTGTTAGTTTCCTTGATAGGATCTCAACCAGATTTTATCTCTTTTTAAAAATTTCAGACCGCTGTGAAAAGCGGAGTGACTAGAATTGTTTGGAGGCGACCAGCGAAGAATCAACGACCAGGGCCTGTTCGAAGGAACAGCTCATTCGAGACGATACCGTTCTTATCAGTGGCCCGTAGTTTAGGAGACTTATGGTCCTACAACGAAAGTACCGATTCTTATGTGGTCTCGCCGATTCCTGATGTCGATGTTTATGTTTTAAATGGTTCGAGCTCTTTGGACAACTTTGGTTTAATCCATAATTGATATAGAGCAAGATTTTTGTCTGATTCTGGCTTCCGATGGAATGACTAATGTGATGCCGGCTGAGCAAGCTGTCAGCATTGTCTACCGCGAAGAGGAGCTCGTGGAAATGCACAACGACATGAATCGCAATCACGCTCGATGCGTTCTTCGTTCAACTCTTCAGAAGTGGAGATCGTTGCGCGCTGACAATGTGACAGTTGCCACGGTTATCTTTGATCCTGATATGACGTCATATAGAGAGAAGGATGTACTAATGAAACTCGGACCATTTCTACCAGTGGATCAGGTGAGAAAGCGAATTTAGGGAGAATTTCAAAAAAAAATATATATATATGGAGAATGTTTAGGTGCTCACTGATCGTCCTGATGGATTACTACATGTTTCGAAGAATAGGAATGTTATCTTGCGAACAAAACGGACACCGGTGGTTTATAATGGTTCAAAAGATGCCAATTTTTCACGTATGTTGATTATTGGTGATTTTTGTATTGAATTTCTTCTATTTAGGCGTTTCTTATCGTGGTCCCGGTTTTCGGACTCATGAAGAGGAGATGCAGGAGGAGAAGAACTATATAACTGCGAGAAATTTGATAATTAAACGGAATGATGATGACGATGATGATGAAGATGAACGCCGATTGCGGATTGTGACTGGAGAAGACGTTGATGACGATGACGACGATGATGAGGATATTGAATATGATGAAGATGACGATGATACGAACATGTCGATTCCATTTGGACAAGATTCGGTGCTTCAGCTCAAAGTTTCCAATGAGATGGTGATGAATGGCGCGATGGCGACGAGCTCGCAGGTGATTGAGACGGTGAGGGCTTTCTCCACTTTTTTCAGTGTAAAATGCATGATGTTGAGAATATTGTGAAATTGTGGGGGATTTTTTATTCTGGTTTCACTAATTCTAAAAGTGTTTTGTTTCAGAGAATTTACATGGTCCCCAGCCCTATTCGGCCGTCTAACCCGGAGCCTCGGAGTCCGATCGCGTCGATGTCGACGTTTGAGCCTGATGATGGAACGGATGAGGAGGATCTCGATGCGACGCCGTCGAAAATGAGATCATCGCCGACTAAAAGTCCAATGGCGAGTTCATCGGTGCGACGAGTTAAAGCGCGAGCTTGTCGGCGACTTCGCACACCGAAAATGGAGGTTGTTGAGGAGCGGCGAGTTACCAGAAGCTCATCTCGAGCTGATGCACTCAAAACGCCATCGCCTATTAAAATCAATCAGACGCCGGGATCGAGGAAACGATCTGATTCGACGGCGGCGACGAGCTCAGCGACACCATTGAGAAGGTTGGCATTTGTGGCTTTGTACCAGGCATGCGCGTTTTTTCCGACTATTTTTTGTCAAAATCTAGCGGATTCGAAATTTCTCTTATCAATTTTTCGATATGACGACGTTTCAATGTCATGCGCATAAAAAATTTGCGAAGTTTCGAAAGTTTCTATTTATAAAAATGATCTGCGGACATAATTTGGTTGGTTTTTAGTTGAGTTTTTTTTTAGATCATCCCGCCTCACTTCTGATCCGACTACATCGACGCCTGCATCGCCGCCGGTCGGCCAGAATGCGCCCCAAAGGTTGCTTCTTCCTCTTCCACTTCCTTTTCCAATAATGTTTTGAATATTCCAGTCGTAAACGCGGTCGTGAGGATTTGAAGGAGAAGGCGATGAATAAAAGTGGAGTGACGCCAGCGATTAATATGATGAAGATTGTTGAGCCGGATGGTGAAGAGGCTCCGCCGACACCATCGCGAAGCGCGCCATCAACCCCACTGAAGGTAATTGCCAAACAAAAATTATAATTTAGAACCTGAAGACCCGTTTTTAATTTTTTTTTTTCGAATAAGCTAGTGTTATTACGCGCTTTTGTTTTTTATTATAAAAGCGGGTCTCGAAAAAATTCGGCGTTCCTTTAGTATTAAATACCGAAATGTTGATTTCTTTAAAGCAATTGTCATTTTCCTTGACAAAATTTAACGTTTCCCAACTACTCTATTGTTATTTGCTATATCTCGAATACTTAAAAATAGGAAATGTTTAGGCTGGACCTTCAAAAGGTCGAAACATAAAGGCGAGTAAATGGTCCCTATCGAAATTGGAAGCGCCGAAGCCTCAAGTCGAGATTGTGCGTGTTTGCGAATGTGCTGACGATGATGATGTTGGTGAAGAGCTCAGCGAGCCGCCATCGAAAATTCGACGAATTTATGGTTTCATGAAACGATTAGTTGGATGGCCGTCGAAATGATTGCTGTATAATGACGAAGTCTCGGATTCCATTTGATGTTAGGCCATTTTAAGTATTTTATTTATTTTTGTTTTTTTTTCTAATTCAAAGTGTTCGTCCATGATTCCGCTGTCGACATTCTTTCCTTGATCAGTTTTTGTGTGTCTGTACTCAATTATCCTGTTTATTTACCATCTCGACGCCTGACTTTACTAATTGCCTACTGTATTTCGTTTTTTTTTGCTTTTTGTTCTTCTTTTTCGTTTTAGTATTCAGCGCCAATTTCAAATTGGTGGTCAAACGTCTTATATTTAATTATATTTTGATTTTTGTAAATGAAGTCTCGATTTTTGATTTTTTTTCGCTTATCATTTGTCAGTTATCCGTATTCTTATCGGATTTAATACCTTATATGTTAAATCCGTATTTGATAATTCAATTATGATTTCAGATGGCTAAACATCATCCAGATTTGATTTTCTGTCGAAAGCAGCCGGGTGTCGCAATTGGGCGACTTTGTGAGAAATGTAAGTTTTCGATTTTTGGGAATTTTGAATTTGAACGGAATTGAGAACACAGGATACCATTTAAACCAATTTTTATTAATTAAATTTTGAAAACGATTTTTATATTTTGATTTTATATCTAAAATTGGATTCTTAATAATTGGGTTTATAAACTCTATTTTACGTTTTTTACGATGGTAATAATAATTATTAAAAAATTTTGTACAAGAAGTGAAATTAATTACATTTTTTGTAATTTTTTACAACCCTGCATTGAAAAATGTGTAATTATAAAAAAATTTATTTCGCGAATGGGTTCATTAAAATCAAATGGAATTTCAGGTGATGGTCGCTGCGTGATTTGCGATTCGTACGTGCGCCCGTGCACTCTTGTGCGAATCTGCGACGAATGCAACTATGGATCCTATCAAGGACGTTGTGTGATCTGCGGTGGAGCTGGCGTCAGCGACGCCTACTACTGCAAAGAATGCACCATTCAGGAGAAGGTGCGACTCGTTGAATCATTGATTTTGAGCAATTCCAATTTTTTTAGGATCGTGACGGCTGTCCGAAAATCGTGAACTTGGGAAGCGCAAAAACGGACTTGTTCTACGAGCGCAAGAAATACGGGTTTAAAAAATCCTAGCATTTGTGGAGAATTTTGTTGGTTTGGGTACTAATTGAATACGCGAGGGGGCAATTATTCGATGTACCCAATCTTCTCGTTGCTTTATTTATTGATTATTGACTAATTCTGTTTATTAATTTAACATTGTTTTTTTCTCTCTCTCCATTCCATTATATTCCGTGCTTATTTTAGAAGAACTTGTAAATGAAATAAATTTTGAGAATTCGCCGCAAATTTGTTGAACATCGTGTGTGTTATTGGTTGCTTGTCCGCTCCAATTGTGTTGTCTTTTTGTGTTGTTTTCTTTACCATTTCTTTTTTTTTTCAAAGTTTGTCGCGATTTTCTAGAAATGCCCATGAACCATGAGCAGCGAATCGCGGTAGATCAATTTCTTGAGGCTTTCAATTTGGAGCATAAAGGTCGGATCAATCATGCGTTTTGATGGCGAATCCATTACCCTCTGATATTGTTTCAGTTTCGTCCGAAGCCATTGGAAATGCGCTTTTTGATCAAAGAATGCCGCAGGATGTGAACGAAGCGAGGAAATTCGTCGAGGATTTCTTCAAAAAGTGTATGAGTGAAGCGAATTTGTCAAAAATGGGGGGCGTCTTGATAAATTTTGTCAAGAATTTGTTGAAAAATCGAAAAGACAACGATCTCGATGAATTTTGAAAGACGAAATTTTTCGTGAAAATGAAATGTTTTTTTTTGTTTCTTTCAATTTCGCCTCGGCACTTGCCGAAAAACAAAACCAGTGGAAAAATGCTGTTTTTTTTTAATCAAACATTCATTTTTGTGCCTATTTTGAGGTGAAAATCTTTGAGAATCGATATAATACATCAGTACATTCATTTTTGTTTAGGCGAGCGTCGAGACCCAAATACGGCGAAAACGATTCAAAAACGATTAGCGGCGACGATCAACGAAACAGAAAATACGCCGCTGATTCTCGATTTCATCGTCCGATGTCGCACTACTCATTTGTTTTACGGCAAACCGACGACGCCGATGATGGATCCGCCGGGTGTCGGAAGAAGCATCTCAAGTGTTTCCAGTCAATCGTCGCCGTTTCAGCGAAGATCGGCGAGTCGAACACGGGTCGCCGTTTTGTGTAAGAATTTTGATTTTTCAATGAATTTAGAGAAAAAGTTTGAAATTTTTGAAAAATACGCTCGCAATTGCGCAAAAGTTGTTTTATTTTGTTATAAACGCGAAATTCTGAATCGAATTTTTTGGGAACTATTAGGAAATGATTTCAGCAAATGAGACGACACCGAATGATCATAGTCGATCACGCGCAAACTCGAGTATGCTTTCATACGATTCGGCGAAGACATATTCGATTGGAACCGAACGACCAATGGGTTCGATGCGGCCGAAAAGCCCATTCCGCATCACACATCATGCGTCGAATTCGACGACGACGACTCCGCTATCGGCGAGCAATCATTTATTCAAGTCGGCCGCGATTCGTTCGTTCCTCAAATATTCATTGAATTTGCAGCGCATCGGCGGCCACTCGCGAGTTCTCGCCGACGCGATTCCATTCGAGATTGTCGTCGAACATGGGCGGCTCGTTGAGCTCGATGCCGGCTCACACGTCGGGTTTGTCGAAAACGCCGTTGCACTCGCGATTGGGAAGCGCGCAAAGTTTGCATGACACACCGATTGGGTTTTGCGATTGTTTTTTTGAAATGCTCGTTTTCAGCCGAAACGGAGAGCAAAGTTTGCGAATGTCTACTCGCGGCGCTTCTCGGAATCGACACGAGGCTTTTTCGGTCGGATGGCAATCGGCAAATGGTCGTTTCAGCTACTTCGTCAATTTCTACTGTAAGTGTTAGTGTGTTTTTTAAAATAATTCTTTTTCGTGAAATTTGAGTTCCTCACCTAAAAAATTCTGTAAAATCTTGAAATCATCATCCACGTGGATTTTATTTCCCTATGATAAAACGGGATTGCTCAATACAAGGCGAACGATTTAATTGGTTGAAAAATCGCAATTTTATATACAATAATTTGAGGTCAAATTGAGTTCCGGCATTTTCATATCTTCAATCATACGTCTGTTCGATTTTTAAAAAAATAATTGATATTGTCGTCGTCAAACAATTGAAGAGAGGCGGAAAAATTTGCGAAATTAGTGTAGATTTAAATTTTTCGTTGACTGAATATTAAATGCGCGTACGATATAATGCAATGTACGCAATGTCGCGTACTTCTCGCTTCACCGTGGCGCATTGGCACATAGCCAAATAATTTTTTTTTAAATTTCGTTAAGTCGTTTGACTTCGACAATATGTGCGAGAAAATTTGAGATTTTCTGCAAATTTCAATAAACACGCCTTAGCTTCTTTAAAAAATAGTTTTCTTCAATTTTCAGAATGATCTTGCTGTTGTTCAACGCATTCTGAAAATCGCCAACATTTACATGGGCTTGAAATATCTCGATGTCACCGTTACCCATTCCAATCAAATTGTCGAAGTTTGTTCTTTTTTCGCGTTTTGAATTCAATTTTCATTCCGATATTTCAGTCAATGTTCTCGTCAATTCGATATCTTCTTGGAGAATTCACTGCCGATATCGATTCGTTGCGACGGGTTTGTTGATTTTCCATGTCAACTGCAAACATTCTAATCATCTCTCGTTGTTTTTTTTTTTTCAAGAAAAAATTGCTAAACTATTCGAAAATTCTTCCGACAATTTATGAATGGGCGATTCGATTGGAATTGATGCGAAAATGCTCGACGCTTCGAAAATTGAGCCCGTTGGAGTTGCTCGAATCGCTCTACGTAATGCACAAATCATATAATTTGGATCGAATTCGGTAATAGTTTTTTTCCGAATTTCGTTGTTTTTTTTTTGAGGAAAAATTTCGAATAGTGTTCAGAAAATCGGTTCTCGAAACGATTCTCAACTACACGATGGGCGTATTCTGCAAACAGATGATCGATTGGATGACGAGCGGAGAAATACCCGCCGAGAATTGGCTATTCGACGAGGATCCGCGAAATCGGACGCTCGTTACGAGAAGCCTTCCCGTATTTGTTAGCGCGAATGACGTCCAAGTGGTAACGCTCGTTTCCCCTGATATGGATGGACCATTGAGTGTTCATTTGCAGCTAATGGAAATTGGAAAATGCATTCATCGATTGGATTCGCCGAGCGATGAGGATTTGGCGGCAATTGATAAGGCGACGGAGATTGTCAAATCCGGATTAAATCCGAAAGTGATTTTTGATCGAGGTTCCATCGTTTGTCCGATTATTCCGACCCGATTGCTGAATTCAGATTTGTGCAATTTGCTCACCATTCTTCGCGACGTCGTCTGCGGCATTGTGATGAGATCGATTGTGGTGAACGGCAGATTGAAGGATCACTTGAATAAGGCGACGACGTTGTTCTTCCTCGCCGATCCCAGATTCACCATGACGCTCTATAATGTTGTCAAGTGAGGCGATTTAGCGTTTCGTTTCGAAATACCGCGTTTTGAAGGGAGTATTCCGGTGGGCTTCGTGCTGGGACCACATCGCTGAGTAAACAGGACGTTTCGAAGGCGTTGGCCACGGCGCTTGAGCTATCCAATATTAATTCGAATGGAAAAACGAAAAAATTGAATTTCCGGTTGGACTCAATAACCAATGTGAACCATGATGATTTGGAAAATGTCGAATATTTTGAGAAATTTCCAGAACGGAACATCTCCAAATATCTCGTCGCGAATGCAGTTTGTGCAGCCGCTTCGGCCCAAATATGAGCCGACGATGGAGGCGATGAAGCCGATTTTTAGCATGTGTGATGAGGAGTGAGATTTTTTTTTCAATTTAGAATGTCCAATTCGAATTTTAGCTATGAGGCGATTTTCCATATATTCTGGTCGATTGATTTGGCGAGATTTTCGTCGCAGGACACTGCTGACTTGATACCGCCCATGTACAGGTTCTTGCAGAAGAATTATGCGATTCGAGGTTGCAAATTTAGTTTTGGTAGTTTTTTTTGAAACTCTTGTTTTTTTTGATGCAGAGAATGGATGGTCCCTTTTGGGTACGATATCGCACATATTTTTCATGATCAGTGGCACTTTGGCCAGAATTCGAAGTGTTATTACTGTTCAGGTACAATTTCGTCCGTTTTTTTCTATTTATGGCTATATTTAAAGGTTCATCGGCAGTATCGGCGATTTTTGGCGGCAATCGATGAGAGATGTGTGGATTTGGATGATGTCATCAATGAGCATTGCAGATTTGTTCGACGCGTCTCAATTTTGGTGTTTTTGAGCGAAAACGACACGGTTGGCGTGGAAAATATTAGATTTTTGAGAGGAAAAAACGTAAATTTTAGATGGAGCAACATTTGTCGATGTTTTTGCAAACTGCATTTGACGCTCAGGATTTGCTACGTGAGCTCGTCGACAAATGGGAGGATGCGATTGATCGATGTGGAGATGATCAGAATGCGCTGAAGGCGAAAATGGCCGAGAATTGCAAATCATATACAGTCAAAGTTCGAGTTCTACTTGATAATGTTAATGTAAGAATGAAACTAAATATTGTCAATTTCGTTTTTTTCCTTTTTCAGAGCATTCAGAAAAAGTTGACGGAGGAACTTGAAGTTAAAATCAGCAACTACGATGACCACTTGATACTGGATTGATCGATATATGCGGATATGCCTTCTTTCACTTTATTTTCATATATAATATTCCGGGTTTTAAGTAACAAATTGCTTGGTTTTCTTGTTTTCGTGATATAACTCAAATAAATTATTTAAATAACAATTGTTTTATGGAATTCCTTCGATAAATAGAAAAATTAGCAACGTCACTCCGCTTTTACGGCATCGCCCTCGTTTTAGCGCATTCGAGCGTTTGAATTTTTTCCTCTTCGGCTCAGCGGACACTTATTCGAAAAAATGTTTGAGCCGCCAAAAGATCCTTTAGACGAACGGCCATTTCAAGCGATTGCTAGTCACAGAGATCTCATTCATAATGTAAGTGGATTCATCGAGAAAAAGAAATTATTTGAAAATTGCATTGTTCAGGTTTCGTTCGATTTTTTCGGAAGGCGTCTGGCGACATGCTCAAGTGATATGACAATTGCGGTTTGGGACCGCAAACCGGATGGTGTTTGGAAACGATCGGCGATGTGGAAAGTGCACGGCGGTGCGGTTTGGAGAGCGGTTTGGGCTCATCCGGAGTTTGGCCAAATTCTCGCGTGAGATTCGACATTTTAGGTGGAAGTCTTGAACTATTTTATTTGTTTTCTTCAGAACATGCTCTTATGATCGGAGCATTAGCATTTGGGAAGAGCAATTTGTGCGCGGAGATAGCTCGAAGGGGCAGAAACGGAAGAAGACGTGGCTTCGTCGCGCCAATATTAACGATAGTCGCGCAAATGTCACCGATGTCTGCTTCGCGCCGAGACACCTCGGATTATTGATTGTAAGAATATAAATTGTTTTCGCAAAAATGAAAAAAATTTTTTTTTTCAAAAATGAAAAAAAAATTTACTTTCAAAATTTTCCATGCGCCTTTGATGTATACTGTAGTATTGCATATTTTTGAAACGGAGACAAATCGTAAATTATTAGAAAAAAATAGCTTATAACAAAATTTCAAGAACACTATGAATTTTCGAAAATTAAAACCGAAATTGTCAGAGAAAAATTCATATTTTCTACGCATACAAGAATTATCGGTCCGTTGGTGATAAATTACGTTTTCTGGAACGTCTGAAAATGCAATAAAAATGAAAATTGAACCGTTATATTGGTTTTTTTTAATTGGTGATTCTAATAATTTAATCAATATTTAGGCTGCCGTCACCGCTCATGGAACTATTCGGATCTATGAAGCTGCCGATGTGATGGATATTAGCAATTGGGCGCTGATCCACGAGCTTCAGGCGTTCCACACGCGTTGTGGCTGCGTGACATGGTCGATATCTCGAATGCACCGGCCGCTTCTGGCCGTCGGTTCCGACGAGAAGAAGAGCGAGACGAATGAGCGCATCGTCGTTTACGAAAATGTGGACGGACTACGCAAATGGCAGCGACTCGTCACCATCAAGCTCGATTTGCCGAACCCTGTGACCGATTTGCGATTCTCGCCGATCTCGTTAATTGATTCGCATCAGCTTGCGATCGCCGCTGGAGACGTTCACATTTTCTGCATCAAGGTCTGAAACGCGTTGCGTCGAAAATCCGACTGTCCGAGATTGTAGGTGGCGAAGCGCGCTGTTCTCGAAGACGAGGATAGTAATCCGGTTGGCGAGAATCCGGTGTTCTGCAACGAATACTGCACTCAGCGAGTCGCGGTGCTCGGCGATGCGCACAAAGCCTGGCGAGTCAAATATAATATTACGGGATCTGTTCTAACATCGACAAGCTTTGATGGAACCGTTCGCTCTTGGAAATGTGAGTTTCAGTTGAAAATTGTCTTTAAACGAGATTTTTCAACAAATATTCTAAACTCGAAAATTTGTCCATACATTTCAATTCTTTCAAATATGCTCTTTCATATTATGATGGTGATTAACTCTTAACAAGAATTTTTTCCACACAAGACCCAATATGGAAATTGAAATAAAAGAAATGGCGATGTTGGGTAAATTCAAAAGATTTAAGACGAAATCTCGGTACGCGGTGTGCGCCTTTAAATTTTGCGCGACGTCGACAATACGACATTTAAAGGCCCAGCGGTATAACACATAATCGGTGTACCAGATAATTTGAATCAATTTTCGCAAAACTAGTCGAACAACCTTCATTTGTATAATAATAATTGCAGCACTATTCATCAATGAGTGGGTCAAAATGTCGGATATGTCATCTGAGGATTACCTCCGAATTCCTGGCGAGGATGACGAGGAACAAGGCGAGAAGCCGCCGGTTGAAACCGAGTACATGACCGAACGGCTCTCCGATCAAATTGCCAGAACATGCTTCTAACGTTTCCAGTTTTTTTTTACGTGTAATTGAATGATTTTGGTATTTTTTTTTATATTGAAAATTGACAATAACATTTCATCGGATGATTATTATCTTCTTTTTTTGGATCGGGGTGTTCAAAGACCCTCTCACGATATTATCGCACGTTTTTTCCCGCCGTCTCGTTTCTCTTCGCCCTCCCATCGCGAGATTATTTCGAGGTCATTTCTGTTCGAAAGAGAAGTGCATTCGTGTGCATTCGGTCGACATGGATGCGCGCGAGAACCTCCAAATATTCTTTTTTGGGTGTTTGTCACCATGGCGACCATTTTTTTGGCAGCGTTTTGCTCGTTTTAAAACTGTTGTTTGATCTTGTTAAATAATGTTTGATTTTTTGCACATGTGCTGTCGAATTTTTGAAAATCATGTGCCGTCTTGCGACGAATGTCGTCATTTTCTCAAAAATAATAAAATTGATTCACAAAAATTTCAGTTTTACCCAAAAAAAATTGCGTAAATTCCAGCTACCAAGAATTGTTTTTTTTTCCTTTTGCGCTTCCCCTCGTTCTCAATTTGTGAAATTCATAAATTGGTTGCAGAGAATGACATTGGGTTGCGAGATTCTTGACAAGAAGGTCGCCGATTGGCTCGCGTGGGATCGCAATGAGACGACGTTGGCGGAGATCAAGTCGCTGGTGGCGGCCAACGACGTCGCCGGCATCAAAGCGCGAATGAGCACGCGGCTCGTGTTCGGCACCGCCGGCGTTCGCGCGCCAATGCAGGCCGGATTCGGACGGCTCAATGATTTGACGATTATCCAGATCACGCACGGATTCGCCCGTCACATGCTCAACGTGTACGGTGAGCCGAAGAAGGGCGTCGCGATCGGATTCGACGGCCGACACAACAGCAAGCGATTCGCCGAATTGGCCGCCAACGTGTTCATCCGCAACAACATTCCAGTGTATTTGTTCAGCGAGGTCTCGCCGACGCCAGTTGTGGTACTGAATTCAGCGTGTGTCGCCAGTGTTCAAAGCATTTCTCGATTTTAGTCGTGGGCAACAATTCATCTGAAATGCGATGCCGGACTCATCATCACCGCCTCGCACAATCCGAAAGAGGATAATGGCTACAAGGCGTATTGGAGCAATGGAGCGCAGGTGATCTCAATCATTAAAGGCGCATTATCAACTACTTTTGTTTCTCGCTTCTTTTTTTTTGATACTCTGACCCTTTAAAGCGTCGTTTATCAGAAAATCATAAAAATGATAAGCGAACCTCGAATTGTTTGCAGATTATTGGACCGCATGACGATGAGATTGTGAGAATCAAAGAGGCCGAGCCGCAGCCGAGAGAGGAATATTGGGACATCTCGCAACTCCGCGCGTCGCCGTTGTTCCATTCGGCTGACGTCGCGATTGAGCCCTACTTTGAGACAGAGAAATCGCTCAATTTCCACAAGTAGCCCAATGTTGGCTGGTATTTTCCGCACACGTTTGAACAATTTCAGAGAAATCAATCAGAAGTGTACCCTCAAATTCACCTATTCGGCGTTTCATGGCATCGGTTATCATTACACGAAGCGAATGTTCAAAGAGTTTGGATTTCCCGAGTCGAACTTCATCTCGGTTGCTGAGCAGCAAGAGCCGAATCCCGATTTTCCGACGATCCCATTCCCGAATCCAGAGGAGGGATTGAAGGTGTTGACGCATTCGCTGAACACGGCTGAACATCATGGATCGACTGTCGTGCTTGCGAATGATCCTGACGCCGATCGAATTCAGCTGGCTGAGAAGCAGCCAAAGTAAACGAATCAACAATAATCGACATTTTAAGCATACCGAATTTCAGTGGCGAATGGCGTGTGTTCACTGGTAATGAGATGGGAGCACTGATGACGTGGTGGATTTGGACGAATTGGCGTCAGATGAATCCGACAGCGGACCCATCGAAAGTCTACATTCTCAATAGCGCCGTCTCGTCGCAAATCGTGAAAACGATCGCTGACGCCGAGGGCTTCAAGAATGAGACGACGCTCACCGGATTCAAATGGATGGGAAATAAGGCTGAGGAGCTTCGCGCTGCCGGCAATCAGGTGATTCTTGCCTGGGAGGAATCGATTGGCTACATGCCGGGGCATACGATGGACAAGGATGGCGTCAGCGCGGCGGCGATCTATGCGGAAATCGCCGCATTCCTTCAAACACATGGAAGAACACTTCAGGAGCAGCTCTATGCTCTGTATAATAAGTGAGTAGAGGCTAGAATCAAAATCGAATCCGATAGAGAATCTTTAGGTATGGATTCCATATCGTCCGATCGACTTATTGGTTTGTGCCGAAGCCGGAAGTCACCAAAGAGTTGTTCGCCACTCTACGCAAGGATTTGAAGTTCCCGACGATGATCGGAAAGAACGAGGTGGCGACGGTGCGCGATTTGACGATTGGCTACGACAACTCGAAGCCGGATAATAAGCCGGTATTCAAAGATTCGATGGCGTGTAGACGAATCGAATTGTCTTCCAGGTTCTTCCGTTGTCGACGTCTTCCGAAATGGTCACATTCTTCTTGAAGAATGGTAGCATTACGACGCTTCGTGCTTCTGGAACTGAGCCCAAGATCAAGTACTACATTGAGTTGATCACTCCGCCGGGAAAAACACAAAAGTACCACTTTAAAAGCAAACGTTTCGAAACAATTTTCCAATTTTTAGTGATCTGGAGAGCGTTATCAGCGAGATGGATCAACTTGAGAAGGACGTCGTCGCCACTTTGCTCCGTCCTGAGCAATTCGGATTGATTCCACGGAAATAGACAGTATTATTAAAGCATCGGTCCCAACTAGCCCGGCATTCCGCAATTGTGATAAGTACCCATTCGATCAGTCGATGTTATCATTATTATTATCATTATTATTATTGACCAATATTTTGAAATACAGTGGATTATAAGAAATCTATGTGCTAGCGGAAAATGTTTATAATTGATATGATAATTGGGATAATTATTAGCGATAATTGGGAATTTGATAGGAGGAAAACATCGTCGTAATAATCGATTTCGTGATTCGAATAGTCGAATAATTGATTCGTTGTTGGCGAAAGCGTCGTCGTCGGCCGTTTTGTCGTTTTCGCCGGAATTCGAACACTCGACGCTTTTTCTTCGACTCTGAATTTAAAGAATTTTTTTTCGTCTAAAATTCTTTCTATATACGTTGCGGATTTTGTTCGGCATTTTTTGTGCATCAAACCATCGAATGATTTTCGATCGATGTTGTTTTCAGCTTTTTGAATATCGTAAATATCTGAAATTTTTACATTAAAAAAAATCTAGATTCGATTTTTTGCTTAAATATTTCGATTAAATGATGTTTATCAGTTCTTAAAAAATTGAAATTATTCGCTGGAAGCTGCATGACTCACGTACGGCCTAGAATATTTGTCCTTAAAAATTAAGTTCGGCCACGGCCACAATTTATGGATTAAAAAATCACAATTTCGGGGAAATAAAAGAAAATCGCGACAAAGGATTATATATAATTTTGAAAATTAGCCTGTGATAGTGTGCCACACTTGAATTTTTGCTTTTTTTTAAGTGTCGACCAATTTTTCTCAGTCGCACGTCGTGCGTTTCAATTTTTCTCAATTACTTTATAATTTTATTTTTGCCAATTTTCCTTGAATCGTTAAAAAAAAGAAGTTCACCAATGTGGCGCAACTTGATATTTGGCGGAACTCGAAACTCTTCAAATTGGCGCGTATTGTTGAAAACAATTTCGACATTCTCGAAAATTTCGATGCCGATCAAATCGATCATGCGAATATCATCGTTGCCGTCGATTTTCAGAACCACATCCGAAATTTCTCGCGTGTAATACGAAAATCGCAATATATCTCTTTGTGTTGTGTTTTCCGTGATTATTGGATATCTGCAAGAAATAATTGAAGAATATGTTCATTTTTATCTCTTTCAAAAGTGAACTAAAATAGTTTAGCATTTTTTTTTCTATATAAAATCAAACAATATCAGAAAAAATAATCGATTTTCAAAAATCAATTTCAATAAATATTGTTGAGAAATGACAAATGTATCCAAGTGTCGTGGGATCCTGCGTTTTGTACGCAATGCGAGTTACCGTAATCCTCGCAGCGATTTACGGGGGACTTTTTTAAATTTCCAATTTTCATTTTTTTAGCTCAATTTTCGTATTTTCTTTCGACATTGTTTATTTAAAATCTGTACAACCCAAATTTAATTATTTATTTCGCAGAATATGCACTTTTCTATTTTTTTTTTCGCTCTAAAAATTATTTTGAAATGAAGAATATAAAAACAAGATAGTAGAAACGTGTATTAAAAGCAAAACACGAATAAATAATTTTATTAACGACAAAAAATGTTTTTTTTTAAATCTATGCTGTTTTACTAAAAAAAATCGATAAATTTCGTTTAAAAGTGAATCTTCTACAAAATAAATAATTAAATTCGGGTTCTACAGATTTTAAATGGCCCATCGCATTGCGTACAAAACGCAGGATCCCACGACACCTCGATACATTTGTCATTTCTCAACAACTCTGGTAACTCAAAACCAATCGGATCCGACAAAATTCGGCTCCGGAATCAACCTTATCCGATTAGTAATTCTACGGATAAGATTGGTTATTTGTCGAATCCGATTCGAATTGAAATATTAAAACAAAACGGATTCGAATAATTACAAATCGGATTCGAAGAAAATCTAATGGGATCCGAAAATATCCAAAAACCCAATCGGATCCGACAATTTTCCAATCTTATCCGTAGAATTTCCAATCGGATAAGGTTGATTCCGGAGCCGAATTTTTGCCGGATCCGATTGGTTTTGAATTACCAGACAATAATGAGAAATCGGTAGTGAAAACTCAGAGACTAACAATTAATCATTGCTCTGAGCAAAGAGCACACTAAACCATCAGAAACTTTTTAGCCCAATTCGATTTTTCGCGCGTTTCTACTAAAATACTCCACGAGTCATTCAAAACCAAAAACTTTGAAAAATTGAAACAAAAAATCAATTCAATGTTTATTGTCGGAGTCTGAAGGGAGGTGAGGGCCTTCAAATTCGCGAAATCAGTGTAGATTTAAATTTATCGTTAAATGCACGTACACTATAATGCAATGTACGCAATGTCGCGTACTTTTCGCTACACCGAGGCGCATTGGCACATAGCCAATTCATTTTTTAAAATTTTTTTTTAAATTTTTTTTTGTAAATTAATCTGTTTCGAATTATTCCAAAATTTCAATCGAATACGATTTCAAAATTGAGAATGAGAAATAATCGAAGATTTTTGAATCGAAACCAAGATTTAAAATCGAATTTAAGTGTTTTCTTAATTGAATTTGAATTATTTTTCAATCGAAACAGGTTAATTTATATTTGATTTTTCTTCGAATCCGATTGATTTTCATTCATCTGAGACCCAAAAAAAAAGAATCACACATTTTTTAGGGAGGATCTCAATTTGCCACCACACCGTTCTCTTTGACCCTTACATTCCACTCCGCATGACATTACAAGTTCGATAATCGTCTTCTGCACCACGATAGCATATCGCGCCTCCTGCCAATAAATTGCCTTGGAATTCAAACGAGCTTATAGATTACCATTGATAGACGGAAAATCGCTCGAAGTAATTAGCAAGATAATTATGAGTTTTGTCATTATTAAATTATAAATACTAATTAATTGGTGGACAATTTTCTCACGCACAATCGTATTTCAATGTCTTCATTTCTTTCCAATTTTTAAATTATATTTTTTGCTTCTCCTCCTTCGATTCATATATATTCAAAACTAGAAATTATCGCTCTAATTAATGCGCTGCTAAATGGTGCAATTGTCCGCAGGTCCATAATTCAGAAGCCGTTGCTCATTCGGAAATAAAGATACACAAATTGTCGTTTATTAAGTCAAAAAATATAACACAAAATGCACCACAGACAAGAAATAAATTACCCATTCTCAATAAATAGTTGAATAAAAATGTGGGAGAAACAACGTATCACAAGAATTACATGCATTCGAGATTGTTCTATTTTTTTCGCAGAAAATGTGACAAAATTACAATATATACACAAAAATGACAGGTTGAATTCGTGTTTCCGGTTATCCGAAGGTTTTTCCGATTTCGACGAGCGCACTATAGGTTCCGGTGGTGAATCCGATGGTCGCGAACGCAAGAAGAAACGCGTTTTTGAGCCACATGCTGCTCGACAATGTGCTTTTCGCATAGGCGGTCTAAACGAAAACTCGGCATATTTGAAACATTTCGAATGATTTTCCCCCAAACCAATAGTTCGATGCACGGCGGAAACAACAACGCCATCGAGGCGCCGGAGAACGCGCCGATCAGCGAGATGAACAACGCCAAATGCGGAATGAGCTCAGCAACGGCGCCTAGAAAAAATTGCAGCGAAGATTGCATGAATTAGAAAGTTGAGCGCAACATACATGTGAGGAAAACACCGAGATAGCGACTCGCGTAGATGTAGAATGTCTGCTTATGAACAGGAATCTGAATCAAGTAGCTTGATGAAAATCATCTGCGGAGAATTTCTATTTTCTTTAATTCAAAATTGTGGAGAAAAAAAGCGGAAAAATCACTAGTTTCTAAAATTTTCCACAAATTCCAAGCAAAATTTCAAACACCAAAATTTTTTGGAGAAAAAATAGATTATAAAACAATTATTCCATTTAAAGAAAACGTTTTTTTTAATAAACCCCCAATCTTGTTTGAATTATAAATTTTTTTTAAAATTTCCATATTTGTGTTTTCCATTTCATTCCCAAATTCGTCATGTACCTTTCTTGTAATCCATTTCTCAACTCTTTCCATCGGCACATAAAACTGAAGCGGATATGAGATCATAATGCACGCGACGAACATCAATTTGATGGTCTGATAGAATCTGCAAATCGCATTTCAATGCAAAAGCAAGTCCTCGACGAGGGACGAAACCAATTCAAACCATCAAAGATCAAACAATCATTTATGTCGCCTCCTGCGCTCTCTCTCTCTCTCACTCCATCTTTTTGTTTTAAACAAAATTATGAGGAACTAACGGTGTCATTGGCAAATTGAGCGTCGCCGTGTCTTTGACCTCATCGCCAAGCGACAAGTAGCCGTAGAAGCCGGTCACTGAAAATATGGCGAGCACGACGAGGCACGATGAGTTCAGAACACCATTCCAGGCGATGAACGACGTCGGCGAAGCCATTCGATTTTCGATTGGCATTATCTGAACATTTCGTTGTGCAATTTTTGACAAATATGTATATTAGTACCACAGCGACGCCTTCAAACGCAAACATGACAGTTCCGAAGAATAGCGGCAAATCGGCCAATTTTCCGAACCATGGTAGAGAGGAAACCGGACGCAAATCTGAAAAATGTTCGTCTCAAAATCATACAAGCTGAAAATCGAGACCGGAGACGAAGTAGATGAGAACAATGGCGACGGCAATCACGTACACCACATTCGCCGCCATTGCGAATGGCGCCAAAATCGAGAGGCGACGAATCGAGCAGACGGCGAGCATTGGAATGAGAAGGAGAAGCATCCAGACAGCTTTGGACAAATGAAGAGAAGTATTATTGTTAAAAAACTGGAAAGAGTTGTGGATTATTGTGGAAAGAAATGGATGGGAGAAAAAATTACGTCTTCCAAATTATCGGCCATAAATACAAAATATACACAACAGAATCCGAGTTGTGAAATGAACATATTCACATTGACGAGTTGTCTGAAAACAAAAATCAACATTTCTCGATTGTCTTGTTGAGTACTTGAAGAAGTAGCCTCGTCGTCGAATCCATGGCGGTCCCATTTCAACGGCACCGCGCATGATGTTCGCGTAATCGATGAGATCGCGTCCATTTCTGCAATTATGATGAGCGCGATTTTTGTTGAATTCCACAATAATTTTGCGATTACGAGCCTGTTGCACACAAAATGCGCGGCGAACACCACTTGACGCATGCAGTAGAGGCAGACGAGACAGATAACGATGGTGAGGAATAGGCCGAGCTGCAATAATTATACAATTCCAGTATTGATTCGTCAAAAAAAATGAGTTCTTACGAATAATCCCGAATGTTTAAAAGCTAGCGGTAGAGATAATAGTCCTGTTCCGAGCATGGCTTTCACCATATGGATAAATGCTTGATCCGGTGTCAATGAGTTTTCCGTCAACACTCTGTCCTGAAACAGCGAGGTATCTTCGGCTGGAAGATTTCTCGCTGGTCGCGAAGCTCCGGTTTCTTCCCCAGGCTGCTCAGGCTCATTCTCAAACTCTTGATAGCCATCACGAGCCGGATTCGCCATTTTTCCTGAATGTTTTTCGTTTTCACTGCGCTTTACCACAACTAGAAGTAATTCAAAGAAATTGAAAAAATTCGCGACAATGCTATAAATGAGTCATCAATGGCAAATTTGTGGCAAACAATAGTGAAAATATAAACATTAATCGTCGGAAAATTGATGTCTGAGCGACTAGTCCGCAATTGTCGTCAATTGAAGTGTTTGCGGACATAATGCAAGCGCCCCGTTTGAATTCCAATTTTTATCATTCCTAATTTTGCAAATGTCATTTTTTTTAAAAATAATTTTCGTAAAATTAAAGATTTAATTTTCGCATATTTATCAATGGAAATATTATCGTATTCCGCGTTTTCTACTTGAGAATTTTAAGAAAAATTGTCTAATACCCAAAAATTAAATTTTTATGATTTTTCTTTCGAATTAATAACTTAATTGAAGTATTTCGTTTTCAAAAACTAAATTGACTTTTAAATGTTTCTTTTTACTCGTTTTCATCTTTAAAACTTTATTTTCAGTTATTTCTTCAAATTTCTTCCGAACCAGCAAGTATTTTCCTTGTCTGTCATTCTTGAAGCGAAATGATGAATATAGTAAAAGGTCTGAAGAAAATCCGGAGAATTGCCGGCAATCTTACAGAAATTTCTTGTAAGTTTGCAAAAATACTGCTGCAAATAAAATTATTGCCAATTATACTGCGAATCTTTGAAATCTTGAAAACGTTTCGTTTAATGTTTGGCAAACATTCAATAATAATTTGTTCAGAGTATTAATTTTCCGGAGATTCTGTAAATCTGATAAGAATTTAGATTCTGATCGCTTCAATTTATTTATTGCTCAAAATATTTTTTAAAAAATACTAATTTTTTACAGAAATGAAGGAATGAAAAGAAGAGTGAATAAAATACAAAATCATATGTATATTAATATAAGTACATAATAAAGACATTCTCAATCATCCAAAACCACAAGATAATCATTAAAAGTGCAATAAAGAGCCCGTTCGCTAACAAATGTTGCGCCATACAAAAGATTCTTGCCGGCGTCACGATTTTGCCGAATAATTTTGAGATCCTTGTCGAGAACCGCATAACCACCATACATACACGCCGCTATATAATCGCCGTTTTCACGTTTCTCGATATTCCAGACGCCACCGCCGAGCTGTAAAGAAAATGTCAGGGATTCAAACGCAAATTGCTGAAATTTGACGCAAAACATGCACCTTTAAACACCTTTCATTTTTATATCGGAAAATGTCGAGTCATTAGGACGAATTCTGAAGGCGATTTCCTCCTAATGACGGCATCCTTTGATATTCTCAAATTTCGAAAAACCTTTAATCACCTTTTCATCGATAACCGCCGATTTCAAATTCCTTCTATCGATGAGTCGAACGTGTTCGTCATAGCTTCCAGTTAGTATCAGATTCTCATCAGATTCTTGGAAATTTACAAAAACGACGCCAGCATCGAACAGTTTGCATTGTCCAATCGACGTTTTAGTTCGACAATCCCATATTCTGAAAATAAAACATTGAATTGCTGATCGAGATTCGAAAATGTTCGACTTCATTGTCGCATCTTCTCCGCCAGTCGCCAACAAATTTCCAGATTTCTCTATCGCGCAAGACCAGACTTCGCAACCAGTATTGTCCATATATGGAAGGGTGTGCGCCAACCAACTAGACACGATCATTGCGGTGTTCAAGTCAACAATATAAGCGAAACCCTAAAGTTTTTTTTAAATTATGGGAAATCTGGATAAAATATTATTTGCGATGATCTTTTCGTATTTTATATAACGAGTTCTTACGAAAACAAAAAAAACTTGACTAAACACCATCTCGTCAATATTTCGTTGGTTCAAATTTCATTTGTATACCTTATTATCCGAAGTGGCCGTTAGAGAAGAATCTGATACAGCGACGTCAAGGAGCATATTCGAAGAGACTGGAATTGAATCATCGGAAATTGGTTCTGAATATTCACAAATTACAAAATTCCGTTAAAAAATGTAACCTTTGAATTTCTGAACTACTAGATTTCCATCAGTCAACGCTGCAATTATTGTCGATGGATTCCGGAATTCAAATCGAAAAACGCCAGCGGACGTCAGAATTTCTTGCTCGAGCGAGATTCCATCGTTCTCAACGGCGATTATGCACAGCGAACCCGAACGGGAATCGTTTTCTTGATCGAGTAGGTAGGTGGAAACGATGGCATGATTCGGATCATTGGGAACATTGCGAGCAAACGCAGGCCGAGAATTTAATTTAATGGTTGAGGATGATGTCGAACTTGTGCCGCCCATGTTTATTGCGGTTTTGGTGTTGATGAGGGTGTCGGTGTACTCTGTTTGGCGGCTTCTGCTGCCTGTTGTTGACGTTGCTTCTCAATCGCAATGTCCGCCTTTTTCTTGTCGTTTTCGGCGTCGACGAGGCAGCCCCTGAACAAATATTTGAAATAAACCAATAATTTTCCATAAAAGTAGCAATTTTACCTGACGAGAACTCGCGCGTTGATTATGTTTCGTTTCAATCGATCGGTGGTGATTTTATTGAATGTGTACGAAGCGCGAAGGTCTCTTCCAATCTCCTCGATGATATTCAAAAGTTGTTGATAATTAGGTGTCCCTGGCTGCAAAATTAATCATTTTGATACGAAATTTAAAAAAAACGCAAAAATTTGTATTACCTGATACGTCGGAAGATTGGCGAGAACGTTTGCAAGCTCCTCGCTCATTAAGCTGAAAATTAACTAGATTAATTAAAAGATAAAAAAGTAAATGAAACGGAATTATTGAGAAATGAAATAAACAATTTCGAAAAGCACAGGACTACTCTCGAGAACACGCATCTACGCCAATATTAATGCGTCCATTTTTGTGCTAAAAGCGTTCTCGTGCACAACATATGCGCCAATGGTCTACGCACTAGCACATATTTCGTGTAAATCAAAGCAAACAATAAGTTGTCGATGGCCTAAAAAATTATGTGATTGGCGTTAGACGAGCGAATGTTCTGGAATTTTACAAATAACATTAAAGGAATCAATTAGAAATAATAACATATTGTTGTGATTTTTTTCAAGGTCTCATATTACGATGAAACCTTGAAATCGAGCTCCAATAAAACTTGATGGCTGGGGAATCGGGTAAACAAATGAAGGACGATACAAAAGAATTGAGCTACTGTGCTCATTATGCAAATACGCATGGGTCGAGCGGCTAATCCGCGGCCACTCTTCGGACACTCGGTTTTCATTCTACACTAATGACTAATCACCAGCCGCAAGTCGCTTTGTTCATAAAGTTTATTCTTTTTTTTCTTAAGTATTTCCACATTTTCCCCCTTTTCAATGGAAATTGCTCAAAGTTTATAAAGGCGGTTGTGAACAATGTCAACAAACTTACCACAACGAGTCGTACTTCACCGTTTTTTCTTCCTATTGATCCGTTTACACGAGCATATTCAGGAATGGATGATCAGAAATCTATTGACGAGGAACAAAAAGAAAACGATACAGGCTATTATACTCCAAAAAACATCTTGAACCCAGCCATGTTTAGGTAGAACCGATGAAATAAGTTTTGTTTATAGAACACGTTTAGGTTGTCCGAAATAACCAAAGCACTACACGAAGTGAACAACGAAATCGAGAAGGATAATGCAGAACGAATGTACATATTGAATAATGTAGAGCACGATCATTTTCACGATGACATTGCCCCTCAGCCACTTTCACCAATCCCTCAACCCATAAAGGAATCTAGTAACTTTGACGATCTGGATAAAATTTTGTTCTTCCTTCTTTTACTTTTCATTGGCATATTTCTTCTCATTCTTGTTTTATCCTGGTCATAATTTTTAATGTTTTTATTTATTTTAATATAAAACGTTGTTTTATCCTGGTCATAATTTTTAATGTTTTTATTTATTTTAATATAAAACGTTGTTTTATCCTGGCCATAATTTTTAATGTTTTTATTTATTTTAATATAAAACGGCAAACAATAGTTGATAATTTATTCAAAAAATCAACGACAACATAACAATGAAGATTTACTTTTTCTTGGCAGCTCCGGCCTTCTGAGCAGACTTGGTAACCTTGCCTCCGGATCCATCGGACTTGTCAACAGACTTGATAACTCCGACAGCGACGGTTTGTCTCATGTCACGAACGGCGAAACGTCCAAGTGGAGCGTACTCGGTGAAAGCCTCAACGCACATTGGCTTGGTTGGGTGAAGCTCGACGATTCCGGCATCTCCAGACTTGAGGAACTTCGGGAAGTCCTCAACCTTCTTACCAGTACGGCGATCAACCTAAAGAATGTTGAAACTGAACATCATCTTTTAAAAAAAATTACCTTCTCCTTAAGCTCGAAGAACTTGCAGGCAATGTGAGCGGTGTGGCAATCGAGAACTGGAGTGTATCCGTTTCCGATTTGTCCTGGGTGGTTCATGATGATGACCTGGGCGTTGAAAGAACGAGCTTCTTTGGCTGGGTCGTTCTTGGAGTCGGAGCAGACGGATCCACGACGGATGTCCTTGACGGAAACGTTCTTCACGTTGAAACCAACGTTGTCTCCTGGCACGGCCTCCGGAAGAGACTCGTGATGCATTTCGACGGACTTGACTTCAGTGGTGACGTTTTGTGGGGCGAAGGTGACAACCATTCCTGGCTTGATAACTCCAGTCTCGACACGTCCGACTGGGACGGTTCCGATTCCTCCGATCTTGTAGACATCCTGGAGCGGGAGACGAAGTGGTCGGTCGGTTGGGCGCTGTGGTGGGACAATAGCGTCAAGGGCTTCGAGGAGGGTCTTCCCGGTAGCGTTTCCTTCTTTGCGCTCAATATTCCATCCCTTGAACCATGGCATGTTGGTCGATGGCTCAAGCATGTTGTCTCCGTTGAATCCAGAGATTGGGACGAAGGCAACAGTCTTTGGGTTGTATCCGATCTTCTTGATGAAGCTAGAGACTTCATTGGTGATTTCGGTGAAACGGGCCTCAGAGAATGGTGGCTCGGTGGAGTCCATCTTGTTGCAGGCAACGATAAGCTGCTTGACACCAAGAGTCTGGGCAAGAAGAGCGTGCTCACGGGTTTGTCCGTTCTTAGAGATTCCGGCTTCGAATTCTCCAGTACCGCAGGCAACGACCAAGACGGCGCAATCGGCCTGAGAAGTTCCTGTAATTTCAAAAGTCACACATTTACGCATACTTTAAAATTTACCAGTGATCATGTTCTTAATGAAATCACGATGTCCTGGGGCGTCAATGATGGTGACGTAGTACTTCGCGGTTTCGAACTTCCAGAGAGCAATATCAATAGTGATACCACGTTCACGCTCAGCCTTCAGCTTGTCGAGTACCCAAGCGTACTTGAAAGATCCCTTACCCATCTGAAATATAACTTTTTTTAAATCAGCGTTTAGTATTTATTTGAAGTACCTCCTGAGCCTCTTTCTCGAATTTTTCGATGGTTCTCTTGTCAATTCCTCCGCATTTGTAGATCAAATGACCGGTGGTGGTGGACTTTCCGGAGTCGACGTGTCCAATAACGACAATATTAATATGAGTCTTTTCCTTTCCCATGGCTGCTGCGGAGTGAGCAAAAGTTTTCCCAACTGTAAGATTTCGAATAAACGTATTGAAACTTTAGGCCAAATGAATAACAGAAAGAACATTCTACTCAATGAATATCTTCTTGGATGTAATGGTTAATGCATTGGCAAAATTCCAACATAATAATAACTAAGAAACGGAAAGAATAAAGAAATAACGAATGCACACGGAAACAAAAAGAAAAACGATCACATACCTAAACTTCAAATCACGATGGGATATTTAGGCCCAAAAACACCTGCGAATTGCGTCCCTGCACATCAAAGTATCTCGCCACGCAAATGAGTACGGTACTCATTCAAACGCTTTTGGCGGCAAAGTTTTTTCCACTTTGTCGTTTTGTTTTTGCAGGAATTTTCCCTATAAAACAATCAACTAATATAAGTAAAATGTAAAATATTATTACATTGATAAAAAATATTGTAAAATTGCGAAGTTCAGCGACGTTCAGTGATTTTACTGCGAGAATATTATTGGATCGTCTTGTTTGATTTAAATTTCTAGTTTTCTAACCTCTAACTTACTTTTAAATGACGTTTTAATTTTAATTGTTGACCTTTATTAATATAACACAATTGAAGTGAACAAGGATGGTGGAAAATATGGAAATCGATAATCAACAACATCATATAAGTGAAACGTGGACAGAAAAATAGTAATATTAAATAGAATTTGAAGTTATAATTTAATAATTCGCTTTTCAGTCGCCCAAAAACTCTACAAGATGTTGCACATCAAGAGGAAGTCGTTACAATGCTTCAGGGAGCATTAAAAGGGAAAGACGTACGATTTGTATGGTTTCTTGTGCCAATTATTTTTTTAGCTTCCACATTTATTGTTCTATGGGCCACCAGGAACAGGTAAAACATCAGCTGCGTTGGCGTTTTGTCACGAACTCTATCCAAAGAGCATTTTCAAGTAAATTATTGAAAAATTAAATGGAAAATATAAGATATTTTACTTGTTAGAGATCGCGTGTTGGAATTGAATGCGTCCGATGAACGAGGAATTGCTGTTGTTCGTCAAAAAGTCTGATTTTTATTTTTCGATTTAAATTGAGAAAATGCAGTTTCTAGATTACATTTTTCTCGAAACGCGCCATTAACTCCGCTAATAATACTGGAAACTTGAATGTGAAGGTAATTTCTATTGACAATTATAAAACACATTGTGAATTTTGAGATAGTAATTCTTGATGAAGTTGACGCTATGACAAGAGATGCTCAATCTGCTATGCGTCGAGTTATAGAAGATTGCTCCAAAACGACGAGATTCATTCTTATTTGCAATTATGTGTCTCGATTGATTGCTCCAATCGTTTCTAGATGCGCCAAGTTCCGTTTCAAGCCTTTGCCAGCAGAAATTCAAGTTGGACGGTTTGTTTATCGAATTTCTATTTCGAATGAACATTTTATTTCACAGCCTTCGTACAATTTGCGAATCAGAAGGTTCACCAATGAGCGATGAAGACTTGAAAACGGTGATGCAATCATCGGAAGGCGACCTTCGACGAGCCGTTTGTATGCTTCAATCATTAGCGCCAATTCTGCGCAATGGAGATGCCAAATCTAAAGAATGTTATCTCCGTCCAACATTTGATCATAAGATAATCAACGAGATCGTAACGACGTTACCTTCGGCCAAAGTTTCCGAGGTCATCGCAATGGTGCGCCGCGTATCGAAATCTTGCAGCGGGGTCTCGTTTTTGCGAAAGGTGACATTCGAAAAACCTGAAAACAACTTGCAAACGGTTAAATTCAGGTGTTCGATGAATTCCTCAAGGACGATCTTATCAACAATAATAATATTGTAGTGATGGGAAGATTGGTCGCGGTATGATTTGAAATTTTAAAAAAATCTGAGGAGAATTTTCACATATTCAAAAATTAAAGTTGAAATAATAAAGATTTGGACAAATTGAAAACCTATCGAATTCCAAAATTGTTTTCTAAATATTCACAAGCAGGACTAATACACTTATTCAACTTCACGAAAAATTGTATAGTTATTTTAGTGTCAAATTTATTCGTTTTTGGGTAAAACATGTCAAATATGACAATTCTGCCAACATAGATCCATGAAACGATGTTCTAATTGGCTCATATTTCAGACTTGCGAGAAACGAATTCTCGACGGCTGCGACCTTCAGAACAATCTGCTCGACTTCCTGCTCACATTACGCTCAACACTGGTCGACTAGCTCAATTATTCTTCCGGTTATTTAACAATTTCGTCCTGTGCGATAATGATCTCAATTCTAATGTTCCTCAAATGAAGCCGATGCCTAAGCGACCTCCGCAGCGGCAGCACACTATCGATTTTCTCTGCATTTTTTTTCCGGTGCAGTGTTGCGCAACCAGTTTCAACATTTCACTTTTTTTTTAGTTGTTCTCACTTGTATATATCTATAATGTTTTTGCAATAAACGGCCGAGCGCGAAGTTTCTTGAAGACGCGCAACATGGACTTATAATTACGATTGTTTGCTTTCTTTCTGGTGAGCTCATCGACTCGCGCGGTAAGCGCCAACCCCACCCACCATGTTCCGACAGAAGCATTCACCGGAGCTCTTTGATACACTGTTTATTTGTGTTTTTATTTATCAGCTTTTTCGTTTTTAGTTGAATGGAATATGGGAAATGTTGCTACCCGAAAACGCCAGCAAAATGATAGTGTATGTCGATTATGTGTTGTTTTTACCATCTCATTTTTCATTTCAGGACGATGAGCCGGCAAAAAAGCGAAGAAAGCTTTTTGAGGAGGAGCCGCATTATCAGAAAGTACGAAATTTCTTATTGCAAACAAACAATCAATTTCTCTGGTAAATCAAAACCAATCGTATCCGACAAAATTCGGCTCCGAAATTAACCTTATCCGATTGGTAATTCTACGGATAAGGTTGGTTTTTTGGCGAATCCGATTCAAATTGAAATATTAAAACAAAACGGGTTCGAATAATTACCAATCGGATAAGGTTAATTTCGGAGCCGAATTTTGTCGAATCCGATTGGTTTTGATTTACCAGAGTTGGGTATTTTGGAATTTCATTTAAGAGCGTTTTTTGAAACACAAAAATAAATTTTGTGAATTTCCAAAGATTTTCCTAACAATTCCAACACAATGAAGTTTTTTCAGGTTCGCGTCAAGGCAAAACTCGGAGTTCTTCGCCGCTGCCGACAGACGAAACGGCAAAGCTACAATGTAGAGCCGGGTTTGTTCGATTTTAGATTTCATTAAAACATAATCTTGTTCTTTTGTGTGTCTATCACCAAATAATCATCAAAAAGTGTGTCTCTCTGTGTGTGTGTTTGCCGGTGCCGCGACGGCACAAATCCGCGGCAAACATCAGATTAAGTGTGTATTTAATGGAAAAAAAAATATCATATTGTGATGATTAAATTAATCAACAAAAATTCGACACACACACTCACATGACGAAATGCAAATATTTGAAATCGGAATACTAGCAATTTTTAGGGTGAAATAGAATTTTGTTGAGAAAATAATCAAATTTCAGTTGATAGCCGCCCACCTCTTCCCAAATATGTTTTTGACGACAATTATCGAACACTGGAGAAAAAAGAGAATTCCGATGTTCCTTGGTTCGATCAGCTCTTCCTTCCCGAGTTTCCTACACATACCGCGGTCTCTGAGGACAGTTTTGTGGTAGGAGTTTTTTTGCCTTCAAGGTGTATCCATTTGGAATATCCCTTTTTTTGAGCTGGAACATCAACTTGGTCGTGGTTCATTTGGTGTAGTTTATTGTGCCAGTGCACTTCACGATGCCACACGAAAATTCGCCATCAAGATGCAGGAGAAGCGGGAGATTATTTCGAAACGAGCTGTTCAGCAGGTTAAACGAGAAGCTAGTATTCAGGTAATTTGAGATTTCGAAAAAAAAAATCATTCTTCTTTTGGTTTATTTCTCTTGTCTTAATCAGTAAAGTTATTAAATAACCAATCATTTCGAGTTCCTTTTGAAACGGGGAATCTCAATTTTTTTGCAGCGTCTTCTCTCTGCTCACCCATTTGTCGCTCGAACCTACACCACGTGGCAAAGTCGATCTCACCTGTTCTCCCTTTTACAGTACCTGCCAGGTAGTATTGGCGATCTGTTCAATGTGTGGCGACAAAGAGGCTCATTAAGCGAAGCGGCGATTAGGTTGATCGGCGCCGAACTCGCTTGCGCTATTGGTAATTGACTTTCCGGTTTTTTTTCAATAAATGAGTTTGATCGTGTTTTGCAGATTTCCTGCATAGAAATAATGTGATATATCGCGATGTGAAGCTTGAAAATGTGGTGCTTGACCAAAATGGGCATGTTTTATTGATAGATTTTGGATTGGCAAAAAAGCTTCCCAATGGAGCATCGACGAGCACGATTTGTGGAACTTTGCAGGTATTTTTGTAATTTTTAATCTACACAAATCTTAATTCATTTTTTTGCAGTACATGTCGCCCGATGTCGCTTCGGGACACCCATATGGTCATTATGTGGATTGGTGGTCCCTTGGTGTGCTTCTCCATATTTTGCTTACCGGAATTTACCCATATCCGAATTCGGAAGTGACACATCATAAAGATTTAAAGTGAGAAAGTTTATTCCGACTTATTTTTTCATTTTATTGTTTTTTTTCTACAGGTTTATTGATTACAGTACACCATTAGGATGTTCTAGAGAGTTTGCCAATTTGATGGATAGGGTAAATTTCATGTTTAACCGATTTTCTTCACGAAAAAGCTTCAGATGCTCGCTGTTTCTACCCATCATCGTTTGTGCTCATTCACTGTACTTCATGCTCATCCATTCTTCGGTGACATTGATTTCGAAAAGCTTGAGCAGAAAGGCTACACGCCAATCGCAGAAATGGTGAGCGGCGAGTACGACGAGTCGCTAACCTATCAGAAAATAAACGACGAACTTGATGATTCTCTCTTCAAAGAGAATTACGATGTATGTTATCGAAACAATTGAGATAAAATCGAAGTCTTTGTTACAGTTTGATCGTTTCGATTACTTCAACGATCGATTCTAATCAGAAGAAACCCCAACACACACACACACACATTTGACCGCATCGTCTCTTCACTTCTCGTCGTGTTTATAGTAGACCATAAAATTGGGAGTGAATAATAAAAATTTATAGTGTGATACGTTGCAACATGTGATATTACCACCCTCCTGTGTTCTTCATTTCGCTCAAAATTTTCACAATTTTCTTGCTAATCTATATTGTTGGTACCGGGTTGTATAAGCGCTATCAGTTTATAAATATTATTTTTTTTGTTTTGCTGAAAGCAATAAAAAATAGTCAATGTGTGGTTTTTGTCTTCCAACGTATAGAATCGTCAATATAATTAAGTAAATTGTCCGAATTCCATTCTTCGGTATTCTAATTTTTTAATAGAAAAAATTGATTGAAAATTTCTGCCTTTCAATTAAAAATTTCAATTTTTAGGCCAAATTCAAAAATTCGATGTTCAATGAAACAAAGTTCGGTCTATTTTCGTCTCAAGGCCATCTCGTAAAATTGCATGCGCCTTCAATATACTGTAGGAATTTGGATTTTAAATCGGAACATTTGTTTTCTCTTTTCTTCTTTGATTTCTTTCAATTATCTTTTCTTTGTTGTTTTTTGCATTTCATTCTCAGTGACCTTTTTGCCGAAATTCTTTTCCAATTTTTTGTCGAAAAGGAATAGGTTCGCATTTTTTTTCGGAGCCATGGCGATTTTTCAAGGCTTAATGTGGCAGTAACGTCAAGAGAAGCCGTTTCGCGATGCCCTCAGCAACGAAAAAAAATGTGAAATTAGATTCGTACCAAATTTTCTCAACATTTTCCAGGGAAATGGATTTTGGAACGTGCGTGCGTGTGCGCGGCCTCAAAATTAGCATTTTGCGGATCAATTACAGCCATTCGGCCGTCTGCGTCTCTTCACCACCAAGTCATTCTCTCGTCATCTTCTTCTCCCTCGTACGCCACCAAGCATATGTTGGCGCAACGACACAGCTGGCCGGCTGCCAACCCTAAAGGTCACATCGATCAAAGCCGCGTCGCATATACGCTCCGCTCGTCAACCATCTTCATCTCTTTCGTGTTTTTTTTTTTCAACTGCAGAGAATCCATTGGACAACGATGTTTATTTATTTGTCCGCCTTCTACTAATTTATTTATTTGTTGTTTGCTTATGAGTGTTCGCGGTTTTTCTCTCCTCTCATCTTCTCATCACTTATCGCCTAATTGGATTACCATTGATAACAATTTTGAAATTCGTTTTTTAGATGGTGGGTACCGTAGCCACACCAACCACACTAAGCGAGCTGCTCGAAGAGACGTTGAAAATAAGCGAGCAGACACTAGAAGACAATGATAATCAAAAGTAAGCGTGTTTTTAAATCGATTTTTGTACTATGATGGCGTCGTTTTGCAGAAAACAGGCTATTAGTTGTCATCCGATGCGACAAGCACTTTTCGAAGTTTTTTGCGAGACCAAAGAAAAAACGGCGCTATCAATTCGAAGCAGCGTCGATGAAGCCCCCGATGATCCGCAATTGATGAGACTGGATAACATGCTGGTGAGAGAATTGTCAACACAGTGTGACGCAAATTTGAATTGACTAGTTTCGCGCCAAATTTTTTTTTCAAAATTTGAACGGTATTATTGTTTGTGTCTGTAGAAAACCACCAGAAATTATTTGGAGAGAATTTCTATTATTAAATTTAGAAAAATATTTTGTTTGAAATGTTTCTTTAATTGTTCTCGTCAGGTCGCTGAAGGCGTCGCTGGACCGGAAAAGGGAGGATCGTTGGGAAGTGAGGCTAGCGGTGGCGATCAGGCTGATTATCGACAGAAGCTGCACCAAATCCGCGTTGTCTATAACGACGAGCTTCGGAAGTATGAAGAAGCTTGTGCGGAATTCACACAGCATGTCCGGTCACTGCTGAAGGATCAATCGGTCGTGCGGCCTATCGGACACAAGGAAATCGAGCGGATGGTGTTCATCATCCAGAAGAAGTTCAGCGGTATACAAGTTCAGTTAAAGCAGTCAACATGTGAAGCTGTAATGATTCTTCGCAGCAGATTCCTTGATGCTAGGTTACATTTTTTTTTTCGTCATATTTTCAACAATAACTCATGTTCTGAATTTTAGGAGGAAGAGACGCAACTTCTCCAAGCAGGCCACAGAAGTTCTGAATGAGTATTTCTACTCGCACTTGTCCAATCCTTATCCCTCAGAGGAAGCAAAGGAAGAGCTCGCTAGGCAGTGCAATATTACGGTGTCACAGGTGCAAACACTATTATTCAATAAAAAAATTGTAAAATGTAAATTTATTAGGTGTCGAATTGGTTTGGAAACAAGCGAATTCGCTACAAGAAGAATATCGCGAAGGCACAGGAAGAAGCTAACATGTATGCAGCTAAGAAGGCGGCTCATGGAGCTCTTGGTAGGATTTTCCGAAATTTTCGTTTATTGCATTTATTATTTTTGTAGGCATGGGTACATCTTATGGTCTGATTCCTGGCGCGCCTGGAGGATTATTAAACCCGTATCCAGCAATGCTTCCTGGACAGGATTTAACGCATATGGCTATGCCGCCATTCGATCTCAGCGCTTATAATCCGCAATTGGTGAGTTTTTTTTTGTCTGAAAGAATGGTGAAAAGAAGGAAAACTTGATAATTTTGTTGAAAACGAAGCAAATAAATCGCCAATATAGGTTTTTGCAAAAATATAAAAATTTGATTTTTTTTTTCTATTCAAAAAGGAAATTTGTAAAAAAAAAAGAAAATTTATGATTCTTGTATTCTTTGAAGTGAATTTCAAACTGACATTCCATATTCTAGTCGTTGTTTTTTTTTTTGGATCTTTCTTTCCGAATTTTTCTTTTTTTTTTTGCTGTGGTAATGAAAACCGAAATTAAAATTCATGTGGATTCTCTGCAAATGTGAAAAGAGCTAAGAATGGTTTAAAAGTTGATGAAAATGAGTCGAACTATGGAAATATCTAATTTTCATCAATTTAAAACCATTTTTTCTTCTTTTCCCAGTTGCAGTGTGGTCTCGAACCATTTTTAAAGAATTTCCGATTTAGATTGTTTAAAATCTATTCAGATTAAATTTTTTGAATTAACTAAAATCAATAATTGTCGGTGTCGCACGGATGCAGAAAATTGACTAAATGGCGAAAAAAAAATATCTCCGCCGTCTTGGTGTAAAGCTAAAAGTGTAGATTTACTGGCTAAGCCTAAGGATAGGTTAAAGGCGCACACCGCACATCAAGAAAATAGTTTAAAAAATTAAAGTGCACCGATTTACGGTGATTTCGAATCGCAGGATGTCCGAAGAACTATGGACGCGCAAATTCCCACAATTTAAATTCAAATTAGCATTACCGCCTGGAAAAAAATACGATGATCCACAATTAGTCAAGTTTTCGTTTTCCTGCGATTGTAATAGTCTTCATTTTTTGTTTTTCTTTGAATTTAAATTATTTGATAGACTTTTTTTTTATAAGAACGCCCGAAAAAATTCGAGAAAAGAAAAATAATACGAAAAAGTGCAATTTCAGCGTGAAATTATAACAAACAAGCATGAAAACTATCAATTTTCAAAAAAATATTACGATTTATCTTCTTCCAGATGGCACAATATCAAAACCAGATGGGCGGTGGCGATGGCGAGCAGAAGCCTTGAAGAACGGATGACCGGACGAAAAACTCATCGAAGCTACTTAACTGATTCACTTGTACTCACTCATCCGCTCCAATTGCCTTTGACCCCTTGCCAATGTATTATTCACTAATTACTCACCTAACACAATTCCCAAAAACCCAAAAAATAGAAACACTGATGATGACGCTGCTGACAATAATTTCAAAACCCGATCTCGGAACGATTTTGTATTTGTTTTTTTGTGTGTATTAATGAGCTCTATTCTTCATGTTTTATTCCATGTTTCATTCTTTCAAACTCATTTTTTTTTGTAATATTTTTTAACTAATTTTTTTTCCGTGCGAACAACGATGATTGTTAGAATTCTTCGAGTTCTTCCACATTGCGCTCTTTTGTTGAGAACACGCGAGAAGTGTCAGGAATAAACGGATTCCAGAGTGTGCTTTTCTCGGAGACGAGCACCCGGAAAATCTGGAATCATTTCCGTTTGACGGTCCATTTGGAATTTCATTTTTTTAAATTACCGCTCTTTGTGGTCCTCTATAGTGCACACAGTGGTTCTCTTGAAGGGTATGCGAGTTGATTTCGAATCTCGAGCAATTTGATGTTCCCGCCAGGACCCGAAGATCGTACAGTACTCCGTAGACGACTTGTCCATGGCCGGAGAGCACTTTGATCGGGACCCACATCATTTCAGTCTCGATTCTCTCGTTCACGTCTTCCTCGAAGCCCTTCCATGCCAATCGCTGCAAGACCCTTGCCTACAGTAGCCCTTAGTCGAAGTTTGCAGTTACCGTAGCCAAGCGGGAGCTGAGATCGAGTGTCCCCTCGTGCCAGGTCTCGCCGTTGTCGGGGATTGCGTCGACGCTTGGAAGCACCTCGAATTGTGGGGCCGAACGGGCGACCTGAAACGAGAGAGATGGTCTCGAAGCGAATTCAAAGGAGCGGTCCCCACGAAGCGATTGGTGATTGGAGGCGTCGACATCGAGCCGCTTCTGGAATTTGGCTGTGTCGAGAGGGTTCTAGAATGTTGGTGGTCGTCTTACCTCAACGGCGCGATTCCGAATTCGTGCGTTCTCCTCTTGAGCTGACAATTCGATGTGCGAATGATCATCACGAGGACCATTAGAATTTCCAGCCGCATTATTATTTTAACTGCAATCGTGGAAAAAAATGGAAAAGAGGAAGGCGAAAATTGAGACAATAACACCAATTTGAATTGTAATAGATTTCCAGAAGAATGGACGCTTTATTTATAGATTTCCAGAAGAATGGACGCTTTATTTATAGGCAGGAACCAAAAAAAAAAACAGCATCGCAGGTTTTCATTGTGATTGTAATGATAGGGACATATATGGCAATTGATTGCAAAAATGAGAATTGCTGGAAAATTTTAGCGGGAGAGCACTTTTATCGATCATTCTGATGGTCCGGCGTTAATTAAAAAAAAAATTGTGGACATTGTCATTTTTAGGCTCAAAATAGACAATTTTAGTTTTAAAATAGTCATTTTTCGACTTTAAAAATAACCATTTTTGGATTCGAAGTAGCCATTTTTCTTCTAAATTTTCGAAAAATAAATTTTTAGATTCAAAATAGTTATTTTTGGAGTATCGTCGATTAAGAGGGGCGTTGCTTACTATTCAAATTTTGGCCATATATTCTTAAATCATTTTCGATTTAATCTAGTATGAAATGCATTGGAAATTACAGTATATCAAAGGCGCATGCGAAAATTTGTTTATTTCGTGCTAAGATCAAATTTGTCAAATTTGTAAATAGCGATTTTTAGGGATAAAATAGCTATATTTTAAATCAAAACATTCAAAAAACGCGATTTTTCAAATTTCGATAGATTTTTAAAAATTAAAAATTCGAAAATTCTTGTAAGAATTTTGCGAATAATTTTTGTCAAATTGTAGTAGCCGATTTGATATTTTTGCGGATCCAAAATGGTTTTGAGTGGTTCAAAAAAGAAATTTGGTACGATTTGATTGTCTAAAACGATCAAAAATGATGAGGCCGTTCGATTTTTGCCACTTTTATATGGATTTTTGACAGAAATCCGATAAATTTTGAACATTACGTCTAATTAAGATGGATACGCACGACTTCCGAAAATTGTGGCAACCCGAAAAAAATTTAATTCCAAAACTCGTTTCTTTCGCTTTTTGTTTGTAGTAGAATTCGATAAGTGCAACAAATCGGTCCGCTTTTTTTTCTTTCTCTTCTGAATTATCGCGAAAACTTGACGACGCCATAAAAATCGTGACACGAAATGGTGTTTTGATGAAGCATAAAATATAGGGAAAAAAAAAATACGGAGGCCCACGTTTTTTTTTTGACGATAATGATGCTTACAAGACGCTTATTCTATACATTGCTACTATTCACGTATTTTCTAGCACTTACAGGTGAAAATCGAGAGAGAGGGTCCCGAGAGTTTTTTCGGGCTGAAAAATGCGAATTTTCAGGAATCGTTTGGTTCTCGAAGAAAACTCGAACAATTCACGAACGAATGGCGACGACTCGACAAGTAGGCGCAAATCGACGTGTCCACTTGAAATTCGTATTTTGTAGGAATCGCCGACATTGCGAATTTTCATGTACGGCACGAAGTACGGCCAAATGGGAAATGTGTTCTTTGAACTCGCTGCCCTATTGGGAATCGCCGACACGTTGGGCAGAGTGCCGGTGATCGATTCGAATGATCTACTGGCATGGGATGCGTTGTATGATTATACCGGAAATCGATTTCCGCGATTATTGGAACAATTCAATGCGCTTCATGTGCCGGTACAAAGTTTTTTTTTGTTGTTGTTTTAATTGCTGTTGATCATTGTTGTGATCGTAAGGATTGCGACTGGTGGTCCGTGAGAGCAAGTAATTAAGTAATTAGAGTTTATTTGAACTCTGAGAAGGAGAGAAACAATCAACACAAAATGCGCGCCTTTATTTACTGGGTTGACGCGTTTCTAGAAAATTAGTAAGTGAGGCAGTGTTGGCAATTGAGAGAGCGCAGACAGCGAGAGAACGTGCTGTGGATGGAGACGCAGACATTGCGTTGAATAATTATGAAAATATGGAATTTTGTGGAGCCTTAAACAATAGTTGCCATCTGCGGACATTTATTGGCTAAAATTTTGCAGAAGGATGATCTCAAAATGGTGAATATCACCGAATTTTGTTGCGTTTACGGCAAGACGCACGAATTGAAAAATGAGACGGCAAGACATCTGATGATTCGCGGAATTCATTTTCAGGTGATTTCAGCCTTTTCGAATTTCCCATTGATCTTGAAATATTTGCAGAGTTTCAAATATTTCGATCATATGAGAAGCGAAATTCGAAGTATTTTTCAACCGTCCACACCGCTTTTCCAGTTTTCTGAGAAGCTGCTTCCCAATGAGTATAAAAACGACTTTATGTGGGTTTTTTTGTTTTCTCAGATTTTTTTGCGAAAAAAAATGCGTAGATTTGTGAAGAATTTGTCCGCATATTCGACGTGGCGACTTTGAAACATCGTCATATCATAATCCGTCGTCAGCCGAGTTCACTTTGAAAGCTACGGAATTCCTTATAAAGAAATGTGAGCAATTCAGACCGTCTAGATTTTCTTTGATTCTCTCTTTTTAGACTTAAAAACTCATCCAAAAATTACTGTGATGGTATTTGGCAATGATCATATATGGTCGACGGAGACATTTTCAGGTAATCATCAGGCTTGTCAAAATCGGGGCTGGTTTTTTTTACTTTCAGAAAAAATAGTTTTTTTTTAAATAAGATTTGAATTTTATAAAAAAATTCATTTTATTCGAACTAAATGGGAAATTGAAACAAATAATTGTGGAAGTTTAGCTTCTCAACAAATTTAAGGTTAATTCTACTAAAATTGGGGACACAATTTTAGCTTGATCAACGAAAATTGACCTTCGACATTTGATGGAATCAAAAAATAAGTAGAAATTAAAATAGAGCGTTAACGACACTCCGCTGTTAACGCCCCCGCAAAACCCGGCCGCGAAAATTCGAAAAAGCCCCAAAACGTGGCCGGCTCGGCCGCAAAATTGACAAGCCTGGTAATCATTTAAGAATCCATCCAATATGGATGAATTTTTTTGGGAAAATATTTTTTACGCGCAAAAATCGTGTGAAACTTTGGCACTTTTAATGATTAATCTGGAATATTCTTATTTAATCTGATTGTTCCAAGAAAATTAAGTCAATAGATTGACGTCATTTGCAGAAATAAGCGAGTACAATATTTTTATCTCGAAAGGAATGTCGGTGGCTGTTGACATCGCATTCGCTTCAAGTTATTGTGATGTTGTTCTGATCACAGGTTCCTGAAAATGAACTGAAACTTTAAGAAAAAACCGAATTTAAGCTCCTTCTTCAACATTTGGATGGTGGCTTGGATACTTGGCAAAAGAAAATGCAGTGGTATATTATAGAGATATTAGCGAAGCTGGAGACAAAGTAAAATTGTTAAAATAATCTTAAACCATTTTTTTATTCGTTATAGATGAAAGCGCATATGATTGAAGAAGATTATTATCCTCCAAGTTGGAAAAAATTGAAATCTGACGGGTCTGATGGCATCATGATTGTATAATAACTTAATCAATTATTTATAACATTTTTTGCGCGGTTTTAATAAAATTCGTTGATTTTTTTTGAACACATTTGCCACATTTTAGGCGAATTCGTGAAAAAATTAAAAAATATATATTCGAAGCCGCATGTCTTCTAATTTTACTTGGGTCTTGCCAAGAAAAGATACTGTAATTTTTTAAATCGGCGCGAAGTTTCGTATATTTTTCACAAAACTCAATTTCCTTAAACTTAAGTTTTTTTTGCAGTGTTTTCAAGCATCTAAATAATTGTTTTTTGTATTTCCTTTAATATTTTTGTAATCATTTATTCTAACTCATATGCATTAAGAATGTCCGGACTTCTTTTTCGTTTTGAGGATTTCCTCAAGAACCATCTTCATTCGTCTCGTCAAGAACATGAAAAAATTATCAACGCGTTTGAGGACTATTCCGGATTCCGTCGCGAAAGAGTAAAGATCCAAAAAACGTTTGAAAATTATTTTCTTAATTGCAGATGGTGACCATTTTTATTTCTTTCGTTTTGTCGCATACCCTCTTCGGACAGTACTTGCCATTTTTCTTGCACATGGCTTGCACAATTTTCCCTCTTCTCCGATCAATTAAGGTCACTTCAATTTCATTATTTTTAGATTTTGAAAATTTTAGGCCATCGGAGAGAAAGAATCCACTAATGAACTCTCCAGCTCGCTTTTTTTCTGGGTTCTTTACGTGTTCTCCTCATACTTCGACTCCCTCATCGGACAACCACTTCCAATTTACTATGACTTGAAGGTAATGACAGCAAAACAAAAAACACAAAATTACGAGTGTTTTCCAATTTTCGGTTGCAATAAAATGCGAGGCACTTAAATTTTCAATTCCCGCGTTGAAAATTGCACGTTTAAAAAATTTTTCTTTTCTTTCAGGCCGGCTTCTTTCTTTACATCTTCAACAACGATTTGAAAGTGCTTAGCAAGATGCGCGCCAACTTCGAGCCATTGTTCGCCAAAATTAGTCGAAGTCGAGCCCAGATGATTGGAAAACAAACCTGCCCAATGTCTACCGCTGCGCAATCCACAGATGAGGCATGTGATAAGGAGGAATAATTAATTCCACTGCTTCCTACAATGTATATGTATTGCATTTTGCCCAGAACTTGAATGAAATCATTATCCATAATTGGTTGCATTCAATTCTTTTATGGTTAGGTCCACCATATATTTTCGAAAAACATCTCGTCCCATATCAATAATTAAAAAATGATCTTAGTGTGTGAGAAAAACCGGATTAGTTGGGATAACAGTGGAAGCTCTTTAAAATATTGAAAACTGAGAATTCGTAAATCATCCCCGAACCCGGAGGGAGTTGGGGGGCCAAAACGTGTTTGAAGCGAAGCTGCGGAATGCATTAATTATTCCTATGCGCTCCACCGACCGAAATCCGTCGGAATTCCATTTTGCAGCGGAACCCTCTCAATAATTTATCGTCGTTTTTTCTCGTTTCTCCCACCATTATGGTTTTGATATCGTTATCGGTTGACGCATGGTCAACAAAGTCTCAATCAGAAAAAAATATAGCCAATTTGATAAGAAGGATAATGTTGACACTTTAAAAAATTGATCATCGATGACATATAGGAAATTCTCGTGATTCGTGAGCATGTCACGTTATTTCAGTCGGCTTCGTTTCAATTATCGCCGACAATCGTATTGGAGATAATAGGATTTGACGACAAACCGGAAGAATTACGTGGCATGACGATTCTGGCCGCAAAAAATTGGGGTTTTAGAACTATTTTGCGCCATTTTTTTTAGCAAAAGAAAGAACCGGTTTCATTTCATCTATTGTTTAGGTCTTGACAAGAAAATGCGAGAAGCTATAATATTTGAAGCGAGCGCGAATTGTACCTTAACGGAGGGAATGAATACAACTTAATTACAATCATTCATTCGTCGCCAATTTTCAGCCAACGAGTCGCATTTCTCGATTTTTTTTTTTGTTCGCATTTTTTTCGAAACGCCAACAAAAAAAACACATTGAGTTCTAATTATATTATTTGAAGTGGCATTTTCTAGAATTCGTGAAATTTATGACGAACCAGTCGGACGGGGGGGTTACGCGCGGTCGGGTAATTTAATCGATTAGCACTAGTGTGATGAGCGAACGAAACGTGTAATTAGGCAAAAGTTCACGCGAACTTTATCATTGTTTTGTCCAATTTTTATTGCGCGTCTCTGAACGGCTTGGCGAACACCAAAAAGCAAACAATGCTGTGTAAACGCACCAATAACTTCTCTCACTGGGTTTTTTTTGCTCATGTTGAAAGTGGAAGAAATTGAACGCAAAAAAAAGCGCCGCGCACTCGCGGCTGAAAATGAGCGAACGCCGCCGGGCCGGTGTGAATCCGGAGAAAATGAAGAACGGTCGAGATGATGGGGCGTTGCCATTTCGGCTCGACTCGATTCTCTTCGGCTGCCCCTCTCTGTACGTGTGCGCTTTGTGTGTATGTGGTTGTGCGGAGAGTTCGGTTTTTTTATTCCTGATATAGGGACTGTTTCCCACGGAGGGTGGAATGCATCAAAAGACTGAAGATAGCGTTCGAGACGTTAGCCGAAACGAGAAAACCCCTCGCGGTGTTGGCGACGGCGGACGGCAACCCCTCGATTTTGTGTGTGTGTTGGACGACTAGCAGCGTGTGCGAGCGAGTGTGTTTCTATCTTTGACGTTGTTGTGCGCTCGCTCGGCTGCGAAGACACCGAGCGGAACCGACAGTAGGCAGAGAAATGGGCCAGTTGAAGCCCAGGCGCACGAACAAATCGATGAGGAGAGAGTGTGGCGCGCGAGGAGCGCGCAGACGAGACACGCGCGAAATAGCGAGCGAATCGACGAGACGCCGACGGTCGTTTCGACACAAACAATCGCGGAGAATCGAGGCCACAATGCGACGGGCGTAGAAATAGTGTGCGGCGCGATGAGCGCGCTGAGACCCAAGAGGTGCCCACTTGGTGTGTTGATGTGCCTATTTCGCCGTCACTCCGTCCTTCTCAACCCTCCATCGTAAGAGAGATCACGAGTTTTCTGCGTCTAACTCTACCGTAATCCATTTTGGAGTCATCGCACTAAGATTGGACGGAATTCAACGAAGCCACCTTAATAACCGGTGAGACTGTTATTGAATCGAACGTCGACCGAAGTGGTCCCTACATTTTTAGGGACCCAAAAATAGCAAAAAAAAGTGAGAGAAAAATGTTTTTTGGAGACGAAGAGTTTCGCATTCGAAGAGTCGATGAAGCTAATCAGAAATCCAAATTTTGACGATGTCAGATTCGCCGTATTGACGTGGCCTATTTACTAGAAGCTTCTAGATCTTGATTCAAAATTGTGTTCCTCAGCGTATACCGTATTCTTTAGTAGTCACTCTTTAGAATCTACAATTTCACATCCTTGAAGAATTGATCAATTCTTCAAATTTTTCCTTTTTGTGTGTTTCACTCAACCCGTTTTTCTTTTTTTTTTCTCTTCATGGGGGTTGTCATGACAAGTTCCAGATGCTTGTTATTGTTGCTCCTCCATTTGTTGTCTCTTCCACATCATTTTTTTGAAAAGCAAAAAAAAATGGGGAAAAAGAAACGACAATTTTTCAAAGTTTTCGAAAAATGTGATTTCATCGTCGAAAAAGCTTAAGAATGACGCGGATGACGTGCGAGGCTCGAAGCTTTCTGCCGGCTTCTAGGATTCAAAAAAAAAAGACGGAGAACCTTATCTAAAAACTAGTTCCCATTATAACGTCCTTGCCATTTTTAGGCCAAGATTTGGTAAAACGATAAAATCGGAATTGAATGTTCGAGAATAGGTGTAGGGGGAATCTAAAATTAGAATCACCAAAGGATATGCACCTTTAAAATTCAATAAAATTTTTTTTTGTGTCAGTCACCGCTTGTCACTCTCAATTCGTTCGCAATTTATATATAATTTCGAGCCCAACTGACAAGTGGCTGCTATCAATTTCCGCGCACAAATAAATAATTCGATATTTAGCCGGGGCGAATATTTTCGCGCAGCCCGTGGTAAACACGCGATTCGCTCTCGTGACTTGTAGCATAAAAAATATGAATTACTGGAAGTGACAAAAAAAAATAATGAAAAGTTTTGAACTTACGAAATTTCTCTTTTGTTCGGTTTATTATTATTTTTTTTTTGCAATTTCTCATCTGGCGGAATACATAGCTTCCAAAGAGATAGTATTACGTGTGACGAATGAAACCTTATATCTTGCTTTGCAATTCCAAATTTTGTCAACACGGGATTTAAAGGCGCATGCAAATGAGGCGACAGTGCTGTTTACCGATGAGAATTGCGCATATTATCCAATTAGAGCTCAGCAGCAGAATCAGCTGAAGTAATCTTCATGATCGCCATGAGATAATCCAAGCTTTGTAATTTCCGGGGTTAATCCGAGAATCGAATCGAATCACATCGCGCAAATAATAAATATAGAATTGAATATATCGGAAAAAAAACAGTGCGTTGAATGACGGCGTCGAAAAAATGTAACGAATATGAAAAATGAGACCTAAGACGAACACGACGCACGACGATTCGAGACGAAATTCGCGCAAAAAATGATAAGCGACACACAACACTCACACACGACGACGATGATGGTGTTCTTTTCTGCTCATGCTTTTGTTTAAATGCCTGTGTCAATGTTATGCTCGACTCCTAGAGACGTGTGTATGAGTGTATGTGTCCCCCTTCGTCGCCGCCGTCCAACCATCTCCTTATAGAAACTAAAGCTCGTCGTTTTCTGCAATCTGTTTCGTTTCGCATCGCGTCCGACGGCCTCTTCGATCGATATGCTGTCGTCACGGGACTAGCGAACGACGCGTCTCCACAATGGGCGTGCTATTTGCACGCGGGCCTCCGACAATCGCGTAGTGTCTCGCCGATTCTGCGCCGTCGTCGGCCTGGTATGCTATTTGCGCGCACGCACGGCGGGTGTGTGCGCGTCGCGGTCGACACACCCTCTTTCAATTTGCCTGCCTCCTGACTATACACTCGTACCGACTCGGGCACCCTATCTATCTATCTATCGTCCCCGCGGTTCGCTTCTCTTCTTCTTCTTCTTCTTGTTTCGTCCGTCCCCGTCTTTGCTTTTGTGTTTTCTCGATTCCTCGCTTCGCCCCTACTCTTCTTCTTCATCTTCATCTTTTCTACTTTTTCCATCTAAACGTCAACTTCTCATTTGGAGGCGTTGAAACTCAGGTGTGGAGAAGCTAGATTCGATGATTAATTATGATGAGAGTTTGGTAGTGGAATTGTGGTGAATGGCGGCCGTCAAGTCGACGTCGCCATTGCTGAAATTGCGACATATGAGGAAAACCAAAAGCATGGGCTTAACGAGGATTAGAGGAAATGAATTTCGCACAGGAGAATCTACCGTAACCATTTCACTATAGTGTGTGGAAAATTGAATCGAATTGCGAAAAATTTCGTTCTAGAAGCCGCTGGACGAAACTCTTATCAATCGCGGCGTATACACTGACTGGGAGGTCGTTCTAACGATTAGGGGGTAGTTTTCTGACCGAAATTAGGATGGCACAGGGACAGGCAAAATTAAGGGATTGACGAGGGGTTGATTTGATCTATCGCATCCCGCTTCCTATTTGTGTCCTTATTATTATTAATTCCCCTTAACTTGATTTCTCACCGGCAACCAGCCAATCGTTTTTGTGTGTCGAATTTATTTTTTGCTGGCATTTTAGCTGACCTTGCGCAGCGCGCGCTCGTTTCCTCGTTCTTTTTTCCGCTGAACACCATCGGACGGACCTGAGATAGAAAAAAAATCGGGCAATTCTTGCAGGTAGCCTTTTCGACTCTTGGCGGCGTTTTTTTTTGCTGTGAACCCACAACCGCGCAATGAATCAGAATCTCTCGTACACGTACACCTCGGATCCGAGGAACGGCGCCAACGGCCAAAATCAACAAATCCAGGGATTGTCATTCCATCCAACGTCGTATCAGACGTCGACCTACACCAACTCGACGACGGCGCCGTTTCACTCATCGTCGTCGGCGGCGTTCATTCCGAACAATGTGACGGTGAGTTTTGGGAATTGCTCATCGCGTGTCGTCCTCGCGGCCGACGACACAAAAAAAATGGAGGGGAAACATAAAAAAAAATAGAATGCGAAGGGCATCGCCGCGGCACGGCCGCACGAAGCAACACAATGATAATTTGTCGATGTTACAGATTCAGCAGAATCAGCCGCGTCGCATCGGCGAGGACAAGAACCTCGTGAACATGCTCGACGCTTATTTCATCGACAGCACGACACCGTCGACGTCGTCGTCGTGGAACAACCAACAACCGGTTCAGGTGAGCAATTAGCGGCCATCACCCTTTAATTCCTCCTCATGGCTCTTCTACCTTCCTCTATCATGTGCTTGGTGATTGTTGGTGTAAATGTGTTTTTTTTTGTACAGATGCAGCAGCTCTCGCAATCGGTCACCCAATACAGTCAATCATTGGTGCCGCAGATCAAGGTAATCCGTCTGAATCCCCTCATTCCTCGGTGTATTTGATGTAGTCGTGCACATCCACGTTTAATGTTTTCTAGTCTTATTTTTCTTTTGGATGGCTCGGATTGAGATTTCCGCGTTGCCTCATCACCCAAACTCATTGCGACCAATTCAAATTATGGATGTTCATCTTTTAGGAAGAGAAATTCCAGACGCTTGAAGGCGTCACTGTCAAAATGTCCAACTCGCCGGACAAGACGGAAAAGGAGCGGCAAAAGAAGGCGCGTCAGGCGGAAGCCGCCCGAATGCGCTATCATCGACTCTCGAACGAGGAGAAGCGCGAGTTGAACTTGAAGCGTACGCTGGCGCAAAAACGCAAGCGGCAACGCGAGAAGGAAATGGAAGAGCTCGAGTCGATTCTACGCGAGACCAACGACATACAGGTGTGTTCCGTGATAATGTTGAATCGATGAGTAGGTCCCTGTTGGTTTGTAGGAAGATCCCGACATCACCGAGCAATTGCGTGAGAAGCGAATGCGCGCGAAATGGGCCGAGGCGGCTCGCGCTCGCTACGCTCGTATGACACCGGAGGAGCGACGCGCGCATAACACGCGACGACGAATGCGTCAGATGCAGAACGCGATGTCGGCGATTAAGGTTTCAAATTTTTTTCTCTCTTCGCATTTCGCTAGAATAATGAGCTGAATATCGTGTCATTCGCACGGAGTTCGCTATTCTTCTTCTGATGATGATGAGGATGCGGATGACGAGAACACCCGTAGCGGCGGCGGCGGGCATCCACACACTCATTCACTCAAAAATGGTGTTGTTGTTGGTTGCGGCGGCAGCGGCGGTTTTTCTCACGTCTCCCTCCTTTGCATATTGCACTGAATCACCTGGGATTACAGAGTTCGGAGTTTCAGGCGAGTGGCGTTGCTACTGGCGACCCGCAAAAGGACGATGAGGCGGTTAGAGCGCACATTAAGGCGATGAATGCGAAGAAGGCGGAGGCCGCGCGGCAGAGGTGCGTGTGCTTATTCCTTTTTTTTTTGCTCGTTACCGCCGACACTCAATGGGGGGTAATTTGATTGCAGATATCACCGCATGTCCGATGAGGAGAAGAGAATCTATAATCAGCGTCGCACCGAGGCTTTTAGGTAGATGAGCGATCCGACAAATGATTCTGACCAGAGACTTCTTTGTTTCAGACGTCGTCGAATGGAGGAGGAAATGCTCTTGGCTATGCCGATAGGGCGAATCAATGGAGAAGCTTTAGATCGCGCTCAGCAGATAGTTGTGCGAAATGCGAAGCGCGCCGAAGCGGCGAGACTCCGCTATCAGCGAATGACTCCCGATCAGCGAAAAGTATCCAATCGTTCATTTTTTTTTAATTTTAAATCACAATCTCATTGTCTGATTATAATTGGTGTCTGGCAAATGGCGAATCTTCGAGATAAGCGCATAAATAACACGAATCGTTTTCTTGATTATGATTGATTAATTGCTATACATTAACAAAATTCTCGGATTTTTCGCCCCCACCGATCCGATCATAACTAGGCAGTAGTGGAATGAATATTTAGATCGTGAGGGCGAAAGACGAAGTCAAACAAGAATACTTGGGTGTATTCGACGACGAACATTTATTGAATGCACCTAGCGAGCGATATCTCGAAGATGCGCCGAGTGATGTTAGTTTCCTTAATTCTTTTAATTCAATTCTATTATTAAACTTCTGCGTCATTCTGCCGAATGCCCAATTAACATTTATCAATTATTGTTTCGTTTTCAGCTGTACAACCAGAAGCGGTATACACCGAAGCGACGACGCAATGAGCTTGAGGATATGATGAACGCCGGACAGATGGCGGTTGGATCGTCGGGAACAATTGGAATTGGCACCGGCACTGTCAACAAAAAGGAGGATCTTGACGCCTTGTCGACATTGGAGCGCGATGTTATCAAGCGCACTCAACAGGCGCAACAAATCCTTTTGCGTCAGCAACGCGCGAATCAAGATGGCCATGAGTCGACGACGTCGCCGCAACCGCAAACCTACATCATTCAGCCGGCTAGCAACGGCCAACCGCAGCAACAGGCACCACCATCGCAGCAACAGCAGCAGCAACAACAACAGGCGCCTCCGCAGGCACAACAGCAGCAACCCGGACAGCAGCAGCAGCAGCATCTCGCCACCATTCAAATTGGCGCCAACAATGGAACGAATGGGCTCGGCCATCAGGTGGTGCATGGTGTCCACCAATTGCAGCCGGCGCAAGTTCAACTTCAGGTCTCGCATCAGGTACGTGTATGAATGAATGGGAGAGAAGGGGGGGGGCTTAATTGTGCTCGAGGGCGGTGTGGCCGCCGTCGCCGCCTGGGGTGGGGGGGGGATAAGCGGCTTTATTTAGTCGCGCTTGGAAACAGCTGCATTTTTGTTGCGCGATATTACGATTTCATTTTTTAGTTATTTTCTATTGCTGACTTCGCGCGCATCGTAAATAGTAGTTTGTTTACATATCGGCGATGAAGCTCGATCTCTCTCTCTCTCTCTCTCTCTTTCTCTCTATGTATATTCTGTTTTTTTTGTTCGTTTTCTTTTTTCGTTTTGCTCGCGCCCGCGCGCGTGGAGTTGAGAAATTGGTTTTTTTTTCGACAAACAATATGCACAATTGTAGAGGGTGTTCGGTTTTTGATTGTTCTAAATTTGCAGCAATCATCGGGCACGATTCCGCAACAACTGTACACGAGTAACATGATGATTTCCGGTGGACTTCAGCAAACGCAAGGTCAGCCCGGCCAGCCGCAGCAGGCTCAACAGCAGCAGCAACAGCAGCAGCAGCAGCAAACGCAGATCTTGAACCCATACCGTAGTTAGATAATGAGAATGAGGGCGCGAATTGAAATGGTCCCAATCAATTGAATATATACATACCTATATATATAATAATTATGGTCTCTTTCCTTCTCGAATTTTGTGTTTTTTGCTATCCGCCACAAAAAAATGGAAAAAAAATTGTTTCGCCAATTTTATCGGCGCGCTCATTCATTTTTTTCTGTTTTCCCTCAACGAGATGGATGATATCAAAGACGAAATTTCTTTTGACTCTGATATTAATAATAATATTCGGCCGCTGCTGTGTTAAAAATGGTCCATTCTTCTGAATTCCTATCATTTTTTTTTTCGTCTATAGTTTTGTCTTTTCTGTTTCATCTCTCCTATTTTAGTAGTCTGACGCACATACAAGAAAAAATTGAGTTCTTCATCACCATCTTCGTCTCCTCTTTTGCCTAAACAATTAATAATTTCCAGAAAAAAAATCATTTAAAAAAATATTGATTTTTTAGTAGGTGAGTTTATTGCCGTCTTCATTGACAATCTCTGGTTTCTTTTCGTTTTGTTTTGTTTGTCGACACTTTTTTCTTTGCCTTATCGATTTCGCAGGGGAAAGCAAGTCGATTATTATTATTATTATTATTTTTATAAAATTATAATTATACAATTCATTCAGAAACTCCATACATTGCCCGTTACTAATCGTACTAGCGTTCCGCCCACACACAAAATTTCAACTTTTTTTTCTTCCACGTTCGTTGCTTTTTTGTTCATCTTTCTTTTCTCTTTCTACCTTTTCTTTAATTTTTTTTGGCTTCGTCTAAAAAAGAGGTTTTTTTTCTTTTTTTTTTCTCTCGATTATTACATGAGATAAATGATTATTGGAATTGATATTTGTGTTGAAATAATTGGTCCGAATCTGTTGAATTATACAGAATTGAATACTTTCTTATTCAATTTGTTTGTTGTTTTGCCGTTCATTATTTTTCGTTCTAAATTGCCAATTTTTTAGACATGAACCATAATGAATACGTCACTGAAGAGCAGAAGATGACAGCTTCGGAGGCGAATTCGACGTATCAGGTTTCGGTTGGTTCTATTCTATTCTATTCTTTTCTTTTTTTGGGGTCTTCTTCGTTGTTGTCCTCGTTTGTCGTCGCTGTTGCTTCTTTTTTCGTTTTCCGTCTTTTGAAATCGAAAAAGAAAACATAAATTATTATGCAAATGTATTGTTTGTGAATATGTTTTTTTTTCGCTGAAAAAAAGCGCCAAAAAAATCGGGAGAAGAAAAAAGAAATGTAAGCCGTTGTTCTTTTGCAGACTAGTTCCTATTATTCGCCGTCGCCGTCGTCGTATCAGACGGTCTCATCGATGTCGTTTCCTTCGAATGGGGACGAAGTGGAACGTAAAAATGATTATATATTGATTGCGCAGGATAATGTGGCGGCTTCGACGTCTGCTGGATTGGTAGGAGGATTGACGGCTTGAGGCGTTTTGTTGTTGGAATGAGACGATTTTAGATGAAGGAGCATCCCGCTGCTGTGCAGGCGGACCAGATGAACGCGTTCATTGATTCGTACTTTGTCGAGCATCCGAGCTCGTCGGCCGACGTCTCCGATGATATTGGGCATGAGGATGAGGAGGAAGAGGAGCTTGAGGATGATGAGCTCGATGAGAGTTTAATGGACGAGCTCAATTGTCCGAAGAATCCCGTTGAGGAGATCGAAGCGATGCAGAAGCAAGCCGAAGTCGAACTCCTCAACGATCCGTCGATGTCGGAGAAGGTTCGCGAAGAGCGATCGCGGCAGCGACGCGCCGCCGCCGCGCGCTCTCGCTATCAGCGGATGACGGAGAGCGAGCGACGGTTGTACAATCATCGGCGGCGGCTGAAACAACTCGGGCTGGACCCGGAAAGCGCCAAAACCGACATGGAGCTTGTGCGGCAACACGTGAAAATGGCGAATGCGAAGAAAGCGGAAGCGGCGAGAATGAGGTGAGGTTTTGCCGGGTTATGGTAGTGGAGAAAATGCGCGCCACGCAAGTTTCTAAACAATTTTCAGCTTGTTCTTTTTTTTTTGAAAATATTTAAATTACGCACTAAAACTGTTGTGAAAATCAAACCTTTTCGCATTTTACGAAAAAAAAGAATTAAAAATGATTGAAGTCTAATGGATTTAGTAATGAAACAGAATTTGCACATTTTTTCTCTAAAAATTCAATAATCTAAAAAAAATTCCGAAATCCTCGGCGGCGGATTGGTTTTTGGACGCCTACAGTAGCACAGTTTTCATAAAATCGCAGTAAGAATAATGAAATTTTAGTGTATGCGCCTTTAACCATAACGATTTTTTAAAATTCATTTTTTCGATTAGAATTCGTATTTTTTCTATTGTGATTAAAAGCGCATATACAAATTTTCTAAAAAAAATTATTCTTGCAGCTGATTTTTGGAATTTTCAGCGAAATCTGCTTAGTACCATAAAATAACATTTTTTTTCGTGATGATACACGAGTTTTTGAAATGATTACATGACATATTTCAGATATCACCGAATGACGCCCGAACAGAAACGCGATTACAACATGCGACGAACCGAAGCGTTTCGCCGCCGCCGACAGGAAGAGGAAATGTTGTTGTCGACGCCGGCGGGGCGAATATCCGCCGAAGCGCTCGCAAAAGCCCAACAAATTATGGTGCGAAACGCGCGCAAAGCCGAATCGGCCCGTCTACGCTACCAGCGAATGACGCCCGAAGAGCGGCGGCAGTATAATTTGAAGCGAGCCGCCGCGAAAAAGAAGCGAAAAGAGCAAATGATGCAGCAGCAACTCCAACAGCAGCAACAACAACAACAGCAACAGCATCAGCAGCAACAGTCGGCGAATAATCGGCGAACTCGTCAGCAACCGCAGATTCAAATGATCCATCCGCCGTCATCGACGTCGTCTTCGCGTCCGCCGACGACAGCGCCGTCTAGTGATGGATTCGATGCCGCGCAGGATCTCCAAGATCATCAATTGAGTATGCAGATGGAGGAAATTACAATGAATCCGATCGAATGTGTCATGGGTAGAAGTTTCCGTCATTTTTTAAATTTCCATACGAAAATTTTTGCAGTTCAAGATCGCGCCGAGACAACCGCGATTCTTCCCACTACGGCCTCAACGAGTGGTGTTGCGACGACAGCCGCTTCGAAGAATGTTGAGGATGAGGAGGCAAAAGTTCCGGTTAGTGAGTCAAAGCCGTTTATTGTCACGGAACTCATAAGCGAGGATCCGAGCACATCTGAGCAGCACATGTTGGACGTGATCAATCAGGTCGCCACTCCAACGCAACTTGAGATATTCGCGCAGGTTGCTCTTGTTCGCATGAGAATCTCGAAATTGAGGGTCGCGTTTTTGCAGATGGAACGCGATGTGATTCGGCGGACGAAACAAGCGCACATGATATTGCAACGGCAGCAGATATCGATGAATGTCGACAATATGCTTGTCGGCGACATTGTGGGGCACGCGATCACGTCGAACTCGTCGAACGCGATCGTCGGCGGAATTCAATACGACATTCCGCACAGCGAGCAGGAATTGATTGTTGAGCAATCGGTCTCGTCGCCGCACACTCAGATTCTCGTCACCGAGCACGATCTACTGAGCGGCGGCGGCTCGACGGTCGCCAATGATGACGACGTTGTGCAGCCGGGCGAGAAGCTGATTGATGAGAAGGCGCTTCATGAGATGCTCCGAACGGGTCTTGATTCGAACGGGCAGCCAGTCGAAATTCGAATGGCTGATGGGACGCCGATTAGTGGCGCCGAGCAGTTGAGGTAATTCTTATGAAAGTTTTATTAATTAATATTTTTCTTTTTTTTTTCAGCTGCCTCGGAGGTGGACAGACAATTCTGATTACACAACATCCACCAATTGAATCAAAGGTGTCGACACATTTAAACGGCGATTACCATATTGGTACATCGCAGTCTTCTGATATGACGCTGATGTCGTCGGCGGTGAATAGCTACACGAATCCGCAAATTCCAATGGTAGATGGTGTTAATGGTTTTGAATCAGATCTTTTAGTTTTTTCTTCAGGACGGACACGGTCTTGAGCAGGCCGGCTATGGAATGGGCGGTATCAACAGCGAGCTTCATCAGCCGACGGCGACCGAGCAGAAGTTGGCGTTGAATCGGGCGAAGCGCGCCGAACGCGCGCGACTCCGCTATCATCGAATGTCGGCGGAGGAGCGACGCGAGCAGAACGCTCGCCGCGCCGACATGCTCCGCAAATCGCGGCAACGCGACGAGGAGCTCGTGCAGCTCGCTGAAACGGTGCCCGCCGATCAGATCGATGAGGAGACGAAGCAGCTCATTCGTGAAGCGCAGGCGCGACGATTGAGACGAGCCGAGCAGGCGCGAGCCAAATATCATCGAATGGACAGCGAGCAACGGCGGCAGTACAATGCGATGCGCGACGCTCAGCGAAGGCAACGGAAGAGGGAGCAGGATCGGATCAAGCAGGAGCAGCAGCAGCAAGCTGAGCAAGAGCAAGCCTTGCAAGGTATTCGAATGGCTTATCGAACAAAACTAGATGGGCTGGTTGCAGATGGAACTGTGGGTATTGGAGAGGTTCCAGAATCCAATTCCATCTCGATGTCGCCGTCGCAGCAGAATGACGTTGGGCACGATGATGTGATGTATTCATCGTACCAAATTTTTGAAAATGGTTCCTGGGAGAACTAATAGCTCATTAAAGCATTCTTCTTTTTTTAAATCTATGATATTCATTTTGGTTTCTTTCATTATTCCCCTTTTCCCCTCTATTATGTGCACCCTGCAAAAACGACGACGTGTTATTATTTCGAAACAATTCCCTGTGCGATGAATTGCCATTGTAAATACATTTATACATAATTATACATATAATAGTTAGATCGAGTGAGATGAAATCAATCAAACAAATCTAACACAGAGAAACTGTCGCTTTTATAATAATTATTTTTTTGTGTTTCGTTCCGTTCAGCTGATATCATCATTTTATTTTGCCGGGTAACTAATCTATTTTTTTTTGTGACTGATTTGCTTCGTTTTAACTCATTCCTTTCAAAATTTTGTACTTTTGTTCCCCTTTCGTTGAATAATCCATCTTGTTCCCTACATTTTTGTTTTGTCATTCTGGAGCTTTTTAGCTATTAGTTTGGGGTTTTTCTTGTTCCATTGATCTTCATTCATTCATTTTGTCGATTTTTTTGTCACACATTGATATTTGCTGGATTTTTTTGACGATTTTCATTGCCGTCCTCAATTATCTTTTCGTTTCTAGTATATTACAGTAATCGATATTAATGATAATAATAATTTGCGCTTTAAATATAAAGTTGATTGAGTGCTGGTATATCAAATGTGTAACTGTTATTGGATTTATTATTATTATTGAAGTGAATATTGGGGAAAACAATTGGTCTAGCCGAGCATGTAGTTGTTGAGGCAAACGCATTTGTTGTAGCGGTCGCAAGCGCCCTGAATTTTGGAATTTAGCCTCTTGTGGATCCGGTTTACCGAGAAAAATCGTGGAAAATAGCTGAAATTCCCAATATAAAAAAAATTCCAAAGCGGCCTAGAAATTTTTACGGCCACTAATGTCAATATCCTAGGCCACACAAATAAATTTCTATTTAAATAAAAATAATATTTGACAAATTTTTGCAGCTGATTTTTAAAATTAACTTTTATAAATTAATTAAAGATTTTATAAATTAACATTTCTTTCCCTAAAGGGTGCACAGAAAATTAAAAAAAATGAAGAAAACTTCAATGCGAAAATAAAAAATAAAGTTTTTTTTTTTAATTTTTTCTGCATTTTTTCTGCATGCTTAAATTGAATAAAGGTCCTACCAAAACCGGCGCGCACATCTCGCTGCACATTATCTTGCATTTCACGCGGAATATCGTCGATTTCGGACTGAGACGAAGTGCCGAGATTGCGGCTTCGCGACGCCTCCCGACCGCTTCGGGATCCGGATCGCAGAGGCAGAAAATGGCAAGACAAATGAGCACCAAAACACGCATACCTAAAAAAATGAGGTGAAAACAAATGGGAAAACCGAAATATATGAAGGAAAGTTGCAAGCAAATTAAGAGACCATCGCTCGATTCTGCCATTATTAATTATAATAAGGAGGTGTTGATGGGGTGTGAAAATTAATTAGTAGGCAAAATGAATGAGGCTCGACGGAAATATTCGCGGAATTCGCAAGCATATCGTCATCATGGAAGTCCAGAAAATCATTTTTTTTGAAGATTGAATTTTTAGAAATGATGCCATTGCGGACCTCAAACGATGAACACACATGAAAGACAACGATTGCCAAAATGGGAGCCTGGGTTTTTTTAATTGCAAACATCTGCGGACATTATTCGGGTTGCGCCACAATCGCCAGGTTGCTGGTATGGCGGCAATTCAAACAAGGGCCTGGAGGGGAGAGGAGCAACACTGATGAAAATTATAAAAGATTGATGGTTTACACAAAAAAGGCGCCGTTTTTCAGCCGTGCTCCTTTAAATTGAAAGCGCGAATTAATTAAATTGTGGCGATCTTAAAAACAACCAACCTCAATATTTTTGAAGCCTGATTTATTTATTTCGATTTGTTGTTTTTGAGTCTCAAAGCGCAGAAAAAAAATTGAAACTTGAGAAAATTAAAAATGTGAGCCCAAAAATAAATATATAAGCAAGCAATTTGATTTGTCGAGAAGCTTTTTGTGGTGTCAGAAGCGAGAACAAAAATGAGCCAAAAAAAACGTGTCGAGAAACGCATAAAATGCGTCAAAAATTGTACATATCGCGAGAGGCCGCAATTTTTATGAGATTTATCGTGTTTTTTTTCCATTCGTTTTGCTTTCTTGCACTTGCTTTTGCTCGTGCTCGTTCAATTGAGCCGCAGCAGAAGTAGCTCGACGAGCTCGTACTTCATACCAAACACAGCCAATGAGCCGATGAGAATACATTTAATTCGATATCGAATGCTCAACGTGAAAATAAATTTGAGGGGGGCGGAACGAATGCTATTTTTAATCGACATTATGCAACTTGCTGAGTATCACACTCAAAGAACGATTGGTCTGTTTAAAGGCGCATGATCGTTTTGTGAACATATGATGATTTCAAACGGTCCAGATGTTTTCGAAATGACTTTTCAAACATGAACTTTTATTTACACGGGTCCTCGGGGTTCGAAATATGAGACATTCGGAGTAACGATTCATCTGAAAAAAAAAGAAAAATAATATTTTTAGAAGATTCTTTGCTCAATCTTGCTCACGGCAAGACGATTAAAAAAATGTTGTTTGTTTTTATTTTATTCGATTTTTTTTCGAAGCTTCGCCTAAAATAGAATCGATTAGCAGTTTTTGCGAAAAGAAAAATCGAATGGAAGCTTTAAAGGTGGAACCTACATAAAATGAATTGCCACATTTATTTTTCAAGTCCCGAAATATGCAATGGGACCATGTAGACAATCAAACGAAAATAACGGAGAAAATTTTGATGTGTTGAAATTCGTACAACAAATGCTCAAACTTCAGGCATATTTTAAAAATTATTCTCATTAGTACTGAATTTGAAAAAAAAAACTGAAAAGACATTCGAAATCCAATTTAGAGACTTCTCGTTGAAAAAAAAATTTGTCAATGGCCGAACGCACGTGGCCGTGTAAAAACTAGTCCATCATCAAAATCTGAACTTTAAGCTTGTAAATCGTGCCCTGTACTTTGGAAATGGCTAAACTTTTGTTATTTATGAAAATTACAACTCGCTGGGAGTCGTTTTTCGCGTGCACTGAAAACTGAGAATCTCCCGAAAACCGGCAAAACTCGGGAATTTCAAAAGTCGAATAAAACTCAAAGATCGAACATTCGAAATTACATATGGCATTTTTTGACGGATTGCATTTGTTGAAGAAAATGAACAAAAAAAGCATTGAAACCTTATGACGATTTCCCGGGAAACCGAAAACGCCGAGTGAGCTGATATTGGATTAGCAAATGAGGATGAAGCTCGCGTTTTTTGGACGCCCCGAAAAATGAGATCGTCAGATGACATGAGAAATTATGCCCAATATCTATTGCAATAGGTGATCCAGAGAATTGTAGGCGTCACGCGACGGCGGAAAATTGACTAAATTCCAGAAATGCGATGGCAGTGGTTTTGGCGCAAAACTGACAGTGTAGATTTACGGGCCCTATAGATTAAACGCGCGCACCGAGACCTTTTTGGCATTTAGCCAATTTTTAGCAGTCGACAATACGAGACCCGAATTCCCATCGAAACTTACGACCTTCGAGAAAATATATAATGGTCCTCAATTCTACAAGGTGTTCGTTTTTTTACAAAAATATTTAGTCGACGTCCGGCAATTGCTGTACGCGGGTAGATTTACGTGCTTTGGTCTTGCACGGACCAATTTTTTTTATTTTGCATTTTAAAGGTCATTCCGTTAATTTCAAATGTCATTTATATTAAGAATACAAGTAAATGACATACGTCTCAAAAAAAATTAAACAGTTCACGTGAAAATTAAAACATCAGCATTCCCGTGTGGCGAGACCATTTCGAAAGGCGTACACCGTAAATCTACATCAGTATATGATGGAGAGAACAAAATTGAGCCGAAAATTCAAAACAAAGTGGATCAACTAAGCAAGAAAAAATGAGGCTCGAAATTGAGGACGCGTTTTGTCCAAAATTGAAAGGATTAGCTGGAACAATTGGAGATTAATTAGTCAGGAAACGGATTATGTGGGTGGAATATCTCTTATTATCAATTGTAACAAGAAATAGCGATATATTGGGAAACGCACCCAATCGTTTGGCAACAACGGCTGGCCGAGTTTGGCGTGGCCGTGGAAATCCGTTCCGTGGCGCAAAGGGACACACATCTTGCGCGGGACACAATTTGCATTTTTTTTGTGCCTTCTTATTTGTTAGCTACTACCTATCACAATTAAGGTAATTATATAATTACTACGTTCTCGACCGCAACTCGCGTGTGGCGCTATGTAAAAATAATGTGTAATGCTTACAATTAGTCGTCATTTTTTTTTAAATTCTACAAAATTGTGACTTTTTATATTGAATTCTGAATTTTGAAATCGTACCTAAACAAAATATATTCGTATTGTAAGTGAGTCATAGGGGCAATATCAGGTCGACCAGCGACCGGAAGGAGGCCAATATATTTAATCAACCCTCCGACCGGAAGCAATAATCCAAGGCCTTTATCAATGCCACCAGCTCACCCCCTATATAAGCGATGCTCGTTAAACGAACGAGGAGGTAGGAAGCTGGGAGATCCGTTTTAAGTCCACACCCTTTTGTTACTCATTCCATTGTACATAAATAAACTCTTAGTTGTTTATTGTTTGTTTCCAACACGAATCGATGAACATGGAAAGAGTCGGGAAAATGGCCCACGAGGCCGGGGTTTACGCGTACCCTCAATTCCCGCACTGGTAGCAGCGAGTGGTTTGTCTCCCTAGTTTCCTTCCCTCCACCGGTACCATAGTTTAGTTTTATTTTTTTTTTCTCGTTTTGTTATGTTGTCGTCTGCGGATATTATGGGATAAAGTTGTTCTCCTGCGCAGGAACCGCGTCGATTTTGGGAAGTCGCGCTCGCAGAAGTGTTCATCGTTTTTGCTTTGTTCGCCGTTTTTGGAGTACATTTTTGAGTTGACTGGGCCCAGTCTGGTTAGGCGAGCGCGCACTGATGGAATGCCGTCAGTTTTCAAAGAGTCTATTTTTGGCATCATTTTGGAAAAGACTCTACTTGAAGACGTTGTCTTCACCTCATTTCACCACATCCTACGATTTAATATCGGAAAACCATTGCTCTTTAATCAATTCACGTCTCTTCATTTTTCAATAAAAACGCAAGGTCTGGCTATTTTTTTTTTATTAAAACCCAACCATTGATTAAAAATTTTTTAATATATAGCCTCGTTCCCGCATCTACCGCTATCAGTGCCTCTTTCATTTTACAGATGGCTCTAGCAAAGAGTCTCTCTCTCAGCGATCTTTCCGAGATTCGCATTTCTTGTGCCAAACCATTTTCGCGTATGCAAGATTCCGACACCGTCAAGGGATCCCAATTGAAGACTCTTCAATCCGCGTGCGTGACTGACTTCGAGGTCACACACGGAGTTATGAGATCTCTTGCCGAAAGAGCTGAAAACCGCATCAAAGGCTTTGCCGAGATTCCGAGAATCAATACGGTAACAGCCTCGATGCGGCCAAGCTCGCAAGTCCCAATTTTTGGTGGTTCACCAAACGATACCTTCTCCGCATTTTTGCGATCCTTCAATGATCATGCTAATACAGCAAAACCTCCTTTGGGAGACCTCGAAAAGAGGAATATTTTCTTGACTTATTTGACAGACGCAGCCAGAGACCGTGCAGAGGAGTTCCTGGAGCAAGAGAGCGAAGCCTCGTTCGCAACCTTGGTTAACCATCTAAAGGTAAAATACGAAGATCCGGTAAGAGCAGAACTTTCGCGCCAGCAACTCCGAACAACGAACCAGCTTCCGGGCGAGTCCGTAGATGAGTTTGCAGCTAAGGTCAGAAAACTCGCAAATTCGTCGTACCTCGGATACTCGCGTGAATATATCAAGGCCAAAACCTTAGAAGCGTTTTTGGACGGGCTCAAATACGACATAAAATTCCACGTTAAGGCCAGTAACCCAAGAACCTTCGAGGACGCCCTCAATTCCGCAGTGAGGTACGAGATTTTGCTTCAAGAAGCAGCAAGGGCTAACACCATCCACCCACAAACCCTCCCCGTAGCACTCCTACAAGGGGTAGACAACCAAAACCGCGAACGAACGGCCCGAACCCTTCCCCCTCAACACCGTTTCAGAAACACCCCACGGCAAGTGAAATGCTATTTCTGCGGACGTCTCGGACATATGATGGCCAATTGCTTCAAGAAAAACCGTCAATTTGGCCGCATCGACCCAATTGATAATCACCAGATCAGAAACCGGAATCAGCCGATCTTTGGGAACCCAGGAAGACGGACAAACAACTATGAAGGTAACTCATCAGACGTACGTAATTTCCAGCCTGACACGACCGCTGACGATACAGTAAGAGAATTACGCGCTCAAGTCGAAGCGTTGACCATGCGCAACAACCAACTAACGAACAACATGACGCCCAGAGTTAACACGGTAAGAGTCTCGAAATTACCTTTGTTCATCGCTCTCCTCGCCTGCCTGGCAAGTCCCACCACCGCGTTTAATGCTCTTTTATGTCTACCAAACTCTCCCGAATCGCTGATCAACTTTCCATCATCGTTCGATTGCAACTCAGTCAAACCCTCCCCATTCACCCAGACAAAGAAAGTTTCTCTCAGCGTTTACCGACCAAATTCCATTGCGTATGACTCTACCGCCACCCTCTGCAAAATCATTCAAACCACGTCCACTTTCTCCGTTAACCTTTTTGGATCCCGCTACATCGAAACAAATTCCAAGCAAGCAACCGTTTCGGCAGAAGAATGCAAACTAATGATGAATCATCAACGTTGCTCATTCGGTGACCTTCAACCAAGAGACGGCATTTTTAAAACCAATAACGCCCACAGAATCGAATGGCCAAACTTTCTAATCGGCGCGCTATCCCCAGCAAAAACTGTTGTAACAAATAATTGCCTCATGCTCACAACCAGAATTGTAATGCGTTTTAATCAAAAATTTCCCGAGTCTCCCGCGGGATCCATGAGGGGTTGCGACTACACAACGGGCTTCTGCAACCAACGCCAGGGAGCGGCATTCATGTGGAAACCAAATCCAGAACAGAGTTGCCGTTTCATCAAACTGCGGACCATGTCCGGTCACCAATCAGATAACATTTGGCTGTCTGAAAACAAAGAATTCGCACTATCTTTTAACTCTTCAAATCCAATAATCGAAGACTGTGGCAAATCTCTCGTAGTCACAGATCAAGGCTTCGCTGTCCCAACCAGACGAATTGCCAAACGAGAAATAGTCCCACCCTCTATCACCAACCTAACAAACTTTGTCTCGTCAAACCAACTTTCGGCCCAGCTCTTGGCGGCAGAGAAGGATATTTTAGAATCCTCCTCTCTTTGGTTTGCTCACTATTTCTTATCATGGTGCGCGTCCTTCAACGCACTCGCAGCGTCTGCCGTTGCAGCAGCAGCAAGCCACCCCTCACTGTTCGCGCGCCAAATACTCAACCAATCTAACATTCAAGCAACCTTCCTCGGCAAAAACACATTAGCCATTAAAACTTGCTCAGTATTTCCACAATCATCCTTCTCCATCGTCCCTTTCACTAATATTTGTTACTCCCGACCATCAATCAAGATCAACTTGCCCAATAACTCCACGCTTAATACTTTCATAGACCCCATTACCCAAATCATCACCAATGAAGCCAACCAAGTGCCGTGCGCACTGATTTCCAACTTTGAATACATGTTCGAAAACCATCTAGTACGCATCAATCCCTTTTCAGGAACTATAGAAAATACACCAAGACACTTGCTTAAATCTATTTCCCCATTTAGCATTTCCACCTCCGACCTCGTGCCATCTCAACCCACAATTTTCCACAACCTAGTCATCGGGTCTATAACGGAAACAATCTCCCCAGCCCACTATAACGAAATCTGGGACGCATTAGAGGGTTCAGCCGACAAATTAACAAAAATCGTAAGCCGCAACGCTTTCTCAACCAGCGGCAGCACAAAAGCCAACGAGATTAGCGAAGTCATCAGCGCCTACGAGCAATGGCTTGACCTCGGTCACCGATTGTTCCAAGCCTGGACCGCTATAGTTTGCACATTTGTCACCCTTTATGCAATCTTCCTCGTCGTAGCCATATTCATCAAGCAACAGGCCGAAGCGCTGCCATTCAGCGTTTTCCATCGTTTTGGCAAAAAGACGGCTAATCCACCCTCCGAAGTCATCTTCGACTATTCGGACCTATTGCCGGCAACAACTACAATAGCTACCTTCCACTCTCCGCAAGCGTTTTTCACCGCGCAAATTCCCATTAAAGCGAACAAAATTAACCTCCTAGCCCTGGTGGACACCGGCGCCAGTTTTACCATAGCAGGCTCTGAGATATGCGCACTCATCGGCATCCACACGCTCAACAAACCGCTGACTAACAACGCTATAGGCTTGGGAGGCAACGAAGTGAAAATTGCGGGAACCGCGCCAATCAATTACAAAATCGGATCATTCGAAATTCAACACATCACACACTTCACAATCAATAAATGCACTCCACCGGGTCCGTTCTCCTACGACATTATATTAGGTAACGACTTACTAGCTAAACTCCCAAAGTTCCAACTGGACTATAACAAAAACACTTTCGAGATGGGAAAAGACCAACTTCCACTAGGGAAATCTTACCAAGTGAACCCGGTCTTACCAACTTCAGAATTCCCAATACGAGTAGCAAAACACACACAAATCCCACCCCTTTCCGAGGCTTTTGTCACTTGTGTTTCCCCGCAAAATAAAAACGTCTTCGACGCCACACTCATTTCTCAAGCAAAAAAAAATCACTGAACTTGGGCTTCTCATCGCACCATCAGTCATATCAACTAACCACATTGCTCTCCTCGTTACTAACCCATCGAATCAAATGGTCACTCTGTACCCAGAGATGACCATCGCCACCGCGGCGATGGTATTCTCCGAAGGCACACCTGGAAAAGTGCTGACCTGCCATTACTCTTCAGGGGGTTCCCCTGACGTTTTGTCAATAGATAACGAAAATTTCAGAGATCCACAGTTTAAGATTGACCTGATCAGGGCGGAACTCTCAGATGTCGAGAGGGAAAAACTCCAGGAGCTATTGGACACCTACGACGACGTGTTTTCAAAAAACGCTTACGATCTGGGAAGCTCGAAAACGGAGCCGGTCCATATATTCACGAATACGGAAATGCCAATCAAAAGCAGACCTTACCGAGTGCCGGTAAAATACCAAGCCGAGCTGGAAAAGCATATCAACGCCCTATTGGAATCCGGGCGCATCACAGAAAGCAACACGCCTTGGACCTCACCTTTAGTTCTCGTCAAGAAGAAAAACGGAAGCCTTCGAGTCTGTTTAGACTTCAGAAAATTGAACGAAGTAACGATCCCTGATAATTTCCCTTTACCGAGGATCGACGCAATCCTGGAAAAAGTAGGAGGGGCGGCTCTTTTCTCCTCCTTGGATATGGCAAACGGATATTTGCAATTGCGTTTAGACCCGGTAAGCTCCTATAAATGCGGATTCATTACAGAAAACAAGGTTTACGCATACACACATCTTCCATTCGGCCTCAGATCAGCAGCTTCATACTTCCAAAGAGCCCTACGCACAGTACTGGGAGGACTTGAGTCCGAGGTACTGGTTTACATTGATGACATCCTAATCTTCAGCAAAAACTTCGAAGATCACACTCACTCTCTGAGAAAAGTCCTCGACAGATTTAGATCCTTTAATCTTAAGGTCTCCCCGCAGAAATGCGAATTTGCCAAAACTTCCATAACCTTCTTAGGACACGAGATTTCAGCGAATAACTACTCCCCAAATAAAGCAAACGTGAAAGCAATAGAAAATTTCCCAATCCCAACGGACGCAAACTCAGTGAGGAGATTCGTTGGTATGTGCGGGTTTTTCAGAAAGTTCATACCTAATTTCGCAAACATTGCTGAACCCCTTACCAAGATGACCCGTAAGGACATTAAGTTCGCATGGGGCGAAGCGGAACAAGACGCGTTCGAAACACTACGATCTTGCCTAATGAACCGCCCCATCTTAGCATACCCCAACTACGACCTCGATTTCCACATCTTCACAGACGCCAGCGCGGTCGCACAGGGCGCCGCTCTCATGCAGATACAAGACGTCGACAGTAAGTCTTATTCAGCGATAGCTTACGCCAGCCGAACCTTTTCGGGGCCGGAAACAAGATGGGCGGCAGTGCAAGTAGAGATGGGGGCGGTAATTTTCGCGCTGCGACAATTCAGACCATACATATGTATGTCGAGAGTTATCCTACATTGCGATCACAAGCCACTAACCTTCTTACTACAAAAAAGCAAGACACATGACAATTTAGCACGATGGCTCATTGAACTACAAAGTTACAATGTAAAAATACAACATATCGAAGGTAAGAAAAATAAGGTCGCAGACTGTCTCTCACGAGCTCTCGATGACAATCGACCGGAAAACACAGAGGAGCTCAGGGACATCATCGATTTTCCAGTATGCATGAACTTCGAAGCAGAAGACGGTAAGCACGAAATTCCAAGAAACCCGTGTATTTTCAGCCTATTGGCACAAGTCAAAACAAAAGAAAAGATACCCCTCGATCTCGCCGACGAGCAGGACAAGGACGACGACTTACGTTTAGCCAAAAAGTTTCTGAAAACCGGCAAACTAGAGCAAGCAACGACCGCCGAAAAGGAAGAAGAAATAATCTGGTTATGCGCTAACCTATCACTTTCACCTACTAACATACTCTATGCAAATCCCAGCGGAAATTTACCAAAACGGGCAGTCATCCCGAAACACTTAGTAGAGCTAATATTCGAAGCTTTTCACACTAGCAAGCTCTCAGGCGGACATTTCAATTGGCGCAAGACATTGAACAAAATAAAAAGAAAGTATTTTTGGGACAGAATGACAGCCGATGTGCAACGCAGAACCAAAACATGCAGCAAGTGTCAGGCAAGGAATAATCCCAACCCACCATTCAAGGAGAAGCTAGTCCCCTTCCGGAACACGCAGGTATTCGAGAGAGTAGGATTGGACCTTACGGGCCCCCTACGCACTACACCACGCGGAAGCAAATACATCTTTAACATAATCTGCTGGTTCAGTAAGTACGTAATCTCCGTGCCATTACCGGACTCGAGATCGGACACAGTAGCACAGGCATTACTCACAGAATGTATCCTAAAGCACGGCGCGATGAGCGAAATCGTGACCGATAACGCCACAACTTTTACGTCGCAAGCTTTCCGAACCTTTTGTGAACTAATAGCAATTAAACACCACAGAGCGATCCCGTACCACTCAAAGGGCAACGGGGCTACGGAAAGAACCTTCCGAACCTTCCACAACATCATTTCAAAATACGTCAACACACAACACACAGATTGGGACCTACTGGTAGCAACGGCATGTTTTTGCTATAACACTACTACGCATGATACTACCAACGAAACCCCTTTCTTCCTAATGCACGGGCGTGATCCCATCTTCAGTATCGACCGCATACTTGATCCAGCTCTTCCGACCACGAATGAAACATCGACGGAATCATTCGCCAATTCTCTGGCGACGATCATACGGGAAGCCTGGACAAACGCGGCAGATCACGCTCTAAAAGCTCAAGAAAAGTTCCAGTCGTCCTACGACGCGTCAGCAAGGCCAAACCCGATCCAAATCGGCGACCGGGTAACGATGAAAGATTTTTCAGCCAAAGCAAACTTGTCAAGGAAACTAGTACTCCCGTGGAAAGGACAGTTCCGCGTGGTCGAAATCAACCACCCCAAGGCCGTAGTTTGCGACATATCAAGACCGGACAAACCGAACCGCACCGTCCATTTGAACCAGATAAAGAAGGTATACACCATTACAGGACCGGCGGCGACAACCTCATGGGAAGAAAACCCCGAAGCACCAGACATAAGCGATTCCACCGATCAAGCTGACAACGTCGACACCGACGAAAATTTAGCTAGGACGGAGTCCCCAAAACTAATTGATAACTCCGAAACACACGTTCCGGAGAACTCGGCGAACGCTGAATCCTTAAACCGGAGATACAACCTAAGGAAATCATTAAAACCACCATCAAGACTCTCTTTCTAACCTTCCATCCCACGCCCTTCCTTCCTGTCTTGTTTTCTTTTCACCATCGGTCTTCACGAACATCCCTATTTATCACCCACCATACACAAAAAAAACCCATACACTTCAGATTCTCTCTCCTATCTTTCCTCAGTCTTTCCTTTTCTTTGGCTTCTTTTCTCGTCGACCTTTCGTAGTCTTTGCCTTTGCACCCTCACTCCAACCCAAAAGCTCATTGTCTTGGTTTCAGAATGGACGAACCCGACTCGGGAACAGAACCCATACTCGACGAACCAATGGAAACGTCTTGGCCAACAACCCCTTCCTCAGGCATACTACACTCCGACGACAACTCTCCGTTGGAAGCGGGTGTGGTAACCGATGAACCAGAGAACGAAACTTCAGCGTTCGAGGTTAGTTTCACCTTCCAACTGGAATCGTTGCCGTGCCCAACGAGCCCCGCCTTCTGCGGTGTCTCGGAAGGCAACGCGGTAACCCGGCCAGAACATGTGGAGGCTCTCCACACCGAATCATACTCAACGGCATCGAGCCAAACCATTAACAGTGCACAAACTAACAGTGAAAGCCAACGAGGGGGTTCCCCTCAATTCAATTCGTTAAGCCAAAGCGCCGACGCAGAATCACCAGAAGCAGAAAGCCACAGCCATCCACGCAGTACCAAAACGGCCATAATCAAAGGCACAACAAAAATAATCCATCCGTGGGATGACGGGGCAACCCGTTCAAACGGTAAGTCTCCCAGCATTCAGGCGTCATTCTAGTCGGCAACGCAAACATCATTGGAGAAGCCGGATACTGGAGCGAAATATTCCGCACATGCCGATACGCACAAACGATTCTCACCGAGTCTCAACTACCGGAAACGCAATAATCACGTTGGTTCCCCTTTACACTATGTATATTAAATTCACATCGCACACATTAAACCATTTTCTCTACATTCACCGCCACATTTACCCTATCACAATTTTCATTACTTTTTACCACCCGGCGTTTTAAACAATACCTCGTTTTTAATATTGGTTTTAATCCCCTCAATCAACCTTTTCCCAAAACAAAATTTTTTCCATCATCATATCTTCATATTTTCTGCTCTCTCCATATCATTCACGTTATTTAATTGCATTTTGTTACACTCTGCCTTTATATTTCATATCATTCCTTTCATTACACATCTTATTAATTTTGTTTAATTTTCTTGTAAACGTTTCCCTTCCCCTTCCTCCGTTCTCTAAAAGCAAAAATCGCTGCCCTCTTCAACGATCAGAGACGATCTTGAAGAAAAGGGGATAGGTGTAAGTGAGTCATAGGGGCAATATCAGGTCGACCAGCGACCGGAAGGAGGCCAATATATTTAATCAACCCTCCGACCGGAAGCAATAATCCAAGGCCTTTATCAATGCCACCAGCTCACCCCCTATATAAGCGATGCTCGTTAAACGAACGAGGAGGTAGGAAGCTGGGAGATCCGTTTTAAGTCCACACCCTTTTGTTACTCATTCCATTGTACATAAATAAACTCTTAGTTTTTTATTGTTTGTTTCCAACACGAATCGATGAACATGGAAAGAGTCGGGAAAATGGCCCACGAGGCCGGGGTTTACGCGTACCCTCAATTCCCGCACTGTATTCATTTAGTTTTACTCAATTAAATTAACTAATCCATCAAGTGTGGCCGTGGCTGAACAAAAATTTTGAGAACAATTTTCTAGGCCACATGTGAATTGCGGTTGCGATTTATCGCTAGTGTTTTTAATTGGGCTTAATTACCCAAGTTTAAGGGGACTAATTCCAATAAATAATTCTGAATCGAAATAGAGATAATTGTAGCTCAAAATTGATACGAATATGGACGAACAATCGTATTCGGCGAATTCTGCATGGAAAACAAGTTTTCGAATCGGGGGCCTAATTTATAAATATCGTATATAAATATAAATTATATTAGTAATACATATATTAGTATAATTAGAGTAATACGTATAATATAGTATAAAATTAAAATTTTATACTACATATATTATTTTGTCAATAAATAAATGTGGTGTGATGAGTCGAAATCACTCGCTTTTAGTTTCCCGGTGAAAAAAAAACGAAACCTGGCATTTTTTCATTTTTGTCATTTCCTGTAAAAAGAACTCTATCCCAATTAGGCCACGCCCCCTTTACAAGCATGGAAAATTCATGTATTTCAAGAAAAAACACAAATTTGAGTTAAAGACATGTGAGTGCTTTAATACTGCACGCGTAGCCTCGAATTTTCTTCGCCGGCCTCTCCGGATCGCCGCCATAAGTTGCCCTGCGATTAATCGACTAATTAATTAATTATAAAAAAAAATAATTGCTATAGCTCACTCAACGTCTTCCATATCGCCTGCCTCCCATTTTTCATTCTTCTGATTTATAGCCTTTGTCATCATCACTCCGTAATGCTGCTGGAAGTGATAATAGTCGGGTTGGCCCTTGCGGAACTTGAAGGCACCGGTTCCCGAAATCGACGGATCGAGCCATCTGAAGCCTTTGATTCCACGACAATTCGCTGGATTCATGAAGTAGCACTCAATTTTTCGCTCGAAGCCGATTCGAACGAAACCGCCGTTAGCGAATACTTGATGTTTATTTGCCAACGCTGAAATCATCAATTTTCAGATTTTTAGGCCACGAAATTCGAATGTTAGGCCATGGGAAAATTATTTTGAAAAATAACCCTCGAATTTTTCGCGAAAAATTGACTAGTTTCTATAATCGTTTTGAATCACTCGGAAGATTTTTTTATTCGAATATTGAAATGGTAAATGGGTGCAAACACCGCGACGCAAATATCACAGAAAACGAAACGTTAGACTTGTTGCTTCGAAACCAAACTCCGAGTATTCAAATTCGTGCGTCGCGTACGCGTCGCGGTCGGCGTCGGTTTTAAATAAAGTTGCGTAGAAATTTGATGTACAAATCGTTAGGTTTAAACGTTTTTTTTGCCTGAATATTTTTTTTGTATTTTTTATGAGATTTTTATGAGATTTTTTTTATGAGATTTTCCATATATTTAAAATTTTTCCTGATCTTGAGATGCCAATTTATTCCATATTGAATTATTTATGTGTGAAATGAAAATTTTAGCATCTCAGCGATTCGAAAAAGACGAGCCGTGGTTGGTTTGGGTTTAAACAGCGGAGATACGCGGGGAATTCCCAAATACTTTTTTGCCTCACGAGTACGACACTCCGCACACACGCTGCCCGCAATTTAGCGCGCCGGGCTGAACCGTGGGTGACTTTTGTATTAACCGACTTCAATGTGTCCCCTGTTCGTCCCAAAATAGTCCGCCGGTTATTCAAAATCAAAATGTGTCCTCTATTCGCCCCGAAATAGGGGTTTCCGTTGGATTATTCGAGCTTTTGCTTGACTGAACGTTCGGAAAATAAATATTAGATTAAAAAAAGTGATAGATCAATTTTGTTATCCATATTTCATCCATTTTCCAGCTTGTCGTGTTATTTCTTCTCTGACAAACGGGACCCAATAAATTTGGAACAAAAATGAGCATTTTGAAAATAACAAATCATGCCAACGAGTTGTTGCTCAAACCGAAAACAAATCGAGCATTCGAGCAAATTTTAATTAAAAAGAAATTCCGTATTAATCAAAGTCTGATTTTTGAGAAAAAAAACGAGAGAAAGGCAAACATTTCAGAATTCGACAAAATAAATTTTGTGAGTCATAATGATGGCTATAATTTCAAAAGGACATTTACTATTTAATTTACCACATTTCTCATGTATAAATATATTTTTCTTAAAATAATTAGAATGTTGTTGATGATGCAAAAATTTGATTAATTATTTTAAATAGTTGGTTCAAATAATAGGAATTATCTGAAAATTATTCGGACACTATTCGAGGGGGTGGTTGATGGTCATTTTTCACAGCGCAGAACATTTCTATACTACTATTGAACATATAATTAACTTTATATAAACAGTTTTGATGGCGCACTGAGTTTAAGGAGCTTCTTTTAATTTATTTGGTTTAAATGCAGTTACCATTTTTAGACGACTGAAAGGCGGCGGAGCCTTGAAATTTACGAAATCAGCGTAGATTTAAATTTATCGTTGACTGAATATTAAATGTGTGTACGGTATAATGCAATGTACGCAATTTCGCGTACTTCTCGCTACACCGAACCGCATTGGCACATAGCCAATTCATTTTTTTCAAATTTCGTTCGGTCGTTTGACGCTGATAATAACTTTTTTAACGGTAACTAAATTCCCGCTGTTTTAATACAAATTTGAATCAGCGCCCCGCATAAAATAGGACGGACCACAACTATCCAGAGTGCTCGTTTTTTTTGGTAAGAATTCAACAAAAAAACTAGCCGATCACTCGATTTCTTTCAGTCAAATCTTGGAAACCCGCCAAAACTCCACCACTTCCATATTGGGCGCAGCATGTTTTGGCGTCGGCGATGCCCAAAGCGGTCGGAAACACTTGAACGCAATGCTTTTCATTATTCCGCATAAAGGATGTCCATCCGGCTGGACATTTTTCAGCATTAAGACGCTGAAAGGGTGAGTTGTGATGAAATTCATATCAAAATCAATTTTGCGTTTTTAAAATCATTTTTTTAATCGGACTTACTCGATCCCAATTCTCACATTTCGCATCGCTATATTTCACCGAACTCGGCGGACTAAAGACGCCGTAAACGGCAACGAGAAGAAGCGCGAAAAGCGCGATGAAGCGCTCCATGTTGTTGTGAATATTAACAAACATTGCGCGCATTTTCTTGTCTTTGATCACCATAGAAATTGTGACAAATATAAATAGAATGTGGCAACATGTGCTACGGCATCGTCATCGGAGATTTTCGGGAGAAAAAAAACAACAACAAAAATTATGCGAGACGAAATATCGGGCGCAGAATTCCGTTTTCAAAAGTCGGCAACGAAAAAATTGCTCGGATGGAATACAAATGCATAATAGTTGGTGGCTTAGAAACACTTTCGTCATAAAATTGAACAGACGTCGGTCGAATCATCATAACTTCTAAACCAGCAAAATTCGATGTTTCTTTTTATTTCGAAATATTGAAGATTGCTTTGAGTCTTCATCAAAAACAGAGCAACATGGGGAATTCTCGGATTTTCGCAAAAAAAAATTCCACTGATTTGTGCGCGTTACGGTAGGGATGTCCGCAATGGACATGAACCGCAAAAATGAACAGATTTTCTATTTTCGAAACTCGATTGCATACTGTTGTATCAAATAATTTTGGTTCCGTCATTTTTTTCCATCTTCCTTTTTCGGAAAATTCAAGTTCTGTGCAATTCTGACCAGTCCGTTCTCGAATCGACCCGATCCGACGCGGCGCAATTCTGAAAATTGCGATATTCAATTTTTGTGAATGTTTTTTGACGATCAACTTCCTAAACATGTTTTTAAAATTTGTGAAGTTTTCGATAAACGTCGTTGACTAAAAAAATATTTTATTTGAGAAACAAAAATGAAGCAGTCCCTCCTCTCGTTTGAAGACCCTGCGGTGATGCATTGAGTTTGAGGGCATCAATTTGGATGATCTCGGCTGACATTAAGAATGGTAACATATTTCAATTTCAATTTTAAACATAAATGCTAAATATTCATGGGAACTATAGGCATTTCATATAAAATTACTGTCGGCGTCCAGGCGACTTCGTGGTCTCGCCACTCGCCAATTTCGTTTCCACAAAATTACGCAAACGAAATTAATATTCAATTTTAGAGCTACTCCGAAAATTTGGAGTGTCGTTGCCCCGCAATTTAGCATACTAGAGTAGTCAACATCCTGTATGGTGTAGGTCTCGCGCGGACTAACTGGTTATTGTAAAAATTTGAAAATAAAAATACGAGCATTCAAGTGTTGCGAGACCATGATGCCCCGTAAATCTACCCCAACCCCTTCCCTTTTTTTTCACATCGAATCGTTGTGAAAAAATCTAAATCCAGCTGCTCCCAATAAAATATGAAAAACTCTCATTTGTTTTTTTTTTAATAAAATTCATTAAATCGAGCACATTTTTTTGCTGAATAATTATTTCGGTGTCATTCCGCAAACATATCCGCGAATCGCGCGTTTCGGACTCTCCGTGTTCACTGCATAATCGCATCTGAATCACAACTACATTTCCATTTCGGCCAAAATGTGTCCCTCTTACGGCACGTCTTCCATATCGCCGGCATTCCACACCCCAAATCCGTCCGTCATCGTCTGACTGATCATGTAAACACAATTCTGATTGTAGTTATTGTTGTCCGGCTGCCCATCGATGAAATTGAATCCGTCAGATCCCGTGATGCTCGTGTCGAGCCATTTGAACGCCTTCGTCGCCGCCGGCCGGCAATCCCATCGATTTTCATTTCGTCCCGAGCACTCATCTCGTCGTTGGGCTCCGATCCAAATTGCTCCGCCATCATTGAAATACTCATCCTTCTGAGCATCAGCTGAAGAAAATGAAATATCGAGTTCAACATTAACAGGCGACCCAACCAAGGACAAGGTCCCTCTCGCGCTTGTTCTGGAATCCTCCGACAGTTCCTCCATACTGCGAACAACAGAATTCGGCGTCCTCAAAGTATGCGCGCTCGCCGATCGCTTTGAGACAATGCGCTCTTCCGCTTCTCATCACGACCACCCATCCCTTCGGGCATCCATTCGAATCGGTACTCTATTCAAATAATAGTTGGGGGTTACTGTGGATTCTTGTCGATTCCTACCCGATCCCAATGTTTGCATGCCATTGAGGCGCCAACGATAAGCAACAATAGACAATTCCTCATTTCGGAATAATGATCTCCATTCGCCAATTTCCACCATATATACAAAACTAATTTGCATTTTCTTGTGGGAAACTAATTTAAATTCTCTCTTTTCATGAATAATTTTTTTATTGTTGTTATCATAAATTATAAGTTACAGTATTGTGTGCTCCTTTCTCGATATCGTCGTCTTCTCGACGCCCTTCAACGTTCCAGGATTCGAGACAACCGCCATCCATTCGGTGTACTTCAATCCGCTTGAGAGTCGCTCAATTTTCTGCCTGAATTTCCACAAAACAATTACTTGATTGGAAAATTCTTGAGAACGTTTAAAGGCGCATAATAAGCAATTGTAGAAATTTATTGCGAGATCTCAAATCTTTACAATCCTCTCATATTTTTGACCTAATATTCATATAATCAATTCTATATTATATTTCACTTCTTTTTTTCAAAGAAATTTGATAAAATATCAAACTCTTACCGATTTTCCTCAAACTTCTCATATTTTTTGGCAAGTGAAGGCGCAATCCATCGACCATTGTACAACACATAGCCCTCCTTTGGCGGCTCTTTTCCCTTGACCGCCCTCATTTCTAAAACGAGCCAAAAATTACAGTGAAAACAAAATCGTGAATACTTTCGACAAATTGCACATCAATATTTCTCTTCTCGACCTCATCATCAACGTCTTCTTCATCGGATTCTTTCACAATCTCAATGTATTCATCGGTGGTCATCCGCTTCCAGCCCGCATCCCTCTGCGTCTCAATCAGCACTCGAATCTCAACCACTTTGTCAATTATTTCAGTGCATTGATCAAGAAGCGTTTTGATCTCCTCGGGTTGCGAAATTTGTCCGCGTTCCATCGATTTCTTCAATTGTTGCGTCAAATTGCTCGATCTAGAAGCGAAAACAAAAATTGCAATTTTTTTAATTGAAGAGAATTCACTTGAAAATGAGCTCATAGACCAGCTCGCGGCCAATCACACACAAATCGCCAACCGTTCTCGATTTTAAGCCCTCTTGCGCGATCTCCAGCGGCCATATCTTGAGCTGAGGTTGAGACTGAAAATCAAACTGTCCAATTTCGGAATTTCCCCCCAGTAATAAGCAATTACCAAAAAAAAACTTCTCAATTTCGATTATTTTTTGAAATCTTTTTCAGAAGTCTCTTTGAAAAATTATATTTTTAAAATGAAAAAAAAAAGACAAACTCAAAAAATTGTTTTTGTTTAAAATAAATATTTCCCTTTTGACCAACTTTCGCGTTTATTAGCCAAATTAGGCCGATTATTAATAAAATCGAGGGAAATTTTGAAACGAGCTCATCAAATGATTTTTCTTCTCTCAAAATATTCTCGAACCTCTTTCCTCGCACTACTTTGTCCTGAAGACGCCGACGACGGGTTCGCAAGCGACTGTTGCGGCCTGGAAAAACAGAAATTGCGAAACTAGGCCACGAGACGAGCCAACTCGTACACAGTCAGCGTGTTGTGCTGCGGCGCCGATGTCGTCGGATAGCATTCTTGCTCGCCAATCACCTGAGCCGCCATTTGGGGAGCCGGCGCAATCTGCGGCTGCGGTTGGAGTGGCGGCTGCTGCATCTGATGATGAAGTGACTGCTGCGGCTGTTGCTGCTGATGATGTTGTTGAAGTTGCGATTGCATTTGCATATGATGTTGTGGCGGCGGTTGCGGCTGCATTTGGTGCATCGCCGGAATGTGCGACGGATAAGCCGGCGGATAATGAGCCGGAATGTTCTGTGGTGCGAGTTGTTGATGCTGAGACGCCGCTTCGGCACCCCAATAAGCTTCGGGTTTGACTAAAATCGATAATCGTTCGTGAATAGGCGAGATTAATCTAAAAATTTTCAAAACATGCGCATTCCAACGTTTTTCCGACAAAAAATCTCAATTTTTTAAAATTTGAAATCTACTATTGACAAAAAATGCGTAGAAGGAGGCCGATTTGATAGGAGAAAATTAATTATTGCTAATAGTCATTGAAAAAAAAAATGGATAAATTTAATTTAATTCTTTTTTAAGCACACCAAAAATAAACAAAAATAGCGACACAAGATTTGAATCAATCTGAAATGTCGCGTAAAGTATATTTCATCTGCGGACAAAATCGGCTTATCAGCGACCGCCAAAACGAGTTCGACGGAACAACAAAACTGGCCATAAAACCGTGTTGCATGGGGGGGGGATTTTGAAAAGATTTTGGCGGACGATAAGAAACACGGAAAACAACAGAAAAAACACACACAACGGTGAGAAATTTGATATAAATTGCACTTTGAAGGGCGTTCGCGGCGTCATTTCGACGGAATCAATTAGTACGGCTGATTTCGCACGCTTGCGAAATCAACCGCAATATATATACATATATTATAATAATGCAGGTGTGAAATATGTGAGTTTCGAGGAATGAAGCCTTAAGAACGCCGATTGTCCTCTCGTGTTCTATTGTGCGCGATTTTGAGCGGAGAATTTGAGAAAATTGCAGTTCGACATATAAGTCGCGCGTAAGCTCCAATTAGCAGCTGTTTCTTCTCAAATTTTCCCATAAATTCACATTTTTATACGTGACGTTTTCAACAAAAAAAAATTACAGAGTTCCGGGTGGAATTGAACCACTTGAAACAGTGTCCACGCTGACCATTACATCAAGAGTTGTGGTCTAATTTTCAACAAGTCGTCGAATTCCGACAAAAATAGAATCGACTTGTTTTTGATATCAATACTAGTTCTATTTGCGGACAATCCAAATGTGTGCAAAATTTTTTGAAAAATTTCTGCGTTCGGGGGGAATCGAACCCCCGTCGAATGCTTGGAAGGCATCCATGCTGACCATTACACCACGAACGCGTTGAGAGGCTTCATCCACGACAGCATATTTGATCAACATCGACGAGAGAAGAAGCGCACTCCATTGAAGGGATATTCGCGATCTCGGTGATGATTCGCATAGCTTAATGGATATCCCTTAAATGGAGTAATGTTGATCAAATATGCTGTCGTGTATGAAACTTCTCAACGCGTTCGTGGTGTAATGGTCAGCATGGATGCCTTCCAAGCATTCGACGGGGGTTCGATTCCCCCCGAACGCAGAAGCTTTTCGAAAAATTTTGCCAACAGATGGATTGTCCGCAGATAGAACTAGTATTAATACAAATTTTCTAAACAAAACTAAACGATCCTGTTTTTGTCGAAATTCGACAGCTTTTTGAATATCAGACCAAAGACTCTTGATGTCAATGGTCAGCGTGGATTCTGTTTCAGTGGGTTCGGTTCAACCCAGAACTCTGTATATTTTTTGTTGGAAAAGTCACGTATATGTGCATTTGTGATAATCTTTTGAAATTGCCGACAAATTTTCGTCAGATATTGCCGATGTCGCGCGTCTGCGGAAAATTGGCTGAATGCCAAAAAAAATAATGGTCTTGGCGCAAAACTAAAAGTGTAGATTTTCGGGACTATGCATAAGGATAGATTAAAGGCGCACACCGCGCACCGAGACTTTTTTTGGCATTTAGCCAATTTTCTCGTAGTCGCGCGACGTCGACAATACCTTTCTCCGTAATTCACAGCGGACGTTTAAACGGGAAATCGGACGCCAATGAGTTTTACAGAGTTTGATATTCTTAAAATTTTCAAACTTTGAAAAAAATTTTGAATGAAAAATGTAGAGACTGTGAATTTTCTAACATTTCGTTTAAAAAATATATACATATGTATGGATTATTAGATTTGATTGCGTTTTTGATAAATTTCATCGATTTTGGACCCCTTAAATCGGGCACATTGGTTAAAGCTTCTGCGAACAGCAAAAAAGACGATTTGAACTCACTTCTCATCTGATTATACTGGTTCTGCGCCATTTGCGGCGGCGTTTGTTGTATTCCTTGTGGATACGGAACTGGCGGCGCAGTTTCCGGATACGGCATTCCCGGATAGCCACGAGGACCTCCTGCATAATCTAACACGGAACCGTGAAAACAGACGGAAATCGAATACCCATTTGCGAATAAGCGGCCGGATGCTGCTGCATTCCCATCGGCTGGTACATCTGCTGATAATATTGCGCCTGCTGATTGGACATCGGTGTTCCCGGCGGCGGGTATTGCTGGTTGGGATTCATTGCTGAACGAAATGCTCTAAAACACAATCAAGACGAAATTTTTTGGCCAGAAATAGGTAGGAAAAGACGAAAACTTTCGCAAAATGTTCACATTTCAAATGGAAATAATAGAAAATTCATATACATAGATGGACAATTACCGGTTAGACAAAAATTGAATGAGATGAATGATAATACACCGTAAGAATTGGATTACAATTGAAATGGTTAGGCTTTGATCGACTTCGAGCAAATCTGTTTGGCTTCGAAGAAGCATGCGACGACGGCGGCGAGTTGCGTCTCGTTGCTGCAACCGGCCGCGAGATTCTCTTCGACTTCGCCGAGTCCTGTCACGATTGCGCTCAAAGCCTGAAAGTTTCCCATCATTTTTTTTATTTCTACAAAATACCACTCCGATCTTATCAAACTTCGGGGAAACCGTCTGTTTTTTTTTGGAAATTTTTATCAAAAATTTTTTAACGGTTTTCCTCTTTCATAATGTCCTAAAAAAAATAGGTAATATAGATTTAGAATAGAAAAAAACGAGTAAAAACAAAAAATGATTCAATTTTCTAGGAGAAAAAGAAACAATCGTTTTTAAAGCAAATTAAGAGCAAAAAAAAACTCGGGACTTGAAAAAATGGCAACAGTCAGAATGGGGGAAAAAAATAAAAATTCCCCCGATCGTTGGAAAATGGCTTACATCATCCGGAATATCCAATGTGTAAGCCAATTCGTGCAAATGGGTGATGACGTCTTGCAAAGCGTACCCATTATCGAAGAAGTTCTTCTTGATCACTAAATTTGGTTTTCAAAAATCGTTTTAAATCCTCAATGTCCCACCTTCAATGCACTTTTTGACAGGATCGTTGAGAAGAGCATTTACTGCCGACTTCATTTCCGAGGGAGTTGGTTGTCCGATGCACTGGTAGACTGTGGTCTCCGAAATTTCTGCGAAACTCATTGCAGTACTCTAAAACTCAAATTTCGAATTTCGATTTTCTAGATGGCAAATTTACCTGTAACGTGTTGAGGACTGTTCTCATGTCTCCACCGGCCACCGCCAACAAAGCCGTTCTTCCGCCATCGGTCATTTTCAGATTCTCCTGCTTCACGACATGATCCAATCTTGGCCCGATCAGCTTCATTTCGAGCGGAGCGAACCGAAATCGAGTGCATCTTGATTGAATTGCCGGAATAATTGAGGAAAGATAGTTGCAAATGATGCAGAAGCGCACGTTGTCCGTGTACTTCTCAATGATTCTGTGCAATTCCCACATTTTTATCCAGATATTATTCATTAAAATTACCTTCTGAGCGCGTTTTGAGCGTCTTTTGTCATTGCGTCGGCTTCATCGAGAATAACGAGCTTGAACTTGATTCCATCCCCAGCTGCATCTTTTGCTGTTGAAAAAAGCGATTTTGTTTGGGCGAATTGGACAATAGTATTTCGAACGACGTCAATTCCACGATCATCAGAGGCGTTTAATTCGAGAACCATAGAGGAGAGCTTTGTATTTGGGTACATTTTGCGAGCAGCGGCAAGAACCTAAATTCAACTTTCAAAACTAACTTTTAGATTGTAATTTACCGTTGTAGTTTTTCCTGTACCAGGCGGTCCGTAAAACAGAAGATGTGGCAATGTTTTGTTTTCAATAAACTTCGAAACTTAAATGATAATATTACATTTTCCAACAATAAATTTTAATTACGAGTTTTGACAATTTCTTCATGAGCAACAAGTTCGGTGAGTGTTTGCGGACGATATTTTTCCACCCAAGGAAGATTTGTTGAAACCACAGCTTCCGGCATTCTGTAAAACTTTTTTAAAATTGATATGAGTGCTAAATTTTTTCGTAAAAATTCAAAATTCAAATTTTCTCGTAAGATTTGCGCCAAGGAAACGCGCCACTGGCGCAATAATGGTGCAGTTGAAATTTTGGCGCCAGTCATCTGCACGCTGGCGCATTTGAATTATTGGAACAAAAAATCCATTTTATTTTTTCTTTTTTCGATTTTCTCCGTTTTTGCTCTCAATTTTTATGTTTTTTTTTTCAGTTTTGGGTAGGAAAATGATGAGTCGAACAGAAGTGATTATCAAAACTCAAGAACTTGTGAATAGGGCTAAAGCCGGTAAAACGGTTTGAATATGACATTTAAAATTATGTTTTCAGGCGAAGACGCTCTCAATGACATGCTAAGCCGTGCAAATAAAATATCTGAACGAATTCGTTGCATGCGTAATTATAAGAAAACACTAGATGATATTTCAGGTATCAAAGAATAAGAATAATAAAAAAAATATTTAAAAAATGTTTATCGATTTTTTTAAAGAATTTACTGTAAATGGGCACAAAAGAAAGAACATTCTTGATGATCTGCAACGAGAGAACAAGAAGGTAATGGCGCTGGAGAATGAGGTTCGTCAACTGCGATGCATCACTGACGAATGTCTCGGAACGATTCGCGACGTCGTCAAAAGTCATAATCGAATAAAGAAATGCATAGAAACGTAGGATTTTCTTTAGAATTTCGAGAAATATTCAATTTTTAAGTAGTTTGAATAATAATGAAGCCGACGAAATAGATAATGTTCTTATGGAAATGTCGAAAAGGAAGCTGGAGTCGAAGTTGAGGAAAGACGCGATGTTCATGAATTCGATCATGAATGATTTAGAGAAGACGCGATTTGAAGAAGAAAAGAAGTTGGCGCTCCTCCAGCAAGAAAATCGAGTTTATAGGCATGTTTAATAATTTGAAATCGAAAAACCAATGTGTATTTCAGAGAGCTTCTTGATATGGCGAGTTTATCGAACCCGGCAGCACCGAAAATACTAAAAGAAGCGTTGAGACGAATTGAAATGGAAGATCGCGAGGATCTGGTGCATGCGAAAGAAGAGGAGGATGATCTCAATGAAACTGTTCTCAATTCAACAATTGTTCGTTCATAATTCAACATTTCGAATGTGTCATAACTTATTGCCAAAATTAATCGTTGTAAATAATCAATATTTCACCGGTTCTAATTGATGAATTTTTAAAATTCCAGAAATAAAGAATAGGTGCCTGTTTTTCTCCGAGGAAATCAAATATTCGATAGCTGCGCCTTCACGTCGTGGTCCGTGCAAACTCTCTCTTTGTCGCTCATTTTGGGCGCTAAACATGTTTGCCGGCATGCAGGGATGGCCGAGTGGTCTAAGGCGCCAGACTCAAGTGAAATACAAAGCTTGCCTCGCGGTTTCGAGGTCGCACTGGGTGTTCTGGTACTCGTATGGGTGCGTGGGTTCGAATCCCACTTCCTGCAGATCAACTTTTTTGGCGATTTCAATCCTGAAGATCCAATTTGATCAATTATATTATCTACTGCATACGTCTTGTTAATTGATGAGCTCTCGACGCCAATTTTTCGCGCTCTTATGAGAAAAAATCTTCAGAAAAGCCTCTTTCGATATTTACATGATTTTATTTAAACGATAAGCTGAAACTATAAAAAATAAACAATATAAATAAAAACTGACAGAAGCCACAATATTTACAAACTGAGCACATTTTGAAGCTAGAACGATAATTGTTTGATTCTTTCGTTTTACGGAGAAAAAAAAAACAAATAGGCAAGGCACAAAATAGCTAAAGAGAGGTGAAAATTGTGATAATAGTTGGGATTTTACTGAATGGGTTGCGATCTACTCGCCTTGATCAATTCCGATCAATTTGATTCTCAAAAACAACGAGTAGATCATGTGCCGAAATGATGTAAATCTACACTCAAAAACTATTTTGATATCAAAAAAAAAAAAAGAAAATCGGTGATTGCGTGAGTTGAAGGAAAAAAAGAAATGGATACTCGTCGAACAAGATTAAGAATGAAGCAATTGACTTTTCGATGGAAAAAAGCTTAGAATCTTCTCGGAGCTCTACGCGGAATCGTCGATGATTCGTAGACATTCTCGCCGCCTTCAAGGTTGCGCGAGCGCGATCTCGAACGGGTCTTGCGACGATACGGTTTCGGCTCATCGTGCTGCTCGCCATCGCTCGCCATGCTCTCGTCGACTTCCTCGATTCCATTGTCAACTTTGACTTTGCTGCGAAGCGGCTCGCGCTCAGAATTCACGTCATTCGCGCTGTAGGATCTGAAAACAAAAACACAAGCGTTTTTCGATTTTGGTGTAGATTTACGCGCTGATTTTCTTTATCTATTTGTGAAATAAATTTTTAATTATTTTCTCGATGATTTTGGCATTTCGTTGAATGTAGAAATTTAAAAATTGTCAAAATTGGCTCTAGAATGCAATTTAGCCAGCTAGCCATCGTGAAACACTATGCATTAGAAGCCGACTACATTGAAACTGGAAAAAAAATGACAGAAAATGGTTCGGGCTATGAAAGGATCGATTTTTGCTCTTTTCCTAGTCTAAGTGTATACAAACTAATTAAGGAAACCTAAAAGTTTCACCTGAAAACATTTAAATGAGTATCCGCTCGTAAATCGACTATCAAATATTGAATTGCTGCTCATTTTTTTCATATATATCTATATAGACGATGTAAATTTCAAAATAATTAAGATTGCCGATTTTTGAAAAATTTCCATATATAGAAAAAATTGAGATCATCACAATTTTTTCAATATGCGAAATTCGAAATTTGTCACTGTTTTGGAAAATGTCAGGTTTTTGATTCTTATCGCTTTTTGATTAAGAAGATCAACGAAACACGCGTTTCGCAAACCTCCAGTTTTCTCATTTCATTCCTATATTGAGAAAAAATTGTATTAATTTAATTTAACAAAAAAAAATAACGAAGCAATACCTTTGAAGCTGATTGACAATTTGTTGCTGTCCGCGAACCGCCGCCTCCGCGACAATATCTTTCGCAAATACCAAGCTTCTGCTGCCAATTCGCACAATCTGAAACGAATTTAAAAAAAGATGAAAATAAAGTAAAATTTGCTTACTTGATTATAGCTTTCCGATTTGGCCGCATCCAACATCGCATCGATATCCTTCTCATGGCGATTCAAAGTCGGATGAACCCACTAAATCAAAATTTGATTTTCTTTTAATGTGCAGAAACAAAAACAAACCTTTCGGTACAAAATTGATGCTCCTTTTGTCCAGGGGCTGAGAAGCCAAAAAATGAAAATGATTTTGAATTGATAGTAGAATGGAAACCAGAAGGCGAGCAGGAGATCGAGAATGTTCTCGCAAAACGAGTACAATGCGAACACTATCCAGTACATCATCCATTTCACGTATTCTCGTGTATCTTTTGTGCGAACTGCCTACAATTATTGGAATTTTCAAAAAAAAAATTCAATGAAAGCCTGATTTTTTTTTTCTTTTTCCCCCTTCCATCTCTTATTAAATATTATTATATAGTCGGCGTCCGGCGACTGCTGTTCGCGTGTCGATTTACGGGAATGCGTCTTTCGAAATGGTCTCGCAAGGACTAACAGATTATTTCAAATTTTATGGACCGATTAAATAATTTTTTAATCGATTTACGTTGAAAATTTAAGGAAATGAGAAACTCATCAAGAAAAATGAAGCAGTTCGCGTGAAAACAGCAAAATAAGCGTTCACGCGTGGCGAGACCTTTTCAAGGTGCATGCGCGTAAATCTACCCGCGTGCTTCAATCACCGGACGCCGATTATACATATTTGGTGAAAATTGACAAAAATTGCAACGAAATCGGAGAATTCAAAAATTCCAGAAAACCACATTTGGCGCATTTCGCCATCGAGAAGAAATCGAACCTTATAACTTCTATATGCGGGGTACAATGTGCCAGCAGTGATGGTCAAAACTTTCGAGATGGTCTCCGACATTTCGCCTCAACGTCTAGGAACACGCCGTCGATGTGTTCCGATGCGGCTCAAATGCCAAGTCTGAAAATGGAATTTGTCGAAAAAAAAAAACACACACACACAAACATATTAATGAAATTGATAAGATGAACCCAAAAATCGATGGTATCATGCGCAGATAAGAGGGGCAAAGAATGAATTGGTGAAGACGAGGCGACGACTCTCGATCAGCCCAATTAATGAAGTGATCGAAACCGGACAACCAAAAAAGAAATACACACAACGGAACATTGACACGATGGGGAGGATATGACGGATGGCAGAAGCAAAAATGATAGCGCGATGAGACCAAAATGGGAGTTGCGAAAATTAAACGATGCACAACGGAAAGAAACCGAGGAGAGACGAAATACAACAGGAGCGGCGGTGGCGGCGGCGGCAAACAATGCGGCGAAATTTTGAACCGACGAGGCGAAAAAAATGGAAATATATACATATATTTTTTGGAATTGTGAACATGTGTTCAAATATGGTATGACAAATACAATGATTCGAAATGGCGAGGAAACTATTTAAAAAAAAATAGAAGACGCAGATTATTTTCAAGAGATTCTGGTAATTCAAAACCAATCCTACAGAATTCGGCTCCGGAATTCTACGAATACGATTGGAAAATTGTTGGATCCAATTGGATTTTTTTTCGGATTCGATTTGTCTTAATTTTTCAATTCGAATCAGATCCGACAATTTTACTTTGTATAATTTTTAATGAAAATTATGGAAAAAAAGGATTTTTCTCAAAAGCCGAAGCAAACGCAATTTTTGTAGCTCCTAGAATAGTGTTTCAAATAAAAAAATTTGTTTCTGAAGATTTATATTCAATTTCTAAATCAATTTTTGGGAATAATCGAAAAATGAGTGATTTGCCGAATTTCGACGGCGGCTTTGGCCTATTTTCGCGCAGAGACCTCAAAAAGATAAAATCAGGCACTTTTCAACTATTCCAATGTTGTATAATGAGAGAGAAAACGAATATCTAATCGAAAAACGCTCAACCAATAGCAGCGGACACTTTTTGGCTTGGGATTACCAGTGGACCGTTTTTTTCCAAAACTTTGGTAGCTCAAAACCAATCGAATCCGACAATTTTACAATTTTATCCGTAGAATTACCAATCGGATCGGTTTGATCCAGAAGCCGAATTTCGTCGGATCCGATTGGTGAACTTCAGGCATTGAACTCAACACAAAATTTCCAAGGTCAAAGTCTTTAAAAAAGTTTCAGATTAAGTCCGAAAGAAAAAAAAACAACACGAAATGAGACGATTATTGGAACCCGTGACATTATGTTGCATGCAAAATCGGTGTATTTGTTCTAAAATGATTAATGCAATTAGTACACCATATTTGGAATCAATCAAATCTGACGAATGATAGCGAAAATGTTTGTATGACTAATGGGGTGGCAGTCACCAACAAATCTCTGAGATCAAAGTCGAATTCGGATGTTCGTTGAAAAGTTTGAAATTGCTTTATTAACACATAATGATTGGGCTGGGTACCGGTTTGACACATTAATTAACCTATTTGAATGGTCTATCAAGGACATTCAGCAACGGATACCACTACTACTACTACTATTATTATTATATAGATATTGGAGAAGAGAGAAAACGAAATAGCGGTCAGCGGACAGCCGATTTTTGCTCATTGTTACTACGAGATGATCGCGAGAAAGATAATATTTCTCAAAGATATATTTATTGATTTGGGTTTGGCCGCTTGCCAGCGGTTTCCGAAACAAAAATCGATTTCGAATGAGTGTCTTGGTCGAAACTAGACCCGAAACCCACACACATACACGCACATTTTGTATTTTTTTTTTCTTCGGTGCGAAAGTTTGCCGAGATTATTGACTTGGGTTCTTTCTCACGTGCTCATTCACACGACAAGAGGATCTTCCGGAAAAAAAGACAAAGAAAAATCCTAACTCAAAATTACGAACTGTCTGAAAATTAAATGAACTGTCGGCAACTGGAAAATGCAATGAAAGTATGTATATACGGCAAGTTCGATTCATTTTTTTATTTCGTTTGGAAATGAAGAAGCAACTAACTGCCGTCGCCGCTGCCGCCGCCGGCTGACGCCCAATCGTACAATCGAACGACAATTTGAACGAGCATTAATTTAAAATGTGCACGGGAGAATTCGAATACATGAAAATATTGCAATTTTTAAACTTATCATTGTCGTCAACGGAAGAATTTCTTGCTAAGAAACACGTCCTTTGATTATTTGCACTCGGCGCTCTTTTTTGTTCAGAGTTATGCAAATACTAATCGACTAGACGAAAGTTAATTGAAAGGAGAATTGGGTAAAATGATGATAATAATATCGATATGAATGAATTTTGCAATTATTGGAAAAAATTGAATTGAAGAAATTTGAAGTGCCAAATACCGTAACTTGTAAGTACACCGTGACGCAAAAGCGCACGCTTTGATAAATCTTTGATTTTCTTTTCTCCCGCAAAAAATGGATTTCGCGGTGATTTTTGTGTTTTCTCCGAACTTTAAAAAATTAGTTTTACGATTTTATAATTTTGATACCAAAAAAGTCGTCAAAAAGCACAATGGTTATAATTTTTAAGGCACATATCAAATAGATAAGCGTTCACTTTGCGAAATAAAATGATAATAACCGGTAAAAACTTTACAAACATATAAATGTCGGCGCGAAATTCTACCTGCCGGTTCGCAATAAAAGACGAGGCAAGAGCGCAGAGGAGCAGAGTCGTTCTGCGTCTTCGGCCTCTTGTGATCGGCGTCGTCTCTCGCTTCGACACACTATTTCTTCTGATCCGCACACATCTGCCAGAGGTCCCGAATGTTGCCTATCTGATTTACGGTTGAAAAACGCGCTTCACAATGGTAGAGATAAATAACTTTTGTTCAAATGAATCATCAAGAAACAATTCAATTATTTGTATTCAAAATCGATGTTCAATCTCGCAAATTTGTCGAAAATCTCAACATGCGACGAATCTGAAAACCATTGGGTCGTCGACGAAACAAAAAAAAGAAGGTAAACGCCATAAAAACGATTACACATTTAATTGCGTTTAGAGCGATTAGTTTACGGTAGAGTTAGTTCGTTTAAATGCAATCAGTTCGTTCGATTTCAGACGAACAAAAAAAATTGCCGGAAAACAAATTCCAATCGAATTTTGCACGATCAAAACTATTGGATGAATTGTCGCAATAAAGGCAGATTTACGAGCCTAATGTGGATTTCGTATTGTAGGAAGAACCAGTTTCATAAGAGGATTTATTTGTAATGAGAAAAAATGATATACCTGCTATCGAGACATTGTCATAAGAAGGAATTGGCAATCCGACCGACAGAATACTCTTGACTGCCTGCTTCGCTGTCATTGACAAAATACTCGAAAACGTTTGAAGGAATCTGAAAATCCAGTCAGTGTGTTGAAAATAAATCAACTGCCTTTTTTCTTTTCTTCTTCAATATTGTACTTACAACGATGAAACATTTCCAATATTCGAGAAGTCCTCGCGAACGCTGACGGTAAAATTGCCAAGATCTCCATAAAGACGAGTGTGGTTGAGGAATGGGCGAACTTCAGAAGTTGAATCCACGATAAGGCGTGCGAGAATATTCTAGAATCTTTTAAGAACACAATTTTTCTAAATTTGCGACTCTCTCGCCTTTTTCGTCTTCAAAAACGGATTAATATGCAAATCGACAGCGAGACTCATGTTTAATTGAACACCGTCCTCTTGACTCATAATGAAGAATGGACTTTTGGCGGTGTGGAAATATAAATCCACATATTGCTTTGGGTATTTTTTGCGAAGAAGCGGAAAAAATCGGCCAACGCATATCGATAAAAATCCGCAGCTTGTTTGCAAATAATTGGCGATTGTCGGGATATCCTTGGAGACGACTAATCGGACAAGCTGATTGCGATGCGCTGATTCCATTAGGCAGTTGGGGACTCCAACGGAGAGCCACGAGGTTACCATTCCAGGATATTTGCCGCCATCTGTAGATCCGTTAGAGATTTCTGGGGTTTTCTTTTGTTGGAACATGCCCTACCAATCCATTCCAATTCTTTGACTGGCTTACACGTTGTGTTTCCGAAGACCACATCAGCGGCAAGGTCGAACTCAGCAAATCCGCTGAAAATCCAATTCTCATCTTTATTGATTTTTAAACACTGCGGTTATTGTCAAAAATCTGTCAATGGTAATCGATCGGGCGTAGGAAAAAAACGCAGAAATTAATTTTTGGTGATAACTCGAAAAGTCGCTCTAGACGGCGGTCAAAAAGTAAAATAAAACTCAAAAAAAATAGGTTGTGGTTTTTTTTTAAACATGATTTGGTTGGATGTTTAATTTTGTGCACACCACAATGGGAAAAGCAAAGCCAATTTCGCTTTCTGGACAAACTCAATTCGGCATACATAATGATTCAAAACAAAGTCTCGAATTATTGGAAAAAGTCGATGTGCCATCAAAAATATTTGAAGGGCCCATTAGCGTATGACCAAAAGCAAAAGGAAGTGATGGGAAGAGCTTTGGTAAATGATTCGAGTCGTATACGCTGATATCGCTCTTCAAACGCGGCAAAATGCGATTGGGATTTCTTCATATACAATTGGAATTTCTTTGTATACGATTAGGATTTTTTCGTATGCGATTGGAAATTTTTGCGGATGTTTATACAATTAAAAACCATTCATCATAATCGTATACGATCCTATACGATTCGCATTAACGTATACGATTTTAATTTTATCTTATACGATGAAGAAATTCTGTTTTTCGTATACGACTAGGAATCATTTTCCAAAGAGTTCGGAAAACATCTCAAGCGACGATCGCAATAATATTGGTCTTGCGTCAAACTCCTCGAAATCGCTCAACGATATCAGAGGAGAGTTGAGCTCAGACGATTCGAGATTAAAGATAATTGTTTTCCGGTTTTTTTCTCGTTCGATTGCAGTTTTAATAACTTATTTTGGTTTCCGAAACATCCCCAAAAAAATAGAGAGATGTCTTAAACTATTTACCTTGTCGATTTTGGATTTCGTGTCAAATAATAATCAATGAAGAAATTATGGCCAATATCGATATGAGATGGCAGAGCGTGAAGGAATTCATTGGCCTCGTCAATTAGAATTCCGTGGGCCGCTGTGCAAGCCTAAAAAAAACCAAAAAAATTCAAAAAATTTACGAGAGATGTGAGACTTGAGAATGTATAATACTCTTCAAAAGATTGGAGAATGGAGTTTGGAATATGTTGACAAGCCATGAGAGAACACTTCCACCGATTCTGAATCTTATTCTATTTAGGATTGCGGGAAGACATTCTCACTCCACATGAAGATAGCGAATTTCTGCAGAACAATCTCCGATTCGAATTTGTGGCCTTCCGTCTAACTCCAACACAGAAGCTGAGATATTCATGCGGATATCGGTTGCCACTGCATTCACCCATCCTTTATCGTGCACCTATTAGCATCATTATTTGAATTGCGGACAATTTGGTTCTAATTATATCAAATAATATTTATAATTAAAATAATAATTTGAAAAAATGAATGGCTAACCGTGACGACTTCGGTGAAACTCGCTTCCCACAGTCCGCTCAATTTCACTGCTCCTTGAGCTGTCCACCAGCTGATTCCCTTGTCGGATAATTGAAAATCAATGCTGAATATTCAAGTATTTTTCGGAAAATGCCTAGCCAAAAACAATTGCGGACACGTTTCGAGGCCACCCATTTTTGTCTTGAAATAATATTGAAAAAAAATTTCACATTTTCAAAAATTTGGGTCTCGCCACGAGTTTTCTGATTGCAAAATTCACTTAGGAGTTCGAAATTTTTCAATTTTCAATTCTGAAGTCTCGACAACTCCGGTTCCGACGCTAGTGGAAAACGGCAAACTGATCATCGGAATCGTGATTTTCGGAATCTCCTCATCAACCTGACAAATTAATAACATTGAACAATTTCAGCAAATAAAAGAACAAACTTACAACGTGATGTCCATTTTTGCTGAAAAACTTGAAGAATGGCAAATTGAGGCGAACTTTCAGTGTTCGATTGTTCGCCGTGGCAAAATTGAGACAAATTGATAAAATAATCCAATACGATATAATCGATGGCATTGCAAAAGCACTTTTTAGAATGTTTATTTTTTCAGCAAATATCCAATTTCAAAACGATAGAATGGCAAAAAGAAACCCGTTGATGAGACGATGGAAATTCGAAAAAAAAGGGAAACACATTTATAAACATTTGAAAACAGCGTTATTCGATTTGAGTGTTGTCAACGACACTATTCGGTGCGCTGTATCTCGATCTGAGCAACGGGTCCCGACTGCGAGCCGAGACTCGCGGAGTTTGTCTCGCCGATGGCCGATGCTTGTAATCAGTTCGGAGCGATGAAGCACGACTCGGATTCCGCGACATTCTTGGGCTCGGATTACGCGAGACTCGAGGTGATTCCGATGGATGTTTGTGAAGCTTAAACAAATCGAATTTTCTGTTTCAAAAATGCAATAAAAAAATCTTTTTGGTCCTATAGATTGTGGACCTTTTTGTTAATAAAAATTGCAAAACAACGAGCACCAATTTACGGTATCCGAATTCTTATAGCTTAAATTAAAATAAAAATTAAAAAACACGATGGTCCACAATTATTCAAGGCTCTTGTTTAGGGTAATAAATTCGAAAAAGCTTACCGCATCTTTTTTCAGTATCGATCTTACTTGACTCTCCCATGATTTCGAGTTCACAACCGACATCTGAAACCATGATGTTTTGAAGAAAACCATCAAATTTTACATCTTTCCTCCTAGTGGTATTATTGCTCTTCTTCTTCAAATTATCGCTCGATTTCATTCCATCCGTGCTTCTTGGAGTGTTCTGCGTCCGATCGAGAGCTTCGGTGAGTGATTGCGTTTTTGCCGATGCTAGAGCCTCTTCGGCCTGATATCAAATATTTATTTTTTTTTTCGAAAAAAAAACTCTCCAATAGCTGACCAGTCGTTTTTCAAGAAGCCTGTTTACAGCCGCTTCAAGATCCTCTTTCTTCAGAATATAATTTCCATTCGACTCGTTTTCGCGTTTCGACCCTTCCGGAGCTCGAAGCGCTTCCTAAAAAAGCAAATTGCAAACTCAAACATGCTTGAAATATTTAACATTTGGAGGTGAATCCTCGTTGTCTGAAATTAAAAATTTATCGAATATAATGAGCATTCGTCAACGAACTGCAAGCCAGCGTTCTCGTGTCATCGACTGTGTTGATAACCTTCGGAATCGGCGACTTGTTCAAGATTATATTCGCTGGTTGGAACTGAAGAAGAGAGTGCGTTTGACTTAAATTCTTCTTACATTGTCGCTTATAAGCTTCTGCTGCTCGGCCGGAACCTTTACAGTAACCGCCGATCCGTGCATTGGATTCGCACGCTTCATAATAGCCGCGGATTGCTGAAAAAAAAAAGAATTCCGTTCCATCGAATAATGAAATCTATTAAAAATACCACAGTATGTGGCAATATGACATTCATCTCGACAAGATCAGGAACACGATCGAAGAAGTCTGTGGCATAACTCAACGAGACCTGAAATTTCCGGAAAATCATAATATTCGAAAAAGGGAAAGAAGAAGAACCATGAGATTGCGTTCGATTAATGTATCTACTTCGAAATCATCATCATCGAGACCGAATGGGTTAAGCATTACCTTAAAACAAGATAAATTGTTTGGAAAATCTATTTAGAATACAAATGCGATTTTAAGCCATCCATTGAATACAACGAATTCAATTATATTGTATAATGGGACCAGTGTTTCAGCAGCTGCAAAAAAGTGTTATAGGTTTTGCTCAGATGTCTTCTTTATCACCTTCGGTGACTTCTGAATCGTCATCGTAAATTCTTTGGGAAGCTAGACATAATATTATGAAATAGCTCACTGTACACATATTCACCGACTGCTCTTTTTTAATCTCAATTATTAAATTAATTTCAGTACTTACTTGAACGTAGACTAATGGGACACTGATCCAATCATAAGAAAGAATGTCGTGAAGTTGTTGGCGATAGTCGAGAATTGACTTAAGTAGAAAAGTTTAAGTCTGGAATTTTTATTAAGGTAATTAATTGCCTTTGTAATTTGGGAAAAATGATAATATTCAATGCATCCCTTCTTTTGCGCGGTTTTTAGAAGTCCCAAAGCCCAACCTATGGGTACCCAATGTCTTGTATGCTAAATAAACTGTAGTGTTACGAAAAGCTGCTATAACAATTCTTCTTACAGTATTCTTCTCGAGTCTTGATTTTTCCTCATAAGTTATTAGCGTTGGCGCCAAATGATCGTAAGTTGGGAATCTCTTTTTGATTCGAAGGCTGACATCGCGGAAGACGAGAACATACGAGAGAATTAGATATCGCATGATGGTTTGTCGCAGATTTTTATCCTCGGCCTTGAATTTTTGAAAAAATTTCGAATAATTGTTTCTTGTAAACTTCATGTTTTCTCCCACGAGTTTTCAGAAACGCTGTCATTTGAAGAGCTGCCGTGTCCGGCCATGGTATCGTCATAAACACACTCCACCAGCGATTTGTGACAAATGTTACGTAGAAGCCTAATGCAAACGTGATTACAGAACGACTGTGACCGACTATCTAAATAAATTATGATTTGAAAGCGAATGATATGTCGGCAAAATTATCGATGAAACTGGGGTTTTTTTTCGTGTTCGATGAAATAATAGCAAATTTATTTTAAAAATAAAAAAAATTGGTTGTTTCTCTCAAAACGCGCAAAATAGCGAAACCTGAGCGTTTCGTTAGGGACCGAGGAAAAGCCCTGTTGTGTTCGATAATTTTGCCGAGATTATTGTTTTCCCATACATCTCTACATCGAACCACAACTTGTTCAAAAAGTGTTCCGTAAAAAGTGTCGAGCAACGCAAAATCATAAACTGTCCTAAAATTAACAATTCGAATATTATATTACAATTTATGAACCGAATATTAACAAAAAGAAATAACCAAAGAACCAATTCCCAGTATATCGCTTTCCATACACTTCCACGCCAACGGAACAAAAGCCGAAGAAATGTGAAAGAAGTCGCCGTTGCGACATCTTTCATGTATCCAACAGTCATTTTTCGGTTAAAAAGGAATGAATAATTTTAAAATCACGCAAAATTAATAGAAGCGTGGAATAGTATATTTTAACATTATGATACGGTAGCCAAACGGTGTCTGCAAACACTGCTGGTATAAAATGCATACTAATCTCAATTTTCAAAACGTGCTCATCTTTTTTTTTATTTTTAAAAAATAATTTTAAAATGTATTTACATTTTGGCAATATTTTCTAATATTTTTATAAAAATGATCTTATATTGTGCATCAAAAACAACATTAAACATCTTTACTAGGCTTTAACAACCGTTTTTTCGTATGTGACGTTTTTTTCCTTTTTCGGAAAATCCGATGATACCAACGGCGACGAGGCACTTTTGTCGATGGTGGAGACGGTTTCAATCTTGGTGTTTTTGATTTAGAATTTATAGGGGACACTTTTTTCCTAAAAATAGAAGATTTATGATTTTTATTAAGCAAATATTATACGATTGTAATTTAAGAAGCGAGCTCATTATCATTCGCTTTTGAATCTCGCCATATATGCCCATCGTTATGTTGATAATAACCAATGAAGCGACAGTAGCATAAAATATTGGGAATTTTATATAGAACTTTGATTTTCGTATTCTCTAAATACTTATGCAAGCAGTTTTAATTTTAAGCTGTAATTTCGAAATTTACCTCTCTCTTAACGCCAACTTCTTGAGTTTCGCTAATTTCAGAGTGGGCTGAAATCAAAATTTAGAAGTTTTAAAAAGATCGACCAACTCCAATTAAGTAGTTTTTCGGGATTTCGGCATTCTGCACTTTTACAACACGAGACTTCTGTTATGAACGATGACTCGTTTTCAAAAGTTACAGTAGTTAGGTAGTTGACAACCAATTCGTTCTTTTTGTAATGACAGGATCTCGACAGAACGAAACTATTTTCAAAATCGACTTTTATCATTCCACTCTCTTCCTGAAAGATTTGTGACCTAAAAAAATTGTCCCATTTAATGCCTACAGAAAATATCGCTGGCTTTAAATTTTCGTGAATATCATCTGGTAGGCAGTGGAACACGAATAGCGAACTTGTGGCTTTTATTCGAACACAAGAATATTCGTCAAATAGGCATTCCACTAAAAACTGTAATTTTTCACACATATTTTGAAATTATTTCGACAAACCTCGGAAATGTTCGATTTTTTCGTTGCTCGCAATCCCGATTGCACTTTTTCGATGCTCACCGGCTCCAGAGAAAACGGGCAATATTCGAAATTTATTTTTCTGAATTTTCAAAATTCATGATTATCAGAAAAATGCAAATACCCGTTGACAGCCAGACATAATAATGAAAAGATGCTAAAAATTTGAGTTATCGAATATCCTGCTAATGATTTCTCTTTATACATTACATAAAAATATAAAAATGAATATTCAGAAGTTGACGTTTGATTAATTATATGAAAATTAGAATGTGAACATCTTTTCAAAATGCTAAATAAGCTTAAAAATTAATTTAAAATTGGGATACTGTAAGAGTATGTCCGCAAACACCAGAAAGTTGAAATGCGTACATCCAGAAATTGGAAATATTTCTATAACTTCTGAACCTTTTCTCGCCTTCTTTTGAAAATATTTAACAAATTTTCATAAAAATAATAAAAATAAACTTTAATCTGAATTTTTTTCAGATGTCGCATGATAGCACACTACAAGATGAACAACTTTCATCGGAAATCCCGAACCAAGTATGTAGGAAAATGATTTTGAAGTTTTATTTTGATTTTCAGCTTTTCGACCCTGACCAATATCGTGAAATTGAGAAGCAGTCGCGAAAGTCACTAGAGTTATTGATTAATTGTGTCTATTTGAGCACTTGCACGATTTTACGCTATCGAAAAATTCTTCCCGATGAATGTTTTGTTGATTTTGATGTTTGTGGTAATTGAGTGAAATATTACAGTACGGAAAACTATAATTTCAAATTTAAGGTGATCTAAAGGGATGTCGGATGAATGAAGATGAGAAAAGGGGATCGGCAATCGCCAGAAAATTTGCGAGTGCCGCATATGGAATTTCGAAACGAATTTTAATTGTATATTTGTTTAAAATTTAAATTTTCTAATCATAAGCTTTGATTTTTAGAAATTCGCATTGGTTATTGAAGAAGATACTGGCTCGCCGATTGAAGCTTTTCTCTGGAGATTCGTCTATAAAAAGAAATCAAGGCATGTTTATACCGGCCTTGATGTTAAAGGGTACCTTTTCAAACTTAAAAAAAACCTCAGAGTGTTTTATTTCTTCAGGTCGAAAGAAAAATATACGCTTAAATTCGAAAGCATGGAAAATTCGGTGGAAACGTTTTGCGAATTTTTCGTGAAACTTACAAATGTTCTGAGTTCGCTTGATCCTCTTCCTTCCTATGCTCTTCCGTCATTCCGATTAGCTTTTACTGGAACCGATGATGAAATGCCGCATGGCTATTTTGAGACAGATAAATTTGTGGATTTAAAACAAATACATTTGGGAACTGTTCGATTTCCTAGAGAAGAGTACGATTTTAATAGGAAAACTTTTTATTCAAATACATTTTAGAATGAAAATCTCGTTTGCTTCAAAATATTACAAAGAAAACAGCCCATTCCACCCGGATACGATTGCCGAGGAACTTGAAAGACTCAAGTAGGCAAAAGAAAAATTATTTAATCTCTTTTTTAAAATTAATATTGTTTAGCTCATACAATCAAGATGTTGGTGCAATGCCGGAAAACTATGAGATTTTTGAGAAGATTAGAGATTCGCGATCACCGGGAGCTATTGAAGAAACGACTTTGCAGATTGAAGAGCCGGATGAGCCGGAAAATGGTCTTTTTGGTTGAATTGCCCAATTAAACAAGGATTTCAGGACCTCTTGATGATGGGCAACAATATTCAACGATTTGTCAGCCTCCGCAATCGACTGATGGTAATTTTTAGTTTTCGATGCGAATATTGTTTTGATTTTGGAATTTAGAGCAAGCGTTTGAATCGGCGGTGACTGTGATGCATTCGGAGAGCCAACAAACTGAATTAATATCGGAAGATGTGCAATCGCCCATCTCTGAGCAAGAGGAAATCATTGCTACCGCGATGGTAAGGCTGAAAGTTTATCATACGCAAAGATTATTCGCTTTAGGCTTCACGACAATTGAAAACTGCTAAAAAACAACCGGCGAAGAAGAAAAAGCAGAATCCAACGAAGACTCAAAAAACAAGAAGACGTCAAGCGAAAACTGATGATGTGCCGATTGAAGATGTTACTGCTTCTGGACTTGAGCAGGTTTTTTTTTCTGACGTTGAAAGAAATCAGCTCGCAATTTTGATATTCCAGATGTCATTTGAACCGTTGAAGAAACGATTTGCACGGGTTTCTTCTTTAACTACAATTACACCGGTATTTAGAACTTGAAATTGTTTTCGAAAAGAAAATTTTGTGATTTGCAGCCGTCGTCTCCTGTTCGCGAAGAAGATACTGAAATTGCGAAGAAGAAGCGATTTGCTCGTGTTTGCTCGGTTACGAGAATCTCTCCGGAAGTAGGCAATTATTTTATTTTTCTCATATCAATGCTGTTTTTCAGAAACAACCAACGCGACTTTACAAATTTTCTGAGGAACTTCGAATCACGCATGAAAGCCAATCTTAAATTACATTATTTTTCTGTATCATATAATCTGTAAAATAATATTTGTATTCCTTTTTTTGTTATTTGTTATTGTTGTTTTGTTAAATAAATGGTAAATTAAAAAGAGAAACGATTTTTGATGAGTGTACGGTAAGCAAGTGTGTAAACACCGACGACCGCGACGCGTTTCTCATGCGTCGCGGTCTTCGTATTTACTAGCATTGATTCCCGTTTTTCGTGCCGTCTTCCCTCGTTTCAACGTTTTAAATGTTGTTACAAGGATTCCAAAATGAAAATTTCGCTGCTATGGACATGCCAACCTATTCGACACTTAAAGAAGTAGATATTTCTTCGGATATTACCGAGCTTCAACCATCGACATCAATGGAATCTCAAATCGTATCGATTTTTTTTACATTTTTCTTTTAATGTTTAAAATTAATTTGCGCGAATATTTTTGGATTAGTTGCGTTACGTTTAATGAGACGACGCCCTTGTGACGGGGGGCCGAGTCGAGTTTCACGTAAATTGAGATTGAAATTTACGGAAATTCCGGGCGGGAGAGCCTGACAACTCTCTTGAGCCTTCAAACTTAGTAATTAAACCAGTTAAAACTTGAACTTGGGATAATTAAACCTACCCAGATAGCGTACGCTGGGTACTTGTCTGTACCGCCGATATTAATGTTAATTCTTGCTTTTTCAGGTTCACCCAAACTTTCAAAGCTTTCTTGATGAACTTGATTATGCACCTGAGCCAAAACCTGCTCCCGCTCCCATTGAAGAAGAGGAAGTGTAAGTTTAAACTGGTTTTATAAATTATTATTTATTTTAATCTTTTTAGTCTTTATAATGAAGATGGAGTCCGAAGGGTGATCATCGATTATGATAGTGACGAAGATACTGAAGTTAGATATCCATATGAAAAGCCAGATGACTACCAAGAGTATTGGGAAAAGGTTAGTTATAAATAAAGTGGATTATGGCTACTTTATGATTTATTCGTTTTTCAGATAAACGAAAAAATAAAAAATGACGCGTTTGCGAATACCAAAGAAATTGATGCGAAACTTGAAACTATCAAGGAAGATTTTGAAAACACAAAAAGGAAATTGAAACAAATCGACTTGCTTGAAAGAAACTTTAAAACATTCACCAAAGGTTCTGTATACACTTGTGTGATATGCTCCAAAGCATTTGCAAATCCCGAAGAGCTTCAAGCACATTCTGATAAGATTCATGATATATTTGTAAGTTTCAGTATTCAAGTCAAATGATTTGCATAATTTTCTTCAGAATAAGAAGTTTAAGTGCCCGAAATGCGGATCTTTATACAAACTGAAAAAGAATTTGGATATTCACTTGAGAAAACACAATGAGCGCACTGAGCATAATTGCAATGAATGTCATTCGGTTTTCAGGTATTCAAAATATTTCTGAATTTAGCCTATTTTGCATACTTTTAGAAACCATGTCGAATTATATTCGCATATGGCCAAATCTCATATGGTCACTAATGATAATATGATAAAGTGCAAATATTGTCAAAAGGATTATTTGAAATCTGCGTTGTCGGTAGGAGTAATAACGAAGTTTTGGCAATGTTGATTATTAATATTACAGAAACACCAATCGTATTGTAAAAACAAAGAGCGGATTCTTGCCAAGAAACGAGAAAAGCTTTCGGAGAGTCGAAGTGTTCCGCCTAGTCCAGCAATGTCGACTGTTAGCTATAAATCCTTTAAAAGCACCGGAAATGGCGGAAGCACACCGGTCAGTCCTGTGGTTTCCTATTTGGGTGAGGAATTCGTGGAATTTTTTCCAAATAATTATTCAAGTCTTTTTTTTTAGATAAATCTTGCGCTGTCTGTGGAGAAAACTTTGCCAGCCGACAATCCATGTTAAGGCATGTTGGACGAAAACATCCTGATCGAAAGGATGACCCGAATGTAATTGGAGTGAAGTATCTTTCAGTTGAATCGGTATGAATTTTTTTTAAATCGGCAATTTTACTTTTACCTTTTTTAGCCGACTCATCAATATGCTTGTGAGGAATGCGGAAAGAGAGTGACAACTCGAGCAGCTCTTACTTTGCACAAAGAAAGAATACATTTGAAGAATCGAGCATTCAAGTGCGATCATTGCGATAAAGCTTATCCGCTTCAATCAGAGCTTAAGAAGCATATTATTCGTTCCCATAGTTCATCCATCCCAGAAGATCAAAGAAAAGAAATGGAATTTTGAAAATTTTTGTAATTTCCACATTGCAATCTTTGAAAATGATACGGTTTTTATTTCCACCGGGTTTTGTTATACTTGTATTTGTAATATTGTCAATAGATTTTGTTGATTAAATAAATTGAATAATAATTGAATTAGTTGGAAACTTTTCTGTTGTAATTGTCCTCGTCATTCGGAATATCGGAAAAAAAGTTGAGAGAATCGATGGAATTGCGTTTGTTTCAGAATGGACACGAATTTCAAATTCTCGAATCTTGTCGGGTCGGTGTACCGGCAGGGGCAGGTCACATTCACACCGGACGGCAATTCAGTGATCAGTCCGGTCGGAAACAAATTATCGGTTTTCGATCTGAAAAAGTGCGTTAATTTGAGAATCACGCCTCGCCGTCTAATTTTCCATTTTTAGCAATCACTCGCGCACGTTGAATTTGGAGACATATTTCAATATCTATTCGATCAATATTAGTCCGAATGGAACACATATGGCAGTTGCTGATGAAAGTAAGCGGGTTTTTTTTAATTTCAAAAAAAATTTTGATTTTTGCGGCAGTCGTTAACGATTTTTTTGAATTTCTAATAGACTGCTTTGCATTTTTTTCATCTAGTTCACACTTGTGTGACTCAACGTCTCAAAAATTGATTTTTCTTGTAGATTTCACAAAAAGTTGAAAACCACAGAGATAAAATAGCATTAAAAGAAACTGAAATTCTTATGCAGATCTCGCAAGAACTCATTTTAAACAGTTGTTCGAGTTTTTCACCGAAATTCACACATAAATATGCGGCAAAATTTGAAAAAGTGAATTTCGCGGGTTTCCATTTAAATGGTCCGTGGTGCTTCGTCACTTGAAATTTATGTGAACAACCAAAAATGCTTCCAATTCGTGAAAATTAAGCTCATTCACATTATAATAGCTAGCGAATGTTGAAATCGCAGGCGACTGCCGTCTAGAATTTTGTCGTTCGCTCATTTTGAATGAAATTTCGAGTTTTGGGGGATTCGTAAAACACCACAATTTGCAACTCAGTGGGTTTTGTATACACTCTGAGCCTAATATTATTAAATTGAAAGCGCTTCGTTTTGTATCATATGTATTTCCAATTTTTTGCTGCCGACAGTTTGATAGAAATTGTTTTTCTTTTTTTTTTGAATAAACTTCAAAAAAGGTGTTTTAAAAATGTGTTCTCCATTAATTTTTGTCGCTAAAAAAAAGAAAATATTTTATGAAGAGGCCATTATTTTTCCCATTATTTTTGTTGTTTTAATTGCGTTTTTTATGACCTTAAATTGCTAAATCAAATGTATATAAGGCCACACTTGTCATTATTCGCATTTTTGCTTCTCGAGCGAAACAATCTATTCTGTATTATTCCTGTTATTCTCCTAATATGGACTCAACACTGCTATCCACCATGGTTTTGCCTTTTGGCATTCAAAATTTGCTTCAAAAATGCGATAATCTCGGAATCAAGAAGGTGAAGATTCTTCGTCGCATCATCGATTTGCCGCCGGCTTCAGAAGACTGCCTTATTGGAGAATTGAAGCAGTTGCACTCGACGATTCTGGATGCTTTGAAAGAATCCGACCTTTGTTTTATGAATGTTGGAAATGAGAAGACGATGGCTGCGGTGATTCATTCAAAACTTCCGAATTGGGTGATTGAGAAAATTTACGAGGATCAGAAGATGAGAGATGCGATTCTGAATCCGATGGATGTTTTGAACAAACTTCGCGATATTATTGAGGTCGCTAATATTGTGGTTGCTGTTTCGGGAAGCTCTGGACGAGAGGAGCCGGTGGACGAGGAAGATGAAAGTGATGTGTCGGACGACGTTTCCTCTTCGGCATCCGATTGCTCTCACTGTAAAGCAAGGCGCAGCAAGAGACGTGCCCTCAAGACATGCTGCCAATGCTTTCATGCTGGACGTCGAGTGCAGATTCGCAAGGTTCGATGCTCGTCATACCGCAAGAGACATCGTCGTCCGATTCACCGATTCCGAAGAATCAGCGTTTCGTCGGAGGGACACACACCGACTCCAGAAGATTCGTACACTAATTGAATGTTTTTATTTTTTGTTTTTGGCGTTTTTATTGTTGTCGGAAATTGGTAAAAAAAATAATTTGATAATTATGGATAATTGCGCTCGAGTCTTTCATAAAAGTATTTGAATTAATGATTTTGAAAATAAACAATGAAGAAAGTTGAGGAAATTCGTTGCTAGAAGTCTTCTTTTCCCTGTGAGACACAAATAATTAAAAAAAAAACCCCCCGAAAATTGGTCTCTTGAACTTCTAAAAATGCTACTTTCCAGAGGGAGACGTGTACTATATCAACATGATCACGAACACCGTTCTGCACAAATTCCGCGCTTCCCGAATAATCAAATGTTTGCAGTTTTCGCCGGATGCAACGTAATTTATCGAATTTTTCCCTCGTTTCTTTTTATTCTAACAATTGTGTTTCCAGACAACTCGCGATTTGTCGAGACAACGATCTTCAGATTCACAAGCTCGGCGTTTCTGGAAATCAGACATTTTACCCGTTTTCATTATCGCGGACGTATAAATTAAGTTCGGACACCCTGAATAGTTTGGATTGGTCGTTTGACTCAAAGTAAGAGAGTTTCAATTGAAATCAGTAATGAAGCAAAAATAAATTTTAGTTTGCTTGTCGCTGGTGGCGAGGATAAGGTGATACGTGTGGTTGGCTCGCGGGACTTCCGAAATTTGTATATTCACCCGTTGGCTTCTCATAAAGGAGAAATTGTCCATTGTCAGTTCATGCAGAAATCCTATGATGTAACGTTTTGAATTTTTTTTATTAAATTGAGATTTTAATTTTTTAGATGATCTCTGTTTGTAAACGAGGTATTGCGAATGTTTGGACGTGCTCAATTCAGCCGGGAGAATTGCAAGAAGGCGCTTGGAAGAAGGATGACGACGAGAAAATGGAGACAGAAGATGTCGAGAAACTATTCTTTGATAAGACGAAAAAGTGAGATTGTTTTTCAATGGGTCGCCCACTCAAAATTCAAATTTTCTTGAATTCAGATATTCGTTGTGCGAATCTTCTGGAGGCGATCGTTCGATTAGCGTCACCGCTGCGAAATACCACGCAGCTTCCAAAATTCTGGTAACCGCATTTGAGAACGGCGTTTTTGTGCTTCACGAGATCCCGTCATTTTCGCTTATTCATAATTTGAGGTTGATTTTTTTCTTTTTTTTTAATACTGTTTCAAACATTTTTTAGAGTGTCGGACATGAAAATTCGCGCGCTTTCCTTAAACCTGACCGGTGATTGGATTGCGATTGGATGCGGTAAAGGTTCGGCGGCGCAGTTGGTGGTCCGATTGAAATCTCGAGACAATGCTGTATAGTTGGTTTAGGTATGGGAATGGCAATCGGAAACTTATGTGATGAAGCAGCAAGCACATTCGCTGAGAATTACGACTTGCGAGTATTCTCCTGATGGATCACTGATTGGGACGGGAGCTGAAGATGGAAAAGTAGGTTTCGCAAGGGGGATTGGTCAACGGAGCTGCACGGAACTTGAATTTTCTGATAATGGAAGATTGAACAAAACATTTTTTGTCTATAAAGTGAGGAAAGACGAAATTCCGTGCAACTCTGTACCGCCTGATATCGAGTTATAAAAGAAACTAGCTTTTTTTAAGATGATATGAATTTGAATGAGAATTTAGATTGGACGTTAAAGATTATTGATGTTGCTTGAACTATTTTGTAAAAATTCGGATTTTAGGTGAAAATTTGGAATGGGCGCTCGTCGTTCTGCACGGTTACTTTTGATGAGCACACGTCGGCGGTTACTGGAGTGAAATGGACGCAAAGTGGAAAAGCGATTTTGAGTGCTTCGCTTGATGGAACTGTTCGAGCGCATGACTTGAAGCGGTATTGCGGCACAAGAGCAATCTCGTAGATTATTCTCATTTTAAGATATCGGAATTTCCGAACAATGGTATGCCCGGAACCTACCCAATTGGGATGCCTTGCGGTGGACCGAGCTGGTGATATTGTTGCGGCTGGAGCTAAAGAAGTCTTTAATGTAAGCTTGTCCTTGCTCGACAGAATATGAAATCGCTTTTTAGATCTTTTTATGGTCGCTGGAATCTGGACATTTGCTTGATATCCTTTCTGGACACGAATCTGCAATTGCCGCTATAGATATCTCCGGAAATCAAATTGTTAGTGCTTCGTGGGATCGAACATTCAAGTAAATTGTTCCCATCAATATTTCAATGCTTGAATTCATTCAGAATTTGGAATATTGTCGATTCTCAAGCGGAGACAACGGAATTGTCTCATGAAGCGGTTGATGTGCGATTCTCGCCGGCTGGCGACGTTGTTGCTGTGCTCACATCGGATTCTGTAATTTCGCTGTATGAGGCTAAAGAGGTATCTTTCATGAAATATTCTGAAAATCAAGCTTCTAATTTATCAGATGACATTCCTTGGCTCAATTGAAGCTCATTTGGATTTGGATCCTGCTCGAGGTCATCATGATACCATCACAAAGGAAAATGCGGCAAAGAGCAAGTAAATAAACGAAATGTCTTATTATTAAATTTGGCTGATTTTGATTTTAGATCGTTTACTTGCTTCCGATTCTCGCCTGATGGAAATTTGATATTAGTTGGAGGCGAATCGAACAAGTTCTGCCTCTATTCGGTGCCGGATCGAATTATTTTGAAGAAATTCCAAATTACTGAGAATCGCAGTCTTGACGGTGTTGTGGTTAGCACGATTTTCACCGAAATTCCTGTTATTATTTTTTTAATCAATTTTTTAGATGGATGTGAATCGGCGAAATTTTACCGAATTTGGAAATATTCAACTCATCGACACTTCAGATGATGAAGATGAGGATTCAAATAAGAAGGCGATCAAATTGCCGGGAACCAAACATTTCGATCTTGGTGAACGACGATCGAAACCGGAGGTTTCCGTATTTGCCGTTGCTTATTGCCCGACGGGACGCCGGTTTGCGGTGTGCTCTTCGGAGGGCGTTTCGATTTATTCACTGGATATTGTATCAATCTTCGATCCGTTTCAATTGGATACACAAACTAGTCCGGAAATTGTTAGAAAGTTGGTTTTTGTTAGAAAGCAGGTGGAAAATTGGAAAAAAAAAGTTGTTTTCAGAGCTCTTTCTATGAATGATTATACGACGGCTCTTATGGCTTCTCTTCGGCTGGGAGATTCCAATTTTATTGCGGATAGTTTGGAAATGACGAGTGTTACTCAAAGTAGAATCTTCTTAATCTCTCATTTCAATCGCATCCCATTTTTTTAGTTCCTCTTGTTGTTCAATCACTTCCTTTGATTTACGTTGAGCGACTATTGAAGTGGATGTCTGAAGGGAATGTGGTCTCGTCGACGAAACATGTTCATTTCTATGTGGTAGGCGAATCGAGTCGCACACAAAATCTCGATTTTTAGCTTTGGCTTCGTGAAATTTTGCTTTATCATGGAATGAAGTTGAAGGGAAGAACGGATGTCGCGATTTTGACCGGAGTTCAGCAGATTCTCGCGCATCATACGCAGCTTATTTCGGCGATGTGAGTTGATTTGGGGTTTGAAATAGAAACCAAGAGGAATATTGAAAGAAGATAATTTTTTTCAAGTTTGCCGAAGAAGAATTGCCCCCCTAGATGAGTTGGTGCGGGATTCTGTACTCTGGTAATTCATTTCGAATCGAATACGACACATTTGAAACCGAATACGACAAATTTCGGCTCCGAACGTGACCTAATTAGGTTCGAAATTTCTCGTATTAGGTTGTGAAATTATCGTATTCGATTATCTTTGGAATACGTTTCGAATGCAGCCGTATTCGTTTTGAATGCAGCCGAATTCGTTTTGAATGCAGCGGTATTCGTTTTGAATGTAGTCGTATATTTTTCAAATGTAATCGTATTCGGTTTTGAATTGAATTCGATTTGAATCAATTATGGAAGAAAAAGAAAATCGATTAGACAAACAAAATTATTTATTGCAATAAACACAATAACAACCAACAGCAGGAATGAAACAAAAAATATGTATAGCAGGATGTGCGATTTTTTCAATTTATTTCTTCGGAAATACTATTTCGATTATTTGTTTTCGCCATTTTTTGACGAAAAATTTATAACTTGCTTCAATTTCGACATTTCCTTTTCTGGTAAATGAAAATCGATCGAGTTCGAAAATAATTTTCTTTTCAATCGAAATCGATAATACATTAATCTGTTTCGAATTATTTCAAAATTAAATCGAATACGATTTCAAAATTGAGAATGAAGAATGAACCAATCGATTTCGAAGATTTTTGAATCGAAACAAGTTTTCAAAGCGAATCTAAACAATTTCTCAATCGAATTTCATTTCTTTTTCTATCGAATCAGATTAATTTATATTTTGTTTTTTTTGATTTTCATTTAACTACGGAAATTCCAAGCCAACGCAAACCTGATAAACTGATATACAGAAAATTAACTATGGCGCGAGTTCGAGAGCTCCTCCTCAATTCGCAGCCTCCTTGCGCGATTACTAAAAATTTTCCGGTAAAAAAACTATAAAAATGAAATATTGACTAACCATAAGTATTCGATATAATTTTCCGTGATTACTGTAACGGCAATTCGCATCATCTTCTCTTCGGTGTCCGGGATTGATATACAATGTAAAAGTAATTCTGTAAAAATTAAATTATTGAAATATTATAGAATTATAGAAAACTGACCAATAAACGTATTGATTATGTGCGCTTCAATTGCAATATTACCTTTTTGAGGATTTCGGCGTGGCGTATACTTGCATCGAATGTTTTGAGGAATCACCTGTAACTATGAAAATAGTAAAAACATCGAAAATTATTTTTTACCTCGTTCATCCAAATCATAACTGCCTCGTGCACTATTGTTCGCAGATGACGCTTACAGGGACGCATCGACTGAATGATAAGTGAGAAGTTAACCAAATCTTTAAAAAAAGTTATTTACTGTAACGAATTTCTTTTTACCATTTCCTTCAATGGCCGGCACAAGGGTGTCGTCATAAGAAGCAAGCTTCAGCGGGTCGAACATTGCAAATACCTTGTCCTAAAAATAGTAGGCAATTTATCTGTTTGATGCAATTAAATCACCAAATTCCCGCTATACGACGTCCTATTCGCTGGTTCTCATCATCTTCATCTTCATCATTATCACTTTCATATTCTTGATCTTGAACACTTGTCATGTCCACTTCCATTTCTTTAACAGTAAAATATCATTTTGACAAAATCGATAATTACCATGCTCAACATCATCCTTGAATTTTTTCGAAGATTTCCGCAAATCGCTCAATACGTCTCTCGTGTTGATCCGCTTCATCTAAAATTGCGCACAATATTAAGAAATACGATGCGAATACGATTTTAAACGATTAAATAAAATTTAAAGAAAAATTATCGGCTATCGGATGTTCCCGAAAAAAAGCGGCTCAGGTAATTATTTTATGTCGCCATATGGCGGTTCGCGTGCGATCTCGTTTATTGTTTTTCGAAATTCTTTTTGGGTTATTTTCCAACCGATGACAATGATTTCTGAAAATGATGTTGCTAAATATATGATAGAGAAACAGGTGCCAACTTCTGTTGCAATTGATATCATCGAATTTGTTGAAACTATTAAAAATATATTTACATTGAATCATACTGTGGAAAATTGATAAATATAAACGTGCGCGCACGCGAACCGCACGCGCCCGAACGCGAAAAAATCTTGTAAATAGCTGCATTTCGGTGTCTCGCGGCAACAAGGAGTAAGCAACACTACTGGGCATTCATTAGTATTAAATATACTCAGCTCGTCAGCTCGGATATCATACGATATCGTTAACTTTTCGAAACCGACAAAATATTTTTTAAATAGAAAATTTAGGATAAATATGTCGCCGAATCCGGTTAATTAATTTGCGTTCGATTGTAATTCATATTCGTTTCGGTTTTACTGCCAATTCGTATTCGATTCGAAATTTTGCGTATACGTTTGTAATACGCGTTCAATTCGTATTCGATTCGAATCGAGTTACCAGTGTTTTTTCGAACGTATACGATTGTAATTCTATCGTATTCGGTTCGGTTTTACTGTCAATCGTATACGATTCGAAATTTTCCGTATACGTTTGTAATACGCGTTCAATTCGTATTCGATTCGAAATGAATTACCAGAGTAGTCCGCGTGCCGCTTTTTTAAGGAATTTAAAAATGTGACAATTAAATTGTAAATGGGCCCATTCTGCGAGATGAAAAACACTGTTTTTTTGTATTTTTTTGTTTTTAAGCGGAATTAAAAAATATAAAATAAAATACAAAAAAATGCTCGTTTTTTTTTTTTTCATTTCGCAGCGAGACGCACGAGGCGAGGAATTTTTTTTAATTTTTAGAATATGAATTGGTCCATAAAATGACAGTACATTTTCAAAAGATTTTACTCATAACTCTGGTAGCTCAAAACCAATCGGATCCGACAATTTTACAATTTTATCCGTAGAATTACCAATCGGATCGGGTTGATCCAGGAGCCGAATTCGAATTGAAAGGTTGAAACAAAACGGATTCAAACAATAACCAATTGGATCTGACAATTTTACAATCTTGTCTGTAAAATTTTCACGATAAGGTTGATTTCCGGAATTTTGTCGGATCCGATTGGTTTCGGGTTAGGTTACTAGAGAAATTTTATTTGAAAATGGCAAAATCCTAATAAAGATTATCAGAAAGTCTTTTAAAAAGATCAACAAATAAAAATGTTATAAATAAAAGCATTGTTGGTAATTTTTAAGCAATCTAATTTTGAAAAATACTTCAGGGCGAATCAGAATAAATATTCATTGGCGTATTTGATCAATGCGCGAAGTCTGTCACGGAGAACGAAAAAAGAAGAAGAGGATAAAGAAATTGAAGAAATGAGTGCATGATTAGAAAGATTTATCGAATTTGTTGATTTTTTTGTTGTATATTACTGGTATTTTTAATGCTATTTGTTGCTGTTGTTGTTGATTTTTGTTGTTATGAATTTTTTTCGATTTTTCCATGTCTATTTTTACCTGAAATTCGAGTATTTTTCTCGAACTTTTTACTTTTTTTCTCTGTTTCTTTTTTTTCCAGTTTTATTGTTTTTCTTTAGATGGTTAAGGGAAAAATCGCGAAAGCAACGGAATGGAAACAGGCGGAAATGACAGCGGATAACTTTGATGATGAGCTTTTCGGATTCTTGGGATCATTTGAGGAAGTTCTTCCCGAAGGAGCTGAATCCTATACGGAAGGGACCGGTGAGAAACGAGCGGCGAAGAAGAAAAAAACGAAGGCCGGTAAGAAGACGTTGAAAAATGATGAAGAAGTAGAAGACGATGGGAAGGAGAATAAAACAAGTTCGAAGGAGGAGGCGATTTTGGCGAAAAAACTGCGAAGGCGCAAAATTATGAATTTGAATCGGAAGAAGAGAAAAGAGAGATTGGCGAAAAAGCTGAAGGTTTGATTTTTTTTTTTTGAAATTCTGAGCATTTTTTATTTGGATTTCAGAAAGCTCAAGAAGCCGAACAATCGGAAAATGTGACGGACGGCAATAAAGAGGTTTGTCGAAATTTTCGAAGTGACCATTGTCCACCATACAACTGGTTTCATTTTCACAGGAAAACGAAAATAAAGCTGCGAAGAAGAGGAAATCGAAAGAAAATTCGGCGAAAATCGAGAATAAGAAGGCAAAAATTGTACCGGAAACGATGAAAAAGAAAAATATTGATTTGGGCGCGTGGCAGCAGTTTTTCTTGCCTCAAGAAATTCTCGAAGCGATTTCGGATCTTGGGTTTGAATCAATTTTGATTTACTATTAAATAATTTCAAATTAAAAATTCTAGATTCGCGGAACCTACGGAGATTCAATCCGCTGTTCTTCCACCAGCTGTTCGCGATCGACTTGACATTCTGGGAGCGGCGGAGACCGTTCGTTGCGCTTTTCATCGGCACACGTTCAATTTTTGATTGTTCAGGGAAGCGGAAAGACGTTGGCGTTTGGAATTCCAGTTGTTTGTCGGCTTTTGGAGCGATTGCAATCTGAGGAAGCTGAAAATGAAGGCAGTTCGAAAGGACCTCAAGCGATCATCGTTGCCCCAACTCGCGAGCTTGTCATTCAAATTATGAAGCATATCACAGCGCTTATCAAGCACACAAAACTAAAAGTGAATCATTCCTTTCAATGTTCCATTCCAGAATTCTCTTGTTTAGGCGGTTAGCATTGTTGGAGGACTTGCTCAGGTCAAACAGGATCGTATTATCACCGATCAGTGCCCGAATATCGTTGTTGCTACCCCTGGAAGATTGTGGGCAATGATGGAGGAGGTAGAAGCGACATTTTGAGACCATCATGAATTTCATCTATTCCAGGCCGAACCCTCATCATACTTTGGCAATCTCGCTAATCTTTTGTGTCTCGTTGTCGACGAGACGGATCGGATGGTTGAGGAAGGATACTTTGAGGATCTTACCCATATTCTTGATAAAATCCATTCGGAAGCCAATAGGGAGAAGCTGCAGAGTCTTGTGTTCTCGGCGACATTGACATTCGCAAGAGTGCAAAAAGATGAGCAAGACGCGAGAAAGAAGAATCGCGAATTGACGTCGCAGCAGAAGATCCGTGAGTTTTTGTTTTCGGCCAAAACATTGAACATTCTGATTCGCATTTTTAGAACGACTCATCAAATTAACGGGATTGAGGGAGAACAAGCACAAGGTTGTCGATTTGACGCGGCAGATGGGAACCGCTGGATCGCTTGTGGAAGCGAGAATCAATTGTGTCGATCTTCTGGAGAAGGTTTGGTTTTACTCCAACAGAACTTGAATCACTCATTTTCTCTCTTTCTAAAGGATACTGCTCTTGCTTATTTGCTCACAAGATACCCGGGACGCACCATTGTGTTTGTGAACTCGATCGACGCTTCCCGACGGTTGTACGGCATCTTGCAGGGAATCGGAATGTCGCCGATGATCCTTCATGCGAAAATGATTCAGAAGCAGCGGCTGAAGAATTTGGAGAAGTTCACAGGTTGGCGAACATTTTCCGAAATTTGCCAACCGTTTGAATTTCAGAATCGAAGCAAGCGGTTCTGTTGGCGACTGATGTTGCTGCAAGAGGATTGGATATCAAGGGAATCGATCATGTCATTCATTATCAGGTGCCCAAAAAAGCGGAGGTATTCAGCGTTGCTTTTTTTGGTTTTGAATTTGTGATTCTTCGATTCTAGACGTACATTCACCGATCTGGACGTACTGCTCGTGCGCAGACCAAGGGATTGACCGTACTACTTGTTGATGCTCAAAGTCGGCAATTTTATTCGCGATTGTGCAAAGGGCTCAATAGGAGTGCGTTTTATAGTTATTTTGCCTAATTTAAATTTTTGGAGCAATTTTCGCGAGCCTTTAACCAATATTTATTGCAGTGCAAGATCTCGATGTGTTCCCGATTGATTTTCAGCCGCTGATGGCTGCGTTGAAACGGCGTGTCAAACTTGCGTCGGAAATTGACACGATGAATTTTCGATGTAAAAAAGTAACATTTTTGCGTTTATTTCTTCAATATTCGGGGGTTTTTTTAAGATAAAAATGTCGGAATCTTGGTTCGAAAAGGCTGCGCGTGCTGCTGAACTCGACTATGATTGGGCGAGGAATCGCGAAATGGACGGGCAGAATGAGGAAGTCGATCGTATGTTGAACCAGGTGCACAAATTGCAGAATGAGCTGAGAGACGAGCTCCGAATTCCGTTGCCCAATCCGGATGGCTCCGACACTTTTGTAAGAAATTGCCGTTCTTTTTTTTTCGAGAATTCTGCTCATCTCTCGATATTTTTAGAAGACCAAATACATTACACCGGAAATCATTTCGAAGATGAAAACGATTGAGAACGATGCGATTGGTGTGCTCAATGATAAGATGAAGGAAGCGAAAGAATGGAAGAAGAAGAATCGGCAAGCGGCGAAGCAGAAAGAGAAGACGTCGGTGAGTCAATCAGACTTTCTTGCGAGTGCCTAGCTTCTTTTTTAAAGGCGCATGACCTTTTCATTCTAGTATTCTATTAAAATTTGTTTTTGGTTTTTAGATCAAACGGGTTTTGAAGAACAAATTGAAAAGCAAAACGCGACTTGAAGAGAAAAAGAAGGAGATTCGGCGGAAAGTGCTCGAAACGAATGAATCGAATGAATAGTAATTGAATGATTTGCTTGTTTATTGTTATTGTTGGTTTTTTGTTTGTTGATCTTATTTGTTGAAAAAAAAATAAAAGAATTTTTAGATGCATTATGAGTTTTTTGTTTTAATTTCTCGTTTATTTTCAACGAAATTTCCAATATCTCTCTATTTTTTTTCGATTTCCTTTATTTAATTGATTTTCGTTGTGAAATTTTAATTTCCGCCCAAACCCCTAAATTGCCAATGCCGGTTTTTGCCGACTCCGCCCACCAATTTAGATTTTATCGTTTGGTTTTGGAAACTCATCGAAGAATATGCATTTGATTCGACGTCATCGCGCGCATTTTTATGTTGTGCTATAGAGCGTTGTGTAATATTCTGTTTGACCTTACATATAAGTTGTATAAACCGGTGGGTTGATGGGTGGAATGGTGGCGTTTTCGGCCCGCATTTGTCCAAATCTCTCGTCTTTCCTGTTTTTTTTTCGGCAATTGCTGATTATTTGAGTTTTGAGTGTCTTGAATGCAATTGATTGAAATTTGAATTTGGCGGTATTAATTTCGCATCGAGAATTCAGCTTATTCATTTTCGAATTTCGGACTAATTGCAATTTTTCGCCTATTTTTTCAATTGTTTCCCGCAATTGAACAAATGTTTATTTTGTCCAGATTGTAAGAGAAATGGCGCTTATGATCCGATTGCTTCTCTCTAGAAAAAATTTTAAAAAATATTTCGTTTGTGAATTTCTTCGAAAAAATTGATGCCAGTTAAGAAAAATAACAATTCGAGGAATTTTGCAAAAAGAAATTCGAAAATGTGACACCTAAAAACTCAAAAATCAATCGGATCCCACAAATTTCGGCTTCGGAATCAAAAGCCCGATCCGCTTGGGGAAATTTGTCCGATCCGCGATCCAATTGGTTTTGAGTTTCCAGAAACACCGAAATAAATTGTTCGAATGAAATTTGAAAGACCGCGAAATTCAATTTCTCCTCAAATTTGATTATACGTATCAAAAAGCCACCAAATATGCAAATTCGAGCGGCGAGAGACGAGGAGGAGCACTACATATTTCGCTCGGTGTTGTCTTTTTATTTTATTTTTGTTTGTCGCGACTCTCGTCGTCGTCGTCGTCGTCGTTGCTTTCTTCTTTCGTTCGTTCCTCTGTTGTATGTGTGTGTGTGTGTGTGTGCGTGTGTGGGGGGGGGTCGGTTTTGTTCGTTTCGCACTTGCCGCGATGTTTTGCGGCGTTTCATTAGGACGACCGGGTGGGCCTAGGCTTGGACTTGGCGTGGCGACGCTTATTAGTTTGAGGCGGACGCGCCTCAGGTCCCATCATGGACGATGATGGTCAGGTGATGATTTCGACTGTATTGTCACTCTCACGTCGGACCATCAACTACCAATTGATTTATTCATTCTCATATTTTCATATTTGTTTGAATTTCGCCCCCTTCTGTTGTTCAACAACCCGACGCTTCTTTGTTTTTGATCGACAGAAAGTGCAACTCGATATAATCGATGTTGGAGATCTCCACGAAAATTTTGGCGCCAATGGAGGTCGCCATTTTTTCACACCGCTCTTGATTTTTTGTTCTTGACTATTGTGAAATTTGCTGTGGGGGCACTGAAGAAGAGAAACGAAAAAATATTATGTTTAGTTTTTTTTTTAAATTTTCTCTGATCCTTTAGCATTTTGATTTTTTCGCTTCTTTGCGGAACAATATTAATATTTTTGCATTTAATTGGGAATTTTTTTCCCAGCGGCGGTAAATGCCATGCAAAGGGTCTAGACCGGATTAGTAAAGGATTAATCCGTTTTTTTCCTATCATCTGCATTTCTTTTCGTGCTTTTTTCGAGCGATTTCGGCTCTTTTTTTGATTGCTCATTTGCTTATTTTTCAGATGGTTGAGGAAGCGCCGCCGATCGAGACGATGTTGGCGCAGGCGCCGAAAATCAACGCCGAACGACTCAAGTGTGAGGCCGATGAGCGTTTTGATGTGATAATTTCTTTTGCTTTTTGTCTTAATCGAGTATTCTCTATTTTTTTAGGACCTGATTGGCGAGAGGAGAAAGACAGTGCGAACATTGCTTGAAGAAGCGTTCTCGGATAAGATTAAGAAGCTTTGCGAGGATGCTGCTGGCCGACCGATTGTTGAAGGAGACCCACCGGTGCCGGTTCCCAGTAAGAAATCTCTGAAACTCTTTTCGACCGACTAGTTGCACCATTTGCAGGTGTTCCAATCCGTTTTCGAGCCACAACGGTCGCCTCGCCGGCGCACGACGTTTTCGGCGAGGCGGTGAACAACGTGTTTCAGCGAATGTTGTCGCGCGGCGCGCCGCCCGAATTCGCGCACTGGTTCGCCTATTGGTACGCTTTTGAGCTCGACTGTGAGCTGGGCAACTTGTGGAGCAATCAGGTGTTCTCGCCGGCGGTTTACTCGACCGACGGCACGATCGAGGCGTCGAAAATGTTCATCGAGAAGATTTTCGAGTTTGCGCAAAAAGTGCTGCTGCGCACGAAGAATGACGAGCCGAAATTGAGGGAGAAATGGAGCGGAATCTACGTGTCGGCGGACCAATTGAAGGGCCGACGATCGAAGCAGGAGGATCGATTCGTCGCCTATCCGAGTGGCCAGTACGTCGATCATTCAATGGTGAGCCGGATTAAATGGATTAGTTCGACTTTTTCGTTTGCAGGACCCGCCGGCGTTGTTGGGCGTGTTTGACGGGCACGGCGGAGCGGAATGCTCGAATTACGCGGCGGCTCATTTGTGGGAGGAATGGTCGAGAGCTCGCCTCACTTTTGACGGATATCTGAAGGAGTCGCTGAGTTCGGCGATTGCAAATTTGGGTATCAATGGCTCGATTCTTGAATTCAAGCATTGTCTCACCGATTTTTAGATGCTCGAATGACGAAAAGAATTGAAGTTGAGCACTGGAAAGGAGGGACGACGGCGGTTTGTTGCGCCATTGATGTTGAGGAGAAGAAGATGGTGTTTGCTTGGCTCGGCGATTCGGCTGGGTAATTGCACGGCGGACTTGCTTCGAAATTGACTTATTGATGTTTTAGATACGTGTTGAACAACATTGAAGTGCGACGAATTACGAGAGCCCATTCGCCCGATGATCCGGACGAGGCGAAGCGCGTCGAAGCTGCCGGCGGCCAGATATTCTCGATATGCGGCGAGAATCGCGTCAACGGCGTTCTCAATTTGACGCGAGCTCTCGGCGACGTGAACGGACGACCGATGATTCTGAATGAGCCGGAGGTTCAAGAGCTTGACATTGAGGACAATGACTATTTGGTGATTCTTGCGTGCGATGGAATCTCCGAAGTGTTTGATACTCGCCAACTCTACGATATCGTTGAAGCTTTTGTCAAGGAGAATAACGTTGAAGGTTGGTCAAAACTTGGCAGCTGAATATTTCAGTCGATTGTGTTCGTTTTTCAGAGTATGGCGATTTGGCTGATCATATCTGTCGCGAGGCCCTTGATGCGGGAAGCCAGGATAACTTGACATGTGTTATTGGATTCCTGAAAGATCCAAATGAGGTTGATTCTTTCTTTTAGTTTGAAATAATAAATTTTCAACAGCTTTGGGAACTAATGCGGGCGAATTCGGATTCGGATACTGATGGTCGTGGAACCGACGTCGAACAAGACTCTTATGAATCTGAAGAAGCTTAATTAGGAAATACCTCGTTATCCGTCATATATATATATTTATTTATTTACTTTCGTTCATAATTTATTATATATTTTTTTCCTTTTTTTTTCAATTATATTGCATTTTATGTAGCGATCGTTGTACTATTCAAAGTATTACATTTATAATTTTGGTTTTTGTCTTGAAATTATATCATCGACATATCGTTTTGTCGTGTTTTTCGATTTTTTTGGTGGTTTTCTAATACATATATTTTGTCATGTGATTTATTAATAGTTTGACGAAGTGAACAAAAAATAAGTGGAAGAGAGAAAGGCATATGAGATGAGCTTTAAGGAATGAGAGCGAAGGCACGAAATATACAAGAGAAAATAAACATTTCACAAGAGGGCAATGTGGGGGATGAGAAACGAGTTTGTACCTAAAAAGTAGGCAAAACGAGCGGAAAAAATGAAAAAAATAGGCCAATTTTATTGGAAAAACAAAATTTCGCTGTGAGATATTCGGTGCCAGAAACATCATGCACCTTTAAATCTTCGATGTTACGGTAGGCTGATTTTTTTTCTCAAATTTTCCAATTAGAAAATAGTTTTTAAAATGGTTTTTTAAGCGCGTTGACGCGAGAGCCCCTCGGACTCGGTGGTCGGCACCCATGACACCCATTCGCCATTCTTGTCGCGTTTGGTGCTCTGCGACGCGAGCGGATATTTCCAATGGCCGCCGGCAACGTCGGTCTCGACGCGGAAATTGCGCCATTCGGGCACGTAGAGCCGGAAGCAGTTGAGGCGGCGAACGCCGATTGTCGATTGGTCCTCGTACTTCTCCTTGCGCACGACGGCCCAATCGGGAAGGCAGAAGTCGTAGCAGTCGCCGCACGAGACGTCTGCAATCGGTGTTGACAACGATCGGCGCGCGTCGCGTGTTTTCTCACCTCTTCCGTGCACCGTCTGCCTCAGCAGAAACCATTTCGCGTTGCGGCAATCGTCGATTTTATCGGTGAATTTCGCGTTCGCCGTGACCGCGTCGATCGGTTCGGGGTCGAATTGCCAGAATTCCTGCCAGCCGAATGTCGATTGAATCTGAAGATGACGGTTATTTGGTTGTCGAGTCGCGCAATCTCAACCTCGTAATCCGAATCGCCGACCGCTTCCGATAGCTGATCGATGCTCTCAATTGCACTTCTGAAAATGTCCAAATTGATTTTGCTGGTCTTTGAATTTCATTTCTACCTGTCCAATGGAATCAAGAAGCATGTGAAATGTTTGCCTTGAGCATCGGTTAGTGAGTGGTCCGCTATTGCAGCATAACCCTTTATATATATATATATATATATATATATAATACCGTATGCATATTTTATTGTAATCTTACTGTAGTGAAATCGAGAGCCGTAAAACTATTCGATTTGAATGGCGCGTTGCCGCGCAACTCGAAGTGCGCTTGATGCTTCGAATGGAAATGAATGAAGACTGAAACAAGGGGTGGGTCTCGACGCGATTACTGTGAGAGAGGGTACGGTACCTGATGAGGGTAGCGAGGCCGAGACGAGCGCGGGATTCTTTCGGCGGCACTCCTCGCAGACGGGCGGGTAGATCAAAAACTCGGCGACTGCGTACCGATTGAAGATCGCGCTGAAGATGATGAACAGCAGGATGAGGAGGAGGAGGAGGAGCAGAAAAATGCAGCATAGGCTTCGCATCAGCTCCGGTGTGTAGTCGGCATTTCTGCGAAATGTGCTGCGGACATATTTGCGGGATTACGCGACAACGCATACCTGAACGCGTCATGAACGTTCGAGAAGAACAATTTGGCTCGCGTCCAGCATCCGTCGCCTCGCGCGCTTCTTCGCGTCTCACGCGAAACCAGCGACGTTTGCGATTGCGGCTGAAAACGAATTGGGGTCTCGACGCGAACGGCGATTATTGATTACCGGGAATCGTCGCGACGACAACGTCGACATTTGGTGCTTGTCGACTTGATCGTCCCACGAGGATTGCATCGCCCGATAGCTGTCCTTTCGAGCAAGCGATCTATAATTGCGCGCACGCTAATTAGTGTCTAATTGAATGGGGAAAATCGATAATGGATTACTGTAGCTCGTCCATTTCGAGAATGGTTTCCATTGAAGACCGAATATGGATTGAAAAGAGTCTTTTTCTGTTTGCTGGTTGACGCATCGCCGATTTTTATAGCCACTACTGTTTGTCCCCTTTAAAGGCGCATACCCGATTGCCGTCACCCGTTTCGGCAACTATTTTAGCAATTCTTGACAAATTTGGGTTTCAGCGATTCATTAAATTGAGCACGTCTTTGATTTCTCAATTTTGTTTTTTTTTCGTTATCTTTTATTTCCCCCATTATATCGATTTTTAGGATTTCTTAAAAAAAACCAATTTGTTTTAATTTTACAGTTTTTTTCAGGGTTTTATCAATTTTTGGAAATTTCCGCAAAAATTTCGAGGTTTTCTATTAAGGATGGTTTATTGAGATTTTTTCTTTGAATTTCCCCTCACATTTTTGTTCATAACACTTTCCCCCATTGGAAAAAAAATAAATGCTGTCCTACTCTGGATCACTGGAATAATCCTGTCGGAATGAGTGATTCAGATTGCCCGATCCATGCACATTTGTCGTGAAGATGTTCGCCGAATTTCGACCGCCTGCAATTTTTTTCTTTTGACGTCAAATTTGCAAAAATTGATGCAAATGTTTTTTTTTTTCATTTTGGTTTCTTTTCTATAGTCAATTTTTTTTGAAAATGAAAATCTGAAAATTCGCTATCACTAGTAAATTGCGGCGGCGGGACATTTAATGTGTTCGCAGAAGTCGTATGTGATTCCATCTAGGCGGGCTTTTCAAATCCGTGGCCGAGTTGGCCGTGGCCGACTTTACACATATGTATTTTTAGGCCTCAATTCAATTTTGAAATCAGAATTTCAAAATTTTCACAATTGAAAGCCGAAAAACAGGGAATGTGAAACGCATTGTATAGTCGGCGTTCGGCGGGTAGATTTACGCGCATGCGCCTTGAAAAGGTCTCGCCACGCGTGAACGCTTATTTTGCTGTTTTCACGTGAATTGCTTCATTTTTCTTGATGAGTTTCGCATTTCTTCGAATTTCTAACATCGTTCGATTGAAAAGTTATCGAACCATCACGTCGGAAAATGTGTGCACACACGCGCGCTCAAAATTGCACACATTTGACAAAATGAACTCTGCATTATTTTTTAAATTGAATTTTTTTTTTCAATTTTTTCTTGATGAAAAATATTTTTTTGTAATCTTAATTTGTGGAAAATTTGAAAAAAAAATCACTTGTCAAAAAAAAATGTTTTTTTTTTTCAATTTTTTCTTGATGAAAAATATTTATTTAGTAATCTTAATTTGTGGAAAATTTGAAAAAAATCACTAGTCGAAAAAAATTTTTTTTTTCAAATTTTAAAATTTTGTTAAGGATCTCGAAACGCACCTTTCATTGCAGAAGTCAGTGGTCTCGTGACGGTCTCCTCGACATGCTCAATCCGGCTCGTTTCCCTCAATGGTCCTCCTCCGTGACTCTCCACAATCCGAGCGCCACCTTCCGATGTGTGGACCTCGTGCACATCGTACCCATAATTGTTGATCACTGTACTATCGCCACTATAATCCAGGCGACTGCCTCCCGATGTATTCAGAATACTGCTGAAAAAGAAACGAATCCAAAAATGTCTGCGAATATCGTTTTCGTGTCCGCAGATTGATTTTATGATAAAGTTAAAAATTAAATGAACCACACACCTTGAATTCTGGGCCGCCGCTGCTCCGCTGACGCTGTACCTTTGTGGTTGAGGTGAGAGCTCGATTTGTTGGCCGTAATCTTAAAATTCAATTTATTCATGTTTTTTCTATTATCTCAATATAAATTATTCAAATATGTTGAAAACTGCGAATTTCAGTTTAAAATTCGAAAAAAAGTTGACTTACTTGCGGAATTGTGAAGAAATGATGGCTCACGACTGACGTCTCGTTCACCGGTTATTTCAAATCTAAAAATTTTATTTTTGCTTTTTCTTAATATCTAAAATGAAACAATAAAATTGGTGAAATTGAAAGTGAAAAAAATTTAAATTTTAGGCTTGAAATTTTTTCATCAGGTTACTGTAATTCGTGAACACCGAGGAGTAAAATTACACAAATTTTCTTCTTCAAAAAATTATGAAAATTTTTAATTTTGCCGAAAAAAAAACTATAAAAATCCTGATTTTTTGAATTGATCACCTTCTGTCATGAATTGCCCCATCAGATCGATGCTCGTATGATTCTCTGGTCTCACGAACGGTTGAAACTGGCGGCAAAAGAATTCCTGGAAAAAATGGAGATGTTTTTATAATTTCAAATTTTGAAAGAAGACTTTGTGTTTTCGAATCATTAATTTTCTGGAAATCAAATTTTTGAAAATTGAACGTCCACGCGAGATTTTTTTACTAGAATTATGCGCAATTCAAAAATTTTCTTTTCAAATAAGCTTTCGCTCTTAAGGCTTCCAATATATTCATAAAACCGTGGAAATTTTGGGAATTTATTATGGAAAATATCAATTTTTAAATAATTGTTCGCAAAATTTGACAAAAACCCCAAATAATTTTTTTGGATTGTGAGTTTACCTCCGCTCGGTCTTCGACCTTCCTCAATAATTCGATGTTCAATCACTTCAATCTGCTCAATTACCATCTTCTGCTGTTGATCTATCAACAAAAAAATAGACAATAAAATCGGTAGAATGACGAAAACGAGGCGAATCGAAACCGGTCGATTTTCTCAAGGCAACACAGACAAAATCAAGGGAGTCATCGAGGAAATTGCTTGGAAAATGCCGGACGCTATCAAAAATGAATAGGAGATGATTTTTTCTGGAAATCTTCAACGTTTCAGCACCTCGCGACACATTCAAGCGGAACCCGCGAGTTGTCCGCAGCACAAAAAATATACGTGCGCTCTTTCAAGAGCATTGGTACATGGCGCTCTCCAATTTTAGTGAAAAGAACAGCACATAGAGATATCAAATTACGACCAGGTGAGATTTAATTTGATAAGATCATCTGCGGACAAATTGTGTGTTCACTCGAAACCCCGCCCCCTCCCCCCAAAAAAAAAAACGATGCCCGCGAGTTGTCGGCAGATGATCAAATGGAAATATAAATATGTTAACTATATGATATGACCAGAATTGAATTGAAGGGAAAGTGAATCGAAATCGAATACTGGCGTCCCACCGCTCGGCCGACGTTGGAAAGGAAAACAACAGTTTTGCAAAACCGAAACACTGGCGAAATAGCGTGTGGTGTTGGAAGAGACGCAGACGCCCACGAATTTCGGGCCGGCGATTTTGAAGGCCGCCCGGGTTGTCGGTTGGAGGACACGCCCACAACTGAGAAGTGACCATTTCGAAAAATGGTCGAAACACGAACGCCGAAGACATCACATCATTGTCGCTGCCCATTTATGGCTAGTAGTAATTGGTCCGCCCGACCGCCGAATTTTCTTCTTGGCTGCCTTCGCGAGCAATTGGCGAAATTCGAAAATTGCTCGATGTTCGAAGAAAATTTAATATGAGAGTTCGGCGAGGCTCTAGACTGAACTATTCAAAGTTGAATGCTGCGGACAACTCGCGGGTGCCGCCCACCTCTATTCAAGTGGGCTTTATTAGCGAAAATTGCGACAAAGTTGAATTCGTCGTTCGAATCGAATGGATTTAAGCAAAAAATGTTGGAAAAGATTGTATCAAGGTCTCGAAGCGACAAAAAAAGAAAGAAAGAACAAATAAATGCACGCTCCATTTGACAATCCAATAACTACTTTTGTGACGAAGCGCTCGGCGAAACGATGAATGAATTCGATAAAAATTGGAACGACGGCGATTTCGAGGCGATCCGTTATGCGATTTGAAAAATGATGACACCGGGATCTCTCTTTTTCGCGATATTTCCAATTTTGCGCGTGGATTCTGGCAAGTTGTGCATGTACACCGTGACGCGAAATTGCACACATCCAATAAAGGCTTAAAGAGAGGTGTTCAAAATCCCGTGAAAAAAAAAATGAAATTGGCGGCAAAATCAAAAATTTGAATAATTTTCGAAAAACTAAATTCAATTTTTGGAATGTTTCGAACACGAATGGAGTTGTCTGAAAACCGGAGGGTGTGATGGGTGAAAGGTGGGTGGATGGATTGGTGAAACTAATTTGCATGTTGCAAGCCGACGCCGTCGGCCATTCATTGTCCATTCGATTTCAATTCCGGCCGATGAGGAGAGGTGGGGGAGGCGGCGAGACGCAGACACACCGGTGGCGCGCGTAACCATGCAATTTTTGAGGAATTTTCCCCTCCCCCCCCCCTTCCCCTCAAACACCTTTTCTCGACGATGAGCGGATTTACGATGAAAAACGGAGAACGACGAAACATTCGAGATATCATCGACGGTGTCGAAATTTCGGGTTAATCCACCCACTCCCAAACTTCAAAATTGAAATTGTAGATTTACGAGCATGCGCCTTTAAACCAATACGTTTAGCAACTCGTGTTACCTTATAAATTTTGAAAAACAATTTGTAGAAATGATTATTTGGACTATTTTTATTCTGCGCCTTGAAACTACGTCTCGAAGAAGACCGACCTTCTCCAAAATCAAAGATATTCTAAGAATTTCGTGGCAAGACATTCATTCTACTGCGGTAGATATCAATAAAAGCCGAAAGCCTTCTGGCTATATGCGCCTTTAAATAGAATCCTATCGTTTCAAGACCATCGAAAAACGAATGATTTGAATGCTCTCGATAGAAATCGGAATTATGCTTAAGTGAATATCGTGCTGCGGACAATTTCATGGCAAGACATTCATTCTAGTACGGTAAATATCAATAGAGGACCTGAAAGCCTTTTAACTATATGCGCCTTTAAATAGAATCCTATCGTTTCAAGAGCCTCGAAAAACGAATGATCTGAATGCTATAGAAATCGGAACAGTGCCTATGTGAAAATCGGGCTGCGGGCAATTTCGTGGCAAGACATTCGTTCTAGTACGGTACACATATATCAATTGAAGACCTGAAAGCCTTCTAATTATATATGCGCCTTTAAATAGAATCCTATCGTTTCAAGACCATCGAGAAACGAATGATTTTACTGCTCTCGATAGAAATCGGAATAATGCTTAAATGAATATCGTGCTGCGGACAATTTCGTCGTAAGGCATTCATTCTAGTGTAGAATCCTATCGTTTCAGGACCCTCGAAATCCTATCGTTTCAGGACCCTCGCAAAATTGCTTAAGTGAATATCGGTGGTGCGGACAAAGTACAAAATTAGTGGAGCGACCAGTCGGCGGCGATGGTCGCTCGAAACACGATAATAGCAATAATAATGACTTGCGTCCGACAATTTCCAGCTTTTTGTCGATGTCTCGCCGCACTCCTCGAATCGTGTGCTCTCTCGCTCTCAGTCTCCGCGCGCGAGCGTAATAAATACATGAGAGTTATGTTCCGATTTGTTACTACATATTATCCAACTAAAGCTGACGACCACAATTTTTGGGGTGGGCATCGTGTCGAGACCAAAACGTGCTACAGTAACCTTCGATTACCGTATTCGAAATTGTGGTTGATTAAAATTGAAAACGAAAATGATAAAAAGTTCCACAAATTTTGGTTTTTTTTTTGAGCTCGGTTTTCAAAAATTTAAATTTTGGAATTTTTTTCGTCAAAATTTCAAAATTCCCATTTTGAAGATTTTCGAAGAAGATTAAAGGATCAAAAAGCGGATAATGATTTGGGTCTCGTAGCGAAAACCGAATTTAATCAAATCGGCAACAAAGCAGACAAAACACCGAAAAATTGAGCAAGTGGTCTTGACGCGAAGGCGTTGCGCCTTTAATCCTTTTCGAGCCCGTAAAACGACACTTCCAGTTTCGCGTCAAGACCTCTTTGGTAAATAGCCAATATTCCATTTATAAAAAAAATATGTTTTTTGAGAATCAAATATTAATGCTAAAAGCTATTAGTGCTTAAAATTTCGGATTTTCCGGATATATTCAAATGGGACAGTAACCAATGGGAATTTTGAGGCGCATAGAAAAAAATGACGACGACGAATTGAGATTGTTTGGATATCGATGACAATGAAGAGGAGTCGAAGTTTTGGCTGAATGAACACGCATTGTATTCCGAATAAGGGTGGGTTCAAGAGTGCGTCGGCGGCGGCGGCCCGGTGGATACAATAATCGAGGTTGACAAGTGGTCACTACTCGCACGCGAACACACGACACACGGAATTCGGGAGACCGTCAAGAATTGATGGCAAAATTTTGGATCGGCAAGACACACAAAAAATAGTGTGCAAATTGGCGTCTCGGTGTACACACACAATTTCCAATATTCAGAAAGCGAGATGAATGTGATTTCAGTCGTCGCTAGACAATTTTGAATTAACCAAATCGAGCTGCGGACATTTCCATGCAAATTGGCGGGCCAAATTCGTTGGTCCGAACCAACCGGAAACGGGATTGCCGGAAATGTGGCACCTGTTCGCGTAATAAATCTCAAAGCACCAACTCCATATTTTATTCGTCACACTCTATATATGTACTATTCGAATTTCCAAAAAAAAAAATCCAACAACAACTTGAAACCAAGGCTAGAGCAGACCCGTAAGAAAAATCATCGAAAAAAAATTTAAAAAAAAACGGAGATATTGCAAAATTTACAAAACAGCAGTGAAACCGTAGGCAACGGAAATGGTGTTGACTGGAAAATGAGGATCCTCTTTTTCTTTTCGAATTCGCCGCGGGACCCATTCTCAAATATTTCGCACTTGACCGTACGCCGATTTCGGCAAATTCGCTTCGACATCGAGAAATTGTTTCATTGTGTCCACCTGTAAAAATTTCTTTTTAAACTAAAATGATATTTGAAAGACCATTGACCATTGCACCTTCGAAGATCACACAATTTTTTTCTAGAAGAATATTCGCGCTGCTAGATCTATCAATATAAAAAACTTATGCTATCATATAAACAATGAAAATTTGAAAATTACATGATAAACAACGGACGAAATTTAGCTTCTACAATTTAATGACTTATGCTACTCAGATTTATGTTAATTCAGTCAACTGTTCCTCACTTTGCTTAAAGATTGCCAACTACAATTTAGTCGTATTAATATATTTTGAAATTGGCATCGCAAACTACTCACAATTTGCTCCAAACTGGTAGCAGACGCGCGTAGAAGAGGTATGCCGCAGCATTGCAAAACCGTGCGCCGCATTGCACAATGCGGCCACGCCTCACAATTTTCGAAATTCGTTTTTAAAATTTTTGTCATTTTGCTTTTTCTCAATGGGTTTTCAAAATTTTTTCGTGATTTTTTTTTCAAAAATTGAAAAAAAAATTTGTCTACCATCTATTTCGTATGTTTTTTCGTAACTGAAGAAGTATTCTCAATGACTATATTCTATTAAATTAAAGGGCCTATATTTTATAGCAAATATCTATGTTACAGATGTTCTCATCCAAGGTTTTGGACAAGAATCCACAAATGACTGCAAAGCGAAGGCACTTTCGCAGGGTGAGAAGTTAGCGATAATCTTCTGTAGGATTCTACACTATGACAACTAATTTATTAATTTACTTAAGGATCGAATTCGCCAACAACTCCAAATGAAATTTGGTGTAGCGCCGGAAGCGCTTGCTGCGCAAATAAGGACGCTGATTGATTCTATCAGCAGCCCTGAGATGTGAGTGTTCATACATATGTCCTTAAAGTTCTAATAAAAAACACTTATTAGTTTCCAAAAATTCAATAAAAATAAATTATTTCTAAGAAGAAAGAAGAAAGTTATTAATGTAAAAATACGACTGTATTTTCTCGAAAATGTTTTTTTTAGTTTACGTAGAAATGGTTTATAAGCTTTTTAAATGAATAGGCCCATTATTAATACAGCAATCAACTGGTTTTCCTATTCTTTCATATGGAAGGCATACGGCTCATTCCATATATGAAACACACGGTTCCGCAAAAAAATGCTTCCATATAACTAGCATGAGATTCCTATGATATCCACAGCCGTTCCATTATGCTTCCATTGTGCCTATGCCGCCGTTCATCTGTGACCTCCCCGGTACGGAGAACCTGGAGCCAAGAGGCGTATATGAAACCTCTTGCCCAAATGGCTGCTGGCAATGGAAAATCACCAGATGGCCATAACCCAGCGCAGGCTGGAATTTTGCGAGCACACTCACAAGACCTTCTAGTAGGCTAAAATGAATTTCATTGTTAGCTCACCTTATCCTTGAATCTTCCCAATGAATGCGATACGCGATTCTTGTGGATCAAATAGCTGAACACGACAAAAACGACGCCGACCGGCACCAGAATCGCCGTCGTGATGTAGCCGGCCGTCGGATAGCCGACGGCGTCGAATTTCACATAGAATATCACGCCGATTTCGACCAAAAACAATAATAATCCGACGCACGTCGAGAAGAGCCATGACAAGTCGATGTAGAATCTGTAAAAAACAAAGAGCAATTCGAAAATGAAACCACAGACTGACTTGAGTCGAATGTGCGGCGAGTCTTGTGTGCATCCGGTCGCTTCCATGTATGGCAGAATACAGGTCGACATCATCAGTGCGAGTAGGTGAACAGAAACCTAGTAAAAATTGAATAAAATGCGCATAATATCAGGTTTGTCAATTTCGGAGCTTCTTCGAATTTTCGCGGCCGGGTTTTGCGGGGGCGTAAACAACGGAGTGTCGTTAACGCCCTAGTTTTATTTCTACTTATTTTTTGATTCAAATGTCGAAGGGCAATTTTCGTTGATCAAGCTAAAATTTTATCCCCAATTTTAGTAGAATTGACTTTAAATTTGCTGAGAAGCTAAACTTCCGCAATTATTTGTTTTAATGGTCCATTTTGTTCGAATAAAATGAATTTGTTTATAAAATTCACATTTTATTATCGGCGGCCGGCATTTTTTAAAGGAGGTTTGAAAAAAGCCGGCCACGGCCGCCTCGGGCCCGGATTTGACAAGTCTGGGCAAAAAAAAATAATGAATGGGCGGCACATACCAGCAGACTAGTGACGACTCCCAAGATGATGAACAAATGCTTCGGCGTGTTCTCCTCGTATTGCAATTCGACAAGGCATACCTGAAAAATTCAAAAAAAAAAAACTCTAGATTCATGTTCAACTGATTCTCAAGAAACACCAGCTAACAGAATCGGTCGCCGCGAGACCCATTGCAAAATGACCGCATGCGCCTTCAATTACCGTATTCGAAATTGTGGTTGATTAAAATTAAAAAATAAAATGGCAAAAAGTTCTATTTCATATCACAAGTTTTTGTTTATTTGAGCTCGGTTCTCAAAAATTTCAATTTTGGATTTTTTTTTCGTCAAAATTTCAAAATTCCCATTTTGAAGAACGTGAAATTTTCGAAGAAGATTAAAGGATCAAATAGCGGATAATGATTTTGGTCTCGTAGCGAAAACCGCATTTTAACAAATCGGCAACAAAGGAGACAAAACATCAAAAAAATTGAGCAAGTGGTCATGACGCGAAGGCGTTGCGCCTTTAATCCTTTTCTAGCCCGTAAAACGACATGATCAGTTTCGCGTCAAGACCTCTTTGGCAAATAGCCAATATTCCGGTTTTAGTGCTAAAAATTTCGGTTTTTCCGGATAATGAAATGTGAAAAAATTGAGTGGTATTAGAAATTTAAAAAAACGATTCGAATAGTTTCTTTTGGGTTCAAAAATCTCAAAAAGAATAATAAAAAAAATTCCAATACCCTACGATTTTTGGATGAAATGATGCGTTTGATGCGCAAAATCAAATATTCAAAACGAAAAGCGAACGAACCATTGCGAATCCAGCGAGAAGAGCCGATGTCCTCGAGCTCGCTTTGAGCTGCGCCTTGCTCAAATCATAATTGTATTTTTCCGAGAGATCGAGCTCGCCGCGATGTCTGAAATCGAAACAAATTTGCCAGTTTTGATATTTTCATTTTCTTTTTCGTCTAATGTGCGCCAATATTCATATTGTTTGCTTAATATATTTTTTTAAAGGTACATTGACCTTCGACACACCCCAAATTCGGCTCATCGTCTCGTTTGAGCAACGGACTCGGCACCCTCAATGACGCCATACTCGGCGCCCTAGAGCCCTGTTGGCTCGTCGACGGCGGCTGAAGGCGGAGTTGCGGCAACGGGAACAGCGGACATCGCGACTTCGACTCTTTCGAGTTCTTTCGCCACGTGTCTATCGCATTTCGAATGTCTTCAACGGATATCGAGACGCGTCGCGCCGACACCTCTTCGTGCATCAGAGCGTCCAATGAGGGATCGTGTGAACGCGGCATTCGCTGCTGTATGTACATCAAATTGCTTTTATATATTGCTCACAAATTTTGACATTCATGTATTCATTTGCAGCTGCGGACAATTCGCTGGGAAATTTCAAAAAAAAGTTTTCTGCGTTCGGGGGGAATCGAACCCCCGTCGAATGCTTGGAAGGCATCCATGCTGACCGACCATTACACCACGAACGCGCTGAGAGGCTTCATCCACGACAGCGAATATCCCTTAAATGGAGTGCGTTTCTTATGTTGATCAAATATGCTGTCGTGGATGAAGCGTCTCAGCGCGTTCGTGGTGTAATGGTCAGCATGGATGCCTTCCAAGCATTCGACGGGGGTTCGATTCCCCCCGAACGCAGAAGCTTTTTTCAAACAGTTTTGTCCGCAGATGCAAACGAATAACATTCAAATAAGAGGCAAATATGCGAAAGCTAGTAGAAAATGAAAAATACCATCATTAAATCGCGCGTCGCTTAAGGAAGTGATTTGCGTCAGAAAAAGAAACGAAAAAGATATGAGGCACACACACACACACACACATACACATAAAAAAAAGGCAAATTTTTGCATGCTGACACACTGTCGACGGGCGAGTTGCCCCACGGACGCGGGCACCGACGAGGCATTGTGCAGAAATCGGAGGATCGCATCGAAGACATAACAAAACGACGACGATCAGGGCACCCTCATGCATACAAAATTTTTTCTACAGGAACTTGAATTCGACACACGGTTGAATTTCGTCGAATTTTGATAACTACGTCGTTTTCGATTCTCACATTCAATTCAAAAAATTTTGATGATGATCTACTGATTCCCAAACCAATACATCTGAATCAAATATCATCGATTTGAGAGGGTCTTAAGACGAAACTTCCATTTTTCGAATATTCTAGAAGGCTTTTGAAGAAAAAAATGGAAAACTCGGATTTCAAAAAAAAAAAAGAAAACGATTTCCAGGAAATTCGTGTCTCAAAAATTTAGTACAAATAATTTATGCGCCTTTAAATTTGAAATTACCAACAATTTTCGATTTCAGTGAAAAAAAAACAAGTTTTAACGACAAAAATTGGTGTGTCTGCAAAATAAAAAAAAACTCAATCTACAACAATATACCGTAAATCGACATTTAAAGGCGCAAGCGAATAAAAAAATCAATCGATTAAAAAAAATGATAATTGAATGGAATCAAATTGAAAACGGGCAAATTGTCGAACAATTTCCCAAACTGTGGGTGTCATCGTTATCAATTTCGTGATAAGACCCTGTTTTTTTAAAGAGAAAGACCAACGCCTATCCGTTTGACTTACTCTTCGAGAAGATGGAGCAGCGAAGAATCAGAAGACGCCTTCTCGTGACCGTACATCAATGGAACCAACATAAAAGCGAATTGGATTCGATTCGATTCGAAGCGGGTCTGTTCTTTTTCCTATTGAAGCCGCAAATGTTGGGTGTTTGACGAACTATTAATGAATCATACACCCAAATTGTATCCGCGACTAGACGAACCCCATAAACGAACAAACAATATCGAAGTTTGACCTGTCATTCCACTATCAAACTGGCAAACAATAACCAGATTCAACGATTATTTAAAAGAAAAAAACGAGAGATCAAACCATATGAATTATTTTATGGCTTCGAAAAGAACTTTTTTTGTTAACTTCTTTTTTTCAGAAGCATCAGCCTCGATTTTCAGCGAAAACCCTAGGAGATGTTTTACAAGTTTGAATACAACTTTCTGGATTTTTTTCATCGGCAAAATCGAGATCAAATCGAAATGAGTGATATTCATTCGCATCTTCGGACTATTCAGGGGTTGAATTCAAAAAAAATTCGATTTGCCACCGAGATCGCGAATTCGCCCTCCTTTAAATGGAGTGCGCTTCTTATGTTGATCAAATATGCTGTCGTGTATGAAGCTTCACAGGCAAAACGCGACGGATGAAGTCCGGGCGAAGTCCGGATATTTGAACGTCACGGCTAAAAAACGGGCCAAGTACGGACCAAAAATTTCTTTGAAAAACGCCGCGGTAAAAAAACGGACAAAGTCCGGAGATTTATAGGCCACGTTTTTAAAACGTGTTAATTACGGATCTTGATTTTCAGGATAAAACGCCACGGCTAAAAAACGGGCCAAGTACGGACCAAAAATTTCTTTGAAAGGCATCACGGACAAAAAACGGACAAAGTCCGGAGATTTATTGGCCACGTTTTTAAAACGTGTTAATTACGGATCTTGATTTTCAGTATGAAACGCCACGGCTAAAAAACGGATTAAGTACGGACGAAATATTTCTTTGAAAGGCATCACAGACAAAAAACGGACCAATTACGTGACAATTTTTTCGAGTGAAAATGTCACCGACAAACAAAGGACTATTTACTGATCGACACTTCCTGGCTGAAACGTTACGACACAAAAGTTAATTAATATTTAATATAACGGCTTCACTGGAAGCTGTGGCGACCGATGGCTGATAATTAAATTTTCTTGTTGCAGGTTGCCCGATACCGATGCGGTAACCATAGCACGGCTCGAGACTTCCTTTCCTAAGATCGATGTGTCTAAGTTCGCTGCTGTCGATTCACCGTTATGCGTTCTAACTGTTCCGCTCCATATTTATATTCGTTGTTTTGTAATGTAGAGATAATGTGGAAATGGGAGAGTGGGCGAGACGATGAGGCGGTGGGCGAGAGAGAGAGTGCGAAATGAAGAGACGCACGCCATCATGCCATCGGGCAATGTCCAGCAAAAAGAGGGCCGCGGCCGAAGTTCACCTTTATTTAAATGCAAGTCCCCAATCGTAAACACCGATTTAGTCAATTACTTATGCTTTTAGTCGTATTATTTCAGTTTATTAAGTTGTTTCCCCAAGCCCACCATCCACCATATTTAGTATCATCAAGTTTGTTATTAGTTTGTATCGCTTTGTTAACATTTTGTTCGTTTTCGTTCAATAATGAAGGTTTAATTACCCAAGTTTGAGGTTTACTCGACTTGTTTAACGGTTCCAATACCGTATCATTATTTGGAAAAGTTACTGTTTTATTCCATTGTAGTTGAAAAATGAATAGTGTTCCTTTGAAATTGTTTTTTCAGATTGTAAATGGGTCATTAGGTCATTTAAATAAATACAAAAATTTCCCAATTTTCGTTCAAGTTTTGATAAAGACTACGATTTCAGTCATGGGACGGTCATATCGAAGATTTCTACCATCTTTACCAACAAAAAGTATGTTAAAATTGCATAACTATTTGCTATACTCTCTTTTACTACAATAGGATCAAGAGAAGTATCTTCTTCAAGTGAAGAAAACTTATCTGAACCGATTGATGTTCAACTTTCTGAGTCGCTCAATATAGACATCGATGAAGAGGAAGAAATGTTTCAATGGGATGTGAATTGTGACGAAGTTGAGGAAAACGATGTCGAGGAAAACGATGTTGAGGAAAACGATGAGAAATCTTCAGAAGATTGTCCCCACAGCGGTAGGTAATTTGTCTTAATACTAATCGCCATTTTCGAATAGACTTGGCGCAGTATTTAGCGAATGTGTCGGACGAAGTTTTGACATTCGTAACTTCAGCGTGCATAGCTCGAAGTACCGATGCGGGTAAATAGGAAAAAATTACGAAGAAGTAAAGAGGCAATTACAGATTTCAAGAGATTCCTTTCTTCTCATAAAGATTTAACATTCCGTCGGCAAAGCTTCCAGCTATGGAAGAACAATATGACTATTTATAACGCGCACTATGTGTGCAATAGTTGTGGGAAAGAAACAAATAATATGTTCGCAAAATGGTATAGACGTTGGGCACTTTTTATCTATTGTTTGGGTTTTCAGTTGTGGAACTATAATTAAATATGTTAGAATTGGAGGAATTCAGCAACTCTCGGAGATAGTGGAGGAGTACTGGACAGATATTCATCGGATAAGAAGCGAAATAAAAAATGGGACAAACAAGCATCACAATCTGAATGGAGAGTATGTTTCAAAAGTGTCCCAGATGGATACGGACACGGAACTTCATTTTTCAATTATTGGTAGTATTGACGGTGTGTCATTGACTGGCAATACGAAGTAACAATTTTAAAAGTTGTCATTATAAATGAACAATTTAGGAAAAAGCTGTGGCCGGTAACGTTCATGCTTATCGACATACCAACAGGCGAGATGCAAAAGGCTCACAATTTGGTACTCCATGGAATTGCTGTTGGAGATATGAATCCGTCGACACATTTCTGGAACACCCTATTACCATATATCTACGCTGATGTAGAAGGAAAAACCCGTGTTTTATTCGGAAAACAGTTCGATTTCAGTATTATTTCGTGGAGCGGTGACCAGCCCGTGAGTAAATTCTTAGTTTATAAGATCCACAAAACTTAATAATACATTTAACTCTACCAATATACCATGGACACATAACCGTTTCAGGCAAAGCGAGCCTTATTTGGAATGCGCGCGTGCAATTCCGAAGGAACTTGTTTCTTCGGCTCATGTGCAGGAACCAGATACAAAACCGTGTCTATGGGGTACACCGCTCGGAATGAAAAAGAAACCGAAGAGAATGCAAGAAACGCAAGAAACGGGTTTGGCAATGTTATGCCCAAAATTTTGGATTATTGTTATCCATTTCACACCATCGTGGACTTGCTGCACAACGGCAGCGAGGGCGTATTTCAAACAATAATGACAGGTTGAAGATTTGCTTAAAAATTTACGTTAGGAAATTTTTTTAGAATGCTTGAACCCAAACGCCAAAGCTCGTTCAGATTTGTTTAAGAACATCGATGGATATTCCGATTATTGCAAAATGGCTGTTATTCCAATGGAATTTAAAACGAAGGAAATGAGAAATGGGACAGACAAACTGAATGTAAATGGGTTCAAAATCCACCTGAATAATGAATTCACATTTGCAGTTCTTCAGATTAAACTTCGGACTTGCCGCATTTGTGTGCCCAACTATTACACCATCTGCTCGATTGATTATAATAGCTCTAATGTTGATCACGAACCAACTATATAGCAATGCTGACAAAAACGAATGTTTTTACGTGCATCTCACAGCTGTAGCACGTTATTTCTTATCAAAAGCATCAAGCGCATATATGACGACCAAGACTCATGTAAGAAAACTTATAATTCAAGCTTATCATTGAAAGTAATATCGTTTAGGAGCTTGTTTGCCATCTGCCTCATGTCATTAGGCAGTTTGGAAATATTGCTCCACTGTCAACTTTTGCTTACGAGCACTTTTACAAGTTTGCACTGAAAGGATTTAATGCGCAGGCAACAAATAGCTTCGAAGAATCTGCCGCCAAACGGTATATTAAAAATACTTAATTGAAACAATTGCTAATATTAATTACTATGTTCAGAGTTATGCTGCATATTGGAGTGAGGCGCGAGCTGATAAAAAGAAGGAAAACTGGCCCCAGCGAGACCATTGCCTCATTTTTGGCAGCTACCCCAGAAATGAGACCCACCGAGGTCATATGGAAAAAGCCAGTGGCACTGAGCCACACTAACGATCTCGCATATGCACATATCGGAGATCATTTTGGGGAGCTGCATTTAAAGTGTGGTCGTCTGCAGTCGGCCTATACAACACCAAAGACCAGCAACGACATTTTCTTTGCGAGCAGTGCGTCAGGCGAATATGGGTGTTACCGCTTCATATCCGTTTGTATCTCAGTCGATCGAAAAGTCAAAACGAATATAGCGATTGCGATTCGTAAATAATTTTTTTTTTTCGATTTTTCTTAAATAAAACTTTTATAATAATGCTGTCTATATGATTTCAATTTTAATTTTGATTATTATACGAACGGAAGAAAAAAAAGCATGTGAAAAACGCCACCGGGCGAATCACGGTCCGTTCCCGGATACGCTAAGACGTCCGTGTCCGGTACGTCAGCGACACGCTGGAACGGTCAATAACGGACCGTGATTCGCCCGGATTTCATCCGTCGCGTTTTGCCTGTGGGAATCTTATATGCAAGTTATATGGAAGCATAATGGAAGCATTTTTTTTGCGGAACCGCGTGTTTCGTATATGGAATGAGCCGTATGCCTTCCATATGGGAAAATAAGAAAACAATTTGATTGCTGTATTCAAAATTTATTTCATATTAACACATTTATTTAATTTAAAATAAAAAAAAAAACAACAATGAAATGAATTTCAATTAAGATATAATCAAACCATTAGTTACTGGCAACAGCCGAACTATTCGAATCATTGTCAGTACTGACATCGAGCGGGACGCTGTAATAAGTAGAATTCATATCGTTCACACTTGGTTAAAAAGCCGTGTTATGATATTTTTAAAAACAACAACTATTGCTAAGAAATTAGGCAAAAGTCCTAATGCACATTTAACCTATCCTTTTTTCGCAAATATACGCTTGTAGAAAGAAACCGTTATCGAATTTTTACCTTTTCTCCACTTTTCCTAGTCGCTACACTTCGATTATAATGGGCCTATTAATTTGAAAAACTTGTAAACCATTGTTACGTAAACTAAATTTTTCGAGAAAATACAATCAGTTTTTTTACATCAATAATTTTCTTAAAAATAAAAATAATTTATTTTTATTGCATTTTTGGAAACCCTTTAGTGCACAAAATAAAAAGTGAATTGGCGGAAGAAAGAACAACTCCAAAATTTGAAGCAAAAAGGCATTTTGGTTAAAATTTCAAAGACATATGAATACTCACATCTGAGGGTTGCTGGTAGAATCAAGCAGCTTCCTTAATTGCGCCGCGAGCGCTTCCGGCGCTACACCAAATTTCCTTTGAAGTCGTTGGCGCATTCTATCGCTTAATCAAGTAAATAAATTAATAGTCATAGTTCAAAATCATACAGAAGATTATCCATGACTTCTCGAACCATGCGTAATGCTTTCGCTTTGAAGTCATTTGTCGGTTGTTGCCCAAAGCCATGGATAAGAGCATCTGTAATATAGATATTTGCAATAAAGTATAGGATCTTTATATAGTCGGCGTCTGGCGACTTCTGTACTAGAGCCCCACTTAAAAAGATAAATGCCACTGAATGATATTGGTACGAAGGCTGTACGGCAATCGGAAATTTCGGCGATTCGGCTAATGGCAAATTACCGATCGAAATTTTCTTCGGCAATTTGAAAAACCGGCAATTTCGGCAATCGGCAATTCCATTGCCGCACAGCCCTGATTGGAACCAAATAATCAACAAGCTTTAAACTTAGGAAGTACTTTATAAAGACTTCATTGCGCATATTTTTATAATTGAAACCATTTCTGGAGTCGAACAGGCCAATTTTTGATGATAACAACTTACAAATTGCGCGTACGAAGGTTTAGGAATTGGCGTTGATTTTGTTGTTTGTGAGGACTGTGGAGAAAAATTTTTTTGCTGAGTTGGCGAGTAAATTGGACTATCTGGATCTGAAGTGTCGAGCGAATTTGGTTCCATGTTAGGGACTTCTGGTTCTTTGTTATTGACTTCTAGAGCAGTTTCAGTTATATCTGACAACACTCTCGATCTTGTCTTCATCTGTAAAAAATTTCAAAACATTATGTTTTATTAAAAGAAAAAAGCGAGCGATAATAAAAAATATGTTAAAGTAAATAAAAATAAAACGGATTCGATGAGAAATTAAACACAATTCGATTGAGAAAATATTTAAATTCGATTTTAAAAGTGTCGGAAACGATTTGAAAACATCGTATCGATTTTAAAATTTTCGAATGCTATCAATTTATTTTTGGTTTCGATTTTGATGATAAACATGAAAATTTTTCCTTTATTTTTTAAAAACATTTTTCCTTTAATTTTGAAAAAAATTCTTTAATTTTTGACAAAAAAAAACACAAAAAAATCTTGAAAATTCATTGAGAAAAAGCAAAAGGACAAAAATTTTGAAAACGAATTTCGAAAATGTGAGGCGTGGCCGCATTGTGCAAAGCGGCGCACGGTTTTGCAATGCTGCGGCACGCCTCTTCTACGCGCGTCTGCTACCAGTTTGGAGCAAATTGTGAGTAGTTTGCGATGCCAATTTCGGAAAAACCGGCAAAAATATATTAATACGACTAAATTGTAGTTGGCAATCTTTAAACAAAGTAAGGAACAGTTGACTGAATTAACATAAATCTGAGTAGCATAAGTCATTAAATGGTAGAAGCTAAATTTCGTATGTTGTGTATCATGTAATTTTCAAATTTTCATTGTTTATATGATAGCATAAGTTTTTTGTATTGATTTTTCTAGAAATTGTCTTGGTCTGCCGTCCAGACGCCAATTGTATAATGTGTAATGATATATGATTATTTTATCCATATTTCATCCATATTCGTTCCACGGCTCGCAAACACCGGAAGCATATTCATCCCGTTTTCATTCCATCCATATTCGTCCCATATTTCTTCCACAGCCACTAAGAATTACATTATGCTTCCTATATGGAAGCATTATGCTTCCGTTCCACAGATTTCCCACAATGCTTCCATTATGCTTGCGTCGCGCTTAATCAGTGAGAGTTTGAACAAGAGGCCTCAATAAATCGGAAGTTGCTATGATGGGATTTCAGATCAAAAAGAGAAGAAGGGGGTGAAGCTTTAATTGTTTGTCAAACGGATGAATCACATTTCGGAAAAATAAGTTTTTGGCCCAATTTTACGAAAAATTAAATGTGTTCACAGAAATGAGTGCAATAATTCAATCAGCGAACTTTCGAGTATGCCAACTGAAAGCTGCGGACACTTCCTTGGTAAAATGCGAGAAGTAAATCTTTTTACGCGTTCCAGATGAATCCTAGTTTTTTTTTGGTCTCGATAAATGTCCACAGACTGAATTTATAGTTTGTCGACCATAAATTGTTAGTTTTGTTGGGAAAATGTTTATTCGACGTCCCGCAACGGCAAAAAATTGGCTAAATGCCAAAAAAAACCATGCCAGTCGCACGACGACGCCAACATTATTAATACTAGTTCTATCTGCGGACAAAACTGTTTGAAAAATGCTTCTGCGTTCGGGGGGAATCGAACCCCCGTCGAATGCTTGGAAGGCATCCATGCTGACCATTACACCACGAACGCGCTGAGATGCTTCATCCACGACAGCATATTTGATCAACATCGACGAGAGAAGAAGCGCACTCCATTTAAGGGATATTCGCGATCTCGGTGATGATTCGCATAGCTTAATGGATATCCCTTAAATGGAGTGATGTTGATCAAATATGCTGTCGTGTATGAAGCTTTTCAACGCGTTCGCGGTGTAATGGTCAGCATGGATGCCTTCCAAGCATTCGACGGGGGTTCGATTCCCCCCGAACGCATTATAATATTTTGAAATTTCCGAGCGAATTGTCCGCAGATGTTATCGAACAAAAACCTTCCCGTTTTTTTTGTCAACAACTCGACTCAATAATATTGAAAAATATGAACTTTTTGTTATTCAACTCACTCTTTTGAAAAGCACTGAATTACCGGCGACAGTGTCGGCTGCTGATGTGAATGGTTCGCGGCGAGACCCGCACTTCCACGCTCATAGCTCACCGGCGGCGTTTGAGACAACGCGAATTGAATTCTGAAAGCGAAATCGATTAAATCGAGACCAAAATCGTTGAGAACTTGGAATTGATCGTCGAAAAATAGGAAAATTCGCTTTGACGACGCTCATTGAGCAATCGGGCACGCTCTTTCACACCACGACTCGGCATTCTTTTTTCTTATGAACAATGTGATTTGGGACAATTTGAAGTGAACACGGCGGCTGCGGCGGCGGCGAATGATTCAGACACTTCGAAATGGCAAAATTCGCTTGTGTGTTTCTTGTTATCCCAAAGAAAACGCGTCGAGCGAGGCCCTTATCACTTCGAGACCGAAAAATATATTGGATTCTTGGCGTGTAGTCCACACGGACAATCTCGCACCCTCAGGGCTCATTCTCGACACAATCGCGCGTAATCTTTCTTTTTCTTTTTCTGCCTTTTGTCTGACGCTCTCCACAATTTTCATTATCAAATCGCTTCGAGACCCATCCCAGCAACGACATGTGGTGGTTTTGTGGCTTCTCATGCAATGTTTACGAGTTTATGGATTTTTCCGGAAATTTCAGTTTTAGGCACTTTTCTGTTCGAAATTCGCTTGAAAACATTTACCGAACTCATTGGCTTGCGAGAAAAAATCGTGTTTTGAAACCAATATTCAACAAACCTAATTCGAATTCCAATAAAAAGCGTTTTTGGTAGTAATAAAATTTTTTGAAAAGCTTCTGCGTTCGGGGGGAATCGAACCCCCGTCGAATGCTTGGAAGGCATCCATGCTGACCATTACACCACGAACGCGCTGAGATGCTTCATCCACGACAGCATATTTGATCAACATCGACGAGAGAAGAAGCGCACTCCATTTAAGGGATATTCGCGATCTCGGTGATGAATCGCATAGCTTAATGGATATCCCTCAAATGGAGTGATGTTGATCAAATATGCTGTCGTGGATGAAGCCTCTCAACGCGTTCGTGGTGTAATGGTCAGCATGGATGCCTTCCAAGCATTCGACGGGGGTTCGATTCCCCCCGAACGCAGTAAATTCTTTTGAAACTGTTCTGAAATTTTGCCAAGATCTTGGTGCGCCTTTAACCTAACCTTATGCTTTGCCCGTAAATCCACACTTTTATTTTTGCCCCAACACCACAGCCAAACAATATTCTAGGCGATTTAGCAAGATACAAAATTACTTACTTTCCATCTCCTAGCGAACCTTCTGAAGCATTTTCTCTGGAATTCGAAGCTGGCGGTCCTGAAACAAAAAAACATGTTCAAATAGCGTATTTGTTTAAGCGCGCTCACACAGAAACTTTACATTTTCCGACTAACAAAACACCACGTCACATACACACAGAAAACGGACAAATAACACAAACATTGATTATTTTTTTCGACAAATTCTTACCAGAAACGTAATTATAAACGCTGTGCGGATCATCGCTCGACAACATACTGTAATTATCCATTGTTAGCGAAACGGCGAGCGAAGAAACACGTTATTTTTGGCAAGAAAATAGCCGGAGAGACGGACGAGATCGTTGAATTTCGAGTGTTTTTCGTTCTTTTTTGCATTTGGAGGACGCTACACACACACATGGCTGGTAGTGCTCTTCGTCTCTCATTCCTCTTTCTATTCAAACAATCTGCCGCGAATATTATGAGCAATTTCGGAATTTTGAAAGAAAAAAATGCGGAATCTTGAGGAAACTGCATCAAATTTATATGGAAAAGAAAACTTTAAAATTATATATTCGTCATGAGTCAGAGAAACGCGCATTCTTCTTATATAAAAGAAAATTTGAAAAGAGAAAAGCAAATGATTAAAAATTGAAATTATCGGTACGGTACTGTTGAATATTGTTCACTTTTGCGTAAAGTGTTTGCACTATTCTTTTAATTGTGTACTCCACACGGATAATTTTACATTCAAATTCCTAAATTCTTACTCATTGAAGGCGTGACATTCGAAATTTTTCGCAATCTTTGTTTCACAGCGTCTAGAATATCGCTAACACTATCATAATTCGACGAAGACTTGATATTCTGCAAAATAATGAGGTTTAATTTTAATTTCAATTAAAAATTTGCGAACCCGCGTTTCGTATTCATCAGCATTCAGGATTTCTTCCCTCGGCGAATCGGCATTATGCTCAACAACTATCGAAGGAATATTAAAAACTGGTGTTTTTTCTAAAAAGAAACCATATTTCAATAGATTAATCTCGTCAATTTCAGCTATTCACAATGATTACCTTTAACTGTCGCTCGAGGCGTGAAAAATCCAATCGTCGGATCATCAGACTTCTTCTCGTCGTCTAAACTACCCGTCCTCGGTCGCAACTGGCCGATACAATCCTCAGGGAACACCAAATGCGCGGGTCTCGCAATATTCGGCGATGATTTCGAATTTTGAATACCACCACGCATTTTGGCTCAAAAATAAAATTCAAAATTCAAGTAAATTGGAGTGATGTAATGCGTGGTTGGGTTTCGCTACTGTTTTAAAAGAACAAATGTCGTTTTGGCGGCGAGTCAACAAATTTAATCCGATTGTCAACCGAGTCGATCTTGGTTTTCCGTTGAACTGTGTTACGCTTGTGTCAGTGTCAAATAAATTATTCATAAGTTCCTCGATGAATTATCTATTCGAAAAGCGAAAGAAAAATATAACAACAAAAAGCGAAAAGAAAAAAAAAACTCAACAAAATTAACAATTGAAGTCTTGAATCAACAAATTTAACAATTATTTTGATTTTTTCGCCGGCGAACCGGGTTTCGCGTTCACAACGTTTTTGAGCTCCTCGAATCGCTCAATCCAGCGCCGTTTTTCTTCGACAATTATTTGCTGCATCATAGGGCTGAAAATGAAACAAAAAATGACAGATTCTATAAAGTCGTCTTATTTTTCGCGCATTTTTCTCCATGCACCTTTAAAGACCTATAATAGTGACATTTTCGGAAAATTTCCCGCATAATCATATTAAATATGTGTGATAGGGTCTCACAGTGAATTTCCAAACAGCGAACTACTGTAGAAAAAAAACTCACTCATTCAAAAACTCATCGTCCCGCTCAATTTTCAAATTCCAGCGTCTCGCCTTCCTATCGCAAACCCCAAAAGAGCTCAAAATCTCTTCGCTGTCACGTTCAGAAAGCCGGAAACATCTGAAAGTCACAATTTCATCAATCAAATTGCGATTGGGTAAGTGATCTCACGTGATAAGTGTCAAACGAGTCACTCGTTGGCCAGCATCAATTAGAGCCAACGCGAGATCGCGAGCATTCCGCCACAACTCCGATCGATAGACATCAATCTGCAACAAAAAAAAATGGTTTTTTACTTCCTTCTTCGACCTTTCTAAACAAATATCCCTCAAAAAAAAGAAGAATAAAGTTTGTGGCTAATAAATAATAAAAGTTTTTCGTTTCGCGGTAATCCGATAATAAAACATTGCGCACCTTTCCCGGTGTGTTTGATTGCGCCGGCGGCAAATTGATGAACATCAAATCGGAATCCAGCACCCAAACGCCTAAAAATAGAGTAACTCGCGAGGAATTTCAAATCAAAAATTTCTACCATTCACGAGACGCGCGCATTGTCGCAAATTCGTCACGAGATCCACTCTCGTCATTTTGTCGTCGCCTATGAACATGTGCATTTCACTTGTACGAATCACGTGAGCTACAAACATTCAATGAAGGAATTCTATGTGTTAGCACGCGCCCCTTCAAAATCGCTGCGGGACCAAAACTTACTCTTAATCATGTGCGCTTTAATCTGCAATTGAACCGGCAATTCGTCGATCCTCTGCTTCGACAGCATATGCTCTTTTCCGCTTTCGATAACCCTAGAAAACGATGAACAAAATTAAAAATGAAAAAACAATCTCGCTTACAATTCCTCTTTTATACTACAAATGATTGCCTTGTTGACAAGATCTCGAATTTCCAGCGAATTTTCGGCATTCACCTCAGTTTCGGCGTTCCGCTCAACGTTTAACTGCTCAATTTTTTGTTGAGCTTTTGCATCCTGAAATGACGAATTTGAGACTTCGGAATGCAGCACGACGGCAAACTTCTTTGAGGTTGACTTCCATCGGAATCCAAACATCGCTGGCAATCACTTTCTCACGATGAAGCGCAGAAGCTTCGCGCCGCTTCTTTTGTCGCTCAGTTTCCGGTCGACTGAATTTGACGCGAATCTGAAACGAATTGTGTCGAGCAAAAATCCACATTCAGTCTTACATTTGATGTATTTGCGCCTTCTTCGTCTTCATCTTCCGTCGATTGATTCTCCTCATCTTTGGGACCATTTTTGCGCTTCTTATTCAGCACATTTATCGATCGATGCATTTCAAATGTGCCGCGAACTGGATGAAAATAGAAAACGCCTAAAAGATTATCAAAAGTTTAAAATTCATTTAAAAAAACCAAAATTCTGACCGTTTTTCATGAAACCAATCGAATTGATAAGCGGATTGTCGTTCAAAAATGCGCGTCCTTCATAAATCTCATCGCTTTTGCGTAAATTTCTGCAAAACAAAAAAAATCGCATTAGTTCTCGACGATTCGCTTCAAATTCTTACGAGAGATCGAGCGGTTTTTGCGGCGACGAGCTCGTACTCTCACCGCCCATGAGTTCAGCCTTCTTTTTGTCGTACGAAGCGGTATTGGTGTCAGGCATGAATCGCATTTCAAGCTGAAAATTTATTTGAATTTTTTTTTGTAGTAAATATTTTCTGGCCTCAAAAAATGTCCGCACATTTAAATTTATATTAATGTATCAAAAATTAAAATGATTTCTTAATAACCAACTGGATTTACATATAATGGAATAAACATCTGTAAATGTAAAGAAAAAACCCAGGAAAACTAAAATTAAAGAGTAAATCAGTCTCTTCGGGCGTTACACAATTATTTTGAAAAGGCATACCAGATTTTCATTACCTTTTTTGAATAAACGCATTTTTTTAACCCAAATTCCAGTGTTCAAATTCAAATTTGAAATTCAGCCTCGAAAAATTGCGATAGTCCACAATTATTCAAGGTGCTCACCCTTTTTTGCGATTATAATAAAAGGTAAATTTTCAAAACATTTTTTTAATCATTCGGGTCAAAAACTTGAAACATCTCTTACCATTCGAACATTCTTCTTAAATCTAGCTACTGGATTTCGAGATCGATCCCACGCATTCGTTTTAGTCGATGGATACGACACATAATACATTTCCGTATTTGGCACCGAATTGCATACAACTACGTCTCTCTGAAAATGTTAGTGATGATTCCGAGCGATTCGAACGAATTTTAATTTTAAATTCACAAAAAATCGATTTTCATTGATTTATTGACATCGAAATGTGAGAAATTATGTTCAAAATTGAACCTAATATTTTCTGAGTACTTTAAAGGACCTTTAAGGAATTACAACAATCAAGCTTATTTCAAATTTCTTTTCTTCGAATATTTTAAAAAATGATTTGCACCACCTAGAAGGTGAATTAAAGGCGCATACCTCCCAAACTACTTCATCATCTTCATTATCATCTTCATCATCTGATAGTAAATCCTTCTTTTTCACCGCCTTCTTATGAATCAGCTCCTCCTCCTCCCCAGAACTGCTATCAACTTCCATATAGATCCGTTTCTGAACATTTTTCTTCACAAGTTGTATAAACTCGATTTCGAGGTACAAAAACTGATGTGAACAGTAATAGCTATTAAATCGAATTTTTCGATAACAAATTTCTTCAACAAAGCCAACAACAATAACAAAAAAAAATTAAAAAAAGAAGAAAACAAACAAAAAACAATAAATTGAGCATGATTATGGTGTGATATCTACTAGTTTCCTCGGATTCCCTTCGGCGTCTGTCGTGGTCCCATATGCCAGGTTGCGCTCTTTTAACGAGTCCAAATTGAGTGTTGCTTGTCGCTTTATTGGACGAAGGGTTTGCGGAAGCTCGGCGTCTTCATCAACCTCCTCGCCTGTCAATTTTTTTTTGGAAAAAATCGAAGAAAAAAAAACCGAACCTTCTTCATACAACGCTCCTCCAAGCTTCTTAGCTTTCGGCTCGGCTGGAATGATGGTAATCGAACCATTCACAAATCGAGACGGTTTGATGTTTCGCGAATCTTCCGCTTTGATTTCAAGAAATGCTGGAATATGCACCATTTTCTGTTTTGCTTCTGCCGGAGCCACAATGGCGCGATATGTGCCGGATTCTGAAAAACTCAAAAAATTAAATATTTCATTTTTGGCGAAAAATACCTAATTTTAGCTTGGATTTTTTCAGAATGTCATTGTCTAGCGAGAATTTCAATTTTTTCAAGTCGTCGATACTCATTGATATTGGCTTTTTGATGAGGTACATCTCATATCTGGATTCGTCGCCATTCTAAATCAATTATTCAATGTTAGATACTTTATTTTAACTCACCATGATAAAACTTTGATTACTGAAACCATTCAACCCGTTGTGATATCCATTCGTCTAAATTTTTATATAATTTATTCAACATTTGCGCAATTGTCGGCCAACCTCTTCATATTTTATTTTCTTTTTCGTTGAAGGTTCTTCCACTTCATCCTCCCTCTCACTATTTTTTCTTTTCTTCCCCATTCTACCTGTTAAATGAATATAAAATATTTGACAGTGGTATAACAATAGAATAGAAGTTAAAATCAGGTGGAACGTTGCATGAAAAAATGTTTCGTATTGTTCGATTTATCTGGGAGCAATTCGAGTACAAAATCGAAAAATTCATCAAGAAATTTGGAAAAATTAGAAAAAGTTGCAAAATTCGGAAAAAATTCCATCGAAAACCCAGCGAGTGCGATGGAGCGCGTTTGCATCTCGCTCGAGTGCAATCGATTTTTCCGGGTGGGTGCACCCACAAAATCTCGTGAGCTCTATCCGGTTTTCATAAATTTTATCCATTTTTAGTATTAATTCAGTCCCCAGAACAAATTTTCGCCCTAAAACTTAAATAATTGCAAAAAATTGAAGAAAAAATCCCGATATAAATATTAAAAAATTGGGATTTTTGAAAATTTGCAATTATTTGCTCTAAAAATTTACTATTCTGCCTAGTTTTCAGTTTTGTTCAAAGTCTGTTTGAATTTTGACGAAAAAATGTGTGAATTCAAAAGTTTCATACTTAAAACTCAATTTTGTCAGCAAAAAACTAGATTTTTGACCTTCAAACATGTGTTTTCGATGCAATCTTTTTTAATTTCAAACATTTCGCCGCCACATTTTTTGCTTGACGTTTCGCGCGTTCAATATTCTGTTTTGATTTATTATAGTGTGTTTTGAGGCAATCGTAAAGTGACGAATTCTCTGTGTGAGCGCAGACCCTATTCATAACGTCATCTGCGAATAAATGTGAGGAGAAACGCGCGGATTTTTTTTATTTCTCAAATTATATAATTATAAACGAATGTGTAATTATCGGGAGAGAGGTGGGCGGCGTGTGCCTAATTCCCTACATACAATCATTCCTTATCGCAAAACTAAATTATATATTCTCCAATTTCCGCCGCAATTTGATTGGATTTTCTCATATGGATTTCCTCTGCCCGTTTTATGACCGCACTTTTTAAGTTTTTTTTTGTCAAAACGTTGCGTGCATTTCAGAAACTTGGGATTGAAATGCCGCAGAATCATGAGCCAGCTTCACCCGCGCAGCCAACCGATAATGACAATGAGATCGACGTGATATCGAGCAGCGATGAGTCGGAGCCGATTTTTGTGCCTAAAGAGAAGGACCCGATTGTGATACGAGGTGTCGGCAATATCACTGTGTAAGTCGTGTTTGATTTGTGGAATTTGGATCATTTTGTCATGCAGTTTCGCGGGATCTTTGAAATCCCATCGGTGACAATAGTATTCACGCTAATGAGACCACCCACATCAGTGATGTGCTGAAAATTTTCGTAGAAAAAAAATGTCAAAAAAAACTGTGATATTTTTTGAATAAAATCATTCAAAAAATAATTGGCCAAATTTTATGAATGTTTTTTTTTTGTCATATTCGTGACAAAAAAAAATGAGCAGAAAATAATTAAGGTTGCTAAAAATCCATTGAAAACATATTTTCTGAATTTGTATTTCTCGCACATCAATTATGATTTTACGATTAAGTGAAACTTCCACGTGAGACCAAACGTTAACCTTGAAATTTATCGAATTTTCTAGAAAAATTCGTAATTTTTTCGCCGCAATTCCGTTAGTCATCCACAACTTATTTGGCGAAATTGAATTTTCCTAAATCCCGTCCTGATCGGATCAAATGTTTCAGTGTAAACATATTGCGGATATGTCACTTGATTCTAGCACATGTAACCAACAAAAACCTGTTTCTTTTAGTTTTTTTTTTAAATAGATGAAAGGCTAAAAAATTAGGCAATCAAAAATAAATTCTTTCTGTGTAATTCAGGCTACCACGCGTTTTTTTTTCGTCGCAAAAATGTTGGACTAATTTTTTCTGTAATGTTATTAGAATAGAAACTTAAAAATTCGGTAAAATCCGTTGAAAAAAAATTTAAAAATATTCTAAGATCACTCAAAATACTAGTTTTAACCAGTTTTTGGTGTTTTTTTTTTCAACATTTGTTTTGAAAAAATATAAAATCGTTTAAAAATTTTCCGAAAACCCGGCTTATTCGATTTTGACGCGATATTCGCAAATTTCAAATTGTTTGCAATTCTTCTCATCGGAACTCATTATTGGTTTAATTGGAGTTTTCTTTTTAAATTTATTTTGAATGAAACCAACATTCCGGAAACGCCCAATTTCCGTATGTGTTATGCGCTTCGCGAGAATCACGTAGCCGTTAATTGGATGATTTCAGATTCGGTCTCAATTCGCGTTTCAACACCGATTATCCGCCGGAACTCACCGGCTATATAGCGCCGGAAGAGCTCACCGCGACACTGAATCGCGTCAATAATGTCCTTAAGCGGCATTTACAGACGTCGAGTCGATGGCTGCTGTGCGGCCTCGCGTTGTGCTGTTGCTCATTGGGCTGCTCGATGTGGCCGGTGTTGTGCTTGAATCGAAGGGTACTGTTTGAAATTGTCGATCGCGATTCCATTCTCGTTTCAGACAGTACTCGCTCTTGAAAAAACTCTAGACCATGAGAATGTGTCGCTTTATCACAAATTAGGATTGCATTGGTCGCTGGCGAGACGCGCCACCGAGCCGACGGATCGGCTCACCGAGTATGTGCTCGAGCTCAAAATTCTGCCGAAAGCGGCGATCAGTTTGCCGGATTAATTGTGAGTTTTGATTTGGGTGGGGGAGAAATTGCGAATATTTGATACAATGAAAAGTGAACATTCAATAGTTGTTGCGAAATTTTGCACAATGCGAATTTTTTCAATTCAACGATTCTCTGATATTGGCACTTTTTGAAAAATATCTTTTCCTATCGGTATGCACCTTTAAATAGTGTCGATTGGCACGTGCTTCCACAATTTTTTTTTAATGTTATTCTTCAAAATCGGAGTTTGGCGGAATTCCTTAATCGGATTTTTCAAATTATTCACAAACACAGGTTCTGAAAAATTGCGTCAAATTCGGTGTTTGACGCGTATTTGCAGATTTCGAAATTTTCGTTCTATTGGGCACAGTTCCACATTTTCAGAGTATTTATTCGGCCCAACTCTGTTCAGAAGTTTTTATTCAGAAAAAAAATAGTTTTAAACAATAAAATGATGAATCTTATTGGATAGAAGGTCTCACATCGGCCAGATTTTGTAGAATAAATGCTTCTGACAATTCTAGGTCTTATCTAGAAAAGTATCAAATGCAATTTTTTTTTTGAAAATGATCCTCTAGATTTGCGCAACTTGCCGATATGAATGTTTCAATGGGAAACCCCTCTCAAATATTTGCGAAACAAAAAGAACCTATCGAATTTCAGATTTTTTGTGCCGCCGCCGCCATGATGCCACTCATCGGGTTCACTCAAACATAGTCTTCACACCAAATTTTCATTAAACAATTTTTTCTTCAACTACTACGCCAAAAAAAAACTCAGTGATACCAAACATCATGTACATATTTGCGATTCGAAAAATTCATGTTATATTTTTTTTTGTATTTTTCCTTTTCCTCTTTGTGTTTTGTTTTGTAATTTGAAGCTTTATCAATATTATATTCTTATTTATAGTTACTTTCCGAATTGGGTATACATTGATGTAATATTCGTAGGGTCTCGACGCAATTCAGCCACAAAATGCAATAGATTCCAGATTTTCAGCTTTCCTTTGCTCTTTTTCTCTCTCTCTTTCTAATGTATAATTTTAGTCTTATCTCAATCAACCACTTGTCTTAATTATTAATAAAACGATATTTTCATTTTTTTTTCTCGTTTTTCCCCCGATGTTTCTTATAGATTATCAGAGTTTGCTGTTCTTTTATACCTAAATTCTCGCATTTTCTTTTTGGGCTCATTTCAATTGTCCGCAGATGTCGAAGAATATCAAAACGCCGACGAATCAGAAAGTTCTGACGAATGTCGCGGTTGTTCGAATGAAGAAAACGGGAAAGAGATTCGAAATTGCGTGCTATAAGAATAAAGTGGTGAATTGGAGGAATAAGACGTGAGATTTTTGAAAAGATATTTTCATTCTTGAAATTTTGTTTTTATGAGCGAAGTAGGACCGTGGTGATTATGCGACCTATTAAATTGCAGCTCGTACATTTAAAATTTTCAAATTCATCTGTTCGCCAAAATGTTTTTTTTTTAAAGATTTTTCGTATATTTAATGGTTGTTTTTCAAGAAATCAACAAATCATTCTTTAAAAAAGTTCGTAAAAATTTAAAAAAAAATCGAAATAATGGCGGGCACGAAATGGGCCATGGCCGAATAATTCGCGGCCGACCCGAAGTCACAGTTCTAATGTTTCCTTTATTAGGAATAAAGTTCGCCACTGACAAAAAAATATAATATTCACGTTTTTATTTTATTTTTTTTTTGCAGCGAAAAGGATATTGACGAAGTTCTCCAAACGCATACAGTATTCTCGAATGTGTCGAAAGGGCAATTGGCGAAGAAGGAGGAACTCGTCGCCGCGTTCGGAACCGAAGATCAACTCGAGATTTGCAAAATTGTAGGTTTTTTTCGAATACTGCTTCAGATTTTATACATATTGCGGAAAAATGGCGAATGTGAAAAACTGCAGCGATATTCGATGCATTGTGTGCGTACACCGAGTCGCACATCTCGGTCTTACCTACAGTAATCTCAACTGAAATTTTTTTTTCTGTGTTTTCTTTCCGAATTGATGGGTTTATCTATATTGTTCTGTTGCAAAAAGTGTAATAGTTATCATTTTTGTATATTATTCAAAGCTAATTGTTTTATATAAAAAGAAACGATCAATAATAAATTAAATAATTTTCAGTTGAGATTACTGTAGGTAAGATTGAGATGTGCGACTCGGTGTACGCACACAATACATCGGATGTCGCTGCAGTTTTTCACATTCGTCAGTTTTCCACAATATGTGCATACACGCTGAAATTGGCGAAAAAGAAGGCAAAAAATATTTGAGACTCGAGAATTTTCTATTTTTCATCCACTTTTTAGCATTTTTCTGATTTTTCCCAATTTCACTGCCGTTTTTGGCTGTAAAGTTGCCGTTCTGCTTGAAACTGCGCACTGCATTCAGTTTTCCGTTGAATTTAAAGAGTTCGAAATAGAGAATTGATTGACGATTCGCGAATTGGTGAGAGAATTCAATTTTTAGCCTACACGCTGTTTAATTGACTAGCGGTCGTCGTGAGACCCAGCTCGACTTGCTCTATGCGCCTTTAATTCTTTAATAACCCTCAATTATTGAAATTTGGCCTAATATGACGATTTTTGAGTTTCTTTAAACTGAAAAAAAATATTTGAGCGAAAAATTTTGATGAAAGTTGGCATAATCCTAATGGAAAACAAATCTCTGCTCTGTCTTTGATTTTCAGAAAATTAAGACCTGCGCAGCTATGGTTTCGAAGCGATTAGGCCGTTTGTTTTGAGAGAGTCGTAGGGCAGCATATTACAGATTCTGGAGAAGGGCGATTTACAAGTTTCCGATAAAGAACGGCAGGCGGCATCGGATCAATCGTTGAAGGAAGTCTCGCAGTTGATCGCTTCGATGGTGGTGAATCCCGAAACGAAGCGACCGATTCCGCCGTCGGTAATCGATAAAGCGCTTCACGAGGTTCATTTTTCGCTGAAGCCGAATCGAAGCGCCAAACAGCAGGTAAAATTCGAATGCGAACTCGATAATGCGAATTCTCATTCGTCGACAATTTGTAGGCGCTCGAAGCAATACCGAAATTGCGCGAGACGATGAAAATCGAGCGCGCGAAAATGCGAATCCGCGTCGCGATGCCGACGAAAGAAGCGAAACAGGCGCACGCGAAACTCAAACAGAATTTCAGCGAGATCGAGGTTGATGATTGGGCGGAGACCGGATTGGAAATGGTAGATTCGAATCGAATTCGTTTATGATCACACTCGCTTCAGGTGGGACTCATCGAGCCTGGAGTATTCCGACTTCTCGACGATCTTGTCCGAAACGAATCCAAAGGAAAAGGCAGACTCGAGATCCTCAGTCTCAAAGACGTTGTTGAAGGAGAGCTTCAGATTTCCTAAAAAGCAAAGTATCCCCTGTGCTGATTTGTTTTGTTCTTCTTGCCGATCTCGTCATTGTTTGCTTGTTTGATTATGAATTAATTTTATACCGCTTAAAAATCAGGTTAATTATCATCGACATCGTGCTGTTTCCCGTGGGTAATTAGTTTGAGAGCCTCATCAAATTTCTGCAAAAATTTGATTGATTTTGGGGATTATTGTTAAGGAATGCAACCTCGCCGCAAATTGGACACACGAACGTGTAAGCATTTGGGCTTGATTCCTCGGGCTCCTCGGCTTCATCTCTCCTCATATGGTATATTTTGTGCGCGTGAACTTGGCTGTCGGACCTTAATGATTGCCGGCATACCGGACAATGGATGGTCATGTCCTTTGAATGAAGCGCGCAATGCTCCACGAATTCTTCTTCGGTGCTCATTTTCGCGTGACATTCTGCGCACTTATCGGCGTATCGAACTTTGCAATGCCTTAGAAGGCGATGCTCGTCGAGCCCGTCTTCGCCGGCTACTGTCTCGTCACATACAGAGCATTGGAGAACGCGCGTCTGGAATGCGGTAAATTTAAATATTGACGACGAATGAGCGGGTCTCGCAACGAGTATTCATAATTAAAATAATCATTAGCTAGGAAAAATTATTGATAAAATTTTATATGAAATTAATACGAAAATTAAGTCGAGGGAATTTTTGGAATTATTCAAATTTTTCGAGAAATGGCAAAAAACTTGAAGAAAAAATTGAAATTGTTCATTTTCACTCCACCTTTGACGACTTGGTGCTCGGTGAAGCCTGAGCGGCTCGTTTCACTTTTCCCAAAATTGGAAGAATGCTGAATGAGGTGTCACTGGAATATTTGAGTTAAACGTTTCGAATAATGAATTCCTCACTTGTCATGGCACATTTGAACGTGTGCAATGAGCAATTTGGTGCTGGCGAATGTGCAACCGCACGCGCCGCACCCACAAATTGATTCGGTTCGATAATGGCTCTTCGAATGATCCTGATGTTCCATTTAATTAAAAATTCATTTCATTTGAAATCACCTTGAATTTAGCCTCATCATCGGTAATATATTTGCACGCTGTGCACTCGAATTGGACTTTGAGATGCGACTGCGAGAAATGATTAGCGAGCGCTGAAGCCGACACAAATGACGAGTCGCACTCATTGCAAATGTGCTGGATGAGTTTGACTTGGACGTGGACGAGCGCGATGTGCTCGACGCGTGCCTGAAAATTTTCTTTTTTTTTATTAAATGAAACCAACAATTAATTAAATCTAAGTTATTTCCCGAAGATCTTAATGATTTTTGAGCTTTTCATAGCAATATGACGAAAAATTCAAATTTGAGGCTCTCAATTTTTGATTTTCGTGGTCACCTTGCAACATAGTAATATATTAATTTGATTTATTAAAAATTTTTACAATTTTAAAAGTTTCGCCTCTACAGTCAGTCGCTACAGAACTATCGTTAATTTTTAGAAATTATGCTATTGAATTACAAAAGAGGTTTTCCCAAAAAAGTCTTATATTCGAATATCAAAAAATGATGAAAAATAATAAAATATTGGATTAAAATGATGAAATATTGAACAAAAAGAAATACCGAATTCCGTGGTTCTTAGTGAAAATATTCATGTAAGAAAAAATTGTGAAGAATTTTTTATTTTTCCAATGCAACAATTCAAAAATTGGATACTGTAATTAAATGAATGATGCCGCGAGACCCATGTGACAATTTTTTGTCATGCGTCTTTATTTCCAAGTTACGGTGTTATGTTTTTATTTAATTGATTTAAATTTTATAGATTTTTTTCTTTTTTTAATGAAATTTGTGTAATATTTTTTATTAACTTTCATTTTTATTTCACAGGTGTCATATTCCTCAATATTCTCGCCACTTTCCTTTTTCGCGTATTGAATTTACGTTGAAGTTTTTTTTTTGCCTAACATTTAGCAGAGTAATTAAAATTGATAGAAAAATAACACCGTAACATTGAAATAAAGACGCATGGCACACAAATCGTCTAATGGGTCTTTTTTCAACAATTTTTTATTGCATGAATAGTTCCATAAAAAGAATATTTGAAGATTTTGAAAATAGTTTTTGGGATACGGTAATGAAAGACGCACACAGTTTTTTTTTTCGCGCTGAGTCTCGCCGCGGCTTTTTTTTTTTCAGAAAAGGAAAAAAAATGGGACTAAAAATTAATTCAAGAAAAATTTTTGAATCAACGGAATATTCAAATTTCGCGCGGCGCGCAATTCAAATTCTTGTCTTTTCTCGCGAATCTGTTAACAATTTTTTCGAGCACACACACACACCATCGAATCGGGGAAGGCGAGCAGCGGACACATTGGACAATAATAATTGCGAGGAGGCTGTGGCACCAAATGGGCGCGCATGTGAACAGCGAATTGGGCGAACGAGTCGAAAGTGGCGTCGCATTGTTGGCAGCAAACTTTTGGCGACGTTGGCGGCTCCTAAATTCAATTTTTATTTCGAAAAACTCAAAAAAACAATGTTTTTTTTGAAGAACGCATTTTTGTACCATTTTTGGGACATGCTCGCTCAATGTGTGCGTCTGAAGATCGGAGATTGACGAGCAGCTCGCATCGCAAAGCTCACATTTGAATTGTTCGGATTTAATGGCATTTTCGGCTTCATTCGCCTCCTCAATTTCGACTTTCACCTCTCGACGTGGCCTAAATCGATCGAAATGAGAGAAAGCGAAAATTTCGGCCTAATTATTATCGAACGAACCTTCTCATTTTGCCGACGAGCCCAAATTTTGAGAATCGATCGAAACGAGCAATGAATGACTTGAATGAATGCACAAAAATCGAGCAGAATAGGGGGGGGGGCGGTCGACGCAGCGGGATGGGTTGTTCATGGTCCCCGGGGAATTGTGTTGATTAGGCGCACGTCGATGGTCCCATGGGAGGCATGCGGTTCGACGAGACTCGCACACACTCGTATACCACATGCGTGCCACCAACCCCCCCCCTGTTTTCATTACGGCTCGTCTCTGCGTCTCTCGTAAAAAGCATGAGAAGAAAAAAAAACCGAAAAAATTTATTCAATAATGGAAAATAATATACATTCTGTTAGCGATATTTAGACATAGTAGACCATCTCGTCGCCGATGAACACATTCGAAACTTCGAATTGCTTCTTGATGATCGGCTTCTCTGAAATTAGTCAGAATCGTCAAAGCTATTGAGGTTTCGCATCTGCGGACAATTTGGATTTTAATCGAAGCTGGCAGAATCAGCGAAAAATTTGCTGCGATCTCTGAAAATTTTCCAAATAGGCAATTCGAGATACTGTAGTGATTGTTTGTTTTCTGCGCTACCGTATCCAGATCGCGCTAAGAGCCTGTGAGAGAGTGTATTATCGCTTCGAGACCCGAATTTCGCTTTTTCAGATGTGGCGAAATTGGTTGCCAATTCAAAATCTGAGTCAAAATTAGAACAAAAATTAATTTTCGCGCGAAATTCAAACTGTTCACATTTCGATGAAAACTCGCGAAATTTGAATATAAAATTTCCCCGTGAACTGTCCGCAGCAACGCGGGGTCATATCAAATTGATACCAAATTTCAAATCAATCTTTTAGATGAGTGTTGTCGGCGTCAAAATTCAGTGTAGATTTAAATTTGTCGTTGACTGATTATTAAATGCGCGTACGATATAATGCAATGTACGCAATCTCGCGTACTTCTCGCTACACCGAGGACCATTGGCACATAAGCAAAAAGTTTTTTTTATTTCGTCAAATCGTTTGACTCCGACATAAATCATATTTTTTAATATTCAAATTCCAACTGAACAGTTCAAAATTTGAAAATTTGCCGAAAAACCACCACTAAGCAAATCGTTCTGCTTCAAATGAGCCACAATTTCGCATGAAGTAAAGCGTCTCATATGTCATTTCGCGAAAAAATTTGGAAATACAAGAAGCTGATGAGATTATGCGGTGTCTAGCGATGCCCTCCGGGGACCACCCCCGTCATATCATTCAGAATTTTGCAAGAGAAAAAAATGGTTCGTCGCAAGACCCCCCCGCCCCCCATTTCCCTTCAATTACCTATGGACCAATTATATACGAGAGCACACGTCTCCCATTTTTTTTATTGGCTCAATTTATCGAGCTCACACCAATTCCCATGGGAATATCAATGTCCTTTTTTTTGGTGCGCTTATAAAAAGCGGGTGGAGCGAAATAATTGGAATTATTTTCGAAGGGACCGCCAAAAAACAGCAATGATCTACCTGAAACACTTCGCCGTTTTTTGATGCGCTTCTTGATGGATTTCGTCGAAATGATGAACACACAAATGAAGTACAACTGCAAAAAATCAAATATTTCCAACTTTTTTGATATTAAAAAAAGTGTGCAATTTTGCGTCACCGTGATTGCACACAAGAGAGTCTGCGTTCAGCAAAAAATTAATTTGAATTAAAAAAATCGAAATTAATTTTTGTGCGCGTTACGGTAGCGAAAGTCCGCAATTGACATTACGCAAAAATGCACAGATTTTTTATTTTCGAATTTCGATTTTTGGTTTTTTACTTTTGTTTGACATTCTCCGACAATTTTTAGAAAAAAAAAGAAAATTAGAAAATTTAATTTCCGTGCAGCTCTGCTGCACCCCATTGGCGCAAGCTCATAATGCACTGGCGCATTTTTTGTGCAGTTTAATTTCTTTATTTTATTTTCTACGAAGTTTTAATCATTTTCTGAAGGTTTCATAGAAATCCGTTTCGTATTACAGAAATTACAGCTGATTCGAATTTCACCGCACTCTGTATTTCGAATGATTTTTATTTTTTCTAGCGCTTTTGGTTTTCAATCATCTCGAAACCAACCGAAAATGGAATGTTGAAGAAGTGAAGAATGTCGATGAAGAGTTTCGCGTAGTCGATGGGTCGCAAGTCAGTGCACGCTCCCATTCGTTCGATCACTAACTGAAAATCTCGAAAAAAACATTTTTTTGCACATTTTGACTGGAAATTTTTTGATGGTTATTTCTTACGGTGGAAGGCATTTCTTTTGGAAATTCCCCAAAAACCATGATATTGGTCTTGGCGCGAAACTACAAGTGTCGATTTACGGGCCTATATGGAGTGAGTTAAAGGCGCACACCGCGAGACCTCTTCTCAATTTTTTTTTTGCTGGCATCCAGAAAACTTTTTGTGTTGAGAATCACCAGATATCAAATTATCCATCTGCGGACATTGTTCCGGCCGGTGAGCCCTCCCGCAAGACGTCCGCAGATGCATTATTTTTTCGAACCTGAACAATGTCGGAATTGATGACAAATAAGGCGAGAAGAGTGTTGACGAACATCCATAAAACCCACGAGATCGAAATGAGAGAAACTCGCTGAAATTTGGGGAAAGGTCTCGAAGCGAAATTCGAATGAATGACCAACCGAATCGTAGGCGTTGTGTAGAGCGATGGAGATGAGAATGCCGAAGGCGACGAATAAGCACTCGGTTACTGTAAGCAGTGCGCCTTTAAACGACACACACACAAATAATTGGATTTTTTTTTGAAGAAAAATTGTCCGCAGCACGAGTATTATATGAAATCGTTGCAATTCATTGTTTTTTTTTTTTAATTATTTTCTATTAAATTTGGAAAAACCAAACCCGTGAGTTGTCGGCAGCTATAAATTATTACAATAATAATTTTTGGCGTATTTATTGCCCAAAATGAAATGACACATTTCTCGAAATTTTCGGGATTTTTAGCTTCTCCGACGGCTCTTGTGTTCCAAGATTGTTTTGTGTGTAATTCTGATTCGGATCATGCGCCTTTAAATGACCGTACCACCTCTAGGGCGATTTAAATTTGACGAAATTTGAAAATTGCACGATGCGAAATATTTTTATCTTCAAACAACTTTCTAAAGTGTCAAACATCGCATAAGGGGTCTCGTTGCTGCGGACAATTTCGCGGCCATCCGCCGTCGACGCACCCTGCCATTGAACGTCGATGTCGTCGGCGGACTCGGTGGCCAATTCGAAGACGACTCGAAGCAAATAGATGAACGAGATCGTCATCGAGTACATCGAGAAAATTCGATGGTTGATCGTCGGCGGCGATTTTTTTCGACGCATTCTGAATTTGATGTGCGATTCTCTATGAAATGCCGATGAACAACATATAAAAAAATGGGTCGAACGAGAAATGAGCGAAGAAAAAATGAAAGAATATGATTGAGAGGCTGTCACCGCGATTTTTGAGTGCCTTTTTCCGTTTTTCCCTCACAATTGTCAATGAACAATAAGAAAAATTAATAAAAAGAGAATCGTAGATCAAATAATTGAATGAATTTGAGGCTCGAAGGTTTAATAATTATTTCACAAATGCAAATTCAAATTCACGCAAACAATTTTTTTTTCTTCTTCTTCTTCTCCCTTTTTTTGCGCGCTTGATTGAATTTCCCGAAAATAACATTACACATAAATAGCGTCATATAATGATTTTTTTTCGGTTGATTTTCGCTTCTCTATATTCAGCTGTGATCAAAAACGACATTTTGAAGCTCAAAACCGACTGGGGGTGGTTGGCGGAAATTTTGAATTTGAGAATATCCTGCTGCGGATATTTTTACCATCGGGGGGATGAGTCTAATGAAGTACAATGACGGGTTTCGGCTCACAAAAAATTGTCCGCAGCTTGCACTCGCCATAAAAAGAAAACGTTTGATGGAAAAGGGGAAGCAATAGCGGCGATAAAATGAATAAAGAAATAAAGTGGTGAGGGGCAATAATTGTCCGCAGCAGCAGCACACACACTTATTTTTAAGGGTGACCAACCGTATTAGGTGTGTGAAAATCACAACGAATGAAAATTTTAGATTTGAAAAAACAATGGAAAAAAATCGAGAACACGACAGAGGATTTCCGGTTGTCTTCGAGAGCCCCACCAAACGGAAACAAAAATCGCGACTTTTGTCTTTTTTTTTTCAACGAATAATTGATGTGAGACGCGAAATGAACCGAAAAAAAAACTTGCAGGTGGTTGGCTGATTTGTGGAAAAAATGACAATCACAACCGAATTCGTAGTGGGGGCACAAATTGAGCATGACAGCCAATTTTCGTTCATTTCGCTCGTTGGTCGGACCCCGCCCGCCGGCCATCCATAAAAGGCGGCCGGCAGAAAAAACTAATCCGGCGACGTACACGTATGACAAATTCGGCATCGCCGAAATGACAAATGTGAAAACAGCGATTTGATCTACACGCCGAGGAGCTTCCAATTTTTTTTCATACCAGGGATTATGCGACGTGTCGTTACCGTAATCCCGAAGAATTTTTTTTTTGGAGAAATTGTCCGCAGATGGGAATTTTCAATATTCACATTCTAGACCTGTCGTTGAAAATTTCTGGCCAAGTTTCAGCTCACTGTGAAGAGCACAAAAAACAGATCCCCCCATTTTTGGGGGTGAATTTCAAAAAAAAATTCCATTGTCATCGGATATTCTTTGTGTTTTGCAGGAATATATGCATAATGCACATTTTCTCGACGTCACAATGACGAAAATGAACGGGAAACCCGAAACCCGCGCGATGTCCGCAGCAGCACGCGATTTTCGTCGTTGAAGAACAAACTACATTGAAGTAGGAAGCGAAGAAAAAAAAAACATGCAAATTCGGTTGAATGAAATAGCGGAATACAATTTGTGTGGCGGAAAAGGTGCGCGTGAGAAACAACATCTTTTTTCTTCGGTTGGCCTCCTCATAAAAAATGGGATTCATCTGCGGACACGTTGGCGGGTTTGATGAATTGCGCGCCAATTTATAATGCGGGTTATGAGGCTCGAAAAGCGACCATTAAAAAAATAAAAAAAGGGCAAACGCGATCTATCAATGAGGTGTCGACGTCGGCCATTTGATTAATGCATTGAAAATGCGCACGCGAGCCAATTGGCTACCGAACAAATTGCGTCTCGAACACAATTGAAGAATTGAGAAGCACATCAATTTCATATGCGGACATTTCGCGGGTTTCAAGCCCGGTTTGAAAATGACTACTAAACCACGATAAATCGTAGTACGTTTAATATTCAGCCAATCGTTTCGGGACCAAATGTGAATTGCTCAAAAATTGGGTTCGTTTAAATTTTTTTCAACGCGTTTCGCTGAAAATATTTTCAACTCCAATTATTTGTGCATTTTGAATTTTGCAAAAATTAGACTCAAACCAGCGAATAAAAATACAAAAATTCAGAACAAATTTAAAGGCGCATGACCCTAACAAGCGAAATCTGCTATTTTTTGTCACGGTGTTTGCACACATTTTTACGATCTACAGTTAAAAAAAAAGTAATTTCAACTCATCCATTTGTTGATTTAAAAACGAATGGCTCGAATTTGAATTGGTACCGAAAAATGTGGTCGGTGTTTGCGGACATTCGTCGAAAAAAAGCAATTGGTTCGTTTTGTTGGAAATTTACTCAAAAAATAGTTTTCGCTGCGAGAGACCCAATCATCAAAAAAATGTTTTTTTTTTTTTCAAATTTTCGATTTGAAATTCGCCTACGATTTGCCGAAATGCTAAAAAATACAATTCGACGCGGGACGCAAAGGATTACGGTAGGTGGTGGTGGTGGCAAAAAGTGGTGAGTGTAAAAGTGTTTGACCCCCCTCGGCACTACCGTAGCCCAAAATGGAAATCATTTTTTTGGTGTTGGTCGGACAGGAAATTGAGTGAATCGCCGAAGGCTGGTACACGAAATTAGATTTTTGCACTCGAGGCTGGCATTGTTCCTCCACAAGAAAATAAAAAAAACCCCGGGAGGAAAGAAGGCATTCTCTTTCTCTTCGAGCAAAGCATAAAAATGAGCGGGGAAAAAAAGAACTACCCGACCACTCAAAAATTTGGCCAATTTTCGCGTAGAACAGCATGTGACATTCAAAAAAGAACAAAAAATAAAGACGAAAGAGACAAAAAGAAATCAATTCAACAAATCCCATTTGGTTACCGTAATTCGGCAGGTCCAACATTAAGAAAAAACGGGACTATAATTTACGTAACCATGGCGAAAGAAAAAAAATGGGAAAAGAACCAAACATTTTATTAGTCGGCCGAAATTCGATAATCTCAACAAAATCAAATTAATAAAAAAAAACAAACGAGAGGTACGTTGGGTTCCTTACACGGCAGTGTTATACAGCGAGCTCGGCGATCGATCGGAGCTCGCGTCCTTCTCGTTGGCTGGTAGGAAGGCGGCCACCTGAATTTGCGACAAGTTTGCAATTTCCATTCAGAGTACTCAGTTGCACGGAATTTTTTAACAATTTGCAAATAACGAAATCAAGTTTCCATATGAAATTCTCAATTTTCAGTTTTCAAAATTTGATTTTGAAGCGAATAATACCATTCACTTAATTATTTGCAGCAAAACAAAACAAAAATTGTAAAATTCTCAACAAAGTTTAATAAAGTTCATGCCGAAACTTAATTGATCAAACGATAAGAAAAAATTTATTTGAAAACCCATAAAGTTTGTAGACACATGAAAATTTAAAAAGATTTTAAATGGCATTTTTAGTTTGGTAATTTTTTATGAAAAAAATATACCTAGAGAAAGTTTAAAGAAGTGTTTTTTTTTTATTTCATCGGTGGCGCATTTTCAATCAATTTTTTTGGCGATTTTTAATGCGTAATTCAAATTTTCACACAATTCTTGCAAATTTTCAACTTTAATTTTCAAATGTTTCACGAGTTTTGACGGCGACCGAACAAATAAAAATCACCTGTTGCCTTTTAATGGCGTTGTGCGACTGCGATCCAGGCTGCGCCACCGCTCCACCTTCGATCGACAATTTCAGCTGTGACGAGAGGGCGCCTTTGAGATTTTTCGCGAAATTCGCCACCAGCGAGTTCGAGTTCGATTTTCTCGCCTCGATTCGACTCCGATACAAAAACTCGCCGACAGCGGCAATGAGCGAAGCTACCATGCCGCCCATGAGAATGTAAAAGATTCCCGCAACTTTTGAAAGATTCAAACTCGCCGATGAGCCGTCCTGAACGCTTCAAAATGCCGAACTATTTCAAAACGCCTACTCACCACCGGAATTCCGCCGTCACATTGCCCACGATCGTACCACCATTTATTCTCAAGCTTCTTCAATTCTCCCCGCTCTTGAAGTGCCAAAATCGCCAGATTTATGTGATCCTTCCAATCGGAACCAAAAGGTGTCACAATACCGTAACCGATACTGTTCAAATTCGCTCCTGAAACAAATTGAAAGAAAAATTTTCAAAAAAAAATTCCCAATCTCACATACCAACTTTCATTGTGTCGCACGGTGTCCTCGTATTCTCATAATCATTCGCAGTGGCTTCCAGCATGAACGCGTACCTTCCTTTGTGCGTTCGGACCCTTTCGATACCTTCCGCATAACTTGACACGAACACAGAAGGCACTTGGGATTCCATGTACTGCCACATTCTTTGATAGATTTGCACCGATGAATACTACAACAATGAAACCTTGAACAATGTCCGCAGCACGTTTTAATATTTGCGCACATTATTCTATATGCATTAATAAGTTATCTACAGTACTGGCCATAATGATGTTCGCCTAGTGTTTTTTGAGCATAACTTGGCTCAAACGCAGCCGATTTGGCTGAAATTTTTACTGTAAACGCTAAACACAGTTGCGCAACCTTGGAAACATTAAAACTGCCTCATGTTGAAAAATTAATTTTTAAAAAATTTTTTTTGTTTTTTTCGATTTTACCAACTTTTCATTTTTTTCAAACTTTGTCCATAAATTTTTTTTATTTGAAATTTGGACCTGAAACATGTTTTTAGTAATTTTTCAACCTTCTGGAAAGAAAAATTTCACGGCGGACGTTCAAAAAGCCATCGTTAATGGTCATAAGACTGGGTCGTCCAGAAGCCTTCTGGCTCAGCAGTTCCTGTGCTCCCGAAGAGGAATCCAAAAAGTTTTGCAACGATTAAGACAAAATGTACGGTTTTTTAATCATTCTGGACTATTTCTAATCTATTGGGCTGCATTTTTGTTAAGAAATCACATGGTAGACCTTGCAAAACAACTAGGCTCCAAGATCGGAACATCTGTCGTGCTTCAAGAGAAGATCCTAGACGGACTTCAGCAGATATCCAGATGCTTGTGGCAACGCCAAATTCTTCCATTCCATCCAGAAGAACAATTAGACGTCGTTTGTTGGAGAATGGACTTCATGGAAGACTCCCGGTGAAGAAACCATTGATCAGTGAGAAGAACCAAAAGACGAGAGTGGCATGGTGCAAGGATTATCTGAACTGGGGACGATGTGAATGGGTCAAACACATTTATAGCGATGAATCGAGGTTCGACTTGTTCGGAAGTGATGAAATCAAGTGGATTCGACGACCTATCGGAGCCAGATTCATGCCAAAGTACCACCTCCGAACGGTGAAGCATCTTGCAGGGTCTGGAGCTGCTTCTCCGACACCGCCATGGGACCGCTCCGACGTGTAAATGGAATCATGGATCGGTACCAGTACAAGGATATCCTGGAAACCACAATGAGACCTTGGGCATTAGCAAACGTCGGACGTGCATTCGTTTTCCAGCAAGACAACGACCCTGAGCGCATGTCTGGACATGTAAAGAATTGGTTCCAACGTCGCCGAGTTGATGTTCTTGCGTGGCCATCACAGATTTCTGACCATAATTCGATCGAACATCTCTGGGAAGAACTAGTACGCATGGTTAGAGGGCTCCGAGCATCAATCGCCGACGAGAAGTTCGCTCAACTCGAAGCCGCATGGAGTGCCATTCCGATGCAGTGATCCGCACCCTCTTGGACTCGATGCCTCGCAGATGCCAAGCGGTTATTGATGCCAATGGATTCGCAACAAAGTATTGATAAATTTAAAACCGGTTTTCTACACATTTGTAATGTTTTCGTATTCCTGAGACTTTCAAATCACATTGTGTCATTTTTTCCATTTTCTGCATTTTTATGAAATTTGTGATTTTTCGAAAAAAAAACTTTTCTGCAGTATGCGATATCATTCAAACGCATTTTCAACGCGTTTTAAAGATATGGTAAAAATTTCAGCCCGATCGGCTGCGTTTGAGCCAAGTTATGCTCAAAAAACACTAGGCGAACATCATTATGGCCAGTACTGTATATGCATTTATAAATTAGATTCTCTTCGAGACTCAAAATTGCGCGGCTACCTTGAAAAATGAAGCCGTCGATCCACCGCCTTGAATTCCATATTTGATTTTCGTCTGTTTTGCGAGATCCTCGACGCTCTCGATAGGCGCCTGCATTTTCTCAAGCGTCAGAAACGCGGCAAGATTCGCAGTATACGACGAAACGATGATCATTGTGAAGAACCACCAAGCCGACGAAGCAATTCGACCCGAAATCGATCTAAAATTAAATAAAACCAACTTGAATTTATCGGACCAGCGATACCTTGGCAAAATGTCGGTTCCCTGTTGCATGAATGCGGCCAATGTGAACCAGAGGCAATTATAGACAGAAAAATCATTGGAAATTGTGAAGCCGCCGCCGGAAGTCTCTTCAACGCGCCATTCGTACGGTGAGAATCGAGAGACGAGAAATATGACGACAGACACCTGAAATGCGATTACTTTTCTTTATTCGCATATTTTTTTTAACCACCCATCTCAAAATCTTGAAAAATCGTATAAATTATTCTTATCTCATTTTAAAGGCACCTCTTAGAAACCAAGAATAGGGGAAAATTTTATTTTTTTGTTTTCAAAAATGTTTTTCCCTTAGCTGGTGAAAACGTGCGAATCACGAATCACGAGCTATGAAGATTAGGATCGGGCAAGATAAACCAACGGTAAAAGGTAAAGAATTAGCTGGGTTGGATTCATTTTAATCGAAAAGGAAACTTAAATCCGAGTGTTCGGAGGGAGTTGCCTGTTGATGCCAGTATCTAGGCGGCAATACGGCGGCTCATTGCCCGAAAATTATCCCGAAAAAACAAACATCCATTGGTGGGTAGTTTTCATTAATTGGATTTGGACCAGTTTGAAGGTTAGCGTTCGAATTAACACCGATATACTGGACCCAATAGATTCTCATGACTTCAGTTCGGACGATAGAGGATAATCAGCGGGCTGGAGCCGATTATGGCAACATCCCAACTGCGCGATTGGGAATGGTCATTTCTTGCAGCTCAGGGTAAATGAAAATCAATAGGATTCGAAAATAATTTCGTTTTCAATCGAAATCGAATAGAAATCAATCTGTTTCGAATTATTCCAAAATTTCAATCGAATTCGATTTCAAAATTGAAATTGAGAAATAATTCAATTGATTTCGAAGATTTTTGAATCAAAACCAAATTTTCAAATCAAATTTAAACATTTGCTCAATCGAATTTTAATTATTTTTCAATCGAATCAGGTTAATTTATATTTAATTTTTCTTCGAATCCGATTGATTTTAGTTTACCTGAGAGGTTTCTCTTCACTTTTTTAAAAATTCTTTTCACTGTGGGCAATTTTTGGATCTGAGCATTCCGAAATATTCAATGTCGAGACCATGAGAACTTGGGTTCAACTATCTCAATGCTCAAAATCCTTCCAATTCAATTTCCATTCTTCGTTTCAACAAAATGCGATGACAAGCAATTTTAAAGATGATGACGAATTGTGAAAAAAAAGCCGGCGATATGGATTTGGTCACGTACGCTTAATTACCATATATGAATATGCAGGGAATTTCGTCTAAATTTAGGCACTCGTCGAGTCTCAATAAGAGAACATTGCAAAATTGTGGATTTTCAAGGGAAACTCTTACTCCGATGTAGGCGAAAATGATGTACATCCAAATCTCGGTGCTCAACGGTTGCATGAACGAGAACACGGACAATTCCTGTTTGTCGGGCTTCTTGATCATAATCGAAATTCCGGTTGTCATGAATGGCTTCGAGAAATCGACGACTCGCTCTCGTTCTTGGTTGATCGTCACCGAGCCGACAATCGCGTGCGCGTTTCCGTTGTGCAATTCGCCAATCATTCCATCCCAACTGCCGTCTTCTTGTTTTGATCCCGCTTTCGTGCCGAGACGAATTGTGTAATTGAATCCGTCGATTTTCATCGCCAATAGTTTCAGAAGGTCGATGCAATATCCTTCGAATTTTTTGTTTCCTTCGCATTCGGTCTTATTTCCTTCCATGCATTCGCGTTTAATCATCACGAACGGGGCGACCTGTAAAATAAAAAAAAATTTTTCAACAAAAAAAAAGAATCGTTGAAATTCTCAACCAAATTAGTCAGCACGATGACTTGATCGGTTTTTCGATTGTCGTGAATTTTTCGAGAATGCTGCGCTACGGTACGATTGCTGAAGAATCCGACGCCTTGCCGCCACGCTAGCACCTGAAGCGAATTGCGTTGAAATCAATCGAATTTTTCCGCTCACCTCTCTTCTATTAAATGTCGCTTTTGTGTTTGACACCAAATCAACAATGGAAACATCAAAATTCTTTCGGTTTCCGTATCGATCGAATTCAATATTTCCCGTCATTGTTCCTTCTCTCGATCCGATTCGCAGATTGCGTAGAGCAACTCCAATTGTTTTGCCATGCTCGAATGATGAAAACGGGCGATTTGGATGCGCCCGGTCGGATAATGGATCGCAGTAAATGCCGGGGAAGCCGCGATTGAAAAATCGGCGGTGGCGGAAGGTGCCGTGAAATAGTGAATCGTTGGATTGCAAGCATTTGGCGAAGCCGTGCCAGATGACAAGCATCGCATCATGACCGATTGCAGCTTCAACCTGAAAAATCGAAATTATAGCATAAAAGTGAGGACCAGAGAGCACGCGGAAAACAAACTACCGTAACGTAGTTAAAGGCGCACACAATATTTCAATTTATGTCACGCAAAGAAATAATGTGTTACGGTATTTTATTTTTTTAAATTGAGTTTTTCTACTAAAATTTTCAGTAAAATACTGCTAAATACCGTCAATTTTCCATTTTTTTTCTCATAAATTTCTAATAAATGGCAAAAATCGAACCGTGACATCATCAGCTTGCGAATTCGATTGTTTCAAGTGTTTTTTCAGCGACCAATACTCATGGTTTTCTTTATCGATTATATTGAATCCGCTAATATTGATATTCCCATTTTGGAACATTTCCTGATCATAAGGAAGAAAGTCCTAAATGATTCAATTTCAAAAAGAAAAACCCATTGAGCAAAAAATCAGTCTTACATAATTTGCCAGCACATAATGATAATTCGCCTGGCTGAATTGAGCCGATCGAATTGCGATTAGAAGCTTTTTTAAACGTTTCGGCGACGAGCAATCAATTAAAACTCTGATAAATGAAAAATGTGGAAATGCTCTAGACAATTTACCGATTCGTCTCATTATTGCGCTTCAAATTGAATCCCATCAGAAATATTTCAAATTTCTCCTCGTCCGTCGGCAAATCGTACATCGACGCTTTCACCGACGAGTTTGTGCGCTCTCGCAAATGTCGCCACAACGCTGGGAGGCTAAGACTCGCTGAATCTCAATAGGATATCGAACACGATGAATTCTCGAGCTCAGCTTACAGTGTTGGCTGTCGACAAACACGAGCACCTCATTCCAGCCTTTGTGCACAATGAAATCAGCTAGCAGTTCGCTGATCGGCGGTCGAATGGAGAGCTCATATCTAAAAATGCAAATTAATTCGAACTTCAAATTGCATTCTTTTTACATATTTGTGAACACCGGCTCATCATTATAAGGCGAAGCTAATGAGATTAGCGGCATTTCCAAGGCGTCTGAGACGCCGCGAATGCCTTCTCGACCCTTTCCTTCGACACTATTGATTAGTGTCATGGCTCCTTCTTTGAGCTCATCGCATACTGGAAACAAAAAGACGCACGATATTCAAAAATCGAAATTTCTCACCTGCGTTAACCATATTCCACGAAACCGCAGCGCCTTCTTCGACATGACGATGATCAAAAGCCAATCTTAAAATTGTCAAAATTTGATCGAATTGTAAAATTCAAATTGTCGATTTTGGTCTCGAATGGATAAATTCAAATTGTTGCTTACTTGAACGGAATATCATCTCTCGAATTGATTCTGTCGGTTGTGTATTCCATGGCTTTTAAGGCGATTCGCGAAACCTCTTCATTATTTCCAAAAGATTCTGGAAAAAAATAGTGATATTGAAGGTGGGGGACTCGTCAAGTTTAAAGGCGCCTTGCATTTTGTGATTGGTGTTATGCACCTTTAAACTAGTGATTTTAAATGTTTAGGACTCGTCAAGTTTAAAGGCGCATAGCATTTTGAGATTGGTGTTATGCGCCTTTAAACTAGTGATTTTAAAAGTTTGGGACTCGCCAAGTTTAAAGGCGCATAGAATTTTGTCACTGGTGTTATGCGTCTTTAAACTAGTGATTTTAAAAGTTTGGGACTCGCCAAGTTTAAAGGCGCATAGCATTTTGTCATTGGTGTTACGCCTTTAAACTTGACGAGTCCCCATCTTCAAAATCACTAATTTCGAAATCACTAGTTTAAAGGCGCATAACACCAATGACAGATCACTATGCGCCTTTAAAAGTGGCGAGCCCCTATATTCGAAATCACTAGTTTAAAGGCGCATAATACCTATGATAGATCGCTATGCGCCTTTAAACTTGACGAGCCTCCACCTTCAAAATCACTAGTTTAAAGGCGCATAACTGACAAATCGCTATGCGCCTTTAAACCGCTAAACAATTCAACACTTACTTATAACAATATGACTTGGATATGGATTGACGTTGGTAACATTGAGAACCGCGAACAGAATCGAAATCATCCAATTGCGAATTGCGTCCATTCTGAGAAGCATTCGCGTCGTCGCCGATCGACCCCTTTTTTAGCGCGAAATTTGATACAATTTCATCTTGTTTCTTCGTCGTCTTCTCGCCGCATCGATGAATGTTGCCTGAACAGAAAAAAAAACGGACGGCAAAATGGGATTAGAACGCGCGGAGGGTGCCGACAAAATGGGATGAAGTGCAAAGTGCTCAAACGAGGCGGCAAAATTGTCCGCAGATGGCCTAATTTTATAAAGGGGGTCACGTGAGGTCCAGAAATTTCCAAAAGTTCTTTTATACTAGAAAAAAAGGCAATTCGAATCTCTCCTATAGACTATTTGACACTGTCAAAATTGTCCGCAGATGCGATTCATTAAAACTGGCTCATGGAAGGGAGGATTTTGAAGTATTAGGGGACATTTGGAAACTCATTTGCTAGGTAACTTCAATTTTCGTCGTTATTGGCTGAAGTGGAGTGTGTAAGTGGTCGTCGTCGTCGTCGTCTTCTTCGCCTCCGGCATACACACGACGGAAATTGCATTTCACCGCCGCCGCCGCCGCCGCCGCTGCTCACCTCGTAAACACGCGACGCATCCCTCCGCCATTTCGTGTGCTCTTTTCCGACACAACCAATCATGTCGATGGATGAGCACCACGTCCCGACCTTATTATTTCGTCGAAAAAGAAGATGGAAAGATGAAGCGGCGAGTTTCGACTGTTGTGTTGGTGAATTTGCCCGTCACCGTGTTTGCACACATTCCACTGGTGCTACAGTAACTATTTTATTTCGGGATCAATGGAACACAAAGGTGCCAACCGCAACGCAATCAACGACATTGAGGGCTGACTCGAAAAGTCCGGAATCTTCAACTAAAACAGATTAGAATTAAGAATATTTGTAAAAAAAAATTCAAAAACTATATAAATATTTTATTTGTCAAGTTAGTATATTCACATAAGTGTCAGTTGAGTTGATCATTGGGACGATGTCGGCTGGACGGCGCCGCCGGCGGCCGCCGAAGCGCTCGACGATTGGTTGGTCGAGGCGCCGAACACGGCGAACATGCTGAGTTTGGCGGCGACGGTGAGCGCGACGACCGTTGTCGAGTACATCATCTCGCTAGCATTCGATTGCTCGACAGTCGACAACTGAATCGGCACCGCCAGCGCGCCAGTGTAAAGCGCCGCCAACGTCATGTAGGGCATCGACAACGAGCCGGCGACGAGTCCGACGAGCACGTGGGCTCCCATCGAGGCGCCCAACACACCGCCAAGCGTTCTCACGCGTCCTGCAATTACAGACATGACGACATCGGAGCCGAAGGATGGGGGGGGGGGCGGTTATACCCTGTCTGGCCACATATGGGACCACGAAGGCGGCGACGATTGGCGACAAAACCGCCAACGGGGTGCTCGACAGATACGAGTAGGCGACGGCGTGTCCGGCAAGGATTCCTTGGATTCCGGCGAGCACCAGCAAATCGGCGCGACGCTCCATATTGGAGTAGATTGCATAGGCCGGAATGACGGCGGCCGCGAGAAGACCGGCGCCGAACGATGGAAGCAGAAGGCCAAGGATCGGCGCGAGCAGATAAGTTCCAGTGAGTGAGGCGAGCGTGAAGACGGCGAGCGCCACCGATGAGCCGACGTAGGTGGCGGCGAGCACGTTCGCGGGAACCGCGGCGTCTCTCTGAAACCAAATTGAATCATCGTTTGGAATCGCGTCGGAAGCATCCTACCGTGTCAGTAAGCGTGTCGCTGAGACGGTTCACCTTCTGCGTGATCGCGGCGGCCGCCTCCTGCTGCGGATTCTTGAGCTCATGGGCCGCGTTGCGCACTCGCTCGTAGATCTCCTGCGTCTCCTTCTGATAGCGTCGCATCGCCTCGACGGCCATCGCGACGCCGGCGAGCTCGGCGTCGGTGGCCGACGCGCCAGCGCCGGTGGCGAGAAGCGCCGGATCGGCCGGCGGTCCCACTTGCGTCGGCGTCTCCGGCACGCGTTCGTTCGATTCCGTAGCCATTGTCGAGTGTGTGTGTGTGTGTTTTTGGGTTTGCTATTAGAGATGAGCTAGTAGACGATTTCTGAATGAGTTTCGCCGTCTTTTTATACCATATTGATATCGGACAGCCACGTGGAATCGATATGGAAAAAGTCGGAAGAAAAACAAGAAATAATTGATAGCGTGATGATTTTTTATTTTCGAAATTCATTAATTTCTTAATTTCTCAAAAGGTCCTTTTTTTGGGTGTCGAAGAATTTCAATGTGCTTCCCAAAATGGACCCACTGAAAATTTATTAACCGATGTTTGAATTCCATCATCCCCATATTTACTTTTCTAGCTGCTACACCTGCGGACAAACGCGATTGATTACAAATTCAATATTCGTGTTACCGACTAATATAAGATTTTGCATCTGCGGTCAATTCGGAGAATCACCTGAATCTCAATATTGTTTTTTTTGTCATCTTCCCCACCCAACCCTCTTTTATCTATTCACAACATTTTTTTTCATAATAATAATTTTATTAAATTACTAAATTGTGGTAGATTCTGAATGCGGGGAAACGTCTAATTTTTGTCTTAATTTGGAGGAAATGCTGGAATAAGGCGCATAATTGCCCGTGCAAAAGTTTGGCGCTAGGACGTGGTTTGCTGACGCTTTTTTGGTGCATCAATACATTATTTCAAATTTCAGCTCAAATCTGTTTTGTTTTAAGGTAATGGTGAAGGTTTCAGTCCATCGTAGAGTTTTTCAACCTTAAAACAAAGAGTAGACGTTCCCCCCATTCCTCTCATTCCCCTCATTCTCCCCATTCACTATTAACTCTAAATCATCAGTCCTTTTGATTCAAATGCTGTGATCAATTCAATCAATTTTTTCCTCCAATAATTTTTATTCGATTCCAATTTTGGATGATTCGCGAAATTCAAATGTTATCGATTTTTTTGCCCTATTTTCTTATAGATTTCTGCTTTAAAAAATTTTTCCCCTTGAAATTTTCCGACTAAATTATGATAGCAGAACTCTATTAGCCTGATTCACGAAATTTTCACCAAGAAAAAAATGTAAAAATTAACTTAATTCTGCAAACATGATGAAAATGAACACAAGCTCATAGATTGTATATGCTATTTTCTGAAAATTGGGGAGAGCTTTTCCATTAATGGAAATACTATAAAGGTCATTTTCAGAATAACATTAGTGCTTTTCAGCATTGGATTATTTGGATTTTTTCAATTCCGGCTGTCCCGGAAATTGAATCTAATCTCTGGAAAAATTCAATTAAAAAAATCAAATAAAAAAAATTTTAAATCTATTTTAAAGGCACATACCCCTTTTATGCGTGACTTTTGCGCGGTTTGAATAAATTCAATAATATTTGAGAAATCAAATTTGCGGCGCATTTAATTTATAAAGTGTCCCAATTTTTTTTTTCAGAAATTAGCCTTCTCCAAAATGCTGCCCTACAACTCGAGCGATATTCCCGTCGAATGCGACAAATCATTCGACGGCGACGGCGAGATTCTCAAGTATTTCGTGCAGGCCTCCTACATGTTCCCGGGAATCGCGTTCAATCTTTTCATTGCCTACACAATCCTTATAAGGAAGCCGAATGGCTTCAAAGGAAACCCATTCTTTATTTTGTTCTCCGTTGACTGCATTGTGGTGAGAATTCGATTTTATGGATTCTCGAGGCTTCATGTAATTAAGAAGCCTCGAGTTAGTCACAGTTAAGTAAAGTTTTAAGAAGCGGGGGCTGTAATAACTGTAGCACAGAAGTTGAAAATTTTTCAAACTATTTTTCTTTTTCTTTATTTTTTTTTTCAGACGTTATCTCAGAAAAAAAAATTGAAAAATTCACAATTTTTCAACAAAATTTGATCATTCCATAGGAATCCTTTAAAATTGTGCATATAGTTAGCGTTGATTTACTAAATTTTTAAATATAAAAATTATTATGTGATAGCTAATTCATAGTATAAATAAATAAATAATAAAAAATATTTTTTTCGATATTTTAAAACAAAAGACAACCCAGTTTGTCCAATTTTTGGAAAAAATGACTCCTTTATCCTTTATTGTGTGGACCATCATGAAAGCCTCGTCTGCTGTCAAGCAGGGTCCGATATCCCAGACTCGATTCTTCCAACATCGCCAAAAGAAAAAAAAACCGAGAAAAGCTTTTTTTTGGTTTGATGCCGTCTATTAGAACGAATTCCAAATTCCGCAAAATATTCTGATATTCCGTCTTTTCAAATACTTGGCCAACGCAGATTCTGAGAGTTCGCGTCAAATTCCGCGTTTGACGCACATTTGCAGATTTCGACATTTTCGCGTTTTTCGATTCACTGAATTTCCGTTGAAACCAGCTAGAGTCAGAGAGCGACTAGAGTCCTTCTAGAAGAGATTTTCCCATTTCATTACAAATATTATTTGAAAGTGCCTATCGTCGGCGTCCGGACGACTGGTGTAGATTTACGCGGTGCACCTTGGTCGAAATGGTCTCGCCACGTGTGAACCAGGGCTGTGCGGCAATCGGAAATTTCGGCAATTCGGCAATTCGGCAATTCGGCAATTTGCCGAAAATAAAAATTTCGGCAATCCGGCAATTCCATTGCCGCACAGCCCTGGTGTGAACGCTTATTTTGCTGCGACACATCCGCGGACCCCCCTAAATCATATCACGAAGAGGAAGATGGCCTGGGCTTCTAGAAGAACTGATATGGAAGATGGACTACTCTTCTAACGGACTGGTGGCCGTGGAATTGGGCACGGCCATGAAGAAGGTCTCCTATGAGATGGTCGGACTCGCTTCGGAAGGAGATCGCCACAGCTGACGGAGCCGTAATCTAGAGACCGACATGCTTCGAATGATTTGGTTCGTGTCTTGAACGACGAACCGACTAACTGACTCCGAACTGCAAAAAAAATCATTTAGTCGGCGCGAGACCAAGAGAAAGACGCAGCCTCGTAAATCGAACAGCGTACAGAACAGAGCTGCACGGAGCCTGAATGTTCTAAAACCGGAAGGCGGCACAAAATTTTTTTGACGGAAAATGGAACACGGAAGACGGTATTCCGTGCAGCTCTGGTACAGAAGTCGTCAGGACCCCCCTTACCGTAAGACAAATTTTCGGAAAAAATTGTTTAGTTGATTAGTTAAGAATTAAAAAAAAATTGAATTCGCAATGGAGCATACTTTCATCAATTATTCTGCGAAATTTGATTGCCCATATGTACACGCTCACGCAAATTTGCACACATTTTAATATTCGCGTTGATTTGGTGCACTTCTTTCACATTGATGGCAATTTTTTGGAAAAAAAAATAAATTTGAATTTTGGCGCGAAATTCAAAATTGAGAGAACTCAAAAAACTTGCAGAACTCCTACATTCTTCTGATTCAAGCCCTCATAAGTCGCCCACTTCTATTCATCCCTTATTTGTGCAACATCGCAATTCCCTACGTCTTCAAGCCTCGCATCATTCTCGGCGTCTATTTCTACACAATTATGCATTTTCGAGCGTCGAAGGTGCTCAGTGTGACATTGCTCGTGTTCAATCGACTAACCGCCATTTATAACCCGTTCGGGTACTCAATGGTACCATGTTAAATCGAATTGGTCCGAATCGAATAAATCGAATTGAAGCTGTGGAAGACATTCCTGCCGATTTCGATCCTCGCCATTTTCGGTTTTCCGCTTTTGATGCATTTCAATTTGCTAGTTTCAAGGGTCTACATGATTCCATGCCTCGGCGGAATGACGTTTTATTATTCTCGACGAATTCCCTGGGTATGTTATCTGCGGACAATTCGCTGCTTATGTGTCCGCAGCACGTTTCCCATAATTTCTAGGCGAGCACCTCGCTGTTTCATACGATTCTCTGGTTTTCGTGCCTTCTTCTTACTATCGCCTTCTCGACGATCACTTTGGCGATAATGATGAAGAAGAAGCTGAGGGAATGCGAGAAATCGCTTGCCAAAGCCACACTGGTCCTTACTATCGGCTTCTTTCTTACTGCAATGTTTCAGGTGAGGCGCATGCAATTTCAAAATTTCGTGCTGCCGACAATTCGCTGGTTTCAATCTTTCCGATTTCAGTCATATTTCGCGTTTCTTCGCCGGAAAAACTCTGCATATTATTTGATCGCTGAGCACGCATGCTTTGACTTTTTCACAATCTCGTAAGTTGTTTGATTTTCGCGCATGCGCCTTTAATCCTGGTCTCGGCACTCGACGATCGTTTTTCTTTTGCAGAAACTCTATAATAATGGTGTTGAACAGCTCGAAATTGCGATTTGAGATATTCAAGTTGAATCTTGGAAAGAATTCGAATACCGTATCGATAACTGTCATGGATACGATCGGTTGAAATCAATAATTTTGGCATGCTTCCCTTTTTTGGTCATAAATCTCCGAAATTGCAACATTTTACTATTAGGCGATTGTTTTTTCTACATCCTTTGTTGAATCAATGAAAAAGCGCCGATTGGATTTCATGGAATTGTGCTGCGGACAATTAACGGGCCGAATTGGAATGAGATCAATTCGAGGGTAAATTTGTTTGTTGCGCCGATATTGGAAGTGGTCGCAATGGACTTTTAAGCACATCGAATAATCGGCGTATTCGACCAAATATGGGCTGAAGTCGATTGAAACCAGCGTTTTCTCTTTTTTATTTAAAATTTTTCAAGAAAAAATTGATTTTTTTTATTGTTTCTCCAAAAATGCCTAATTTTGACCAATTTCGTTGGGCGAATTTTGAACTGCGAGAATTTTGCACGCTCATTAAACAGAAATATTCAACCAGGCAACAAAATCTTATGAGGAAATGAAAAATTCATTGATATTTTTTTTCAATATATTTATAATAAGGGTCCGGCGATTGATGTCGATTTACGGGCGTGCGCCTTTAAAAATGGTCTCGTGAAAGATTATTTTCGAACTGTTTAATTTTTCTCGAAAAATTTGTTACTTCTTTGAATTCTTTATATTATTGAAATTAAAAATTCGCGGAATGACCTTTAAAATGCAAAATATCCTTAATCCACACGAGACCATAGTGAAGGCGCATGCCCGTAAATCTACCCGAGTGCAGCACTCGATGGGTATGCAATTGGACCAATTTTGGGAATTTTGTATTTTTCCACAGAAAATTATGTCGTGCAAATTGAGAATCCGTGTTTTGAAGATTTTATAACAATGGTCCAATAAAATTTTTTCATAAAATAATTTTTTTCCAAAAAAAATGTAAAAATGACTTTAAAATTTCCATTTTTTACTTTTTTTAAATTATTTTATTACATAATAACATTATTTCTTTTTTTTCTTTCTCAAAAATGTTCATTTTACGTATTGTGGAACGAATATGTTTGAATTTGATAATAAAACACGAATTTATTTTAAATTTTACTAAAAACTCAAAAATGAAATCTAAAATCTTCAGAAAAAAGTTTTTTTTGGTATGAATTTTTTACTGTTTTAAATAGTTTCGTTGCCGATCAATCCGCCTTTTTGAATTTTTTTGAAGCGGTATTTTTTATTTCAAAAAAATTTTTCCAATTTTTTTGGATTGTCAATTCCTAAATAGCAAAAAGCACAATTTGTTACTATTTTGTTCAATTTTATTTTAAACCGACGCCGACCGCGACGCATACGCAACGCGGCCGTTTTTAAGCGCGCCAATTTGAAATATTTGGCTTCGAAATGACAAGCCGCGAAATCGGTATAGATTTAAATTGATCGTTGACTGAGTATTAAATGCGCGTACGCTATAATGCAATGTACGCAATCTAGCGTACTTGTGTACGCATTGGCACATAGCCAATTCATTTTTTAATATTTTGTCTAGTCGTTTGACGCTGAAAATAGATATACCAAATTTGGGAAAATTTTTCAAAAATTATGAATATTGAAAAAATGAACCGAAATTCGGCTCCGACATCAACCGGAGTTTGCCGGATCCGATCGAATCATCAGTCGGATCGGATCGATTCCGGTGTCGAATTCGTGTGGCCTAGAAAAATTGTCCTTGAACATAAGGTGCGGCCACGGCCACACTTGATGGATTAGTTAATTTATTTGAGTAGAACTAAATGAATACGAATATATTTTGTTTGATTTACGATTTCAAAAACCAGATATTAAAATAAAAGCCTCAACTTTGTGGATTACTCATAAATTTGAAAATTAGCTTGTGACAGTGTGCCGCACTTTGCAGTTTTCGCCAGAATTTGTGTGCCGCACTTGCATTGTTGCTTTTTTCACGACTAATTTTTCTGAACAAAAAAAAGAAGGCTGAAAATAAATTGATTGTTGACGCATTTTCAATAATTGCCAATTCCATGCACCTCAGTTTAGCGATTTTCCGAAATTCCAGAAACTCGAGTCATGTTTGAAAGCGCAAATCGCTTTCAATAAATTGGCAAACTCATTTATTCGCGCACCAACATCAACTATTACGCAGAAAAATTGTTGACAATTTCCATGTGGAACGAAAAAAAAACAATTTGCGGGTCACTGAACACATTCGCGTACTCTCATACCCAAATTCTTTCAATTTTTTCATTTTAGGCCTCCTCAAATTCGAATGGTCCTCAATGCCTACAATTCCAGTGATATTCCGATCAAATGCCGCACATCGCTTAATCCAAATATAGAAGTTTTGAAGTATCTACTCCAGGCCGCCTATCTATTCCCGGCATCGGCGTTCAATCTATTCGTGATTTTCACAATGCTCTATAGAGCCCCAAATTATTATAAGAACAACTCATTCTTCACATTGTTCGCTGTTGATTGTTTTGTGGTATCTCTCAAAAATTCGCTTCAAGACCCACCAGCCACGATATTCCAGAGCTTCTACGTCCTTCTCATTCAAGCCGTCTTCGGACGCACCGTGGTTTACATTCCTTATCTATGCGACATTCTAATACCATATGTGTTCAAACCGCGATTCATCATCGGCTTCTACTTCGTCACCCTCTCCTATTGCCAAGTCGCCAAAGTGCTCACCCAAACCTTGTTCGTCGTCAATCGATTCACCTGTATTTATAAGCCAGTTGGCTACACAAATGTGAGCTTCTCCTCTGGCTCAAAACAAAAAAAAATTCCAAAAAAATAATTCTTGCAGTTTTGGGATCGAGCGCTTCCAATCTCGCTCATATTTGTGGCAATTTTCCCATTTTTCCTTATATGGAATATTATTATTTCGCGGGTTTACATGGTCCCTTGTTTCGACGGAATGACCTACTCCTATATTAGGACTGTCTCATGGGCAAGACCAGCCGTATATAGGAGAAGCTCAAATTTCATTTTTCAGGCCAGCCTCTCGCTATTCCAAATGTTTCTTCAGGGATTTGCTCTAGCTCTAACTATAATCTGCTCATCAATTACTATAGCGATTCTAATCAATCGTCCGACGCGCCTTCGAAAAACTGAAAGGTCTCTCTGCATTGCCACTGTGATCAATTCGTCGGGCTTCCTTGTCAGCGCCATGTCTCAGGTTTGCCAAAAATGGGAAATTTGACATCAATGAGCGGGCTCAGTACTATTTTGCGTTCATTCGCGGAACCGACAATGGCATTCCGTTGGCGGTTCAACAGCTCTCGTTCGATTATATGAATGTCTCGTGAGTTGTCAGCCGATTCGCGATCACTGGTAACTCGAGACCAATCGGTTCCGACCAAACGAATCAAAGTCCGATTCCAATTCCGATGTCGAACTTCGGTTTCGCCGGATCCGATTCGATTTGAGTTACCAAAGAAAATGGCCAATTGTTGATTCCTAGATCTGCGATTTATATAGTCGCGAATAGTCCGAGATTGAGAGGCGATCTATTCAGTCAAGGACGCAAAAACTTGCAGATGATGGTGACCGCTTTCGAATTGACTAGTTGACGGCCTCATTGGACCCCCATTATTCAATTATTTATTTTATTATTATTATTATTATTGCGAATAACGAAGAATGTGGTGTTCTTTGTCCAGTAAATATGTGTTCAATACTCGGCGAATAATGCGTTTTTTTTTGCGGGCAATTCGCCGCGAGATAAAATATTAAAAAATTTAGCGTTTTCTGTGGTATTTGCGTCGCGGTGTTTGCACACATTCGCGCCATTCTTTTTTGTTGATTTTTTTGAACATCGACATTCAAACGTTTCTTTTTCACAATTTTCTAGTTTGCTGGTTTTCTTAAAATCTCGTGGCATTTTTAATTCAATTGCGTTATTTTACTGGAATTGGCAGAAAAAAATGGTGCTTACCTGCTTCTTTTTTTTTAGTATCTCTCGTTTAAAAAAAGGTTGCCAGTTGATAATCATATATAGTCGGTGTCCGAGTGACTGATGTAGATTTACGCGGTTCGAAATGGTCTCGCCACATGTGAATGCTTATTTTGCTGCGACACATTCGCGGACCCGCTAAATCATATCACGAAGAGGAAGATGACCTGGGCTTCTAGAAGAACAGATATGGAAGATGGACTACTCTTCTAACGGACTGGTGGACGTGGAATTGGGCACGGCCATGAAGAAGGCCTCCTATGAGATGGTCGGACTCGCTTCGGAAGGAGATCACTACAAGAACAGCTGAAGGAGCCGTAATCTAGAGACCGAAAAGCTTCGAATGATTTGGTTCGTGTCTTGAACGACGAACCGACTAACTGACTCCGAACTGCAAAAAAATCAGTTAGTCGGCGCGAGACCAAGAGAAAGACGCATCCTCGTAAATCGACCCGCGAACAGAAGTCGCCAGAACGCCCACGACAATAAAACCATGAAATGTGACGTTCGAAAATTTTCGAGACCACGAAAAATTATAGCTGTATTTCAAAACATGCAATTTTTCGATGATTCGACAAATTGATTGTCGAAAATTTTTGGAACAATTTTTATGTGGATAAACATGCGCAACAAAAATGAAAACAATTTTCGATAAAAAAATAAATATAGAAAAAGCGATATCAGGTCTGATGTCAAAAAAATTCAACGAGCATCAATCGCCAAAAATTGAAATATTAAAACCGGTGAATAATGTAGACTAGTAATTTTAAAAAATTGTTAGGTCGGTTTTCAATTTTATGGCGATTCGAGCACAGCGAGGAAAATTTTGCACCGATTTTTATACATTATTTGGGCACTCTGGAATTTCTCACATTTTGAGACTTTGAAATATTTAGACGTAGAATTTGTATTTTTATTGTTGGGTGGATGGGGCGGGGGGCCAGGGCTGTGCGGCAATGGAATTGCCGAAATTTAGATTTTCGGCAATTTGATATCAAAAAAAAATCGGCGAAACAAAAATCAATGTCCATTGAATAATTTGGGATATAGTGGGTATTTATATTTCGAATTATCGTTGAAAACATTTAACAGCCGAAATTTCCGATTGCCGCACAGCCCTGGTGGAGGGCGTAAGAGAACACCTTGGTCTCGCCACAATTAACGATTTGGCTGCGTATCAAAAATATGCAACACTACAGAATATCTTAAAGGTGCATTTAAATCATTGCTGAATTTCGCGTCAAGAAACAAACTTGTAAAGGTGGCCACCGTAATTATTAACATCATTTTTCGTTTGCATTTTTCGGATCCGATTGGTTTTGATCTACCAGAGCTGGGAAGGTGATTACACACGAAGCATAGCTATCCGAAATTTCAGAGTGTTCGTCGTGGCTGCAATTCAAACAAGGGACCCGGGGGCCTGTTTTCTTTTTGACATTCATGGTTCGCATATCTCTCGTATGATTCCCAACACATTGCGCTGCATGATGGTTACTTGCCGTTCAAACGTCGGTCCGTGTTATCGTGGGCAGTTGTACGCAATTATCGCCGGCGGCAGACGTGCCGTCGATAGCTCAGTTGGTAGAGCGGAGGACTGTAGATTTGTGGGGATCCTTAGGTCGCTGGTTCGAATCCGGCTCGACGGAATTGCTTTTTGCCTTCCACATAAATCATTTTGGATTTTATGGATTTGTATATAATTTGTAATTAACCGTTTTAATTTTATCACAATTTGAAAATTTTACTCTCAAGTTAGAGCTTCTTCAATTTCAGGGACAATTTCGCGTTTTCCCTAAAAAAAAACAGCATTGACAGAGTTCTGAACTATAAACGCCCAAAGAAAAAAGCTCTCGTTTTTGCCACAGTCAGTGCCGTTGCGGTTCAACTGCGGTCGTGGTCATTTTCATTGGAATATCGTTTTTTTATTTGGACTGGGCTAGTTTAATGTCGAATATATATCATGAAAAAAGTACATGTGCATTGTGTCGTCAAATAAAATGCATAGTCCGCAATTATCTAAATTACTCATTTTAGAGACCTCGAAACGAAATTCCGAAACTTGGGCATTTAAAATGCACAATCACATGAAAATTACACGTTATAAATTAGTCGTTAAATAAAATGCATTAGGTGTAAACACGCGACCGCAATCAAACCGCAACGCATCCAACGGCACTGACCATGGCAAAAACGAGAGCTTTTGTTTTTTCTTTGGGCGTTTACGAATAGTTCAGAACTTTGTCAATGCTGTTTTTTAGGGAAAACGCGAAATTGTCTCTGAAATTGAAGAAGCTCTAACTTGAGAGTAAAATTTTCAAATTGTGATAAAATTAAAACGGTTAATTACAAATTATATACAAATCCATAAAATCCAAAATGATTTATGTGGAAGGCAAAAAGCAATTCCGTCGAGCCGGATTCGAACCAGCGACCTAAGGATCCCCACAAATCTACAGTCCTCCGCTCTACCAACTGAGCTACACAGGTAAAACGCGGTGACTCTGTGGTGGATAGAAAGTGGGTAGCCAGTGGATAGCTGCGCGTACACGAGTTGGCACAGAATGGGTTGCTTGCGTACGATATTTAACCCACCACGTACCCATCGCGTATGACATTTTTCAACCATTTTAGACCCACTGCTTTTCCATTTTTCAACCATTTCAGACCCATTAGCTTTTCAATTTTTTTTGTTTTTATATATTAAAAATCACTATAACTATACTTTTCATTTATTCATATCATTAAAACCAAAATTTAATTAAAAATAACAATACAAACGACAAAATTATGCAAAAAAAAGATAACAATTTTTAAAAATCGATATGGCTTTCGTGTCGGAGCAGACGTGTTCTCCTGGTTTGACTTGATGGCATCCTTTAAAATAAAAAATGTGTTTTACAGAAAGGAGATTGCATTTTTCATTACGTGTTTTTATGGAACTCGGCAAGAAATATTTCGGCGGTGGTTTTGTCCGCTATTCTGTTTCGGTTGCTGAATTCTGATATTTACGGCGAAAAAATAGGTTCTTACATAAAATTCGTGATAGCTAAGGACTAGTGTGTACTCCCAGGAGGAAATTTCCCGAGATGTATTCGTTTTTTAAGATTCCCGGTATTCCCGAAAATTTCGGAAATTTTCATCTCCACAAAATTCCCTATAACTCCCCAGACTTCCCGGGCATTTTTCAAAGACTCCCGGGGATTTCTCGAAGACTCCCGCGAAAATTTACGTATATTTCCCGAAGACTCCCGGTAGTATAGTTTATGTGTTGAATAAATTTTGGTATTAACTTGAAAGAGTTTTGTTGACTCTCTTTCATCTTCATTCTCTTTTCTCACTCTACACTACAAAACTCACAGATTCCCTAAAAATTACCGGGAGCCTTCGTGATTTTCTCGGGAATTTTCTACATTTCCCGGGAGAAAAACTGCTAGGAAAATTCCGCACCTCATAATTCCCGGGAAGGACTAAAATGAAAAGACGAAGACTTAAAAAATTAAAAGACAAAGTGAAAATCCATATACATATTACCATAGTTTGTATTACGAATGCGGGAAAATTAAATTTCGACAAATAATTTTTCGAATGTTTATTTCGATGTATTTATTTGAAAAAGTTTATTTTTTTTTAAATTTAACTTCGACTTTTCTTTCAAAAAATTCTAACTAATTCAAGTCATTCGATTTTTATGGTTATATTCTCCTATCACAAGATTATCTAAATTTTTTTTTTCAATTTGCGTTCGAAACATTGAACAATTCGAAAAACAATTTGTTTTATGGGTTTGACTTCTCATGAAATAGTTTAAAAAACCTACATATCTTATTGTTTTTTGTGACCATCAAAAAATCCTGTCTTGTTTCCATCATTATTTTCATTTCTTTTTTCAACTCTCAATTCCTTTTTATTTTCTTCATCGTCTTCACTATCATCAAAAATCATTGCGCGCTGAATGTATTTTGTTTCGAAAATATATGTATATTTTATATATATCACCTTTCCTTTGAGATTCCTTCGATATTTTTTCTTTTATTCGAGCCTTTCGACAACTGCAAGAACTTTTATAGTTTCCTCATTTACAAACCATAACTTTGAACCAAATGGCCTCACCATCACGGATGAAAGAAGCGAACGTAGCCTGAAATAAATATTAGTACAACGGACATATCAGAAAAATAATTATCGATTTACGACGAAAATAGGCCATAAGCAAAAAAACGAAACACAACATTAATTCATTAATGATGAAAGGCTAAATATGATTCAGTTGACACATCTATAATTAAATATAAAATAATATAGAAAAATACTGAAGAATTCGAAAAAAACGAGAAGAAAACGAGTGAAAATAATGTTTTCGAAAAATTAAATAATTCAAATCCACGGCACGCAACGCGTCGCTGTTCCACCGACACGCGTTGCGGTCCCGCCGAGTACGCTAGAGCAGAGCAGATTCAAACGCTATGGCTATATTGTGGCTGACATTCTACCCATTTTGGACCCATCGCGTATGTTCAAACTAGGGCTGTGCGGCAATCGGCAAGTTGCCGAAAATAAAAATTCGGCTATAAATTTTTTCAATAATTAGAAATATAGAAATATAAATACCTAATTTTCACGGTATCCCAAATTATTAAATGAACATTAATTTATGCTTCTCGGATTTTTTCGACATCATATTGCCGAAAATTAAAATTTCGGCAAACCGGGAATTTGAAAAATCGGCAATTCCTTTACCGCGTAGCGTTATATAGTGGTTGACATTCAACCCATTTTAGACCCATCGCGTATGTTCAAACGCCATGGCTATATTGTGGCTGACATTCAACCCATTTTGGACCCATCGCGTTTATTTAAAAGCCCATAAATTTTGCTGATACGCCATGGGTATATAGTGGTTGACATTCAACCCATTTTAGACCCATCGCGTATGTTCAAACGCCATGGGTATATAGTGGCTGACATTCTACCCATTTTGGACCCATCGCGTACACTTACCCACTTTGAAGCCACCGCAGAGTCACCGCGTTTTACCTGTGCTATCGACGGCACGTCTGCCGCCGGCGATAATTGCGTACAACTGCCCACGATAACACGGACCGACGTTTGAACGGCAAGTAACCATCATGCAGCGCAATGTGTTGTGAATCATACGAGAGATATGCGAATCATGAATGTCAAAAAGAAAACAGGCCTCCGGGTCCCTTGTTTGAATTGCAGCCACGACGAACACTCTGAAATTTCGGATAGCTATGCTTCGTGTGTAATCACCTTCCCAGCTCTGGTAGATCAAAACCAATCGGATCCGAAAAATGCAAACAAAACATGTCCGCAGGTCTCGCGTTTTAGAGCTGCATTTTGACGTCCTTTTTCGGAAAAGAACCTTTTCGCAGTCAAAAATTTCACGAAATTTGATTTCGATTCAACTCACATTTCTGAAATTTTAAATGAAAGAATTTTTTTTTTGAAAAAATAATTAGTTGATTCAATTTTCTTTGAAATATCTCGCATGAATTCAATATCAACTTCCTTATAATTGAGTCTAATTAATTATTGTCAGCTGAGTGCTCAAGCTCGACAATTTGTTATGGCCTATGATGAGAGTGATATTCAAGTTGAATGCGATAAATCCTATAACCCAAATATAGAAGTTTTGAAGTATGCTCTCCAGGCCGTCTATCTGTTCCCGGCATGCGCCTTTAATCTATTTATATTGTATACAATGCTCTACAAAAATCGAAGTTATTATAGAAATCACTCATTTTTCATTTTATTCGCGGCTGATTGCTTTATAGTTAGTTTGAATTATTTAAAAATTAAGTTGGCCGTGAAAATTGGGGTCATAAAAACTAGGCCACAGGAATATTTATTTTCGATTTTAAACGACTCATCGGTTTCTCGTGGTGCATTTTTTCGAACTCTAGATATTCAATAAAAAAACTGAAATGAAAAAAGTGGTGCATTTTACATGGCCTCCAATTTTGGCGGCCACGACTGGAAGCGCGTTTTTTAATTTTCAATTGCTTTAATTCTTAAAGCAAAAATTCTAATAGTTGCCTTTTAAATAAAAACAGACCAATCTGAAATAATTTCAGAGTTTCAATGTCCTTCTATTTCAAGCCATCATCGGCCGTTCTGTAATGTACATCCCTTATCTATGCGACATTCTAATACCATATGTGTTCAAGCCGAGAATCGTCATGAAATTCTACACTCTATTGATTTCCTATTGTGAAATTGCGAAAATTTTGACACAAATTTTGTTCGTAATTAATCGATTCACCTGTATTTATAAACCATTCGAGCACGCAGCGGTGAGTTGAAAAAAAATCGAAATTGCTTGATGGGACCATTAATTGAAGATTTGGCATCGTTGGCTTCGAATATCGCTAATTTTCGTCGCAATATTCCCATGTTTCCTTATTTGGAATGTGGCCATCTCGAGGACCTTCATGATTCCCTTTTATGGCGGAATGATGCTGTATTACTCGAGAACGGTGTCGTGGGTAAAATTGCGTCGGCTGAAATGCTGCTCTAATCCGAATCTCTAGGCGAGTCAATCAATATTCAACTCAATTCTGATCATCATCGCATTACTAATTACCATCATTTGCTCGATAATTACCATAATTATTGTGATAAATCGTCCGAAGCGTGTGAAGCAGGCCGAAAAATCGCTATTCTTCGCGACATTGGCCATCTCTTCCGGATTCATTTTCACCGCCATTTTTCAGGCGCAAAAATTTCTGACAAAATTTCGAGAATTTCCCAATTTCAGGTGTATTTTGTGTTCAATCGAAACTCGAATTTCGAATTTTATTTGGCGATGCATCATCTAGCCTACGATTATTTGAATATTTCGTTGGAATTGTTGTCCGAATGCAAAAAAAAAAATGGTCGCATTTCAGAAGTTCCCTATTCGTGGTGGCCAATAGTCGGAAGCTTCGCAATGATCTTCGAAATTCGGCACTTCGATCGTCGCGCTCAACTGTCACAACGATTGGGGATGATATTCATGCGATTCGTTAAGCAATTTTATATAATTAACACTAATTATGTATGATTATTGATTATAAAAATGATGGACAAATTTCCATTGAATCGATTGAATTTTTGAATTGCCGCCCCGAAGAAAAATAATGTCGATGTGGGCGGTGACTAAAAAAATAACATTTTTTTTTAAATTACTTTTTTTTTAATTGACGATACAGTAATCAAAGGCGCATTCAATTTATTGAAATTGGGTCTCGCTAATTATTACTCAGCATTTCACTAAAATTTAAATTTTTGAAAATTTCTCAATTTTGCAACGAGACTATATTTAAAAAATTGTGGTCCCCAAAAAAAAATTGATTTCCAAAAAAATTCTAATATTCAAAGTAGTTCGAAATTAGCCCCCCCCTCGCCCCACGTGAGGGTCCCTTCTCATACGCCGCCCTCGGTTGCCATGGAGACCCGTTTCCTCGAGCGAGCTTCTCCCTCCATTTCACTTCATATTGCTCTCATGAATTCGTCGATTTTCGATTTTAAAGGCTCATCGAAGCGGATTTTATTCCGGTAGATCTTTTTTTTTCGAAATTTCTTTTTTTCAAATTTCGCATTTCAGCGTGAAACTTTATCAAAAAGGCGTTCCAGCTCTCGATTTCGAGCGATTCGCTCAATCCGACGCCAGCGTTTTCGACGAGACGCCCATCAATTCGAAAATCGATGAGACGACGTTCGAATGGCTTCAGAATGATGAGACGGCGTCAAATAATAATAATAATGGAACCCATCGATTATTCACGGTGACAAGCGTCGACGAGTTGCCGGACCATTTGAAGAAATATTGGAAAGTTGGCACACCGTGGACTTTGCCGGAAAATCGAGAGAAACACGAGTGAGAGACAATTTTTGGGAGAATTTTTGAACATGGACTCCTTGTCTTCAGAATATTTCCCAGCGATGAGCATTTGGTGTTTCGAAAGAATTCTGGAGTTCAGACGGCGACGAAGAAGAGCCTCATGTTTCTGCTGGCTCGTCTAGGATCCCTAGAATTACAGTATGTAAAAAAAATATATATGAAGCTACTATTTTCAGAATGATTTGCAGGGATCCGCGAGACGTCTACCTCGTTGCGAGAATATCAATAATCGATGATAGTCGTTTGATAATCGAGCCGCGACTCAATTCGGAATCCCGAATTGCTCTCGAGACGCCGTTGGGCGATTTTTTCGTGTCGATGCGAATCGACGACAAAATCCAAGATTTCGAGAATGACGAGAGGACGACGAAGACGAAGAAGAGGATTCGAGCGTCGATTGTGAGATTCGATGTGTGTGTGCGATTATCTGAAATCGATATTTTCAGACAAGTATTCCCGAGGCCGAGAATTTCGCGGTGGCTCCCGACGGCTTCATCCACACCGCTGTCAATGTGACATTGCGTAAAACCATTTTCGGAGACTCTCCTTCCCTCCACCTTATTGGTTTTCAGTCGACGGCGACGAATTCCTATTCGATGATGGCCTCATCATTGATTACAAGCTTCGCCTTCCTCAGGGTGTTCGCCTCGTCACCGACAATCGAATGGGACGAACGCGGAAATTCAGCGCCGATGAGAATCACCGTCTGCATTTCGGCGAGCACATCGAGCTCGTTTTCGAGCATTCCTCAGCGATCAATGAGCATCCGCTATTAATGCTCCGCATATTCACCATTGATTATTGGGGACGTCAACATATTGCCGGATATGGCTCGTTGTTCATCTCAATGCAACCGGGAACGTATATTGTTTTTTGACGAATTGAACTCTCTAAAATTTGGCTCGATTTTCAGACATCATACAACGGTTTTCTGTTGGCGGCCGACTTCCAAAAATTCGCTTTATGAATATTTTGTTGGGCAAGCCATTGATGTTGATTATTTCGGAATTCAGGAGGTAGTTTGAAAAAAAAATTGAATTGGAAAAAATCAAAAAAAAAATGGTAGCGATGGTCAAGATGCGAAGAATGGCCGCTGTGTAGTCCACACGGACAATGCCCTAACATTTCACGCAGATATTACGAGACCCAGAGCGACTAACTCAAGACGCGTTGCGGTTCGCGAGCGTTTAAACTACAAGGTCTTACAGCGAAGAAATCTGGCAGCCGCTTTTTTAATATTTGAAAACGACAGTGTTTGCGGACTTGAGTTACGCAAAAAAACTTTGGGCAGATGGATGCCAACTTCTAAATTAATTATTGTATGCCATGAGAACTTTAATAAAATTTTAAGCAATGCCTAGTTTTAGGAAATTACGATGTAGTTCATATTTTGAAGCTATTTTTTCGGCGGGTCAGTAAAAAAATTCGCGACCCGCCGACCCGCAACGACACTCCAAGTTTACAGCGAGGCCCTGGTTTAGCGAAAAAGAATTTCGAATTGTTTTATTTGAGTAGAATTAATTGTTCTCGCAACAAAAATTGTTCAGAAATCCTCAAACAAAATTGATTGAACCAGCGTCGAGCGGGTCGGGGCGGGTCGGTAACATTTTCACTCTGATCCGCCCCGTTGCAAGTATGATTCGAACGGGCGGACCAACCATTTTGGGACGAACAGGGGACACATTGGACTCGGTCAAAACAAAAGTCGTCCACGGTTTAACTAAATTGAGGGCGATGTGAAATTGGAGTGTCGTATTCGTGGAGTAAAAAAGTTTTTGGGAACCCACGCCGTTTAAACCAAAACCAACCACGGCTCGTCCTTTTCGAATCTCTGAGTTGCTATTTTAAAAGATGGAATTGTCCGCAGATGAAAATCAATTTCTGAAACATTCGAATACATTTAGAATTCGACGTTGTCCCGCGTTGGCGTCGATTCGCAATCGTCGGGCCAAATCAACATCGCCTACTCATGTGTGTCTCAATGCCGCCAATTCATGGCCAACGATGTGCTCTATCAATTGAAATATGGCACAAAAATGGCGCAAATGGGGTAAGGCGATTCTCATTGTTTTATTTTTGTCTTCCGAAATCCGATTTATTGGATTCAGATTGCGTTCCGACTTCTACCAGCGAATCATCAAAGTTTTAATGGAATTCGAGGAAGCGCGCGCGAAATTGCTTCAAGCGCGCGCATTGGCCGCCAAAAGTTTGTGATTCTCTCTCTCTCTTCTTTTTTTCGTTAATTTTTTGCAAAAACAAACAGATAATTGAGTTTGAATGGCTTGTCGTTTAATCCGATTTTTTGCTTCGCTCTCTCTCTTCCCCCTCATTCTTAGTTTTTTCAAATTGCCGCCAGTCTTTCAACCACCCCCCTCCGACGACACCATGATTCTTCAAAGCACTTTTTATAGGAAACTTGTTTTTATTATGAAAGCGCAAAAGTGAGTCGAGTTTTTTTCTTTTGCAAAAAAAAAAAACGAACACTGAGTAATTGTGGACTATCGCAACTTTTTTGTAGGTGGCAATTCAAATTCAAAAAAATGACTTGCAATTAAATATATTTGAATAAAATTAGTTGATCTCTGAAATCAAATAATTGACTGGAACACCACATTTTGAGCGAAAATGTTTTTCCGTGCCAAATTTCAATTTTAATGGCCTTTGTGGGAAAAAAATGGAGCTAAAAATTATCATGATTTTGATGGTCCGAGAAAACCGGTTATCAGTTTTTTTTCCAAAATTCTCCAACCCTTTTGCACTATCTAAAAATTGAATTGGCCTGCTTCGCAATTTATCCTTTTTTCGAAATATTTTAGAAGAAGTGAAATTTTCTTAAATATTCCTAGAAGAAAATTAAACCTAGAGAAAATGCGCTTACTGTATTATTTGAAATACCTTCTTGGGTCTCGTGTGGAAAACGCTTAGGAGCGACAAATCTGAAAGTGATTTTTCAGCGAAATTCGAATTTGGTCAGAGTAGAATTGATCCAGAACTTCCACAAAATGTCACATATATTTTTTTTGGTTGGAATTTCAGAGAATACGGTGACCGGCTAACGATTCTACCAACGGGTCAAATCGTTGTCCATTGCACGCCGACGACCCGTCGAAAAGCGTCGAGAAACGCGAAAAATTGTCTGTACCGTGTGAGATGCAACAGTGTTCATTAATATCCAACGTGATCTCGTTTCATTTTCCCTTCAATAAACTCATTTCTCCCATTTTGTACAATTTTCTGTTTGAAAACCAACCATGAAAACGGATGCGACCAATAAGAAGAAACCAAAAAATATTCTAAACGTTCGAAAGAATCCGTCCAAGTTTGCCAACATCTCTCTCTAATTAGGCGAATGGTAATTGGACTAATTAGGTATATGGCGCTTGATGAAGGTAATCGATATGATAAAGTGCTTGGTGAGAAGGTGGCGAATAAGGCGAAAGGATTGGTGTTGAAATATTTTAGCAATAAAAAATTGAATTTTGAAAGTAATTTTGGCGGTAATTAAGAATCGGTGATAATTGGCGTGATTTAGATGAATCTACAAGTACTACAAGGTCCAACGAGCTACAGTAATGAAGGATGATGTTTTTAAGGGAATTTCAAATTGTTGAATTAAGGAACAATTTCAATTTGAAAAATATGGACAAGTTGGAGTTTTTCTCGAATTTCGATGCTGAAATTCAGAGTCCGCCGGTCAAATCGCCCGAAATGGAAGACACTGAGGTTCGGTTTCTCCCATTTTTGCCTGCCTTCTTTAAAACCGAACTTGGTTTTGATGTTTCGAAATTGCTGAAATTCACCGACAATTATTTTTCTGAGATTCAAAATTCAAATCTCTGATTTGATCTTTCCGAGATTCAAAAATTGATTGGCACAGAGAGATAGGCTTCCATTCAGACGGAAAAATGTCGTTTTGCCCGCCGCAAAAAAATACAATTTTTGATAAAATTAATAATAGTTTACGAAGCAATTCAAAGCCCCTTTTTTGAATGTTTGAATTGCCGCCATGGGTCCCGTTTGGATAAAAAGTGGTTTTTGTAATTTCTTAAAGCCATTATATGAACAAATATAATTTTAAAAGAAGTTTTGGGTGCCTTGATAGATAGCAAAATTCGAAATGGCGAATCAGAAGCGTATTGATTGTGCTACCTATTAAATTGCAGCCCGTACATTTAAAATCTTCAAATTCATCCGTCTGCAACAAAATTTTCAAAAATTTTATTTAAAAATTTAATTATTTTTCGTTTAATAAATGGGTTTTTGAAAGAAATCGACGAAACATTCTAAAAAAAATTCTCGTAAAAATTTCGAAATGATGGCGGACGTGAAATGTGAAATGGCCGAATAATTCGCGGCCGCGGCCGCCGCATGAATGGAAGCCTTTCAGAGAGAAAATGCCAATATTTTTCAAAAAAAAAAAAATAATTTTATGCAAAAATATAGCCAAAAATGTTAATTTTCGTAAAATATTTGCGTGAATTTATTTTGTCGAAAAAAAAATTTTTTTTGAAAAATCCCCACTTCTTCCAGTTCCTCGCCGAATCCAATGAATTGGCTGTGCCGTTAACAAAACTCGATCCGAAATTGGAGCATTCGACGACATTCCTCGTTCTCGCCACACTCAATATTGCATTGGTTCTTGATTTTCCGTTCATCATGATGAGATATGGTGGATGTATGTCGCATCATCAAAACACTTTCTTCCCAACAATCCCGTGTTCTTTTTTTTTTCAAGGGATCTTCCTGGTTCCATTCACAGTTTGCACGATATTCTTAACGATTCCCATCAGTTTGTATCAGCATTTCCTCGGACAATTCACATCGCTTCCCCCAATATTAATATTTTTTCGAATGGCGCCGATTTTGGGCGGAATCGGAGCGTGGCTCACTTATTTGCAAATTTTGACGGCTATGACTTACAAATATGATCATAAGTAGGGACCATTTAAAATTTGTTTTTTGAAAAGCGCAATTCTCATTTTTTTAGATTTGCCTCAATTATTGTGGAATTCGTTTATGAGCTGATGGTTGATAAGAGGAAGCCGTTCAAGAAAATCTCGAGATTCGGCTTTTTCGGTTCGTTTTTGCTCGAATTGTTGCATTGGCAAATAATTTGAAGAGAATACCGTCCCTTCGATTTGTCCCGAGGGAACCTATTTTGTTCAAGGATTGTGCATTGATACGCTCTCGGTAATTGCAGACCAGCCGAAATCTCGAATTGAAGAGACCTATCACTTTGCAGCCCTCATTTTATAGTTTCGAAATGTACGCGAAAAAATTGATGATCGAAATGGTGCAAAAAGAATCGGCGTTGGTGGAAGCAATTCAGCGAGACATCGAGCCCGAGCGAATTTTCGATCCGCTTTATGAGAATGCGCATATCAATACGGCAATATTTATCACCGCCTCCATTGGATTCATCGCCGCAGTTCACGGAATCAATAATTTTGCGTTGGTAAGACTTGTTCGCAGGTGCGAGATTTGGTCAAGATGAGTTTATTGAGCCAATCGATGACATAGAATGCCAAAATGCATTGCGAGTTGTGAGAGGAGCAGAGAAAAAAGGGCGAGTAACATAGATAGAGGGAGAGTGAGAGGGTGCTATACAACGAGACATTTCAATAGGGCACGTTTGTGGACTATGGAAGGCTAAGGAATTCAACAAAACAATTTTGATAGAATACTGTGTATCCAAAAAATAGAAATTTTCCTCAAATTTTTTTTGTTATGAATTTAGGCAATTTTTTGCAATTTTTCAATATCGACTCAGAAAACGGCGATGAGCAGGATATTTGAGAGAGAGAGTGCGATTTTGAGAGACGAAGACATTTCTTAATATTCCCCTCACGATTTGGTGAAGAATATCAAGAAATTTGCATGAAAATGTGAATTAAAATAAATAAAAACATCGATTAAAGGCTCATAGGTTGAAAAATTGGGTTGGACCTATCGCTGTTCATTCTAACAAGGCATTTTAAACACTATTAGTACGACACTCCAATTTACATGCCGCCCTCAATTTAGCGTGATGGCGATTTTTGTTTCCACTAATTTCCAGAAAAAAAAAGCTTTCCAAAAGAACTGAAACGGAAATCGAAAATAAATTTTTCGATTTTCGGCGTAAAAAGAAACGGAACTACTCTTTTTTCCGATTTTCTGAAACACGGAAACGAAATTTCATGCAACGCTGGTCGATTGAACGATTTGAAATGGAAAAATCTGCAAACACAGCGCGGACTTTTCAAACTACAGTAGTCTTGATGATTTTTCAAATTTTCGAATTTCAGAAATTTCGCTATATCGTCGCTTTTCTTATAACTGGCTATTGCACTGCAATCTTTTGCCTAGTCACATTAAAATATCGCACCGAATCGTATCAATTCTTCGACGTAAGCTCGATCAATCGTATTTTTTTTCTTAAAAAATGTTCTCAGGTTGTTGGATTTGACACTTCTCACCTATTCAAATTTAAAACATGGAGTGTGGCTGCCGTAATGGTATAATTCGAAATATCTTGAATTTATTTTTGTTGCATTTTCAGTCGTTTCTTATGTTCTCCGTCACCGATGGAAGCATGTACTCGTTGGGAATGGTGTGCACGTATCGGTCAAACTTCATAAAGTACCGAATTTGTCTGGAACACGTTTGAATCTAATGAAACCTTTCAGAAATTTGTTTGCTGAATACGTTGTTTCCTACTTTGCGATGTTCATTATCATGATCCCAATGGGAATCACAGCGGTGATCGGCGTCAAAATGAGCGCGTATGAGTTGGAGCAGCGCGACTTGTCGATTGCCGATATTCGTAGGTCTCGCGATCGCATTTGAATAACAAAATTGATTTCAGGAAATCATATTTACAACGATATTGACATTTTCAATCACATGTTCAAATTTTTCCATAAAAGTCTTCAACTCAACTTGAGTCTTTTGATGTTTTGCTTCTCGGTCATTTTTTGGCAGACATTCAATATGGTTGGTCGATATTTGAAATTGCCGAGCACATTTCGCTTCGCTCAGGCAAATCAAATAAATAATTTTGAGAATCAAATATACAGTGATAAACTCTAAAATATTTTGAGAAATTCTAAAGTTTATTGATACTTTTTAAAACTTATTGTGAATCGCTAAACTTAAAAATGTTTTTTTTTTAATCTTATGAGATTTTCTAAAATTTATTGAGCAAATTCTAAATTATCTCGATAAATTCTAAAATCTTCTAATAAGTTCTAAAGTTGATTGAGAAAATTTTAAAATATTTAAGAGACACGTTAGTTTCTCAATGAATCTCAAAATATTTTATTTGATTTGCCTGAGCGGGAAAAAATTGAGAAAAAGAAAACGATTGAATGTCATTTGTAGATTCTCAACTCGGAGACCAGTATATGTTTAATGTATCGAACGTTCAAAGGGCTTGTGCGATACCCGGAATTTATTGTTCGCTACATCTCGCTGTCGCTTTATTTCGCATTGGTTATAAGCTTTCATGTGATTTTTGTGAATGTGAGACGCTCAAATTCAAGGTTTTTTTCTTTCGAATTTTTAATTCGTTTTCAGCCTAAATTTCAAAATAATTATGCGCGAGATTTGATATTTGCTGCGCCATACATCATCTTCGCCCAGTTATTCAGCGCTCTCATCCTCACTGTCAATCGGTTTTATCCGTGCGTCTGCGTACGTTCTTCTGCATACCCTTTTTTTTTCAATTTTTAGCATTTCAGTCAGTTTTAAAGAAATATCGCTCGAAAATTATGAGATATCGATACGCGTTGGTGTTTTATTTCCAGATCATTCTACCGATTGTCCTATTCGTAAGTTCAATTTTTTTTAATTCAATTTTTTTTGTGAAAACTGAACTCAACATCTAGGGATTAACTACTTTCGATCATCTTTCGTTTAATATCGTTGGAGTTCGCTCGTATGTTGCCCAAATTATTTATTTTGGGCTCACGGTAATTATTTCTGAATGTGCGAATAATAATCATTTTAGCTTGGCTTTTTAATGGTGACTGGAAATCCGTGGGACGCATTCAAACCGACGTCGAAATGGGGCCCGCACATGATTTACGATCGCATGGATCATTTACAAGAGGAACGTGCTCTTACTTCCTGCGATAACACGAAAGTTGGATTCTTTAGACTCCCTGAATAAATTTTTTTGTTGTTGCTTGGGTACTGTAGGTACGATTGTGTGCATGTGCACGTGACGGAAAATTGCACGCAATTTTTTTTGGAATAATTTATTTTCGGGAATGTTTATATTTTTCCCCGCTTTTTGTGCGAGTCCGTTGTTTTTTCTTTGTAATCGTTTAAATTTTTGAACCAAATCAAAATCCTCATACTTTGCACAAGATTAAGTGGACGTTTATAGGAAAAATATCGCCAAAGCATCTCTCGTTTTTTTTTTCTCGCCTCACCCACTGTGTATATTTTTTTGCATTTTCCTTTCCTTCTTTTATCCTATTCTCTCCTCATTGGACTCTTTTTAAACGTCATTTTCGAACATTTTTGTGAATATTATTAGTAAAACTAGTTTCGAATGATGATGCGAGCAAAAAATCCGTGAAATTTTTTGCTCTCCATTCAATTTTCATTCAGTTTTATGAGCTTTTTCGGTTAGTTTAAGTGGATGAATTGTGCATTTTCATTTTTTTTTTCGCTTAAAAAGAAAAGAAAGAAAGAAATGTGCGAGATAAACTTTCGAGATGTGCAAGGTCATGTTGGATTCTATTTGTCATCTTCATTTTCACATTAGAAAATTAGAATAATTGTTAAAATAGTTAAAATTGTTTCAATTCCATTAAGTTTTTCTACAATGATTCTTTTTTAACGAAAAGTGATCTTCAATTTCGAAGCGACCATGAATCAGGTGATTTTTGGTGTTGAGAATTGCAAAATTGTTCAAATAAATTGACAATTTTATTCGTTATTTTCAATTATTGACAGAAATCTCTTTTTTGGAGCATTTCTTTACTCTAAACGTAAATAAGAAAAAAATAAGTATAAAAAGATGGAATTCATTAAAAAAATGACCATTGAAAGATAATTGGAGTTTTCAAATTTTTTTTTCATTTTTCTTTCATTTTTCATCCAATTTATTAATTTTTTTGAGTGTGTTGGTTTCATTAATTTCCTATGAAATTTGAATCGAAAAAAGATATTTCTACAAAAATTGCAGAGTTCGAAAAAAATTTCTTTCACATGCTTCTGATAGGGTTTTCAAATCTATTTTCTAAGTTCCCCGTGGATTCCTCACATTCGAATTTTGTCTTTTTAGAAACGATCTCCCGAAGCAATTTTTAATTTCCAACATTGATTCATAGATAAAACGAAATCGTACGATTGCGGTGGGACTGTCCGCACTTTTTGGTACCAAAAATTTCAATTTTTTGAAGTGCCAGCAAAATGAGAATCAGAAAAAATGTCGATTCGCTAGAATCGATAGTGCCGTAAACTTTGCGCAAACAGCGCGAGACGTTCGCCGTCGAAATTGAAACACCGAATCTCTTGTGTGTCCGTAAACCTGGCCCGAAACCGGGCTCGTGTGTGCCGCCGTGTGTTTATTTGTTTTGTGTGGTCATTGAAGAGAGAGAGGGAGATGAGAGAGAGAGGGAGGGAGTTCTCACTCCTTTAAAACTCGAGACGCGTTTTCCTCCAATTTTTGTGCCTATATACAACCAATTATAATGTGCATTCTGAATAATGCAAGAATGTCTTCTCAGCGCAACGCGTTTCCATTGTTTCTTTTTTGTTGCCTCGTTCGGGTCTCGCCACGAATGACCCCAATTTGCCGTTGAAAAACGGAATTTGAAAAAAAAACCATCGCATTTCGTATGATCGACGCGTTTTGTCGTCAACGACGACATGTGTTTCTATTAGATTCTTATTTCATATGCATGAGCTTCTTTTCGTTGTTTTTTGTTTCTCGGAAAATTATAGCTCGGGGAGATGAGTGGTTCGTGAATCTCATTACAATGGTCCAATTTTGAATCATTTTTAATGAACTCTCGCGGCGAAAAACGTTCAGTAACCACACTCTTTTTGCATCTTTTTGAACTCATTCTTTTTTCTTTTTTGCGATCGCCAAAAAGAAGAAGAAGAGCAAAATGTTTTTTTTTGAAAATTTATTTGCGTTCAGTCTTGAAGCGACTCGTGTTTATCTATCATTTAGTACTCAGTCAACGCGAAAATCGCTGAATGACGAAAAACGGATTAAATAAGGCCAAGCAAACGATATTATCGAATTTAACTCACTTCTTTTTTTATTACAATTGCAAAAAAAACATTCGCAAATTTACAGTGAGTTTGATTCGTCAAATTTGAATTACCGCCATAAAAAAAATAATTTGAATAATTGTGGACCATCGCCGTTTTACGAGGTAATTCAAATTTCGATCTAAATTGTTTTTGCGACATTAATAATTTTTCAATATTTTATTTTCGTTTCGAGAGTTTACAAAAATAAAACATAATGCGCCTTTAATTTAGTAGCCTTCACAGGTCTTGCAGCGATCGATTCCGACAGCCTTTCTTTTTAAACAAAAACTGTCTAAGTTTCGAAATAGTGAAAAATTTGTTTAGAATGAAAAAAATTGCATATTTATTTGGAAAAGTTTTTATTGGAAAAATTGTTTTTATGAACTAATCTTTGGAAAAAAAAAGCTACTCGTCATGGAAGGTCCGCCATAAAATTTATTGTCAATTTTTAAAGCATTTAGGGTGTCGCTTATTCATCATTTGAATCGCCACCTTGGGTCTCGTATGGAAGAACGTTTAGGAGCAAGTTTTACATTTTAATCATCATAATGTGAAAAAGCATAACTTTTGAAAATAAATTCAAAAAGAAAAGTGTTAAAAAAAGGACCAATGTTTGATTTGAGCAGTGCGCGAAATTCGAAATTTTCAAATTCGTCCAACCACCACAATAATTATTGGTGTCGTATTATCGGAGTCAAACGAATTGACGAAAATTAAAAAAATTATTGGCAGTGTGCCAATGCGTTTCGAGGCAGCGAGAAGTACGTGAAATTGCGTACCTTGTATTTAATTGTACGCGCATTTAATATTCAGCCAACGATTAATTTAAATCTACACTGATTTCGCTGATTTGAATGCTCCGCCTACTTTCAGTCGTTTGACGCCGACAATACAACTTTGAAAAATTTGAGGAAGAGGTCTTGACGTGAAAACTTTGTAGATTTACGAGCGAAATAATAGGCTTGTTTGAAGCGGGGTTTTCAAAATGAGGGCTCCGTTTTTTTTTTAATTAATTATCCGAAATTTTCGAAAAAAATTATATAAGAACATATTTTGTGTAAAATAATGTATTTATCGTCTCAAATTGCCCACAATTTAGTCGCCAATTACCTCAAAAATTGTAATTTTGCCACCAGACAGCTATCATTTCAAGCATTGTTATGTATTTTTCTTCAATTTCACAACCCAGACAACAACAAATGATGTCGTCGAAAATATTTTCGAAATTCGCAATTAGCTAGCGGCAATATTTTAGAGAAACATTTTTTTGCGCGCGCGCAAACTGATGGGAAAATCAATTCATTTTTTTTTTTGTGTTTGCCGGAATTAGTCATATTCAACGTTTCCGTCATTGTGCTTTTAGAAATTGCTAGATAATCGTACAGTTTGTCGAATTTCATCATAAAATCTGCCCGCTGTGAATCATTTGTAATTTTTTTTCCCGCAATTTCTAAACAGAATTCTTTTTGACGAATTGTCCGTAGATGAAATTTATTGTTGTAGAAAAGTTCCATATTATATCAAGTTTTTCAATGTGAATTCAGCCGATTACGGTAGAAATTCTAATTTTTGAAAATCGAATTCTGTTAGCACTCAAGTCGTTGTAAGACCTTTGAAAAGCTGCTGAGTAGTCAAGGGCATGCACCTTTAAATTTGGTCTTTGATGGAAAGGCCTCTTCCTTGCATTTTGAATTCCATGTCTTCAAATACTCTAAAAAGTTATCAACCAGGGCATTAAAGGCGCATACCCCTTAATAAGGGTATGCACCTTTATGTACTTCTGTTTCACTTTATGAAAGTTGCAAATTTTGAAATATTTTTGATTTTTTATTTACATTATGTCAACTGCTCGAAACCGACAGTTTTTTCTGTCGATTCTCATTCTCATGTTTTCATTTTGTTGAATCATTTCTCAAATATTTCCAATTTTTCGAGTTGTTCATGATAAAATCTATTAAAAATTGCTGATTTCTTTTATTCCCAATTTTCTATTGCACGCCCTTCGATTGTTATCATGCATTTTAGTACACCATCAATGGGAGGAGTGTGTGTGTGTGTATGTGAGACGTACACATAGGCACTCACTCACACACATACACATATACACTCCTCACAAAAACCAGACTCCAATCTTCGCTTGTTTGCATTTCTACTGCCTATCTTGAACATTTCGCCTCGAAACTCTGCGCGCGCGCGACCGATTCCGATTCGGCGCCGCCGTGCTCATCAAAATGTCGTCGGTTGTAGAGAAGAAGCCGCCGTCGGCGAAACGCAAGTATCTGTTCTTGAGGCATCGCGTTCGGACGACGCATATGACGACGAAGGCGTCGCGACGGACTGGCTCCGTGTGCTCGTCGAATGGAGACGTTGTGTGAGTTCCAAATTTTGCTTGGAGGTTGGAATGGAGGAGCATTGTGATTCTCGAGCTAATTTTTGACATGTTTTTTGTAGAACTGAGAAATTGATTAAGCTTAAATGGCCGGCATCAAGGTCTTAAAGGGATGAAATTTTGAATTTAAAGGAGCGCTGGGTGGAGGAGAAGGACGTTCTTAAAAAATTGGGATGTTAGAAAAATGTTTAAGCAAAAATTAAGGAACCGAATTTTTCGAAAAAGTCCTGAGATTTTGGTAGACAAGCCAGCTTTTTCCAAGTTTTCATAATTATTTTCAATTTCTTGCCGCGCTTTCTTCAATTTTTGTTTAAAAATGATCATAAAAATTTTTTTTCGCAATTTTTTGATGATTTTCATGTTTTTAGATGTTCGACGAGTTTCGAAATTTTACCTGAAGCTTGACCACTGAAATTCCTTCCCTACATGGAAGCGGTTATTGTGATTGATTGATATTAGGGCAGCCTTTACTGATAATGGCGACTCCGAAAAAATTTTTTCTGGTAGAATTGAAAAGATCACGTGTATTATTGGTATTCAGATTTGAAATCAAGTGCTATTGAGAACTTTCCGAGAGTTTTCTCGCAATTTTGCAAGCACAAATAAAACACGAATCATAAAAACCAACAACATTTGAACTTTGCTGTTCTCGAACACACAAAATTGTGATTTTGACCTCGAATACCCCAATTTTTTCCCGCAAAAAGTGTTCGATTGTTGACAAAACCCGTCGCGCTGACTCATTTTTGGCAGAAAATTCTAATTGAAATGACAAATTGACTGATAATAGGGAAAAGGTGACGAAAAAATGATGAATCAGGTCCATAAAATGTTTTTTTTTTCAATGGCATTTGATAGGAATATACAGTAACCAAAATTCCAAAAAAGGACAATCTCGGTTTCTTTTGGTTTATTAATAGAATCCAAATTGCGTTGGGGTTGATGTCATATCTTCTTTAAAGTATACTAATAATTAAAAAAAAGAATCCGGTTAAGAGAAAACGTGAAAAAATTAGACCGTCATTTCTTGAAAATGGCGAAGAAATTCGCGTAATTCCCAAACGAATTGCAACAATTTGATTTCGAAATTTTTAGAAGTGCTGAAATTGCCGGATGGCTTAATAAATGGACGAATTATATTCGCGGATATCGGCAGAGGTGGTTCGTTCTCGATTCGAATGCGGTTCTCAGCTATTATCGGTGAGTTGGAGCAATGAAATTGAGCAAAATGTTGCGATTGAGTGGTCCGCAGATGGATATTTATAAAATCTAACCGTTGTCCATTTTTTAAAAAATTTTGTTATCCTTAGCCTCTGAAAAAAATGGTGATTCTTTTTGGTGGGAGTGGTGCTTATTTGGTTTTTTTTTGAAGAACAACGGCCAAGAAGCGTTGGAATTAGCGAAAATGTCAATCGCTATGAGACCTAGTCGCTAAAGCAAAATTGAAATATAATATTCCGAGTTTTTTTACTCTCATGAAAAATTCGTTATTAATACAAAATTCGACTTTTGATTTTTTTTTTGAATAATTTTCCTAGCAATTTTAAACCAAAATATGAAATAGCGAGAATAGTTTTTCAATAAGTCGATTTTTTTCAAAAAATGTGAAATTATTGATATAAATTGAATGATTCTTGGCGAATTTCGAATTTTGTGAAACATTTTTCATTAACAATACGATTTATCATATTTTTCTGTTTTCCACAAAATTAAAAACGCGTCAAGACTTTGGATAACTGGAGGTCAACTAACTTTCCCTTGTCCGAGTATCTAACTCTCATTGAATATGTGAATGCATATAATTAGACATAGATTTGTGTGTGTATCGCAACTGGTTCCGTAATGTTCGTTGTCGGCCACCGATCGCCAACGTCCGATTCGCCTCTGTAAATATGGCATTCGAAAAAAGGCTAAAAAAAAAAACGGAGGGCATTTTTGGTTTTTGTGTCGGCGGGACAAACAAATGGAATGGATTCATAGATTATTTGCATATGTTTCAAAAACCGCCCGTAATCATTCAATTCCCAATGTTATATGTATTTTTTGTCGGTTTTTAATGGTCATGTGTCATCAATGCGCCTTCTTCTTCTTTGTTTTTTTTTATTGTTTTGGGTTTCTCGCAAATTCATTGCTGGCAACCCCCTTTTCCCCTCAATTTTTGTTCCATTCCAGCAATTGTGATGGAATGGAGCTGCGGACAATTTTTGCCGGATCTGCTGCAGAATTTTTTCTATTCTCTCAAATTCCCTTGGAATGTCCTACGATTGCCACTTTTCTTATATTCTTAAACTCCATTTCGAAAAAAAGAGCTGAAACGGAAATTTTGTGTTAATATGCTTCTTTTGTGTCGCATTTTTCATATTTTATGCATTGTTGGGGATGGTCTTACCACGAATTTTTTGTATGTTAAGAATCGAGATCTCAAAGTAGTATTTTTCTTATTATTTTCAAAATATTTATGCAAAAAAAGGCGAAAATTCAGCTATTTGTCAATTATTTTCCGCTTTTTTGACTTTATTCACCCATTAGATAAAAAAAATTTGAGCGAAGGGTTCCATTTTTCCATTCAAGTTTGAATTTCACCGACACACGAACAAACCTGAAATATTCATGCGTTTTTTCGTGTAAACCGTGTGAACGATGCCGATGTTTCTGGAAAATGGACTTTGGTGGCGAAAAAATTTCAAAATTTTCAATTTTTTTTTTTCTGAAAAATATTGAGTAGCTTCTTCCTTTTTTTATCACGAATTGACCCATTTGACGATTAGAAATTCATCTTTTGATCAATCTTAAAAATTGGAGATGAATTGAGCTGAAATTAGAGGTGGAAAATGTAGATTTATTTTATCGCATTTCACCCTAGATTGATTCGGAGGCCTATAAAAACACGAAAAAGATGGTCCCTAAAATTTTAAATTTTGTTCTATAATAGATATTAAATGATTCATATTATTTTTCTCTCTATTCATCTTCATTTATTATACTATTTTTTTACAAGTGAATATTGAGAAATATCCTATTTCCCAATATTTATTATTCATTCCCCGCAGTTTTCATCCACAAATTAGCATCACCACGATATTGAGAAGAAAAAACCAAGGTGTCGGATGCGAATCGAATCAACGATCGAGGCGAGTCGGCGAATCGAATGGAATCGACGATAAGAGGCGGAGACAAACGAGTGTGGCAGACGACTAATCAGCAGTTCGTATCGCCACACATTACGCGATCGACGACGGCGGCGGCAGCGGCGGCGGCAACAACATCGGCGAGACGAAAACGAACGTCGTCGAGAAGCTCGCTGATGGGAACCCTACGCGGACGGCTCCGAAAAGCGCGCAAGCAGATCACGTGGTGCGCGTTTCCGCTGAATCGACGCCAACGCGCCCATAGTTTGGATAGTATTCCCGAAAGCGACGATGTCTATTCATCGGCTATTGATATTCCATATTCGTCGAGCTATGGCTATTTGCAGAAGCTTGAAGCATCGCGGTGAGACCAGAAGCCAGTTTTTTTTTCTCGTTTGCTTCCTTTGTGTCAAATTGATAGCGAAACGTCACTCGTTGACGGTTTTATCGATTTCGGGGGAAAAAATTCGCAACATTTTGCTCATTTGAATATGAGAATGTGGTGTAATACGAGGGCAACGCGCACTTCGTTATCCATCACCACGCGATGCCCATTTTTAATTGATAAGATTGCAGAAATCCGAGCGAGGTTGGCCAAACCTGTCGTGGCAGTGTCAATTTACAAGAAGCGAGGATATTGTCGGACAAGGTGAGATTGCGGCCGCGCTTTTTTTTTTGTCGAGGAAAAAATTTTTTATGTAATTAGACGATGAAGTTAACAACACGTATTCGAAATTTTTTGGGTTTCAAATTAGCTTTTTTTTTAATTTTTTTATCCCCGAAATTCTGAAAATATTGGACTTGAATTTTTAAAAATTTGTATTCTAAAGTTTTTGAAAAAAATGGTTGAAAACCGTTTTTTTTTCCATTTGAACAACAATTTTTTTTTGAAGTTTCTTCAAAAATACTTTGATCGAAACCTTAAAAATTAAGGCAAGTTGGAAAAGCTCGAAAAAAATAGTTTTTTTTTTTTTGAGTTTGCCGCAATTTTGCTCATTCCAGACTACCAACAGTATTGTTATCTCGGCGGCATCGCAGACATTTCACGTTCGCGCCTTGAACGATGCCGATCGCCAAAAATGGGTCTCGACACTCGAATATGCGAGACATAAAGCGATCAGAAGAGCTGAGAGTGGTACAATTGATTTTTGAAACGAAAAAAAAACTTGATTTGATTATTTTTTTTTTCAATGAATGATTCAGAAGAAGACGAAGAAGCTCAAATATGTGCTGCGGACGTTTCGCGGGTCGACGAGATTGCGATTTCGGCGAAAAAAGTTGAGAGCAAGCTGAACGATTTGAAGCGGGCCGCACGAATGCTATGTGAGTGTCCTTTAAACGGTCGCGTCGCACTTTTGTCTTTCTCCTTTTTTGATTTTTAGCTACATTGATTCTTTTTTGTTCTAATCTTATCAGTGAATTGATAAGTTTTAGATGAGCAGGGAGACGAATTGCTCAAAGCGGTCACGGCTGAAGGGCACTTGGATCGCGAGTTGCTTGAGAAGCGCGCGGATTTGATTAAAGTTTGAGCCAAAACATATTCGAGAGATTCCAATTCGTTTTAGATCACAAGCTCGGCGATTCTACAAGCGGCTGAGGAATTTGTCGAACTCTCCGAAAATGGGACCAAGCGGATTAGCAAGATTGCTGAAGTTGAGCATAAGGAGAAGCTGAGGTTACAGGTGAATTTTTTGGATTTTTATATGAGAATTTCGAAAAAGTAAATCGGCCAGCCTACTAATTATGAATGCATTATCTAATTGATGAGTTTCAATTTATCAAAATGGTATATTTTTGTATCCAAAGACAATTTTTATTGAATTTTTTTCGTCAATTTTTGCCGTATGTGCGGACTATTTGCGGGTTTCACAGTTATTTGAATCATATTCCACAAATTGATTGGCAAATTCGGCCGTTCAGGCACCGCGCTTCTTCGGACCCTTTCCTTCGAGACCTTTTTCAGAGCCGTCGGCGATGAGTTGAATCATATATGCTATTGAAATTGATCTTTTTAATTATTTTTGGCTAATTTCAAGTTATAATTAACTCGATAAGACATCAAATTGACGTATTGCAGGAGCAACTTGAAACACTTGCAAAACAACATTCGTCGTTGGAGCGAGCCGCGACTTATCGAGGAGCCGGCGAGCCCGCAACACCATGTAGGTCGAATTTTTGCAAAAAATATAAAGAAAATTGGGGAAATTTTGGCAAAAATTGACGATTTATTTACACTTGAGATATCTCTCCACAAATTGGTTCATTTTTTTTCAAAACTATGCAAAATTGTAATATGAAATTGATTGAAGGCGCATAAAAATCGAATACGTTCTATTTCGAGGATATTTCTTTTTTTGAATTAAATAAAAACAACAGATTTTCGATCGTTTTCACCACTATTTCAGTTCCCTAGAGAATCTCTTGAGGTATTCGTTTTTGTTTTATTCGAGATCCGAAAACTCGCGTAGTTTTGTCACGAAGAAACCATTTGTGGTACTAGGCAACCAAAGAAATTTGAATTGTTTGCGGTTTCAAACAATCTATTTTGCATTTTTAATAATAACTCAAGTCGAGCGACAGCGGAAAATTGACAAAACATTAAGGGTGTGCGCCTTTAATCGATCCTTATGCATAGGCCCGTAAATCTACAAGACCATTGTCATTTTTTTAGTCAATTTTTCGTAGACATTATTATATTTGCCATATTCTTTTTTATATGTTCAAATTATTAATATGGCATGAAAATGCGATTAGAAACGTTGGGATTAATTCCATTTTCCGTTTTTTTTTGTGAGGCCTCCTTTTCTGATTTTCAATAATGATGTTTGCAGTATCTGCGTATAGCGATCAGGAAGACGAATTTCACGATGCCGCTGAAGAATTGTGAGTATTTTTGTTGTTTTGCGTGTGCTGTTGTTATCTTCATCGCGAATCTCTCTTGTATTATTCACATGTGTGCCGACGGTGGCCACCGCCTCTCATCGTCGACATTTCTCCATGATTCTCGATTTGTCGAAATTCGCGCGTTTGAAAAATATGTGATTTGACGATCGGGGGGAGAAATTCGACTTTGTTTTCCTCAAATATTTTAGAACAACGAAATGAATGAAAAAAAGACGAACGAAATTTTTACGTTTTACTTACTAGTAATATTTTTTTTTCAATTTTCTGAATCGAAACAGTTTATTAAGATTTTCTTAGCTTGCTTTATAGTTGGCGTCCGGCGACTGCTGTTCGCGGGTAGATTTACGAGAATGCGTCATTCGAAATGGTCTCGCAAGGACAAACAGGTTATTTCAAATTTTATGGGTCTGTTCGATTAGTTTTTAATCGAATAACGTTGGAAGTCCAAGGAAATGCGAAACTCATTAAGGAAAATTAAGCAGTTAACGTGAAAACAACAAAATAAGCATTCACGCGTGACGAGACCTTTTCAAGGCGCATGAGCGTAAATCTACCCGCCCAGTACAGCAGTCACCGGACGCCGACTATATAAATGTTTAATTTTAATTGCTCAATTGTTCTCTTAAATTTTCGATTATTGAAAACCGAAAAGCTCAAAAATTTGTCTGAAATTGCAGACAATAAATAAAAGCGTCTCGCGCCATGCGTGTCGATTTACGAGTTTGGGGGATATCAACGCATTTTCGGCTTAGCGTTTCATTCATTGTCCGTGTGGAGTACACAGACGGCGTTTGACTTTTGCGAATTTATTTCCACAATACCTACAAAAAGAAAACAAAAAATCAACATTTTAAAATTTCAAATAATTAATAAATCTATTTCGAATCAAATTCACATTAAAATTAATTTTAACAATAAATAGGTTTTTTTTCCAAAAAAAACTTGATTTCTTCAATTAAATTCATGTTTCCTGTGGGAATTTGCAATATATTACAATCGCAGAAAAAAAAAAACGAGCGCCTCGCATAATTGTGGCCCATCGCACTTTTTCGCGGCGGTAGTTCAAATTCGAATTAAAAAAATTGGAATTCGGATACCGTACTCTGAATAACCTGCGAATCAAACTCACCGTAAATCGACATACGATGCCTTTCTTATCAAATTGCCCATTTTTATAGAAATCAGCTCGTAAATATAATTTTCTTTGTTTTTAATTGGCCACCAATAAGATTTCCAAACGTCAAATTCCAGAAATTCGTCGCTTTTTTTTTTCATCGCATTGACATTCTCATTCATTAGAAATTTACCAACAACACCAATTGTTGGCCTTTTTATTTTTCCTTTCAATATGCCCTTCAGACGTCGTTGTAGTACATGCAAGACGTTGATGGGAAACTCGTTTTTTTTTTCTTCTTGTCGCCAGTAGTTTTTGTTGTTATGTCGAGCTGTCTGCGCCCTCTCGCATCGAGACAAACAGGACAAAGTCTCGGACCTTTTTGTTGCTCTTCGGCGCTGATTTGTTTGTTTTTTGGTTTGACTAGGCTTAATTCAATCCGAATTCAATCATCATCCCATTTATTAACACTTACGGTTTCACAGACTTCTTTTAAAGGTGCCTTCTTCGGATTCCATGCTTTCATTCATTTCTTTTTATTACAGCAAAATACCTCGTTTTGGTCATTTTTTTTCTGAATTACACAAAATTGAAAAAAAAAACGCATTAAAATGTTGCGTTTCTTTTTTTTTGCTTTTTGTCAAAAAAACTTGAAAATCAACAAGTATTGTCGTTTTTCTTTCGATGATTTTTATAATTTGTATCCAAATTCCATTTGTTTTTTCTCAAATATTTTAGAAATTTGAAGAAAAATTGATTTTGTCGAGCATTTATCGTTAGCGACTGAATTTCCACTCTTTTTTCCAGCAAATGTTTTCGAACTGACGAGCATTAATCATCTAAAAATATTTCTGCGAAGACGATTTCTTTTTGTGCTTCCGAAAATCATTTTGTCGGCATTCAACTGCTACCAACACCATTTTATTCTCTCTCTCCCTTTTTCCGGATTTTTGCGATTTTCGAAAACATATCTTTTTTTCGTTGAGCGACAAATTTATGATGTAATTTTTTTAATTATTTGAATTTCCGTCTTGGGTCTCGTATAAAAGAAAAACAGATAAAAGTATTTCATTTTTAGTTATTATAATCTGAAAAGCTGTACGCAGATTTCGTTTTCAAAAACTCAAAAAATGGGCGGAGTTTATAGGTCCACAACACTATGAACGAGCGTAATTTTCAAAAAATATGAGTTTTAAGTAATTGCCAAATTTTCGAAGTATGAGAATATTTTGCTCTCAATTTTCAAACTTTTAAAAAAAAAGTCTATCCTTTCGTTTTTTTTTAATAATTTTTCCGATTTCGATTTTCCACTGTTCTTAATTTCAAGCTTTTTGATGGTTTTTGACTGATATCAAGCTGTGTAAACAGTTTTTTGATGTTTACACTTTTTTTTCGAATTCAATATGTAGTCGACTCAAATTCGGGTTTCGAATCGATTTTTTGGGTTCGAAGTCAAACAAGTCGAACATTTCCGGGAAATTTTTGATTAGAAGTTGATTTTTTTTTGAAATTAAAAAAATATTTATTGAGCCACAAATAAATCAAAATACAATTTTTCGAAACTATAAAAAAAATAAATCAAAAAAAAAAATCTGCGGGAAAAAAAATCGAAAAATTTGACGTGTTTTTAATGAAATGTAATGAAACGAATTCCAAAAAAAGACCTTCGCAATCATTTTTTAATTTTACATGTTCTACAGTACCCTTTTCTATTGGTGCAAGATGTCGTCGAATGTTGCGTTCATCGATTTTTCGAACATTTTCCAAAAAAAAAATCGAGAAAAATATTATTTCGAAATTTATTTTTTTTTTGCGCAGCCCTAAATGAAATAGACGATGTAATATAATAATAATAATAACCAAACACGAACGATTATCTAAGCTATTTGAAATAGACGAACCGCGAAATCTTTTGTCTCGCGAGTACGACACTCCAATTACACGCCGCCCTCAATTTAGCGCGGCGAGATCAACCGAGGGCGATTTGCGTTTCGATAAAACGACTTTGTCATGCAATAAAAAAGGTTTTGAAAAATAATACACTTTTTCCAAACCAGACATGTAAAAAAAATTGAGATATTTTTGTAAAAAATAATAAACTCCGTGAATTATGTGTAATTGGATATCCGAAACCAAAAAGATGTCTGCTGTTCATCGCCGCCGAATCGCTGAAGAGTTTTCATAAGGAAAAATTTCAAATTTTCTAAATTTGACGCATTATTAGTGAAGGCATATCTGAGAATTGAGAAAAATAGAATTTTTGGTGATTTGTGGACATTGAAAATTGAAAATTTGAACTTTTTTCTTGCTGGAATCTCATATTGAGAAAAAAAATAAATGAATTACGGTTGACGAAATTGTATCACATGTTGAGGCGGCCAATTTGTTTTTTTCGCCTCTCGTTTTGTCGCCAACTGCCATTTCCTTTTTGTTCATTTCAACTCAATTGGTTTCTTTCCCTCATCTACTATCTATTTTTCATTTTTTTTTGTTTCTCAACGCGAATATTCGTTTTTTAAAAATATTTGTTTCAGATTTGAATGCAATACTAATGTGTCGAGCTCAATGACGACGTCAACTGAACCTCGACCGAATGGCGGCGGAAATGCTTCGTCGTCGTCGTCGTCGTCGTCATCGGCGACGAGCTCATCGGCGACGGCTCTTGAGAAGGTCTCGAAGGGAAGGGTGCGAAGAAGCGCGGTGCCCGAACGACCGAATCTGCCGATCAATTTGTGGTCCATAATGAAGAATTGCATTGGAAAGGTGAGTTTTTTTAATGCGATTTTTTAGATATGAAAATTGTTTTGCAGGAATTGTCGAAGATCCCGATGCCTGTCAATTTCTCGGAGCCGCTTTCTGTCCTTCAGCGAATCACTGAGGATTTGGAGTACGCGCACCTTCTTGAGAAGGCTGCCACCCTGGTAGGAGACGCTTACTTCACAATATTTCCACTTTTGATATTTTTCTTGAAGCCCTCATTGGAGCAGATGTGCTATGTTGCGGCGTATGCGGCTAGTAATTACTCGACAACGTGCCATCGCGTCAACAAGCCGTTCAATCCGCTTCTCGGCGAGACGTATGAATGCGATCGAACCGAGGATTTGGGATGGAAGAGCGTTGCCGAGCAGGTTTCGCATCATCCGCCGGCGGCGGCGCATCACGCCGATGGCAAAGGTTGGGTGATGTATCAGGATTTCACGATGACGTCGCGATTCCGCGGCAAATACTTGTCGGTGATACCGGTGGGATACACGCATGTTCACTTTCCGGGAACACCGAATCACTATTCATATCAGAAGGTGAGGCATTCGACTTGTGATTATAATTATTATTGGCTTCAGATTACCACGACTGTTCACAATATTATTGTGGGAACATTGTGGATTGATAATCATGGCGATATGGTGATCACGAATCATGGGACCAAGGAGAAATGCGTTCTTCGATTCATTCCCCACTCGTATTTTAGTCGGGAAACGCCGCGAAAAGTTGGTTTCTTTCCTCATTTGTTCTCTAGATATACTTTTTTTTTGGTTGCAAATTTTCAGTCATTTTTTAGGTTTACGGAATTGTGCAGAATGCTCAAGGTGTGCCGGTTTTCGTTGTTCAAGGCACGTGGGACAAGTATATTGATATGTACAGGGTTGCGAATTGGAATGGCAACACGGAGAAGCCGAAAGTTGATGTTGATGAAGCTTCTGTGAAGCGGATTTGGACTGTCACCCCGCTGCCGTAAGAATTTTTTTTTTGTTCGGCTATACCAGCGAGACATGAATGGGATTTTAGGAAAGGAGCGGAGAAAATGCACAATTTTACAAAGCTCGCGATTGAGTTGAATGAGATGGAAGATGGAATCGCACCGACGGATTCGAGATTCCGACCCGATCAGCGATTGATGGAGATTGGCGAGTAAGAAGCCGACATTCTTTTTTTTTGGTTCGTGATTTTGACAATGTTTTTTTTTTGTTTCAGCTGGGATGCCGCAAATCAGAAGAAGATTGAGATTGAAGATAAGCAGAGAGCTGTGAGAAGGAGAAGAGAGGCCGAGATGGAAGCGGCGATGAGGAGAGGTAGGCATTGAAATCCGGCCCAGGTGGGGTCCGCAGATGTGTTTTTGGCATTTTAGAGCCCATATTTGTTTTGAGTGCCTTTCGCCGCTTTTTTATGCAGGGGTCAATAAGAAATTGTAAAAATTTCGGCAATTTCTTGGGTCATCTGTGTAAGCGAATCAAATTTTTTTTTGTTTTTAGACCGAATTTGGAATTTAAAACATCTTGCAAATTGCTAAAACTGGTTTGGATTACAATTTTTACTATTTTGGTTTTGAAAAATGAATTTGGGTTGAATATTTGCAAAAAAAAGTTTTTTTTTTTTGTCGGCGTAAAAAGAAAAACTGAAAAAAAAACTTCCATGCGAAAGCCGAAATTTGAAAAAAAAAATTACGAAAACGGATTGATTCTAGGCGAACATTATGAAGAATACCAGCCGAAATGGTTCGTCAAGGTGCAGGATGAGACGAATGGCGCATTGATTCATCATTATAAAGGCGGCTACTGGGAGGCGAAGAAGAAGCAGGATTGGACCGGTTGCCCTGACATTTTCTAGATTCCACAATTATTTTATTTTTAGTTGTCCATTTCACTTGACATTTAATTATTTCCTATTCTATTTGCAAGCTTGTGATGCGGTGATTTTAGTTGAATTAATTGTATTTTTTATTGCTAGTTTTTTTTTTCGTCTTCATCTCGCCTGCGTTCAAAATGCATCGAATGGGTACCGAAGTCTCGTTTATTCCCGTATTTCTTTTTTTTTTTTTTGAATAAGTTTTTCGTTTTGATCGTCCACATGAAATACATACTTCTGTAAATAAATAATTGCCAATTTAATAAAAGTTGATAGAGATTTTAAAAAATGTTTCCAGTAGAGATGGCCGCGGAATTTCGCGTCCAGCTAAAATGAAGGGTGATGTTCAGGCGGAGCGACGTTCGTTGTTCCTTTCGTTTTTTTTTTTTTTGAAAAATGGATGCTGTAAAGAGAAACGGGTCAAATTTTTATGGTCAATTAATTTGAAAGCAAATTGAGCATGGAAAATGTGGTTCAATAAAAAATTTCTGAATTTTTTAATGGATCATTGAAGAAATTTTTGCTTTAAAAACGATATACAATTTATTTTCATGGAATTTCAACAAAAATCGAAGAATTTTCAATATTTCGCTGCGCGAATTCGAAGACAATGGCACGGTATTCACAATTTTGCGAATTAAATTGAAAAAAAAGATTATTAGAAAAAAATAACACGACGAGTTTACCGGGCGGAAAACACTACTCGAATAATTCATTCCTGCAATTATGAAAATGTATTTTTTCAGAAAATTGAAGAAAATTACCTTAATTTTTCGGCTATTCTGAATTATTACGGTCCGTCTCGTAGCCGTCATCGGTCTCGCGAACCTCTCGATATTTCTTCATGATTTTGATCATCAAACTGATTCGTCGGATATCTTTGAGAACGAGACAATCGGCGCGTTGCGTCGCCTCGAACTCGACGAGCATTTCGTTGATTCGATGCTCCTGACTGTCGCGAAACACGAATTGCGGCATCATTTCGGCGATGGTCGAACGGATATTCGCCGAACGGCAGCGTCGAATCGGCGCGACGTCGACGCCATCGGCGGCGAGCTCCATTTGCGCGAAATGCAGCAGAATGAGATGGATCTCGCAGTAGACCTCTTCTTGAAGTGTGAACGTTTGACGAAAATTGGTGAACTTTTCGAAGCAATCGCTGAGCGTCTCGTCGAGACCAACCGCCATGGCGACGATGCGGAGAACGAATGAATTGTTGCGCGCGTGTGTGTGTGTGTGTCTCTCGCTGTGTGCATATGTTTATGGTCCCTCCCGCCAACGACGCTCGCACATTTCTTGGCACATTTACCTTTAATGTAGAAATGGCAAATATATCGAGGTGTCGTGGGATCTTGCGTTTTGTACGCAATGCGGATTACCGTAATCCTCGCAGCGGAAGGACTTTTTTAAAATTTCCTATTTTCAATATTTTCTTAAATTTTTCTAGTGTTTTCTTTCGAAATTATTTATTTAAAATCTGTAAAACTCGAATTTAATTATTTATTTTTTAGAATATGCACTTTTAAATAATTTTTTTGGTAAAAACAGCATAGATTAAAAAAAAAACATTTTTCTGTCGTTAATAAAATTATTTATTAGTGTTTTTCCATTGATACGCGTTTCTACTACCTTCTTTTTGTGTTCTTCAATTCAAAATAATTTTTAGATCGAGAAAAATAGAAAGGTGCATATTCTGCAAAATTAATATTTAAATTCGAGTTCTACAGATTTTAAATAAACAATTTCGAAAGAAAATACGAAAATTGAGCGAAAAAATGAAAATAGGAAATTAAAAAAAAAGTCCCCCGTAAATCGCTGCGAGGATTACGGTAACTCGCATTGCGTACAAAACGCAGGATCCCACGACACCTTGATATATTTGACATTTTTCAACAATACCGACTGTGCTCACCATACTTGCAAATTTCCGGGACGGGGCGTGGCGGGCCAATAAAAAAATTTGCGACCAGCCCCCACTCCGCAACGACACTCCAAGTTTACAGCAAAGCCCTCGTTTAGTGAAAAAAAGAATTTCGTATTACATTATTTGAGTAGAATTAATTGTTCTCGCAACAAAAATTGTTCAGAAGTCCTCAAACAAAATTGATTGAACCAACTTTCACTGTTTTTGTTTCGTTTTCGATTTTTTTAAATAAACCTTTCTTCAAAAAATCTATTAGCGGGTCGGTAGAATTTTCACTCTGACCCGCCCCGCCCCGTTGCAAGTATGGTGCTCACCATGCGGCTATTTGAGATATTATGCTGACATCATTGAGATGCTAATTTTCGGGCAAAAAATGAAATTGCAATGGGCAAAATTTTAAATTTTGTCCTCGCAAAAAATTGGGATATTCGTATTTGCGAAAAAAAAAAATAAAGGCGAACCACAAAGCGCCTATTCAGTAACAGACTATATGAAAATTGAGGCATTATTCTGATATCAAAAAATTTAATCTTTTCAAAAATTAAACGAATCCATGAAATCATTAAAAGAATATAAAAAGTATTTTAAAAGTGTTGTCGACGTCATGCGACTTCGGAAAATTGAGTAAATTCCTGAAAACTTAAAAGAGAGCCCTCGATGTGCGCCTTTAAACTAATCTAATGCTTATGCCTGTAAATCGACACTTAATTTCGCGTTAAGACCTGCGCCACAAATTTGCAAAATACAAGTCGACAATTATTCGAGTGGTCTCATTTGAAAAAATTCGATTATCGGCGAAATTGGAAAAATGCCGAAAATTTAAGGATGTGCGCCTTTAACCTATCCATATCTTATACTACACTTGTAATTTCGCGCCAAGACCTGGCCAAACTTCCGCAGTCGCGCCGCGCCGACACAATTTCACTTTAAAAAATTGTTTGATGGCATTCAAAAATAAAGAAAAACGTTGAAATGCAATTTGAGAAATAAAAACGTTGTCAGATGTGGTTAGTATCAATGTTTTATCAAAAGATAAAAATCTATATTTAAAAAAATATATAGATATTAATATTTGAGGCAAAGCCGGAAATTAATTTCTCAGTCTTTTTCCTCTAGGAAAAGAAAGAACATCAAAACTTGCTCTAAATACCGAAATTGATTTTTTTTGAATGGGGAAGATTGAAAAAAAAATACAAATGGAAATTTTATCGTCGAAATCGAAAAATTGGCCAAATGTCTGAAATGGTCCCCAGACGCGCATATATGGACTCACTAAACAGTGTGGCGTAAATTTCCTCGTAAATCGACACTAATGTTGTGAGACCCAATCTGAAACCGTGTGGAGATTCGATTGGTGATAAGAAGAAGAAAAAACAGAAACGATTTATAAAAATTGAAATTTTCTGGTCCCTTAAGGAACACTTGATTCAAGTGTCGACATTTGCTTCTGAAAATGTTTTTTTCGATGGAAAAAGATTCTCGAAGTTCTACCGATTTCGTTGACGATTTCTCATCTTCAAGTTGTCGACGTAATCTTTAAAAAAATGCGCTCAAGATAAAATAATTCTCGAAAATTTCGACTTGCATTTCATTTCGTCGCATAACAGCTGCCATTCGCAATGAAATGGCGCTTCCTAAAAAGGCGAGAAACGCGAAAAATATCATTAATGATGAGTCGATTAGCAGTATGCGCGGTCGTTGTCGAACAACGAAATCGATGGCTGTCGAATTCCATTGCTCGCGAATGAATTTCAATATGATTCCTTTTCGAAAACTCGACGAATTTCTCACCGGATGTGTACCATTGTTGAAAATATCTGAAAATTAAAATAATGTGAATTTAAACGAGTTTGTTGCAGAGAAAAATACGAAATCTCAAAAATTTTGTCTTTTAAAGTGAATATTAAGCTTCACAATTTGCTCAGATGAGCTAGATTTTCACGAAACCAACAATTTTGGAGGTTTTTTTTGCTAATCACATATCTATGGCCTATTTTATGTGGCCGTGGAATTTCGCAGCCAACACTTCCGCCAATTGGTTTTTTTAATGCAAAAATCTTTGCTTTTACCTTGTTCTTTTCTTTCTCCCTTTGAAATCACCACAATTGTTAATAAAATCACGAAACATTGAATGCAATTCATTTGTTTCAACAATTTTTGAATCTGAAAATGGTCATAAATCGCGTGTCTCTTTTTTTTTTCAACCATTCACCGCTATCTTCGTCATTTCTATTTTTTAATGCTCAGAGAATTTTTCGCGAGTTTGCCCCTTTCTCACCGAGCTCGCCCTTCCAATTCGCCTCAAGGTTACACGGGGCCGAAATGCAAACGCAAGAGATATCATTACGATGCAGCAAAAAAATGGCAAATTTCGGACTACTCCTTTTATGATCGAAATTTGATAATCATTGTTTCGTTTTTAGAAGATTTTCTCCTTACTATTAAAAATAGTATTGTTGAATGTTTGTTTTCAAATAATTTTGAAGCGACGTCAATGTATTGATGAACAGTAGAATTGCGACAATCTCACACATTATACTAGGAGAGAGCAACCGGCACGCGGAGGATGACAAGTGCGAACGCATCCGAAAGGATGACAAGTGCGAACGCATCGGTTGATGAGTCGAGGTGTCGAGAAGAGAATCGGATGTGCGAATCATCGCAGGTACGAGTCAAAACTGGGCGGGAGTGGGCCATATATAAATGGCTCCAGATCAACTCATTCAGTCATTCGGGAGCACAGTTCGTGTGCACACCACCACCATCCCTTTTTTGTTTATTATTTTATTCTCTTCCATTGATGTTGCATATTCCAAGTTATTTCAGAATCATGACCTCATTCGATCTTGTCGACGCTCAATACGATATGCTTTGCGAATCAATTGAGGGACCAAGCCGTCTGACCTTCGAACTCAGTCATTCGGCACAGTACTATGCTCAACTCGTTCATAGAGAACACTCGAAGTTGGATAAAGAGAAGTTGAAGAAGAATTTCACGAAGACGCTGAAACAACTCGCCGACGGTTCGTGGTCCGATTATTTGTGCAAGAGTTTGCTGAATGAGTTTGTCGAATTGGAGCAAGAAATTGATGATTTGATGCCGTCGCAAAAGCTGGTCCGTCGACGACAATTAATCATCGATCTCGTAACCGGAAAAAACAAATCCGGATCGGATTCTGGAATTGATTCGGGTACGAGTTCCGAAGATGAGAAGATGGACGTCGAAATTCAACAATCTCGGTATGTTTGCAATTGATTTTATAAAATATTTGAATGATTTGTCAACTTTAGAACTGATCTCGACGATTCTGATGACATCGATGACTCTGAAGATATATCTGATTCTGGAGAACGCGAGGAATGTGATGATTCTGACGATTCCGATGAATGTGACGAATAAGCAAGGACGTCATCTGCTGACACATATACCAGTTACCGCCGTCGGTTATTCAATTGTTTTTATTTAATTGCTCAATTTTATTTTGTATTTAATGAATTATATGTTTTTTTAATTTAATATAATTTTTAAAAATATATTTTGAATAATTTTATTAACTATTGATTTGATTCGAATAAATAAGTGTCTACTCAAATCCGTGAATTTTTCAACATTTTTAATAACAATGTGATGAAATATTTGAGCTCTGAAATAAAATTGAAAATTAAACTAACTTACAGATTTTTGTAGTATTTCGAAAGCTTTCATAATTTCCCAGAAAAGAAAACTGTAATGATAAATTTGATCGATGGCTGGAAATAAGATTCATTATCCTTGTACACAAACAGTGATATATTCGTGGAATAACAACAATAAACATGATAACGAATATTAAAAAAAAGAAAAGTATAGGAAATTGAAAAAATATTTCCATAAGGCATATTAAGAAATCAATGAATGGAAAAAAAGTAATAATTAAATGCGAGGGATACTGTACACAAGATGTGCAATTCATCGTGAAGTGTTTTCGGATCAGTGGAATCAAAATTCTCCCACATTCCTCTTAATTGTTTTAAACAATTTTCCAGAAAGAAAACCTATTTCAGAAACAAATTTAAGTATATTCAGAATGTTATTCAGAACAATATAAAACGAAACTGGAATTCAATAGAGTCAATATTCAAAAAGGTAAGATATTGTTTACGAATATTTGATTCTAATCATTTTACAGAATAAATGTGAAAAAGAAAACAATGGTTATTGGAAATGAGGCAAATAAAGATTCCCACATTGCTAAACACAATATGGCCTGATAGATGAAAAAATTGACAAGGGTTTCAAGGTCCGTGCACATTTTTTTACAAAAAAATTAGGCCATGAAAGGAATCAGATCTACCGATTTTGATATATTGGCGTTAAAACCCCCCTCTTCTACGTCCTTAAATTCTCATCTATTTTGGATTATTCGATCATTTTTTTTTTCATTATAATCTTACAGTTTTTTTTTCCAGAATGAAAGCAAGTTTCGATTTTATCAACGCTCAATACGACTACATTCGCGAATCAATTGATGGACCAAATCGGTTAGCCTTCGAACTTTGTCATTCGGCACAGTACTATGCGCAGTTCGTTCACAAAGAGCAATCAAAGATTGGCAAAGAGAAGCTAAAGAAGCATTTCGCGAAGATGCTCAAAGAACTGGCACAAGAAAGCAGATTTTGGAAATTGGGATATTGTATGGAGCTGTTGAAAGAGTTCGTCGAGCTAGAAGAGAGCATGGATAATTGCACAGCGTCGGAGAAAATTGTGCGTCGGCGACAACTGATTGTCGATCTCGTTTCGGTTGAGAATATTTACGGAGTCGATTCATTCGCGGAAGGTAAATCAAAGAGTTCGAAATCAGCGAAAAAATCAAGAACGCATTCCGATGACTATAGCGATATAATGGCGGTGAGAACTGTTTTAGTTTGTATAAAAATCACCATGAATTATTTCAGCTAATGTTCAAATTGGAAAATGGTTCTTCTTCAGTTTACTAGGCTTCAAACAATGACATATTTCGGTTAGTTCGATGTTTAATTATTTAAAAGAACTCTATTTTGATCGAATCCACAAGGATGATAATTATTAAAACCCACATCGAGTTGTCATTTTCATCCAATTTTTTCACTTTATTTTTAATTTCGAAGACAGAAGGCCATCTATTTTCGACGTTATAGTCTATGATGTGAATATTATTTTGTTAAATAGCTACTATTTCACCAATTTTGATTTTTTCTTATATTTGTTTCTATTTTATTTATTAGTCGAACTAATTTAAAAATTCTAATTGATCAAAATAAATTTAACAGGAAAGAAATAGCTAGACAAGTTTTTAAAAATAAACAAATCGCACGTATTTTGCTGATCGATTCTGTTTCTCGCCTTATCTATGCAAAAAGGAATTCAATGTGCTGTGTACAATTGACGGAAGCTTTTTCTAGTCAGAACACTGTTTTCGAAAAGAGAATTTATTGAGTAATATTAGAAAAATAATTAAAATTAATTAAATTATATTAAACATTATTGATAGGAAAATAATCAAATCGAACCCAAAATTGAGCAATATTATTATTTAAAAAATTTCGTAGATGATGAGTAAAGCCAGTTGACAGGATACTGAATTGAGAACGGCATGTTGAACATCTGAAAGAAAGAAATTCGATAAATTGGTACTATCGGGACATATATAAAAGGAATAAATTGAAATTGGGACTCACTTTAAATAATCCTGTTCGGATCCTCAATTGACAGCTTCTAGATGAACCTTGTTCGAGAATGGCTGAAAATGAATGATGAATTTAAATAAAATTGGAAATTGATTGACTAACCACAATATCGAATGTTGGAAGGGAATCGAACGATTCCTTCTCCTCTTCCACGTCGATTCCGACTTCTTCCGAAGGATCGTCGTATTCCTCAGAATCGGATAAATCAACATCCGAGACATCGTCGCTGAAAATCTCGAGGAGCCATTCTTTTCGACGATACTCCTTTTCGGCTTCCGAACATTCGTCGATGAGCTGCTCCAGCTCGAGACACTCGCGCATCCGATGGAAATACAGCTCATGCTCGTCGACTTCATATCCCGGCATCTTCTGCTCGATCAACGCCGTCACTTCTTCGCCGCATTCCTCGGCATACATGAGTTGGTGTTGTTCGGATTCGGCCGTGTGCAGATGATGTGCGTAGAGCTGAACAATCTGCAGGATCTGCAGTTCGAGCAAATCGCTGCCTTTCAATGACGAGCAAAGGGTGTCGAACTCTTGGTGAACATCGATTGAATAAACACCCGCCATCTGAAACTTGAATTTTAAGAGTCGAAAGGGACCACAAAGAAAAGTTTGGGTGACTCCGATGAGCCAACAAATGCAGATCCGATCCAGTCCATTTAAGGCCCGCCCATCTTTCCGGACCATTTTTGTCACATTTTGATGAGACTTTCGCACTCATCCTCTTGCTGACATGATGCTTCGCACCTTTTGATGGTCCGCGTGCCCAAACTAGGTCATCCTCCTTCTGGCAACTTCGCTTGGGTGCGAACTGCGACATCGATATTCTCAAAATGTGTGAAACTAGGGAAAATCCGAAAATTTCAATATCCGACAATTTCGCAATCAATCAATGAGAGTCGTAAAGAATTTCAGGTGCCTCGGGAACATATTTGGAGAGAATTTGCTCTATTCTCTATCGAGCCGCTGACAGTAAAGAAATAATATGTAAAATATTTAATACTAGTAGTAGTAAACTGAATAAACTCTCAAGTTGTAGCACATCCTTTTGTAGCACACATCAAGTCATCCAACCCCCCTATTCTTGTATGCATCTCGTCAGCATTTTCTCGATTTTTGTCACTCACAACACCATTTTTGAACTCGATGATCCATCATTCTAATAAACAGATTTTTTGTCATTTTTTTTTCGAAATCACCTCTCGATGACTAATATAATGAAGGCAAATAGTGTCCAGCATAGAGCAATAAACCATTATTCGTTGTGTTTTCATCTCGTTTATGTTTTATCGAGTACTCGCTGTTTTTTCCCCACAGTTTGAATGTAAAATGCACAATTTTCTCTTTAGTATGTATTTTAAAATTAATTTATTCCGACAAAACTTCACTTGAATATCAAACTGTTGGAAAGATTGCATCTCGATGGCCCATTGCTGATTCAGATGGATCAGCTGTATTCTTCAAGACCCAATTGGTTCGGTGGTCACACCATCCGAGGAGAGCAACCGGCACGCGGAGGATGACAAGTGCGAACGCATCCGAAAGGATGACAAGTGCGAACGCATCGGTTGATGAGTCGAGGTGTCGAGAAGAGAATCGGATGTGCGAATCATCGCAGGTACGAGTCGAAACTGGGCGGGAGTGGGCCATATATAAATGGCTCCAGATCGACTCATTCAGTCATTCGGGAGCACAGTTCGTGTGCACACCACCACCATCCCTTTTTGTTTCTTATTTTTATTCTCTTCCATTGATGTTGCATATTCCAAGTCAGAATCCTTTCCAATAGCGCTGTGGGCGGCCACAATTGTCCGCCTATTCGTCTCAAAACTCTGTCTCCTCATTTTCTTGTTCGTCGCTTCTCGACAACGCCAACCATTTTTTATTGATTTTCGATATTTCTTCTTTTTGTTTTTGATTTGGCTATTTCATTTGGCCAAAACTGAAAATTTAATTTTTTTGTTAATCAGAAAATTGATTATTCTTAACCAACCGCCAAAAGCTAGACTCGTTCATTTTTTCAACCTTCTGATTTTCAAATTTTCAGAATCATGGCAGTTGTAAGAATGCTCAACAAGAAGCATCGCCGCGAGCACCACGAAATCAACCGTGACCTGATTCACATGGCGTTCGACTTCAATCATGATGAGAAGATAATATATGAACTCAACAAGGTTGTCCAAAACCATGCGATCGAGGTGATGAGCGGCGATCGCACAGAAGTGCCGACGAATGAGCTCTTCGACAAAATGGAGCAGCTCATTCGCCGATTGCCGCTTGATGTTCGACATCGAGTGTGGAAGAGCTCGAGCATGAATCTGCGATATTTCGTCAAATTCGAGAAGATCATTCGCACACTTCCCGAGCTCATGAAGGACACCGGAAGAAAGGAGCTGATGATGGTGCTTCTGAAGAAGGACTCGAAAATCATCCGCAACTATAACTATAAGGTAACAATTTTTGCCACAGAGAATTATTCGAATTTAATATGTTTCAGGAGTCAGCCGGTGATGACGATGTGACGATGAGCTCGGATGAGTATTTGCAATTCATTGGAGACGTCGAAAAAACGATCAAGGAATCTGTCAGTGAAGACACAGACACCGACACTTCGGTATGAGTGCAATTCTTTTCTGAAATTGATTTCAACGATTTACAGAGCGACGAATGAATTTCACGAATGAAATCCCACTCAACTCACTTAATTGCTCAATTTAATTATTATTTTCAAATGGGTTTTCCGGCGAATTCCTGATCCAATCGAACTTGCTAGAATTGTTGTTTCGATTTGCCAAAATTACAAACAGTCTGGTCAATGCATTTCATGTAAGAATTTCAAATATTTTCGACAAGGGTAATTATTGCCGGTACCGATAATGCTCAAATATATGCCGATTTTAAGAACGAGTATTTATTTACATATTCCCGATTTTTAATTGACATTTGTATTTATTTATATTTATTTTTTAGATTTTTAATTGACATTTGTATTTTATTTATATTTATTTATTATTTTTCGATTTGTTTGTGAAATTATTTCAATAAATTTAAGGAAATTCCTTTCAATTTTTATTCCTTTCAAAAATCCTTTCAATTTTCCCATCCAAATGCGTGTGGCGTCACCGCCAAAATGGTGGCTCAACACCATTCAAATTTGTCGGTTCGAGACAATGGAAATATATGACGACATATCTGGATTTCAAAAATTTGTTTGGAATATTCGAATCTCAATAGGTCCAAAAATCCAAAAAATAAAAGGATTGGAAAAACGAATTGGGGAGTAAAGCTTCAAATCAAAAAATATTCATTTTTTTTAAGTCTTATGAGATTTTCTAAAGTTTATTGAGAAAATTCTAAAACATCTCCATAGATTCTGAAATCTTCTAATAATTTCTAAAGTTGGTTAAGAAAATTCTAAAATATTTTAGAGAAAAGTTACTCAGGTAAATCGAAAAAAAATATTTTGCGATTCATTGAGAAACTAATATAATAATTTAGAATTTGCTCAATAAATTTTCAAAAATCTTAAAAGTCCCTGAAAAAGTATTTTCAAGCCGGTCGAAGCGAATACGGGCCGAAGTCGCCACCAGCGTTTTTTTATTATAATCTCCAATTTTTTGGTGCAGATTTACGGCCATCACCGTTATAGCGATGTGTAATAAGAGATTGTCACAAAGACGTCGATGTCGCGGAAGAATCCCTTGGCTGATAGGCTCAAAGTAGAACTTCCGTGGCCGCGAAAAAAAATATTCCGCCACGGCCACCAATTTTTCTTTCAATTATTTTTTTCCCAGACGGATATCTCGGAAGATGCGGCAAAAATCAAAATCAATTCTCACAAACGCGACAAAAATTATTTGAATACCTCAAAAATATACGAACTGGATCGTCGCCAAACGCTTCTCTCGAATCTCATCTTCTCCACAAGCATGCTAATCTGTTCAATTTTGGCATTTATTGGCTCATATAAATCACTGCTTGCCGCCAAGTCGATTTACAAAATTCGAAATAGTGAACAGGTTCAGAATTTTTCATTTTCAAAAACCAAAAATAATTAAATTTTGGGAAACGATTGCGGAAAATGAACCGACATCAGACGTTCCCAAATTCGAGACCTCGACCGATATTGGAATCGCAACAATCCCTGTTTGATTTTGTTGTTATACTCATTTTTGTTCTTTTTTGTTACATAGTAAAATTGCCCAATTTTTCTACTAAACAATCCAAAAAAAATCAACCCTTTTGGTTTATTGGGATTATTTCAAAACTGAAATTTGGGTAGATATGATTTTATTCATTTGACAAAATATGATGTGCTCAATTCACAAAACTAAATATCATCTTCAACGTTTTCCATTTGTTCGTATTGTTGAAGCTGAAATCAACGCAAATTTTTCAGTCAATCAAAAACAAATGTGATTACCAGATTCTCGGCGCGATTGATCAAATTTTCATTCTGAAAATTGTTTTTTTTTCTCGAATTTTGTCGAAGAACTCTCACGTTTCGCCGTCGTTCCAATTCCTCCCACAAATAATCGCCCGACATCGTCAGAAGCAGCACGTTCATTCGGATTTTGCGGAGAAGCGCCGGCTCATTAGTGTGTTGTTCGGCTAATCGCATGAATAGCCGATAGCTGCGAATGAGCTCGCTGTGATCGAGCACAAACGTCGGATTGAAGTGATTGAGGAAGACGTCGATGTCGCGGAAGCACGCGCGCAACAGCTCCACCGATGATTCCCGATTCTCGATGATGACCTCAACACTGCGATAAATGATCATATTGACGGTGAAGCGGGCGGCGTGCTCCATAGGAAGTCTCAAAAACAGTTCGCGACGCGTTCGTTTGACTTCCTCGTAGATCATCTCAAGATTGCGGTCAGCGTCATCGGCCATCGGGAATCTGAAAATTGCGATGAATTGCAAAAAATCGAATCGAGCGCGAAATCGACAAGCACGGCAACCAATAGATTCCAAAAGACTTCCAAAACTTTTTCGTTTTCTTTGCGAAAAGAAAAAATCCAAAAAAAGTGTGCGATTCACGCCAGCTTAATTTTGAATAAATTTTTCGGGATATTGATAATCGACTTTGATAATTGAAAATTAATCGGATTCGAAAATAATATTCGTTTTCAATTGAAATCGAATATAAATAAATTTTTTTTCGAATTATTTTAAAATTTCAAATTTGAAAATGCCAAATAAATCAATCAATTTCGAAGATTTTTGAAAACTTAATTTTCAAATCGAATTTTCAATTCTTTTTTAATCGAATCAAATTAAATTTTTCTTCGAATTCGATTGATTTTTACCTGAGAAGACGATTCGAAAAAAATATGAAGGTCCTAAGAAAATTGCAGATATTATATTTCTCATTTGGGGCAGTGCATAGAAAAAAAAATTTTTTTCCGCATTAATATTGTATCTTTTTTGTAATTTTCCCTGTCATGATCATTTTGCGGCGAAATTGCAAATTTTCGTTCGGCTACTCATAAACTTTTTTTATATTGGCTGAAATTTACAATAATTGCCAAATGAGCCTTTAAAAATGTGGCAATTTTCAAATTTGATCGCAATGCTAATAATTTTTTTAATCGGAAATTTTGACCGTTAATCGTGTCAGGACCATAACACCTTTTCCAGACATTCCACAATTTTGGAGTAATTTTGATAGAATGGAAAAAAATCATCAGATTTCCGGCAAAATTGGCACTTCATTCTAAATTTGAAGGAAAATTGACCAATTTTTCATTCCAAAAATCACACTTTCTTCACCAAAACTCGTAAAATTGAAAATTCATCGTTTAAAATTTTAATTACGCAGATATGTGAAAACTGAAAGGGGTAATTAACCGTTGCCATCAATCGACTTCTTGTCGAACTCTTTATTACAACGAATTTCACATTGAAAGGGAATATTTAGAATAACCAATTAAAATTTTTCAAAGAATTCTTGAAAGCCGACGAGTCACGTGAATTGAGCATTGAATGCGCTGGTAATTTTTTTGAAAATTTTCTGAAAAATGACATTTTTCTAAATATTTGTGACATAAAAATACCATAGGATCTTCATTTTCAGAACCACGAACAAGTTTCTGAAAAAATTGACGGGTTTACTCGAATTGTCAATTTTTTCCTTACACTGATGTCATAAGTTTGATATGTACAAACTTCCTTCGATTTCTTGATTTCATATTTCTCAGCATCAGATTTGCCAAGGTGCTCTTCGTCTTCAGACGTCGCCAATTCACAATAATAAGTCTCGTCGTCTTCGGATTCCACTAGAATTTGATACGAATCCGACAATTCTTGTCGATCGATTTCTAACTGAACATGGGCGGAGCACAATTTTCGCATTTCTCGAAATTTCTTACATTTTCGATTTCACCACGACAAACTTCCACAAGACTATCATTATGCTCCGATCCAGTACGATCACGACTGCCATTTTTTACCAACTCCTTACAAGGCTTGCGTTTCGGTTTGCCTTTAATCTTAAAAAAATTGTAATTTTGAAAAAAAAAATTTAAATCCCTTACATTCTGCTCAATTTCCGACTCGCCAATTTCTTTAATTGTCATTAGTTTCCGTGCGTCTTTTCTATTTTCCTTATCAACTTGCTCGCAATCCACTTTCTCCGAATCTTTTTTGACGGTACATTTTGGCTGAAAACAGTGAATATTATTAATAAAAGCAGTCGATATGCCTTTCTGCTAGGCTTCGTTCGGTTGTCGGCGCATGGTTCTCGGAATCTAGCCGGAGCTTTTCGCGGTCGCTTAAAATTATTCTCTTTCAGGTTCTTTAGTTGAGTCCTCCATGGTGCAACTGCTATCTCATCGAAATCCGACTCTTCGTCTTGTTCTTCTTCACTTTCAGTTATTTCGTAGTCGGAATCAGAATCGGAGTAGATGAATTGCAGATCGTCATCTTGTATGAAGCACATCATCAATCGACGTCGTTCGGTTTCTCTTTCGGCTGGCGCAAGATTCTCAATCTGACATTCAAGCTCAATGAATTGATTGAGAAAATTGGTGACATCGAGCGTAAGTTCAGGCGTCTCGCTCTTGATGAAAGTCTCCACATCTTCTCGACAATCCTCGATAAGCTCTTTCTTTTCTCCTTCGGAATTTGCTTCATGAATCACTTGAGCATAGGCTTGCAAAATATGATTGACCTCGAATTCAACACGACTCCGTCCTTGTAGAGATGACCACATGCCGTTATATCTTCCTTTGGTCTTTTGAATCTTTTTCATGATTCTGAAATAAATTAATTTTAATTTGGTCTAAAAATAATTAAATGAATATATTTGCCGAATGGCTGCTCAATGTATTGAAAAACTAATTAGCTAGACAAAAAAAAGAGCAATTAATTAAATTATGCGCAAAACGGATGTTAAATATTTTGAATTATCATGAAAACGAAAACATCAAGAAAAAATTAATTTATCGATTAATGCGTTAAAATTTCAAACCTGTAGTTTGGTCAATTTTCCATCATTTCTATCTTCCACTTCATAGCGAATTTTGCAGGTCAAAGAATGATCCTTGAGGGCTGTAAAGATTTTTAATTTCTATTATACTCAAGTTTTTTTAGTTTCAAAAAGAAAATTTACAATATTTTATTAATACAAACAATGTTTTCTGATTTTTACTTTAAAACCATGTAAATTAAAAAGACAGAAATACGAAAAAGTCGGAAACTGACAAATTTTGAAACTACCGTAACGCAGTTAAAGGCACATCCAAAAAGTAAAATCATAACCCTCAAAATTTGAAGCCTGAATTTTAATTCGACACAATTTTCAAATATAAAAGGTACATACTCTTACAAATTTGGGAATCAAAACATTATTCACAATTCCCCAGAGAAAATCTGCAGTATATAACCATGGTATTTCTTTTTCAAAATGAGTCACATTCAAATAATTACATTAATTGAAATCATAATGTTTTGTTGAGCATTTCATTTCGCAATCGATTTTTAAATGGTTTCAATCTGATAGTATGATGTTTATTGTTATTTTTTATGCAATCAAATAAGCAAATCATGGCCTTGGATTGTTATAATTTCTTCAAATTATCATCAAAAAATCTCATATTTACTTATTTAATTTTTTGATTTTTTTCTTTTCAGAAGTGAGTCATACGATTCCAAACAAAAACAATCGCGTCTACCCAAGTCGTCTGACTCTATTCAATAAGATAATACAGATAAGAGGCCGGCAGACGGTTGGTCAAACCGATCCCATACGATACCTGCATTTTGGACGATGTGCCAAAAGTAGGAGGTGATTAGACGACGAGTGCAAGTGTCCAATTGATCAGTCTTGTTGTTTGACCCGTCACTCTCACTAATTTGGTTCTTCTCAATTCGAATTGCCGCCATGGAAGCGATCCTCTCCGAATTGTCGAAAGTCCAAATGCGTCTCGATCGTCTCGCCGACTCGCTTCAGATGGATCAGACGTTGCGATTCCAAACCAACAAAATGCTGTTGTTCTATGCTCGCGGAATGGTCGCCAACGGCAAAACCATTTCGGACTATTTCGCCGAAGTCGTCCGATTCGTGCCGCTCTATCTTCCCGGATTCGCGATGGACGAGCACTTCACGACGAACATGTATCTGTTCTTCGAGCTCGAGACCAACATCGCTTATCACATCGACGAGATCAAGGAGATCCATCGCGCGCGAATCCTGTATCGCGTCACGAAGCGCTATCGAGAGATCGTCGAGCCGGATTCGGGATGCACTTCCGAGGAGGACGACGTGAGACACTTGGAGCCGATGGCCGACCCCATTGAGCATCTAGTCGCCAATGAAGCATTCGAGGTAGCGCATTTGAATCGATGTGCCAACAAATCATCGATTGATTTCAGGAGGAGCCACGTGCTCGATTCGAGCAATTGAATTTGAATGATGAAGCCGACGATGATGACGATGTAAGCTCACTTCTTTTCCTCTTTTCAATATTTTATTTTACTTCTTAGGCGATTGATGTTGTCGAAGTTGACTATGATGCCGATGATGAGCAAGAGTAGAAACAACAATGAGCTCATCCGTACGGTTCAATCAAACCTTGATCTCTTCAAAGTCTATTATTGATTTATATCATTTTTTATCTTTTTCGTTTCAATCAATCCAATCCTGTGAATTTGACATTATTTTGGCAATATGAACCAGTTTTTTTGTCTCAAAATTACGACAATTTCTAGAAGTTGAAGAGCCGTGAAAAAAAGAGACCAACCGGTGTGAAAATCGTGTTCAAAAACTACGGGACCAATGTGCTTAAAAATTGTTGTGTGGCTTTAAGAACCTACAGTAATCCCTATTTTTCTCTTTTTCAATCATTTTCTAATTTCAAGTGGCCAGTTATCCTAATGCTTCGGAGCCATGCTCTGAGTGGTATTTCGTTTTTTTTCTTTTACGAAAAACACAATTTTTGCTTCACTTATTGCTTTATCTGATAGGCAAAACGCGTTTTGGGGGTTAGCTAACGAACAAATGAATCGTCTCCAACAAATCATAGGCTCTCCGGGAACCTTCACAACCGAAAATGTTAGTAAAACAGAAGAAGACAATCGCCTGGATGGGGAAATTTATTTGCGTGACCGATTGCTTGTCGATAATCGAGAAGGGCGTCGGACTTCTATCTGCCGGATCACATTCAATTCCAAGCCCTTCCTTTATGAACGTCCCGCCCTGAGACTGTGTGAAGTGATTCCGATCGTTTGCCAGAAGTTTTCTTAAGCCGGTCCGATACGTCGACAGCGTGATTGGTTTCCTTGTTGACCTGCTCTCGAACAGCCATGACTGCCCTGAAATATCTATGGTCTCCGTTATTCTATCCCTACTCAGCAAAACCCTCCGTGGCTCTCATCAACGCTCCGAACGAGAGGATTGACGTGACCGCCTCCTCCACTGAGCTCGCCGCCTCCGCCAGCCTCCGCCGTTTTTCCAATCCTATTATTTTTTGGGTTTTGCTGGAATCGCAAACAACCTGTTGAGTTTCGAATATTCCAAACAATTTATTGAAATCGAGATATGTCGTCATATATTTCCATTGTCTCGAACCGACAAATTTGAATGGTGTTGAGCCACCATTTTGGCGGTGACGCCACACGCATTTGGATTGAAAAATTGAAAGGATATTAAAATTTATTGAATTAATTTCACAAACAAATCGAAAAATAATAAATAAAAAATAAATATAAATAAATACAAATATCAATTTAAAATCGGGAATATGTAAATAAATACTCGGTCTTAAAATCGGCACATATTTGAGCATTATCGGTACCGGCAATAATTACCCTTGTCGAAAATATTTGAAATTCTTACATGAAATGCATTGACCAGACTGTTTGTAATTTTGCCAAATCGAAACAATAACTCTAGAAAGTTCGATTGGATCAGGAATTCGCCGGAAAACCCATTTGAAAATAATAATTAAATTGAGCAATTAAGTGAGTTGAGTTGGCCAAATTCATTCGTCGCTCTGTAAATCGTTGAAATCAATTTCAGAAAAGAATTGCACTCATACCGAAGTGTCGGTGTCTGTGTCTTCACTGACAGATTCCTTGATGGTTTTTTCGACGTCTCCAATGAATTGCAAATACTCATCCGAGCTCATCGTCACATCGTCATCACCGGCTGACTCCTGAAACATATTAAATTCGAATAATTCTCTCTGACAAAAATTGTTACCTTATAGTTATAGTTGCGGATGATTTTCGAGTCCTTCTTCAGAAGCACCATCATCAGCTCCTTTCTTCCGGTGTCCTTCATGAGCTCGGGAAGTGTGCGAATGATCTTCTCGAATTTGACGAAATATCGCAGATTCATGCTCGAGCTCTTCCACACTCGATGTCGAACATCAAGCGGCAATCGGCGAATGAGCTGCTCCATTTTGTCGAAGAGCTCATTCGTCGGCACTTCTGTGCGATCGCCGCTCATCACCTCGATCGCATGGTTTTGGACAACCTTGTTGAGCTCATATATTATCTTCTCATCATGATTGAAGTCGAACGCCATGTGAATCAGGTCACGGTTGATTTCGTGGTGCTCGCGGCGATGCTTCTTGTTGAGCATTTTTACAACTGGCATGATTCTGGAAATTGGAAAATCAGAAGGTTGAAAAAAAATGAACGAGGCTTTTTGCGGTAAAGAATAATCAATTTTCCGATCGTAAAAATTGAAATTTTCACTTTTGGCCAAATGGAATAGCCAAATCAAAAACAAAAAGAAGAAATATGGAAAATCAATAAAAATGGTTGGCGTTGTCGAGAAGCGACGAACAAGAAAATGAAGAGACAGAGTTTTGAGACGAATAAGCGGACAATTGTGGCCGCTAACAGCGCTATTGGAAAGGATTCTGACTTGGAATATGCAACATCAATGGAAGAGAATAAAAAAAAGAAACAAAAAGGGATGGTGGTGGTGTGCACACGAACTGTGCTCCCGAATGACTGAATGAGTCGATCTGGAGCCATTTATATATGGCCCAGTCCCGCCCATTTTCGACTCGTACCCGCGATGATTCGCACATCCGATTCTCTTCTCGACACCTCGACTCATCAACCGATGCGTTCGCACTTGTCATCCTTTCGGATGCGTTCGCACTTGTCATCCTCCGCGTGCCGGTTGCTCTCCTTGGATGGTGTGATCACCGTGCCAATTGGGTCATTCGAACAGTTTGATATTCAAGTGAAGTTTTGTCGGAATAAATTAATTTAAAAATACATACTAAAGAGAAAATAACGCAATTAATATTCAAACTGTGGGGAAAAAACAGCGAGTACTCGATAAAACATAAACGAGATGAAAACACAACGAAAAATGGTTTATTGCTCTATGCTGGACACTATTTGCCTTCATTATATTACTCATCGAGAGAAGTGATTTCGAAAAAAAAATGACAGAAAGTCGGTTGATTAGAACGATGGATCATCGAGTTCGAAAATGTGCACAATTTGGAAGGTTTCGAAAATGGTGTTGTGAGTGACAAAAATCGGGAAAATGCTGACGAGATGCATACAAGAATAGGGGGGTTGGATGACTTGATGTGTGCTACAACTTGAGAGTTTATTCAGTTTACTATTACTAGTATTAAATGTGTTACATATTGTTTCATTGCTGTCAGCGGCTCGATAGAGAATAGAGCAAATTCTCTCCAAATATGTTCCCGAGCCACCTGAAATTCTTTACGACTCTCATTGATTGATTGCGAAATTGTCGGATATTGAAATTTTCGGATTTTCCCTAGTTTCACACATTTTGAGAATATCGATGTCGCAGTTCGCACCCAAGCGAAGTTGCCAGAGGATGACCTAGTTTGGGCACGCGGACCATCAAAATGTGCGAAGCATCATGTCAGCAAGAGGATGAGTGCGAAAGTCTCATCAAAATGTGACAAAAATGGTCCGGAAAGATGGGCGGGCCTTAAATGGACTGGATCGGATGAGGCTCAGTCTGCATTTGTTGGCTCATCGGAGTCACTCAAACTTTTTTTGTGGTCCCTTTCGACTCTTAAAATTCAAATTTCAGATGGCGGGTGTTTATTCAATCGATGTTCACCAAGAGTTCGACACCCTTTGCTCGTCATTGAAAGGCAGCGATTTGCTCGAACTGCAGATCCTGCAGATTGTTCAGCTCTACGCACATCATCTGCACACGGCTGAATCCGAACAACATCAACTCATGTATGCCGAGGAATGCGGCGAAGAAGTGACGGCGTTGATCGAGCAGAAGATGCCGGGATATGAAGTCGACGAGCATGAGCTGTATTTCTATCGGATGCGCGAGTGTCTCGAGCTGGAGCAGCTCATCGACGAATGTTCTGAAGCCGAAAAGGAGTATCGTCGGAAAGAATGGCTCCTCGAGATTTTCAACGACGATGTCTCGGATGATGATTTATCCGATTCTGAGGAATACGACGATCCTTCGGAAGAAGTCGGAATCGACGTGGAAGAGGAGAAGGAATCATTCGATTCCCTTCCAACATTCGATATTGTGGTTAGTCAATCAATTTCCAATTTTATTTAAATTCATCATTCATTTTCAGCCATTCTCGAACAAGGTTCATCTAGAAGCTGTCAATTGAGGATCCGAACAGGATTATTTAAAGTGAGTCCCAATTTCAATTTATTACTTTTATATATGTCCCGATAGTACCATTTTTTTTAATCGAATTTCTTTCTTTCAGATGTTCAACATGCGGTTCTCAATTCAGTATCCTGTCAACTGGCATTACTCATCATCTACGAAATTTTTTAAATAATAATATTGCTCAATTTTGGGTTCTATTTGATTATTTTCCTATCAATAATGTTTAATATAATTTAATTATTTGTAATTATTTCTCTAATATTAATCAATAAATTCTCTTTTAAAAAACAGTGTTCTGACTAGAAAAAGCTTCCGTCGACACAGCACATCGAATCCCTTCAACTGAGAATTCTACTTGAAATGATAGTTATCTGAATATTATTTTTTAAACTTGTCTAGCTATTTCTTTCCTGTTAAATTTATCTCGATCAAGAATTTTTAAATTAGTTCGACTAATAAATAAAATACAACATAATATGTATAAGAAAAAATCAAAATGAAATAGTAGCTATTTAACAAAGTTATATTCACATCATAGATTATAACGTCAAAAATAGAAGCCTTCTATCGTCGATAATAAGGATAAAGTGAAAAAATTGGATGAAAATTGACAAGTCGATGTGGGTTCTAATAATTATCATCATTGTGAATTCGATCAAAATAGAGTTCGTTTAAATAATTAAACATCGAACTAACCGAAATATGTCATTGTTTGAAGCCTAGTAAACTGAAGAAGAACCATTTTCCAATCTTATTCCTTTCATGGTCTAATTTTTGGCTGCCAAACACAATATGGGACCTTTTATTTGTCTCATTTTCGATCACCATTGATTTCTTTTTTACGTGTTTTTTCTGTAAAATGATAAGAGTCAAATATTCGTAAACCATATCTTACCTTTTTGAATATTTACTCTATTGAATTCCAGTTTCGTTTTATATTGTTCTGAATAACATTCTGAATAGACTTATTTATAGTTTCAAGCGATATAAAAACCCCTTTTTACGCTCAATAATGAGTTATTCATATTGTGTCTAATAAATATATTCTCTACGTTGGCTCATTTACAAGGACACAACAACTGGCGATCAGAATAAACGCACCATGGACGTCAACACAGTCAAACTGATCTTGGCAGAGCAGGCGAAGCAGCACCAGGACTTCGTTCGAGAAATCACCAAACTGCTGATGGAGGGACGACCAGGCACTTCACCAACCGCTCCCGCACAACCAAACACCCAAACAGGGCTTATCGACTCGCTGACGACTCGACTACCGACATTCTCCTTCGACCTGGATGAAGGAACCACATTCGAAATCTGGTATTCACGGTACGAGGACATTCTGCGACTGGATGGATCAACATTGGACGACGGCACCCAAACCAGGATCATCCTATCAAAGCTCAAGACTCTCTCTGGACATTCGAAGTCTGTATTCCGACGCCGATTCGAATTCCTGCATTCGCAATTCACTGGTTCGGATCTTGTTCAATACACTGGCCAAATCAAGAGGAAGTTCGCGCAAGCAGAATGGGCAACGACGACGCCGGAGCAAACCCAGATTCTCGTCTGGATCATGGGTCTCAACGGACCGGAATTCATGGACGTACGCACCCGCGCTTTGCAGCAACTGGAGTCAAGGCCGAGCATCACTTTGGACGAATTGCAAGCGGACGTACTGCGCATTCTTGGAATCAAGGACGACGCGAAACTCCTCAATTCGCCAACAATCAAAGGACCTCACCACGACCACCAGCACATCTTTGCTATGTCGAGAGAGAACCACCACCAACAACGATCAACGACGTCAGGAAGAACCTCGACCCCGAAGGCGAGGACACTCGAACCACGACCAGAACAGCCAACAACGCAGCAGAAGCCACCATCACCATGTAGACATTGTGGAGGACCTCACTGGAATGCTGACTGCAACCGCAACCGAACGGACAGCAGACGAAAACTGAAATCCCGCAGAGAACGCCAAGGATCATGCAGAGGACGTCAAGGAGGACATCTGGGACTCATCTCAGTCAACCACGCATGGATCAATAAGAGCAACCGGATCTTCAAGAACGTGAACATCAATGGAACCGACGTCAAGATGCAATTGGACACTGGCGCCGATATCTCGCTAGTCTCAACGAAGGATTGGATTCGACTTGGGAAACCATCGCTCGAGCCTGCCAACGTCAATCTGAAAGCCGCCAACAACAACAGGATTCACCTCAAAGGACGGTTCAAATGCAAGTTCATCATCAATGGACAACACGGATCCGGATATTGTCATGTAGCCGATACCGCCACACTTCTCGGGCTGGATTGGATCCAGCACATTCCCCGCTCTCTCTTGCTCACGGACGATGCCGCCGCCGACGCACTCTCTCGCCTCATATCGGAACATGCCCGCACTATGGAGGACGAAGATCGAGTCATTGCCGCCGTCGAAGCTGAAGTTATCGCCGATTCGACCGATCATCGACGATCAACACCAGGCCCAGCTGGACCGGATGCCAAATTCCCTGCTGAGAACTTCCTGGGAAGACCAATGCGGACGCCCCTGGCTTTGCTGTTGCCGACAACCACTACAGCGGGACCGCGCAACGAGAAAATGGAATCGCAATTCAACCGTCATCATGGAGCAAGGAACATTGCTTACGAAGGGGGAACCGCTATTTTCGCGAAGGATTTACGATTCTCCAAGCCAACATGGACCGCTGGCACCATCGTCGAACGTACAGGAAAAGTTACATACCGCGTCAAGTGTCAAGGACAACTATGGACTCGCCATGCTAACCAACTCCGACCTAGGAAAGACTGGAACGCGACTGAGACGCTACTGGACCTATATGAAATCCCAATGCCAATCGACATGGATTCGGACTCGGATATCACAACTGCCATTCAGCGGACCCCATCTTCTGTTCTACGTCGTTCAACAAGGATTCTGAAGCCGGTCAGACGACTACAGATCAATCCATCCCGAAACACCTATGTTTCGAACTAGCGAGGGAGATGTTGGAGCCGTGGCCTTGACACGTCACGTGGCACACGTTTCATCGGAGCGATATAAAAACCCCTTTTTACGCTCAATAATCATTTATTCATATTGTGTCTAATAAATAATATTCTCTACGTTGGCTCGTTCACAAGGACACAACAAAATATTTGTCTCATCTATTTAACACGGTGAAAAAAATCGAAGCTTTTTGTGTACAGTATCCCTCGCATTTAATTATTTTCCATTTATTGATTTCATAATATACCTTATTTAAATGTTTAATACAATTTCCTCTTCTTTTTTTTAATATTTGTCTCATCTATTTAACATGGTGAAAAAAAAATCGAAGCCTTTTTCGAAAATCTTCCAAAAGCACTCAATGTTTTTTAAGATCTCGAAATATTTCGCCACATTGTTATTTAAAATGTTGAAAAATTCACAGATTTGAGTAGACACTTATTTATTCGAATCAATTCCATAGTTAATCAACTTATTCAAAATATATTTTACAAAACAAAAATTGAGCAATTAAATAAAACAATTGAATAATCGACGGCGGTGACTGGTATACGTGTCAGCAGATGACGTCCTTGCTTATTCGTCACATTCGTCGCAATCGTCAGAATCATCAGACACATCAGACATATCGGATTCCTCAGACATATCAGATTCGTCAGAATCATCAGACATATCGGATTCGTCAGAATCATCACATTCATCGTATTCGCCAGACTCAGATAAATCGTCAGAGCCATCGATGTCATCAGAATCGTCGAGATCATTTCTAAAATTGACAAATCACTCAAATATTTTATGAAATCAATTGCAAACATACCGAGATTGTTGAATTTCGACGTCCATCTTCTCATCGTCGGAACTCGTACCCGAATCAATTCCAGAATAGGATCCGGAATCGGCTCCTTCGGCCACGATTAATTGCCGCCGACTTGCCAATTTTTGCAATGGTGTCGACCCATCAATTCGTTGCTCAAGTTCGACAAAATCCCTCAGCAAACACAAACAGAGATAATCGTTCCAAGTGGAGCTTCCGTGTGAGAGCTCCTTCAGCTTCCTCGCAAAATCCAGCATTAGATTCTCCTTGGCCGCAGTCGATATTTCGTTTTGAACAAATTGGGCATAGTGCAGAGCTGAATGGCTGAGTTCGAAGGTCAGACGGCTTGGTCCCTCAATTGATTTTTGAAGGAAGTCGTATTGAGCGTCGACAAGATCGAATGAGTTCATGATTCTGAAATAACTTGGAATATGCAACATCAATGGAAGAGAATAAAAATAATAAACAAAAAGGGATGGTGGTGGTGTGCACACGAACTGTGCTCCCGAATGACTGAATGAGTCGATCTGGAGCCATTTATATATGGGCCCACTCCCGCCCATTTTCGACTCGTACCTGCGATGATTCGCACATCCGATTCTCTTCTCGACACCTCGACTCATCAACCGATGCGTTCGCACTTGTCATCCTCCGCGTGCCGGTTGCTCTCTCCTTGGATAATGTGTGAGATTGTCGCAATTCTACTGTTCATCAATACATTCAAATACAGACATTCAACAATACTATTTTCAATAGTAATGAGAAAATCTCCTAAAAACGAAACAATGATTATCAGATTTCGATCATGAAGGTCGTATATAGTTTGCGCAGGCTTCGTTCCTCCACTTGCACCTCCAGGAAATTATATCGGAATATCTATATATTTGTAAAAGTAACCGCATGAATTTTTGGCAGATCTACACTGATTTTGCGAAACTGAATTTCCCGCCATCGCTCATTAGTGTCCAGAAGAACTTTCTCCTGGATTTTCAGCCAATTTTCTGTAATTTGCCAATTTTTGCTACATCGTAATGATATTCACGTAATAAAGAGTTCGACAAGAAGTCGATTGATGGCAACGGTTAATTACCCCTTTCAGTTTTCACATATCTGCGGAATTAAAATTTTAAACGATGGTTTAATTTTACGAGTTTTAGTGAAGAAATTGTGATTTTTGGAATGAAAAATTGATCAATTTTCCTTCAAATTTCGAATGAAGTGCCAATTTTGCCGGTAATCTCATGATTTTTTCCATTCTATCAAAATTACTCCAAAATTGTGGAATGTCTGGAAAAGGTGTTATGGTCCTTGCCACATTTTTAAAGGCTCATTTGACAATTATTGTAAATTTCATTGCCCCAAATGAGAAATATAATATCTACAATTTTCTGAGGACCTTCATATTCTTCCAAATCGTCTTCTCAGGTGAATGAAAATCGAATTCGAAGAAAAATGAAGTATAATTTAATTTGATTCGATTAAAAAAGAATTGAAACTTCGATTTGAAAATTAAGTTTTCAAAAATCTTCGAAATTGATTGATTATTGATTTATTTGTCATTTTCAATTTTGAAATTTTAAAATAATTCGAAAAAAATTTATTTATATTTGATTTCAATTGAAAACGAAATTATTTTCGAATCCGATTAATTTTCAATTACCAAAGTTCAAAATTAAGCTAGCGTGAATCGCACACTTTTTTGGATTTTTTCTTTTCGCAAAGAAAACGAAAAAAGTTTTGGAAGTCTTTTGGAATCTATTGGTTGCCGTGTTTGTCGATTTCGCACAGTGATATTATATTTCTCATTTGGGGCAATGAAATTTACAATAATTGTCAAATGAGCCTTTAAAAATGTGGCAAGGACCATAACACCTTTTCCAGACATTCCACAATTTTGGAGTAATTTTGATAGAATGGAAAAAATCATGAGATTACGTGCCCAAACTAGGTCATCCTCCTTCTGGCAACTTCGCTTGGGTGCGAACTGCGACATCGATATTCTCAAAATGTGCGAATATAGGGAAAATCTGAAAATTTCAATATCCGACAATTTCGCAATCAATCAATGAGAGTCGTAAAGAATTTCAAGTAGCTCGGGAACATATTTGGAGAGAATTTGCTCTATTCTCTATCGAGTAGTAGTAAACTGAATAAACTCTCAAGTTGTAGCACTTTGATTGCCTTTTTTGTTAGGACTCATTTTCCAGTGCTCAAGTAAGCTTCTTCCGAATGGATAATTTTCAAATATTAGTACGGATATTCCTCATTGTTGTTTAATATTTCTCTGCCAATTTTTCACTATTAAAACTGTCTGGCACTCAGTTTCCTCCAAAATGTCTTCATTGTAAGCCTTCCAATTATTCATAGAGCAATAAACCATTTTTCGTTGTGTTTTCATCTCGTTTATGTTTTATCGAGTACTCGCTTTTTTTCCCCACAGTTTGAATGTAAAATGCACAATTTTCTATTCAGTATGTGTTTTAAAATTAATTTATTCCGACAAAACTTCACTTGAATATCAAACTGTTGGAAAGATTGCCTCTCGATGGCCCATTGCTGATTCAGATGGATCAGCTGTATTCTTCAAGACCCAATTGGTTCGGTGGTCACACCATCCGAGGAGAGCAACCGGCACGCGGAGGATGACAAGTGCGAACGCATCCGAAAGGATGACAAGTGCGAACGCATCGGTTGATGAGTCGAGGTGTCGAGAAGAGAATCGGATGTGCGAATCATCGCAGGTACGAGTCGAAAATGTGCGGGAGTGGGCCCATATATAAATGGCTCCAGATCGACTCATTCAGTCATTCGGGAGTACAGTTCGTGTGCACACCACCACCATCCCTTTTTGTTTCTTTTTTTTATTCTTTTCCATTGATGTTGCATATTCCAAGTCAGAATCCTTTCCAATAGCGCTGTGGGCGGCCACAATTGTCCGCCTATTCGTCGAAAAACTCTGTCTCCTCATTTTCTTGTTCGTCGCTTCTCGACAACGCCAACCATTTTTATTGATTTTCGATATTTCTTCTCTTTGTTTTTGATTTGGCTATTCCATTTGGCCAAAAGTGAAAATTTCAATTTTTTACGATCGGAAAATTGATTATTCTTTACCGCAAAAAGCCTCGTTCATTTTTTTTTCAACCTTCTGATCTTCCAATTTCCAGAATCATGCCAGTTGTAAGAATGCTCAACAAGAAGCATCGCCGCGAGCACCACGAAATCAACCGTGACCTGATTCACATGGCGTTCGACTTCAATCATGATGAGAAGATAATATATGAACTCAACAAGGTTGTCCAAAACCATGCGATCGAGGTGATGAGCGGCGATCGCACAGAAGTGCCGACGAATGAGCTCTTCGACAAAATCGAGCAGCTCATTCGCCGATTGCCGCTTGATGTTCGACATCGAGTGTGGAAGAGCTCGAGCATGAATCTGCGATATTTCGTCAAATTCGAGAAGATCATTCGCACACTTCCCGAGCTCATGAAGGACACCGGAAGAAAGGAGCTGATGATGGTGCTTCTGAAGAAGGACTCGAAAATCATCCGAAACTATAACTATAAGGTAACAATTTTTGTCAGAGAGAATTATTCGAATTTAATATGTTTCAGGAGTCAGCCGGTGATGACGATGTGACGATGAGCTCGGATGAGTATTTGCAATTCATTGGAGACGTCGAAAAAACCATCAAGGAATCTGTCAGTGAAGACACAGACACCGACATTTCGGTATGAGTGCACTTCTTTTCTGAAATTGATTTCAACGATTTACAGAGCGACGAATGAATTTGGCCAACTCAACTCACTTAATTGCTCAATTTAATTATTATTTTCAAATGGGTTTTCCGGCGAATTCCTGATCCAATCGAACTTGCTAGAATTGTTGTTTCGATTTGCCAAAATTACAAACAGTCTGGTCAATGCATTTCATGTAAGAATTTCAAATATTTTCGACAAGTGTAATTATTGCCGGTACCGATAATGCTCAAATATGTGCCGATTTTAAGAACGAGTATTTATTTACATATTCCCGATTTCAAATTGACATTCTTATTTATTTATATTTATTTTTATATTTATTATTTTTTGCTTTGTTTGTGAAATTATTTCAATAAATTTCAATATCCTTTCAATTTTATTATTCTTTCAATTTTTCCACCCAAAATCGCGTGGCGTCACCACCAAAATGGTGGCTCAACACCATTCAAATTTGTCGGTTCGAGACAATGGAAATATATGACGACATATCTCCATTTCAATAAATTGTTTGGAATATTCGAATCTCAATAGGTCCAAAAATCCAAAAAATAAAATGATTGGAAAGACGAATTGGGGAGCAAAGTTTCAGACAAATCAGAGAGAGAGAGAGACAATTACTCAGGTAAATTGAAAAAAAAAATATTTTGCGATTCATTGAGAAACTAATATAATAATTTAGAATTTGCTCAATAAATTTTAGAAAATCTTAAGTCTCGCAGCGAATACGGGCCGAACTCGCCACAGGCCATTTTTATTATAATCTCCAATTTTTTGGTGCCGATTTACGGTGGGTGTCATGACCGTTATAGCGATGTGTAATAAGAGTCCTAGATTGTCACAATATGAATTCACTGGCTGATAGGTTTAAAGTAGAACTTCCGTGGCCGCGGAAAAAAATATTCCGCCACGGCCACCAATTTTTCTTTCAATTATTTTTTCCGGACGGATATCACCGAAGATGCAACAACAATCAAATCAATTCTCACAAACGCGACAAAAATTATTTGAATTCCTCAAAAATATACGAACTGGATCGTCGCCTAACATTTACAAATTCGAAATAGTGAACAGGTTCAGAATTTTTCATTTTCAAAACCAAAAAATAAATAAATTTTGGGAAGCTATTGCGGGAAATGGACCGACATCAGACGTTCCCAGATTCGAGACGTCGACCGATATTGGAATCGCAACAATCGCTGTTTGATTTTGTTATTATACAGTGCTCCACATAACTCAGTTTTACCCACCTCAATTCTGTAGAATAACTCGAAAACGCGAATAGCTCCAGAAATGGTTTCAATTAGAAAAAATATGCGCATTTATTATTAGTTTCATGTTACATTCACAAAATTCAAAAAAAAAAAAACAATTTAAAAAATTTCGTCATTTTCACGAAAAAGTGGAAAAAATTTTTCCACAAAATGATATACCCACTTGATAAAAAACTCAGAAAAAGGGATCGAGAGTTAGAATTTGAAAGAAAATTAACTTTTAATAATTAACTGGACCTCCATTGAGTCGTGTTACATCAAAAATTCGACTGTCAATTGATAAATAAAGGTTGTCAAGAAGCTGTTGATCGACAAGCTTCCAGGCTTCCACGATTACCTTTTTGAGATCCGTAGTTGAATGAAAAGACTGGTTGCCATCGTAAATTTTCTTCGTCATAAATCTCCAGACATTTTCGATGGGGTTTATGTCTGGAGATCAGGCTGGCCAGTCGATAACTGGGATTCTACGGCTGCGTATCCACTGAATGGTGCGGCGAGCGCGATGATAAGGGGCTCCATCTTGCATGACTGAGTAATTTTTGTGTCGATTTCGACGCCAAAATGGCAACAGACCACGTCTTATGACGTATCGCTAGTCAGAACCACTTATCTTCGGCGAAACGAAGCACAACTTGACTCTTCCATGCGAGCTGATTGCCGCCCACACCATGACGCCTCCACCTTTGAAGTTTCTACGCAAAAACCGCGGCTTCTCCATTCTCAAATCGTGAAAATAATCACGATAACCATCTGGCCCATCACAATTGAACTGTTTTTCATCAGAAAAGACTATCCGAAGGAAGAAAACAAGTTCAATGAACGTTGCAGTTAGTGTGTACTCCCGGGAGGAAATTTCTCGATAATTTCCCGGGAGTTTAGTTCGTTTTTTAGAAAAATGTGAAAAACTTATATATGTATATATCAATGAAATTGCCAAATTGCCGAAGAGAACGTTCGATCGGCAAATTGCCGGATTTTCATTTCCGGATTTACAAATATACATTTTCGGCAATCTGATGTCAAAAAAAATCGACGAAACAATAAGGAATGTCCATTGAATAATTTGGGATATAGTGAAAAATTGGTATTTATATTTCGAATTATCGTTGAAAACATTTTTAACAGCCGAAATTTTGCCGCACAGCCCTGGTGCACAGTACTCTTGTACAGTACCGCTCTTTTAGGCATGATTCGTGATTACCAAATAATGATTTTAGGCCATTTTTTCAGAAATCCGTAAAAACACATTATTTGGATATTCAATTCAAGTCGGTTTATAAATTTAAATTTATCATTTTAATCAATTTCTTTTAAAAACAGTTGTTGACCTCCTCCCCGGAGATTTAGGTGAAGTCTTCGGGATTTTCTCGGGAATTTTCTACATTTCTACGAAAAAAAAACTGATCGGGAAAATTCCGCAACTCATAATTCCCGGGAGTACACACTGATTGCAGTTATTCTTACTTGTCTCCAGTCAGTTCGTTGATTATTTTTTGCAAACTCCAGCCGTTTTTCACGATGTATTCGAGTCGACATTGGTGATTTTCTCATTTTCCTGTGTTTGATGAAGTTGCTCTTCGATAAAACACGCCGGACGGTTTCATTTGACACCGTGAGATTGAATTCCCTTCGAATCGTTGAGCACGACACGACCGAATTTGACGCTCTTCGCAAAATTTTGCGCTTATCACGATCCGAAAACAGTCAAGGACGACCTGTCGACGTTTTTTTGACCATACGCAGCTGGATTCTTAGCATATCGGCTAGTAACATTATGATTGCGTCCCAGTTCATTCCCAATTTGTCGATAAGAGAGAACTTGAGCCAGCTTTTCTTCAATTTCACCTTTTTTAAAGTCGATGAGCACATTCTTGTGGAGAAGATGAGATTCGATAGAAGCGTTAGGCAACGATCCAGTTCGTTTATTTTTGAGGCATTCAAATAATTTTTGTTGCGTTTGTGAGAATTGATTTGATTGTTGTTGCATCTTCAGAGATATCCGTCTGGAAAAAAAATAATTGAAAGAAAAAGTGGTGACCGTGGCGGAATATTTTTTCCGCGGCCACGGAAGTTCTATTCGCTGCGAACTCGCCCTGCACATCGGCTTGAAAATACTTTTTTCAGAGACTTTTAAGATTTTCAAAAATTTATTGAGCAAATTCTAAATTATTATATTAGTTTCTCAATGAATCGCAAAATATTTTTTTTCGATTTACCTGAGTAATTGTCTCTATAATATTTTAGAATTTTCGTAACCAACTTTAGAAATTATTAGAAGATTTCAGAATCTATTGAAATAATTTAGAATTTTCTCAATCAATTTTAGAAAATCTCATAAGACTTAAAAAAAAATGAATATTTTTTGATTTGAAGCTTTACTCCCCAATTCGTTTTTCCAATCCTTTCATTTTTTGGATTTTTGGACCTATTGAGATTCGAATATTCCAAACAATTTATTGAAATCGAGATATGTCGTCATATATTTCCATTGTCTCGAAACGACAAATTTGAATGATGTTGAGCCACCATTTTGGCGGTGACGCCACACGCATTTGAATGGGAAAATTGAAAGAATAATACAATTGAAAGGATATCAAAATTTATTGAAATAATTTCAAACAAAGCAAAAAAATTAGTAAATATAAAAATAAATATAAATAAATACAAATGTCAATTAAAAATCGGGAATATGTAATTAAATACTCGGTCTTAAAATCGGCACATATTTGAGCATTATCGGTACCGGCAATAATTACCCTTGTCGAAATTATGTGAAATTCTTACATGAAATGCATTGACCAGACTGTTTGTAATTTTGGCAAATCGAAACAACAATTCTAGCAAGTTCGATTGGATCAGGAATTCGCCGGAAAACCCAGTCGGAATTATTTGAAAATAATAATTAAATTGGGCAATTAAGTGAGTTGAGTTGGCCAAATTCATTCGTCACTCTGTAAATCGTTGAAATCAATTTCAGAAAAGAATTGCACTCATACCGAAGTGTCGGTGTCTGTGTCTTCACTGACAGATTCCTTGATCGTTTTTTCGACGTCTCCAATTAATTGCAAATACTCATCCGAGCTCATCGTCACATCGTCATCACCGGCTGACTCCTGAAACATATTAAATTCGAATAATTCTCTCTGACAAAAATTGTTACCTTATAGTTATAGTTGCGGATGATTTTCGAGTCCTTCTTCAGAAGCACCATCATCAGCTCCTTTCTTCCGGTGTCCTTCATGAGCTCGGGAAGTGTGCGAATGATCTTCTCGAATTTGACGAAATATCGCAGATTCATGCTCGAGCTCTTCCACATTCGATGTCGAACATCAAGCGGCAATCGGCGAATGAGCTGCTCGATTTTGTCGAAGAGCTCATTCGTCGGCACTTCTGTGCGATCGCCGCTCATCACCTCGATCGCATGGTTTTGGACAACCTTGTTGAGTTCATATATTATCTTCTCATCATGATTGAAGTCGAACGCCATGTGAATCAGGTCACGGTTGATTTCGTGGTGCTCGCGGCGATGCTTCTTGTTGAGCATTCTTACAACTGGCATGATTCTGAAAATTGGAAAATCAGAAGGTTGAAAAAAAATGAACGAGGCTTTTTGCGGTAAAGAATAATCAGTTTTCCGATCGTTAAAAAAAAATTAAAATTTCACTATTGGCCAAATTGAATAGCCAAATCGAAAACAAAAAGAAGAAATATGGAAAATCAATAAAAATGGTTGGCGTTGTCGAGAAGCGACGAACAAGAAAATGAGGAGACAGAGTTTTTCGACGAATAGGCGGACAATTGTGGCCGCCCACAGCGCTATTGGAAAGGATTCTGACTGTGAGCGAATGAGTCGATCTGGAGCCATTTATATATCCCCCCCCACTCCCGCCCATTTTCGACTCGTACCTGCTATGATTCGCACATCCGATTCTCTTCTCGACACCTCGACCCATCAACCGATGCGTTCGCACTTGTCATCCTTTCGGATGCGTTCACACTTGTCATCCTCCGCGTGCCGGTTGCTCTCCTCGGATGGTGTGATCACCGTATCAATTGGGTCTTGAAGAATGCAGCTGATCCATCTGAATCAGCAATGGGCCATCGAGAGGCAATCTTTCGAACAGTTTGATATTCAAGTGAAGTTTTGTCGGAATAACATAATTCAAAAATACATACTAAAGAGAAAATTGTGCATTTTACATTCAAACTGTGGGGAAAACAGCGAGAACTCGATAAAACATAAACGAGATGAAAACACAACGAAAAATGGTTTATTGCTCTATGCTGGACACTATTTGCCTTCATTATATTAGTCATCGAGAGAAGTGATTTCGAAAAAAAAATGACAGAAAGTCGGTTTATTAGAATGATGGATCATCGAGTTCGAAAATGTGCACAATTTGGAAGGTTTCGAAAATGGTGTTGTGAGCGACAAAAATCGAGAAAATGCTGACGACTTGAATAAATTGAAATGAGTAATTGGAAGGCTTACAATGAAGACACAACTAAGTGTTTTAATGATGAAAAAATCGCAGAGAAATATTGAACATTCGCAGACATTCGGAGATTGAACATCGTTCGGAGGAATATCCGTACTAAAATTTGAAAATTATTCATTCGGAAGAAGCTTGCTTGAGCACTGGAAAATGAGTCCTAACAAAAAAGGCAATCAAAGTGCTACAACTTGAGAGTTTACTCAGTTTACTACTAGTATTAAATATGTTACATATTGTTTCTTTGCTGTCATCAGCTTGATATAGAATAGAGCAAATTCTCTCCAAATATGTTCTCGAGGCACCTGAAATTCTTTACGACTCTCATTGATTGATTGCGAAATTGTCGGATATTAAAATTTTCAGATTTTCCCTAGATTCGCACATTTTGAGAATATCGATGTCGCAGTTCGCACCCAAGCGAAGTTGCCAGAAGGAGGATGACCTAGTTTGGGCACGCGGACCATCAAAAGGTGCGAAGCATCATGTCAGCAAGAGGATGAGTGCGAAAGTCTCATCAAAATGTGACAAAAATGGTCCGGAAAGATGGGCGGGCCTTAAATGGACTGGATCGGATCAGGCTCAGTCTGCATTTGTTGGCTCATCGGAGTCACTCAAGCTTTTCTTTGTAATCCTTTCCGACTCTTAAAATTCAAATTTCAGATGGCGGATGTTTATTCAATCGATGTTCACCAAGAGTTCGACACCCTTTGCTCGTCATTGAAAGGCAGCGATTTGCTCGAACTGCAGATCCTGCAGATTGTTCAGCTCTACGCACATCATCTGCACACGGCCGAATCCGAACAACACCAACTCATGTATGCCGAGGAATGCGGCGAAGAAGTGACGGCGTTGATCGATCAGAAGATGCCTGGATATGAAGTCGACGAGCATGAGCTGTATTTCCACCGGATGCGCGAGTGTCTCGAGCTGGAGCAGCTCATCGACGAATGTCCGGAAGCCGAAAAGGAGTATCGTCGAAAAGAATGGCTCCTCGAGATTTTCAGCGACGATGTCTCGGATGTTGATTTATCCGATTCTGAGGAATACGACGATCCTTCGGAAGAAGTCGGTATCGACGTGGAAGAGGAGAAGGAATCATTCGATTCCCTTCCAACATTCGATATTGTGGTTAGTCAATCAATTTCCAATTTTATTTAAATTCATCATTCATTTTCAGCCATTCTCGGACAAGGTTCATCTAGAAGCTGTCAATTGAGGATCCGAACAGGATTATTTAAAGTGAGTCCCAATTTCAATTTATTCCTATTATATATGTCCCGATAGTACCAATTTATCGAATTTCTTTCTTTCAGATGTTCAACATGCCGTTCTCAATTCAGTATCCTGTCAACTGGCTTTACTCATCATCTACGAAATTTTTTAAATAATAATATTGCTCAATTTTGGGTTCGATTAGATTATTTTCCTATCAATAATGTTTAATATAATTTAATTAATTTTAATTATTTTTCTAATATTACTCAATAAATTCTCTTTTCGAAAACAGTGTTCTGACTAGAAAAAGCTTCCGTCAATTGTACACAGCACATTGAATTCCTTTTTGCATAAATAAGGCGAGAAACAGAATCGATCAGCAAAATACGTGCGATTTGTTTATTTTTAAAAACTTGTCTAGCTATTTCTTTCCTGTTAAATTTATTTTGATCAATTAGAATTTTTAAATTAGTTCGACTAATAAATAAAATAGAAACAAATATAAGAAAAAATCAAAATTGGTGAAATAGTAGCTATTTAACAAAATAATATTCACATCATAGACTATAACGTCGAAAATAGATGGCCTTCTGTCTTCGAAATTAAAAATAAAGTGAAAAAATTGGATGAAAATGACAACTCGATGTGGGTTTTAATAATTATCATCCTTGTGGATTCGATCAAAATAGAGTTCTTTTAAATAATTAAACATCGAACTAACCGAAATTTGTCATTGTTTGAAGCCTAGTAAACTGAAGAAGAACCATTTTCCAATTTGAACATTAGCTGAAATAATTCATGGTGATTTTTATACAAACTAAAACAGTTCTCACCGCCATTATATCGCTATAGTCATCGGAATGCGTTCTTGATTTTTTCGCTGATTTCGAACTCTTTGATTTACCTTCCGCGAATGAATCGACTCCGTAAATATTCTCAACCGAAACGAGATCGACAATCAGTTGTCGCCGACGCACAATTTTCTCCGACGCTGTGCAATTATCCATGCTCTCTTCTAGCTCGACGAACTCTTTCAACAGCTCCATACAATATCCCAATTTCCAAAATCTGCTTTCTTGTGCCAGTTCTTTGAGCATCTTCGCGAAATGCTTCTTCAGTTTCTCTTTGCCCATCTTTGATTGCTCTTTGTGAACGAATTGCGCATAGTACTGTGCCGAATGACAAAGTTCGAAGGCTAACCGATTTGGTCCATCAATTGATTCGCGAATGTAGTCGTATTGAGCGTTGATAAAATCGGAAGTTGCTTTCTTTCTGAAAAAAAACTGTAAGATTATAATAGAAAAAATGATCGAATAATCCGAAATGGATGAGAATTTAAATTTTGCGGGGTTTAACGCCAAAATAACAAAATCGGTAGATCTGATTCCTTTCATGGCCTAATTTTTTTGTAATAACCGCAAAAAATGAGCACGGACCTTGAAACGCTTGTCAATTTTCTCATCTATCAGGCTGCCAAACACAATTTGGGACCCTTTATTTGTCTCATTTTCGATCACCATTGATTTCTTTTTTTACGTTTTTTCTGTAAAATGATTAGAATCAAATATTCGCAAACAATATCTTACCTTTTTGAATATGGACTCTATTGAATTCCAACTTCGTTTTATATTGTTCTGAATAAAATTCTGAATAGACTTAATTATAGTTTCAAAGCAATTATAATGTTTAATATATTAAACGACAAATTTGTTTCTGAAATTAGTTTTCTTTCTGGAAAATTGTATAAAACAATTAAGAGGAATGTGGGAGAATTTTGATTCCACTGATCCGAAAACACTTCACGATGAATTGCACAATTTGTGTACAGTATTCCTCGCATTTAATTATTGTCCATTTATTGATTTCTTAATATACCTTATGGAAATATTTAATACAATTTCCTATACTTTTTTACTTTACTTTTTTTAAATATTCGTTATCACGTTTATTGTTGTTATTCCACAAATACATCACTGCTTGCGTACAAGGATGATGAATCTTATTTCCAGCCATCGATCAAATTTATCATTACAGTTTTCTTTTCTGGGAAATTATATTCTGAAAGCTTTCGAAACACTACAAAAATCTGTAAGTTAGTTTAATTTTCAATTTTATTTCAGAGCTCAAATATTTCGCCACATTGTTATTTACAATGTTGAAAAATTCACAGATTTGAGTAGACACTTATTTATTCGAATCAAATCCATACTTAATCAAATTATTCAAAATATATTTAAAAAAAAATTATATTCAATACAATATAAAAAATACATATAATTCATTATATACAAAATAAAATTGAGCAATTAAATAAAAACAATTGAATAACCGACGGCGGTAACTGGTATATGTTTCAGCAGATGACGTCCTTGTTTATTCGTCACATTCGTCGCAATCGTCAGAATCATCAGACATATCAGATATATCGGATTCCTCAGACATGTCAGATTCATCGTATTCGCCAGACTCAGATAAATCGTCAGAGCCATCGATGTCATCAGAATCGTCGAGATCATTTCTAAAATTGACAAATCACTCAAATATTTTATAAAATAAATCGCAAACATACCGAGATTGTTGAATTTCGACGTCAATCTTCTCATCGTCGGAACTCGTACCCGAATCAATTCCAGAATCCGATCCGGATTTGTTTTTTCCGGTTACGAGATCGATGATTAATTGTCGTCGACGGACCAGCTTTTGCGACGGCATCAAATCATCAATTTCTTGCTCCAACTCGACAAATTCATTCAGCAAACTCTTGCACAAATAATCGGACCACGAACCGTCGGCGAGTTGTTTCAGCGTCTTTGTGAAATTCTTCTTCAGCTTCTCTTTCTCCATCTTCGAGTGTTCTCTATGAACGAGTTGAGCATAGTACTGTGCCGAATGACTGAGTTCGAAGGTCAGACGGCTTGGTCCCTCAATTGATTCGCAAAGCATATCGTATTGAGCGTCGACAAGATCGAATGAGGTCATGATTCTGAAATAACTTGGAATATGCAACATCAATGGAAAAGAATAAAAAAAAGAAACAAAAAGGGATGGTGGTGGTGTGCACACGAACTGTACTCCCGAATGACTGAATGAGTCGATCTGGAGCCATTTATATATGGCCCACTCCCGCCCATTTTCGACTCGTACCTGCGATGATTCGCACATCCGATTCTCTTCTCGACACCTCGACTCATCAACCGATGCGTTCGCACTTGTCATCCTTTCTGATGCGTTCACACTTGTCATCCTCCGCGTGCCGGTTGCTCTCCTTGGATGGTGTGATCACCGTATCAATTGGGTCTTGAAGAATGCAGCTGATCCATCTGAATCAGCAATGGGCCATCGAGAGGCAATCCTTTCAACAGTTTGATATTCAAGTGATGTTTTGTCGGAATAATTTAATTTAAAAATACATACTAAATAGAAATTTATGCATTTTACATTCAAACTGTGACGATCTCGATTTTTATAGTCTTTATTTGCCAAAAAGTAAGAAAATTAGGGACCTACAAATTAAATTAACTTTATAAAATTACAAATATTTTTGCGATTGAAGTAAGTATATTTTCATCGATTCTTCGAGGGATCTTCGCAATTTACAAGAAAATGAACAGCCGAAAAAAAGATATGTAGTGTAAAATGAAAATCGAAAATTCGAATAATCTCCTTGACACATGTCGAATCAAAATGATATGTTATTGGATCGATTATCCTCTATCTCGAATTTTTTGGTTTTTCTAATTTCTCTTTCAATCATTTTGACACACCTTCTGTGAATCCATTCAGCTGTGATCGTTTGTCTGGATAGCCAGTTGTTCTGATCGTTGAGGAGAGTTAATCTGAACTCGAGGCGGCAATTCAAATTCGAATTTAAAATGTTTTCAACGAATAGAGTGAATCAGATCTCAATGAATTATATTGCTAACATTTTTTTAAAAAAAGAAGTCTCGATGTGAGGTGTGCGCCTTTAATCTATTCGTACCCCCGTAAATCTACACACCAAGAGCTCTGACTCTATTCTTCGACATTTAGCCAATTTTTCGGCAATCGTACGGCTTCAAATGACCGATCGGTGGCGGGAAATTCAGTTTTTCAAAAACAGTGTAGATCTGCCAAAAATTTGTTACTTTTACAAATATTTAAACGCAAAGTGCTTCTTGAATGGCTTGACAAGAAGGGTCGTTTTGCATCCAGTTCCAGATTTTAAAAAATATTTTTGAATTACGATCAGTCGTTTGAAACCGACAATACTTCGCTTTTGTATTCCTCATTCCAAAATGATTTTCCGGAGCGCAAGTAGAGGAACGAAAAATGTACTCGGGACTAGAAACTATGCCTAAAACTCTGCGCAAATTTTATACGACTTTCATAATTGAAATTTGACATTAAAAAAAATAACATTGTTAATGTCTGTTTTCAAATATTTTTGAAGCGATGTTAATGTATTGATGAACAGTAGAATTGCGACAATCTCACACATCCTAGAAGAGCAACCGGCACGTGGAGGATGACAAGTGCGAACGCATCCGAAAGGATGACAAGTGCGAACGCATCGGTTGATGAGTCGAGGTGTCGAGAAGAGAATCGGATGTGCGAATCATCGCAGGTACGAGTCGAAAATGGGCGGGAGTGGGCCATATATAAATGGCTCCAGATCGACTCATTCAGTCATTCGGGAGTACAGTTCGTGTGCACACCACCACCATCCCTTTTTGTTTATTATTTTTATTCTCTTCCATTGATGTTGCATATTCCAAGTTATTTCAGAATCATGACCTCATTCGATCTTGTCGACGCTCAATACGATATGCTTTGCGAATCAATTGAGGGACCAAGCCGTCTGACCTTCGAACTCAGTCATTCGGCACAGTACTATGCTCAACTCGTTCATAGAGAACACTCGAAGATGGAGAAAGAGAAGCTGAAGAAGAATTTCACGAAGATGCTGAAACAACTCGCCGACGGTTCGTGGTCCGATTATTTGTGCAAGAGTTTGCTGAATGAGTTTGTCGAGTTGGAGCAAGAAATTGATGATTTGATGCCGTCGCAAAAGCTGGTCCGTCGACGACAATTGATCATCGATCTCGTAACCGGAAAAAACAAATCCGGATCGGATTCTGGAATTGATTCGGGTACGAGTTCCGAAGATGAGAAGATGGACGTCGAAATTCAACAATCTCGGTATGTTTGCGATTTATTTTATAAAATATTTGAGTGATTTGTCAATTTTAGAACTGATCTCGACGATTCTGATGACAACGATGGCTCTGACGATTTATCTGAGTCTGGCGAATACGATGAATGTGATGATTCTGACGAATCTGATTTGTCTGATGATTCTGACGATTCCGATGAATGTGACGAATAAACAAGGACGTCATCTGTTGAAGCATATACCAGTTACCGCCGTCGGTTATTCAATTGTTTTTATTTAATTGCTCAATTTTATTTTGTATTTAATGAATTACTTGTATTTTTTATATTGTATTGAATATAATTTTTTAAAATATATTTTGAATAATTTGATTAACTATTGATTTGATTCGAATAAATAAGTGTCTACTCAAATCCGTGAATTTTTCAACATTTTTAATAACAATGTGATGAAATATTTGAGCTCTGAAATAAAATTGAAAATTAAACTAACTTACAGATTTTTGTAGTATTTCGAAAGCTTTCAGAATATAATTTCCAGAAAAGAAAACTGTAATGATAAATTTGATCGATGGCTGAAAATAAGATTCATTATCCTTGTACACAAGCAGTAATATATTCGTGGAATCACAATAATAAACGTGATAACGAATATAAAAAAAAGTAAAGTATAGGAAATTGCATTAAATAATTCTATAAGGTATATATATTCAATAATTCAAAAAAAGTAATACTTAGAAAAAGTTACTGTACACAAAATTTGCAATTTATCGTGAAGTGTTTTCGGATCAGTGGAATCAAGGTTCTCCCACATTCCTCTTAATTGTTTTAAACAATTTTCCAGAAAGAAAACCTATTTCAGAAACAAATTTGTCGTTTAATATATTAAACATTATAATTGCTTTGAAACTATGAATAAGTGTATTCAGATGGTTTATATTCACGACGATTAATTGAAGCAATAGAGCTGAAATTTTAAAGATATTTCGTTTTTGGTGTAATCTACAGAATTGCGGCAATATAAAACGAAATTGGAAATCAATACAGTAGATACTGTGTTTAGCAATATTGGGCCCCAAATTGACAAGGGTTTCAAGGTCTGTCCACATTTTTTTGAGGTGATTATTTTTGGCGATAAACCCCGCAAAATTTAAATTCTCATTCATTTTGGATTATTCGATCATTTTTTTCGATTATAATCTTACAGTTTTATTTTTTCGATTTTATCAACGCTCAATACGACTACATTCGCGAATCAATTGATGGACCAAATCGGTTAGCCTTCGAACTTTGTCATTCGGCACAGTACTATGCGCAGTTCGTTCATAGAGAACACTCGATTTGTTCACTTTATTTTTATTGTCGAAGACAGAAGGCCATCTATTTTCGACGTTATAATCTATGATGTGAATATTATTTTGTTAAATAGCTTCTATTTCACTCATTTTGATTTTTTTCTTATATTTGTTTGTATTTTATTTATTAGTCGAACTAATTGAAAAATTCTGATTGATCGAAATATATTTAACAGGAAAGAAATAGCTAGACAAGTTAAAAAAAAATAATAATATTCAGATAACTATCATTTCAAGTAGAATTCTCAGTTGAAGGGATTCGATGTGCTGTGTACAATTGACGGAAGCTTTTTCTAGTCAGAACAGTGTTTTTGAAAAGAGAATTTATTGCGTAATATTAGAGAAATAATTACAAATAATTAAATTATATTAAACATTATTGATAAGAAAATAATCAAATCGAACCCAAAATTGAGCAATATTATTATTTAAACAATTTCGTAGATGATGAGTAAAGCCAGTTGACAGGATACTGAATTGAGAACCGCATGTTGAACATCTGAAAGAAAGAAATTCGATAAATTGGTACTATCGTGACATATATAAAAGGAATAAATTGAAATTGGGAACTCACTTTAAATAATCTTGTTCGGATCCTCAATTGACGACTTCTAGATGAACCTTGTTCGAGAATGGCTAAAAATGAATGATGAATTTAAATAAAATTGGAAATTGATTGACTAATCACAATATCGAATGTTGGAAGGGAATCGAACGATTCCTTCTCCTCTTCCACGTCAATTCCGACTTCTTCCGAAGGATCGTCGTATTCTTCAGAATCGGATAAATCATCGTCCGAGACATCGTCGTTCAAAATCTCGAGGAGCCATTCTTTTCGACGATACTCCTTTTCGGCTTCCGAACATTCGCTGATGAGCTGCTCCAGCTCGAGACACTCGCGCATCCGATGGAAATACAGCTCATGCTCGTCGACTTCATATCCCGGCATCTTCTGCTCGATCAACGCCGTCACTTCTTCGCCGCATTCCTCGGCATACATGAGTTGGTGTTGCTCGGATTCGGCCGTGTGCAGATGATGTGCGTAGAGCTGAACAATCTGCAGGATCTGCAGTTCGAGCAAATCGCTGCCTTTCAATGACGAGCAAAGGGTGTCGAACTCTTGGTGAACATCGATTGAATAAACACCCGCCATCTGAAATTTGAATTTTAAGAGTCGAAAGGGACCACAAAAAAAGTTTGAGTGACTCCGATGAGCCAACAAATGCAGACTGAGCCTGATCCGATCCAGTCCATTTAAGGCCCGCCCATCTTTCCGGACCATTTTTGTCACATTTTGATGAGACTTTCGCACTCATCCTCTTGCTGACATGATGCTTCGCACCTTTTGATGGTCCGCGTGCCCAAACTAGGTCATCCTCCTTCTGGCAACTTTGCTTGGGTGCGAACTGCGACATCGATATTCTCAAAATGTGCGAATCTAGGGAAAATCTGAAAATTTCAACATATTTGCAGTTATTTATAGAGAATTTGCTCTATTCTATATCAAGCTGATGACAGCAAAGAAACAATATGTAACATATTTAATACTAGTAGTAAACTGAGTAAACTCTCAAGTTGTTGCACTTTGATTGCCTTTTTTGTTAGGACTCATTTTCCAGTGCTCAAGCAAGCTTCTTCCGAGTGGATAATTTTCAAATATTAGTACGGATATTCCTCATTGTTGTTTAATATTTCTCTGCGATTTTTTACCATTAAAACTGTCTGGCACTTAGTTTCCTTCAAAATGTCTTCATTCTAACAGCTTTTCCAAAGCTTTAAGCTTTCCAATTACTCATTTCAACTTATTCAAGTCGTCAGCATTTTCTCGATTTTTGTCGCTCACAACACCATTTTCGAAACCTTTCAAATTGTACACATTTTTGAACTCGATGATCCATCATTCTAATAAACAGATTTTTTGTCATTTTTTTTTTCGAAATCACCTCTCGATGACTAATATAATGAAGGCAAATAGTGTCCAGCATAGAGCAATAAACCATTTTTCGTTGTGTTTTCATCTCGTTTATGTTTTATCGAGTACTCGCTGTTTTTTCCCCACAGTTTGAATATTAATTGCGTTATTTTCTCTTTAGTATGTATTTTTGAATTAAGTTATTCCGACAAAACTTCACTTGAATATCAAACTGTTGGAAAGATTGCATCTCGATGGCCCATTGCTGATTCAGATGGATCAGCTGCATTCTTCAAGACCCAATTGATACGGTGATCACACCATCCAAGGAGAGCAACCGGCACGCGGAGGATGACAAGTGTGAACGCATCCGAAAGGATGACAAGTGCGAACGCATCGGTTGATGAGTCGAGGTGTCGAGAAGAGAATCGGATGTGCGAATCATCGCAGGTACGAGTCGAAAATGTGCGGGAGTGGGCCCATATATAAATGGCTCCAGATCGACTCATTCAGTCATTCGGGAGCACAGTTCGTGTGCACACCACCACCATCCCTTTTTGTTTATTATTTTTATTCTCTTCCATTGATGTTGCATATTCCAAGTTATTTCAGAATCATGAACTCATTCGATCTTGTCGACGCTCAATACGACTTCCTTCAAAAATCAATTGAGGGACCAAGCCGTCTGACCTTCGAACTCAGCCATTCAGCTCTCCACTATGCCCAATTTGTGCACAACGAAATATCGACGGCGGCCAAGGAGAATCTAATGCTTGATTTTGCGATTAAGCTGAAGGAGCTCTCACACGGAAGCCCCACTTGGAACGATTATCTCTGTTTGTGTTTGCTGAGGGATTTTGTCGAACTTGAGCAACGAATTGATGGGTCGACACCATTGCAAAAATTGGCAAGTCGGCGGCAATTAATCGTCGATATCGTCGCTGAAGAAGCCGATTCCGGATTGTATTCTGGAATTAATTCGGGTACGAGTTCCGACGATGAGAAGATGGACGTCGAAATTCAACAATCTCGGTATGTTTGCGATTTATTTTATAAAATATTTGAATGATTTGTCAATTTTAGAATTGATCTCGACGATTCTGATGACATCGATGGCTCTGACGATTTATCTGAGTCTGGCGAATACGATGAATCTGACATGTCTGAGGAATCCGATATATCTGATATGTCTGATGATTCTGACGATTCCGATGAATGTGACGAATAAGCAAAGACGTCATCTGCTGACACGTATACCAGTCACCGCCGTCGATTATTCAATTGTTTTATTTAATTGCTCAATTTTATTTTGTATTGAATATAATTTTTTAAATATATTTTGAATAATTTGATTAACTATGGAATTGATTCGAATAAATAAGTGTCTACTCAAATCCGTCAATTTTTTAACATTTTAAAACAATGTGGCGAAATATTTCGAGATCTCAAAAATCATTGAGTGCTTTTGGAAGATTTTCGAAGAAGGCTTCGAATTTCCTTGGGTGAATCGAATTGTGAGGTTTTTCAGAATAAACCTCTGTATTTGGGACAAAGTCGAATTTTAAATATTGTTTTTTTTGGCTCCCATATCATACCAATTTTGGATTCATGTAATTATTTTCATTTGGTGAAGTGTCTGAAATCCATTCTAGAACACCTAATTCAATTTGGAACCCTCGAACTTGATCATCAGGTATCCATTACTAGTAGAAATTTGCCATAAAAAAGTATATTCAGGTTTATTACTTTATTTAATTAAAACGGCCAATTTGATCTATAATTGGGGACGCAAATATTCCATTTTTCTTTTATCAACTTCTATATTTTTTATTTTCCATTATTTTCTTATTAATTATTTTCAAATTGGTGGCGATTCAGAGAGAAAATGCCAGCGGCCAGGACGATATCGAAACGGAAGCGACGCGATCATCACGAGGCGAGTCGCAGTCTGATCAACTTGGCGTCGACATTCAGCGACGACGAGAAGGTGATGTATCGCATCAACAAGACGCTTCAGAATCATGCGAGAAAAGTGGCGAAGTGCAAACGAGACGGCGTCGATTGGTCGGTGGAGGACTGCGTTCACAAGATGGAGCGCCTCATCCGCAAGCTTCCGCAGAAGACGCGACGTCAAGCGTGGAGGAACGCCGGACCGAATCTGCAAATGTTCTACAAATTAGAGAAAATTGTTGCCAATTGCGAGGAGCTTGAGAAAGACACCAGAAGGAAGCGAATAATTACGGCGATCATGAAAAAGGAGAGGAAACGGTGCGGAAAGGCAAAGGTTTTATTTTGATTCGTTTTGAATATTCAAATTCAATAATTTTCAGGATGTTTCTGATAGTGAAGATGAAGAGGAAACACTTACGAGGCTAGGGATTATTGGGAATCGAGGCGATGAAGGCTCCGAACTGGAGATCGAGGTTCCCAGCTTGACCGAATCGGAGGATAGCACTGAAGAAAGCGAGTCGTCCGAAGAGCAAATCAAGAGCGAGGTAAGAAATGAAATTCGTTTTTGGAATGCTTTAATTTGAATTATTACAGAGTGAAAAATGATTTCCGCCTTCAATTATCAATCTTGTTAAATAATGTGAATTTAATTATTTGTATTAACTAATTATTGGTCGGATAATTAGCTACAAGCTCGTTTCTCATTAAATATGTATCAAATAAAACGAGAAATTGCAATAGAATTTGGTTTTCGTCTGAAGGAGAATGTGAATCTCTTTGATATTGTAATATGGTACTATAAAGATTTGACAAAAATCGGTTAAAATAAATCCTATGGAGATGGCCGAAAAAAACTCTGCCGCGGCCATATTTTTTCGATGTCTACAGTATCACCGTTTTCTTTTAAATCGCTGCAAGACTCATTAAATTTCATGCGCCTTTAACCCGTAACGATTTTATTTTTATTACAGTCGCAAAAAAAAGGAGCGCTATTCCATAATTGGGGACCATCAGGGTTGTCAAAACGGGCCCAGGGGCGGGCCGGGGACCCTGATTTTTAACCTTAACAAGAGAAATTTTATTTTAAACATCTGCGAACATTTTTCAGGTAGTTATTATTGCATTATTATTTTATTTTTCGAATACAAACAGACAGATGTATTGTTTGAAATTGTCATGTTCTTCTATTACCATTACATTCCATACCGCGTTATTTTTTAGTTTTTTTTTTCTTAAATTAATTTCATTAAAAAGTTTATTCTAGTATTAATAATTTTTCCAATACGACGTTAGATTCCATTATCAGTTTCTTCACTACTTCTTTATAAAATGTCCTATGGTTTGTAGAATTTCTTGATTTCGGCGTCAACGGTGTATTCATATGAAAATTATTTTATTTCATTGAAATTTAATCGCTAATTGCATGAAAAAAATTGCAAAGCATCAATAGAATGAGAGAAAAACGACTAGAAACGACGCTCCGCGTTTACGTTGCTTATTGTTTAGTGTAATTAGCGTTGGCGGCAATTCAAACCGGACCCGTAGGGCCCCCGGCCCGGCCCTGTTTTTTTGACAACCCTGGGGACCATAGCACTTTTTTGAGACGGTAGTTCAAATTCGACGCAGGATGCTTGTTTTTTATGCGATTGATATTTCTATTTTAAATAATTTTGATACACGCAGAAGGAAACAAAATTATAGGTGTTTCGGTGCACTCCGAGGATGTTTGAAATCACCTTCATCAATGTTCCCCATTTTTTCAAGTCGATGATTGTAGCGCGATGGATTGAACCAGCTGTTATTCTCGTCATACCAATCGGATTTTCACGAAACTTTCAGAAAATGATTAAAAGTTCATAGAAAATAAAATAAACAAATAAAAATGTGCAAAAAATGATGAAGAGGAGTATGAGCTGGCGTTTAATTCGGGAAGAAGTAATTTTGCCTCACAATGTATATTAAGTAATTCAATTGTGGCGATCCCTCTCATAGGGTTAATGAAAATTTGAATTGGCTGCTCGAAAATAGAAATGATGGTCCACAATTGCTCAAAGCGATTTTTTTCCTTGACTCGCGACGGCCGAAAATTGTCTGAATGCTAAAAAAATTTAAGCAAAGGTCTCGATGCGCAGTGTGTCGTGAACGACCAAATTCATCAACAATGCCGTTATTTACCATTACAGTTCCTAGCCACAGCCGCTAATATTAAATATGAATCATCATCCACACCTTAAAGTCATCACGCTAACCATTACTAAATTGTTACAGTCTCCATACCATTATTAAAATAATCATCGCCCACACATTCTAAAGCAACAACATTAACATTATTAAAAATGTCTCTCATTTATAACGTTCCCTGTCCTCTATCACCATTATCAATCTTCACACCCACACATCGACCCGCCCACTTCACACTCACCGGGAGCCATATAAGAGCGACAAGAGAACAACCAAAATCGTTGCCTTTACCCTTTTTGAATTATGATTTATCTTTATATTCGTATATAAATAAAGGTTTAATTACCCAAGTTTGAGGTGCACACACACACGCTCATACACAGTGTGTTCCTTTAACCTGTCAAAGGAACTACTATTCATGGAATGTAGTTTTTTTTACAAAAAAAATCTTTTTTTTTCCAATGCAGGGTTGCAAAAAATGCACATTTAATGAAATTTTTGAATTTTTTTTTTGAAAAAATTGTATTTTATGAATAGGCTCATAAAAATGGTTATGGACCAAACAATTTTCCTCGAGAAATCCAAAAACAGCAAAATTCAATCATTATTAAATGTCACGCGTGTAGATTTACCAACTTCTTCAAGCGCATGACTCTCTGAGATATGAGGCCGCCGAAAAGTGCTATTCCCGAACATTATTGATAATGGGACCACTAGGCCTGAAAACTAGAAATAATGCATATATCTAAAACCAAACGCCTAATCACATAATAAATATGTCGTGGCTATTTTGAACATGCACGTTGTCAAGTAGTCGAGCCGATAATGGACATATTCGTAGGCTAGAATCGATGAAATTGCAGTTGTTGCCTGAAATTTGTGAGAATCGTGAAATCAATATACAGTACCGCAGAAAAAGATACGAAATAATTAATTTTCTTCATAACTTTTGAACGAGTGGTCCAATTGGGGTAAAATTTTTAGCACTTATTTTTTATACATTTAAATGTTTGAAAGCACGTTCATATTATGGAAATTAATATTTTTCAAGTATAAATCGCAAAAAATCGAATTTTCAAAAAATCATGAAAATCGGCGAATAAATTCAAATGACTGTAGAAACAAAATTAGATCGTCAAACCCCAAATAACTTTTTTTCAAGGTTTAATAGACCTAATACTTAGTCGCCATACCATTTGCTTCAATAGAAGCATAACATCTTTCAGGCATGAAAGGTACTAATTGGTTTAGGGTCGCAGCCGGCAGGGCATGTCAAGCTTGCTCTAACTGTGAGAATTTTTCACTACAATTTTGAACAGTTTTTCCATTTAAACAACATTCGAACCCTTCTCAATGGTGTTCGATATGATTTGGGTCGGGAGATTGGCTCGGCCAGGTCATAGAGTTCATCCGAAGCTGCGCGATCCAATTCCTGACCGAGTGTGATAAGCGTTTTGGATCGTTGTCCTGTTGAAAAATCCAACCAGGCCCAAGTTTCGAACGTCCAAATGGTAGCATATGGTCATCTCTGATGAATTTGTACAAATTCTTGTTCATAATACCTTCTATTCAGCGCAGAGGACCAACGCTGATAGAGGAAAAACATCCCCATCCAGTACAGTTCCACCCCAATGCTTAACAGGTGGAACATGGTACTAGGGATGAAATATTTTTCCTGATCGATGTTGTACATGAGTTTTACCACCAGTTTCAACCATCATATACTTTGATTCGTCACTTCATAGGATGTTGGACCACTGTTACATTGTCCAGCTGAGATGATCCTTTACCTCGTGCCTTCTTATTTTTGCCGAGATCATCGGTTTTTTCACCAGACGACGACCAAATAATCCATCATGGCGGGGCGACTTCTAACAGTCTCATTGCAAACCTATATCGGTTGTATCGGTCCAATTACCGAAAATAGTGGTCACAACCCCATAATGCTGCATAAGTCATCTGGTGATGTCGGTACTTGCCAGCCTCGGATTTTTTCTTCTCATCCTAATAATGACGCAACCAATAGCTTGAGATGTTTTGGTGGTCTTCCTATTGGTTTTGATCGGTTTTGAGTATTATTTGAAGCCAAGATGATCGAAATACTCGTTGCGAACTGTTTGGCCAGACCGAAAATCGACACCCCACATTCTCGGCCTCTATTAATCGCAATGCGACCAGCTTTAGATAATGTCTTAGACCCTTTTGGTAGACTCATCGTTAAAAATAACCAATATGATCACAAAGTATTGAAAACTAAAAAAAATATTGAAAAAATATAGGAAAACTAAAACTTTTCGATTTTTCCATTTTTGCAGATTTCAAGAAAATGTCCGCTAGCACGTATTTTTGCGAACTAGTGTAATTCACTTTACAATTTGTTTTAAAATTGTGTTTTTTACTTTCACTAAAAATTTCACCCCGATCGGACCACTCGTTCAAAAGTTATGAAGAAAATTAATTATTTCGTATCTTTTTCTGCGGTACTGTATATAATTAATGCAAGAAGCAGAAAAACAGGGATTTTGGGCCTACGACAATCAACTCAACAATTTAGTGTAAATGCGCGTCAGCCCTAGTGTGTGTGTATGCACCGTGATGTGTACAGTAACCGCAGGATTTAAATAGCTGAGATTAAGCAGCTGTCCCTTTTCTGCTCGTTGCAACACCTACTAATTGATAAACTGCTATAGGAAACGCCTGTTTCAGAATTCTTTGATCGTTTGCTGTCATTTTGCGGACTTTGACTGAACGAAGTTTCGCAAAAATCGCGAGATAGCCGCAAAATGTGGCAATTGAAATCGCGATTTTTTGAAATAAATCGACATAATTGCAATATTTCTAGAATTGATTTAGCCGATCCGCGGCGAAATCCGTTTCGTATTGATAGGATCGATAACTGAGCTCATAAATCGCCGGGCACAATAGGATAAATATCGATGGTCCCATCCAGCGGATCTTTTCGTTGAGCACCTTCGAGTCGGTGAAGAACACCGACACTCGATGAGCGCACAATAGGAAATCGAGAATTGTTAGTAGCGACGGATAGCAGAAGCAGATGAGGCTTAGATCGACGGAAATATCGGATTCGGGGAGAAATATGATGCTAATGATCAGGGCTCCCGAGCACAAAACGAATAAAATATTGGTGAGAATGATAAGGAGAAGAAGCGTGAAATAGACCAACTGAAATGCCGAAATTTTATTATTGTGAATTTCAAAACTTGGCAGTTTCGCCGCGAGACCCCCATCTTCCTTTAATCAATTTTTTGAAATTTCCTAATATTGTGAGCGCGGTTGTGTGCTACACACGGACAACACAACGCTATATCGTTAATCGACACGCATTGTCAAAATGTGACAAATTGATTAAACGTTGGTCTCGAGACGATGAGACGCGTGCTGTGTACTCCACACGGACAACGCCCTTCCACTTTGGATATGGCGAAAATATCTGCGGATTGAAATCGACATTTTTGCTGCGAGACCCAACTCAACTCTCGGCGGAGTCAAACGACTGAATAATAAACTCTCAGCGATTCGAAAAGAACGGACCGTGGTTGATTTTGGTTTAAAAGCGGGGTTACACAGGGGGGGGGGTTCCCAAAAACTATTTTACCTTACGAGTACGACACTCCAATTACACATCGCCCTCAGTTTAGCGTGTCGGGCTAAACCGTGGGCGACTATTGTATTGGTCGAGTCCAATGTGTCCTAGTTCGTCCCGATCGAATCGCTGAGCTTCTCTATAATCCGTGTCGAATGACGGGGATCTTGAACTAGGGGGGTCGGGCAGCAAATTGCCTTGGAAATTCCAAAAAGAAAAGGAAAATGTAAACTGTCTTAGCGAAAGAAAAGCATGTGAATTGTCGTCAAATAAAATGCACAAGTCCGCAACGTCATTTTCAATTTTATTCAATTTTAAGCGAAGATCAGCCATTTTAAATTTACCTTGTAATTATTTTTGAATGTTTTGAATGTTAGAACAACGAGCCGACAATTGACATAGATTGCGAACGAGAAAGCACCAATAATTAAATAAAGAAGAAAACTGAATAAATCGATTTTCGATGGCTCTGATGTCATTTTTCGATTGAAAATAATGAATACCTCGACTCGGTTATTTGGATTGAGATATTCGAAAACCAGCTGCTTTCAACCTTTTCCTTTTTGAGTAGTCATGGAAACAAGAAACGAATGGCAATTATCTAAAAATCGATGTAAATGTCAGGCAATTAATTATTTAACTCTAAAATTTGAATAAATCAAAATTCAAGTAATAAATTATTACTAATAATTATTACTAATAATCCGAATAAAATTAATTGTTCGATTTCGGAAATATTATATATCGTGAATTCCAATTTTCAAATGGACGATTTTATGAAATCTCTTCAATTTTTCAAAATTTCTGATCGGAATTCAACGAAGCGATTTTTTTAAAAATTTCTTCTAAAAAGGAGAAAATAAATCAAATATTATTTTCGTATATAGTGTTTTTAAAAGAAATCAGCGAAATATTCTAAAAAAAACCTCATTAAAAAATTCGAAATAATGGCGGAATATACCATGGCCGAAAAATCCGCGGCCGCGGATGGCGGCCACCCGATAATTCGACTGTCCGAATGGAAACATTAATCACTTTTACGACAATTTTATGCATCCTAGAATATTAAAATACAATTTTCGAATTAAAGGAGTCCAATTAGTAGACATTCATGCATGCGATTTTTCAGAATTCGAGAAAAACCACACGACGTACTGTAATTCGCAATTCGGATCTCACAAACTTCATCAATTGTCGAAACGTTCTTGATTTTGTGCAGTTTCCGTCATGTTCATTTCATTAGTCGCTGAATAGTTCGAAATTTTCGCATTCTGAATCGAATTCCCATCGAAACACATATTCCAGAACGGCATTTTCTGGCGTCGGGTGCTATTGCCGAGAACTATCGAGATTGGTATTACAATGCCTTAATATGGATATTTAATATCACCGTTTTTTTTGAGGAAAGCATTAGAATTTACATAAAAGCTGCGCCGAAATGAATTTAATCAAACAGATTGCGCCAAATTCTTTCATATTTCTATGAGAAACCAAGTGAACGATGATGGTTGTAACCACGGCGGTCTGGAAATGCGAGAAGCTTAAACGCTGAAGCTGAAATTGTACCAATTGAAAGCAGGCGATTGGAAAAGCTTGCTTGATGATTGTATAATCAACCGCTCGTTTCATCCGCTTCCGATGAGTTCTCAATTTGGCGAAAATGAGAAAATAGCCGAGAAATGTGGCAAAGCTGAGCAGAAATTTGAGAATAATGTCTGAATAGTGCGCCACGTTCGCATAGATCATCGCCTTCGCATCGCCCTTCATAATGGTGTGCATGCCGACGAACAACAGACACCCAATGGTGATCACGAGAACGACGGGAAGCGACAAGCAGAACATCAATGGTCCGTACCAGCGGATCTTTTCGTTCCAGAAGTCCGACTCCCAGAAAATTACGGCGACGCGATGAACACATAGAATGAAATCGAGGATTGAGATGAGAATGGGATAGGCCGTAGCCATCATAAGAATTTGCGGTAAGACGAACGCGAACTCGATGCGTACTATTATATCAATGGCACTGATTGTAGTCATTATAACGAAAAGCATATCGAAGAGCATGATAAGAAAGAGCAATGGATAGTAGGGATGCTGAAATCCATTTTCAGCGCATGCATTCTGGAATCCAATCTTACCGTGTATTCCAATCGGATTGTTCGAAAAATCATGATGATTAGACAAATATTGACATAAATTGCAATTATTTGAAGAAATAAAAGGGCGAGGGTTAGTGAAAATATTTCAGACGATGTCAAGCCTATGTCGCCGGCAGATTTATTCATTCTCACCGATTGTACCTAATGATTTTCATGAAAGATCGTTAGCAAAAAAAAACAGCTGCAAAAATTGATATTGGTTTTTGTTTTTTTGGAAATTGAAAAGCTGAAAATTTTCACCTTTTCTACATAATTAGCTGAAAATTTTCACCTTTTCTAATTAGCTGAAAATCGTTAAAAAAAATATCAACAATTTTTTTCTATTAAAAAATGGTTACTGTAATTAAATGATGAAGATAGCGGCGAGACCCAACATCGAATTTGTCGCCATTCGTCTTTTTTTCCAAGATGAAATTTTCGTCACTAATTACCGTAATTTAAATGTATTAATTATCGTCATCTTTCTTCATCTCTAACATCATCACAAGTCACATATTGAAAAGAAAACCACCCTCACCGTTATCATTGCTTTATATTGTAAAAAATGAAAAAAAAATTAATCTAGAAACCGCAATATTGCCACCAGGGATAATCGGCAATTAAATTTTTTTTTTCGAAGGCACGAATTGGGCGGAGCGACAATGTAATACTTGATAATGGTGATGGCTCTTTGAGTGTGTGGGCGACGATGATTCAACATTCAATAATGATTTTGGGCTAGGAATCTGTAATATTTATTCGGATGGCCATGATTCAGGGGGTCACTTGTGACAGATTATCTGCATTTTCACATAAAATTACATTTTTTTTATTCTTCTCAACAATTTGCCGAAAATAAAAATGTCTGCAATTCCTACCCTGATTGCCACTTGCTCCGCCCCCTGCTCACAAGGCCTGGCGTCCTACACCCCACCATTTTTTCTCAATTGAATACAATTTAATTACCCCCCAAAATCACTGTAACAAGCACTTATATTTTTAAAATATTTCTTATTGAATTTTAATTTTATTTTACAGAAATATTATTTCTCAAAAATCTCACCACTTGGCGTTTCGAATTTAGCAAAATTATCAAAAATGACAGTCTAGATAATTAATATGGAAATAAAGACGCATGGCACACAAATTGTCTCATGGGTCTCGCCGCTTCCTTCATCATTTAACTACAGTACCCATTGCACTTTTCTCGCATAACTGCATAAAATGACTAGGTCGATTGAAAGTACGAACTTCGACAACTCGTAGGAATTCCTCCTTTAAATCATATTCTCAAATTCTTTCATTATGATTCATCTAAATGAATGTCATTTTTGTTTGCTCGCTCGGTTGAGCAGACAGTCTCCCATTTCTCTTCTTCCTTCTTTTTCTTTCAAATTGCGATCGCTGCAAATTCGCTTTGTGAAATTGCTATTGCACGCAAACGTGCCCCATAGAAATGTCTCGTTGTATAGCACCCTCTCACTCTCCCTCGATCTATGTCTCTCACTTTTTTTCTCTGCGTCTTTAACGTGTCCCAATGCCTTTTGGCATTCTTTTTGATTGACTCAAAAAAAGTCGTCTTGACTAGTGTACCACATTAAATTATCAACTTCAAAATGATTTCGGAGTTGAAATTTTATTTTGCTTTATTTTTTCCTGTTTATATGTATATCTTCAGACCACCTTTAGAAAGGCTATAATTGTTTTGCGTCTTGACTGAAAATGATGGGATATCTATAATAGTAAAAATCAGCTAATTAAAATAAATCAATTGTAAACTAATTATGTGCAAATTAGTATTTAATATGGACGGTTTTGTACGCCGCCCGGTGGAGTATTCATTTATTCCGCGAATTTCTGCACAATCTACATATTTTCCTTGTAAGGGACGAGCCTTTCGTTCTCTGAGCTTTGCCCATCTCACAAAATTAATATTAAATTTCCTTATTCTAAAACCCCCAATATATAAACCATCACGACACTCAGTGGAGGCCATCTTCCTTCCCGTCCATTGCCCTTTTGACTCCTTTTTTTTTAACGATCCACCCATTTTTATTTTGTAAAAATCAATCGTTGTAATTCCCACACGAATATGAAAATGAGATGTTGGAGCCGTGACCTCGACACGTCACGTGACACACCACGTGGCACACGTTTCATAGGAGCGATATAAAAACCCCTTTTTACGCTCAATAATCAGTTATTCATATTTGTGTCTAATAAATATATTCTCTACGTTGGCTCGTTCACAAGGACACAACATCCCGAAGCCGGTCAGACGACTACAGATCAATCCATCCCGAAACACCTATGTTTCGAACTAGCGAGGGAGATGTTGGAGCCGTGACCTCGACACGTCACGTGACACACCACGTGGCACACGTTTCATAGGAGCGATTACGCTCAATAATCAGTTATTCATATTTGTGTCTAATAAATATATTCTCTACGTTGGCTCGTTCACAAGGACACAACAACTGGCGATCAGGATCTACGCACCATGGACGTCAACACAGTCAAACTGCTCTTGGCAGAGCAAGCGAAGCAGCACCAAGACTTCGTTCGAGAAATCACCAAACTGCTGATGGAGGGACGACCAGGCACTTCACCAACCGCTCCCGCACAACCAAACACCCAAACAGGGCTTATCGACTCGCTGACGACTCGACTACCGACATTCTCCTTCGACCCGGATGAAGGAACCACATTCGAAATCTGGTATTCACGGTACGAGGACATTCTGCGACTGGATGGATCAACATTGGACGACGGCACCCAAACCAGGATCATCCTATCAAAGCTCGATGCCCCCGCTTTCGCCAAGTACGCCGACAACATCCTGCCAAGGAAACCATCGGATCTGACGCTCGAAGAGACCATCACCCGGCTCAAGACTCTCTTTGGACACTCGAAGTCTGTATTCCCCCACCACCAACAACGATCAACGACGTCACGAAGAACCTCGACCCCGAAGGCGAGGACACCCGAACCACGACCAGAACAGCCAACAACGCAGCAGAAGCCACCATCACCATGTAGACATTGTGGAGGACCTCACTGGAATGCTGACTGCAACCGCAACCGAACGGACAGCAGACGAATCCCGAAATCCCGCCGGAAACGCCAAGGATCCCGCAGAGGACGTCAAGGAGGACATCTGGGACTCATCTCAGTCAACCACGCATGGATCAACAAGAGCAACCGGATCTTCAAGAACGTGAACATCAATGGAACCGACGTCAAGATGCAATTGGACACTGGCGCCGATATCTCGCTAGTCTCAACAAAGGATTGGATTCGACTTGGGAAACCATCGCTCGAGCCTGCCAACGTCAATCTGAAAGCCGCTAACAACAACAGGATTCGCCTCAAAGGACGGTTCAACTGCAAGTTCATCATCAATGGACAACACGGATCCGGATATTGTCATGTAGCCGATACCGCCACACTCCTCGGACTGGATTGGATCCAGCACATTCCCCGCTCTCTCTTGCTCACGGACGATGCCGCCGCTGACGCGTACACCAAGCGGATCGAGATCACTTCGCACGACCTCAAGGATGGCCGACGAAAGCTTTGTGAGGAGATAATGAAGAAATACGCGGACGTATGCAACCCAGGATTAGGAAGATGCACCAAAACGACTGACAGCCTGAAGTTGAAGCCGGATGCCACGCCAATTTTCCGGAAGTCAAGACCCGTCCCGTATGCTGCTCTCCCACGCGTCACTGAAGAATTAGAACGCCTCATTGCTCAAGGAGTGCTCGCGAAGATCGACCATTCGGACTGGGCCGCTCCAATCGTTGTCGTCAAGAAGAAGAACGGGTTTATTCGAATGTGCGCCGACTACTCAACAGGACTCAACGATGCCCTCGAACAACACCAGCACCCACTGCCAACTGCGGACGACATCTTCGCAGCCATGAACGGAGCTAAGATTTTCAGTCAAATGGATCTTAGTGAAGCTTACCTTCAATTGGAAGTCGCCAAGGATTCTCGCCAACTCCTCGCCATCAACACACACCTTGGATTGTACACCTACAACCGCCTACCTTTCGGTAGTCAAGACAGCACCCGCCATCTTCCAACAACTCATGGACTCGCTGATCGCAGGAATCCCAGGAGTCGCCGCCTATCTGGACGACATCATCATCACTGGATCAACCTACAACCTACACGGGAACGCCTACAAGAATACGGACTGCGAATCAGACTGGAGAAATGCCGCTTCGTAATGGACGAAATCCGATTTCTTGGTTTCATCGTCAACGCTCACGGACGCCGGCCGGACCCGCTGAAGGTAGAAGCCATCTCCGAAATGCCGCCGCCAAAGGATATCAAACAACTCCGATCTTTTCTTGGAATGGTTCAATTCTATGGAGCATTCGTCAAGGACCTATTCACCCTTCGACAATCACTGGATGCGCTCACAAAGAAGGACGTGCGTTTCACATGGACATCACAATGTCAAGCTGCCTTCGATCGGATCAAGGAAGTCATCTCATCGGACCTCCTGCTCACGCACTATGACCCCAGATTGCCGCTCATAGTCGCCGCTGACGCATCAACCAATGGAATTGGAGCCGTCCTCACACATCGAATGCCGGATGGAACGGAAAAAGCTGTATATCATGTTAGCCGGACACTGACAGCCGCTCAACGGAACTACAGCCAAATCGAGAAAGAAGCACTTGGGCTCATTTTCGCAATCCAAAAATTCCACCGATTCATACACGGACGGACATTCACCCTGCGCACGGATCACAAACCTCTCCTTGCCATTTTCGGATCGAAGAAGGGAGTACCGGTATTCGCCGCAAACCGTCTCCAACGCTGGGCCACAATGCTGCTCAACTACGACTTCACCATCGAATACGTCAGGACAACGGATTTTGGACAAGCCGACGCACTCTCTCGTCTCATATCGGAACATGCCCGCACTATGGAGAACGAAGATCGAGTCATTGCCGCCGTCGAAGCTGAAGTCATCGCCGATCAGACCGAACGCTGCTCGAATCTGCCCATCACCGCCGACCAAGTTCGTCATCACACCCGCATGGAACCGCTTCTCCGCCGGATCATTGATTACGTCACCACCGGAAAATGGCCGAAGCTCACAAGAAATCAACCAGAATGGAACTACCTCAACCGACGAGAAGACCTCAGTATAGTCAATGGATGCCTCATGTTCAACCACCGGATCGTCGTACCTGCTACACTCCGAAGAAGAACTCTCACCGCACTGCACAAGGCTCACCCTGGAGGAACCATGATGAAAATGCTCGCTAGAAGTTACGTCTACTGGCCATCGCTGGACCAGGATATCGAGGATCTTGTCAAGAGTTGTGGAAACTGTCAAGCTGCCGCCAAGAACCCCATCAAAGCGGAACTTCAATCATGGCCTGCTGCCTCTGGACCATGGACACGCGTTCACGCCGACTTCGCTGGACCCGTAGATGGATCGTACTACCTGATTGTAGTGGATGCCTACTCGAAATGGCCGGAAATTCACGAGACGTCAACCATCTCGACGACAGCAACGATGACAATCCTGAAGAAGGTTTTCGCACAATTCGGAAATCCGGAAACCCTCGTAACGGACAATGGAACACAGTTCACGGCAAGCTCATTCCGACAATTTTGCGCAGAACGTGGAATCAATCACATTCGGACACCGCCCTACCACCCGCAATCAAATGGGCAAGCGGAGCGATTTGTCGACACATTCAAGAGAGGTATCAGGAAGCTTCAAGGAGAAGAACCATCGCGAGAAGCCCTTCAAACGTTTCTCCAAGCTTATCGATCAACACCATGCCCAGCTGGACCGGATGCCAAATCCACTGCTGAGAACTTTCTGGGAAGACCAATGCGGACGCCCCTGGCCTTGCTGTTGCCGACAACCACTACACCTGGACCGCGCAACGAGAAAATGGAATCGCAATTCAACCGTCATCATGGAGCAAGGAACATTGCCTACGAAGAGGGAACCGCTATTTTCGCGAAGGATTTACGATTCTCCAAGCCAACATGGACCGCTGGCAGCATCGTCGAACGTACAGGAAATGTTACATACCGCGTCAAGTGTCAAGGACAACTATGGACTCGCCATGCTAACCAACCCCGACCTAGGAACGACTGGAACGCAACTGAGACGCTACTGGACCTATATGAAATCCCAATGCCAATCGACATGGATTCGGACTCGGATATCACAACCGCCATTCAAAGGACCCCATCTCCTGTTCTACGTCGTTCAACAAGGATCCCGAAGCCGGTCAGACGACTACAGATCAATCCATCCCGAAACACCTATGTTTCGAACTAGCGAGGGAGATGTTGGAGCCGTGACCTCGACACGTCACGTGACACACCACGTGGCACACGTTTCATAGGAGCGATATAAAAACCCCTTTTTACGCTCAATAATCAGTTATTCATATTTGTGTCTAATAAATATATTCTCTACGTTGGCTCGTTCACAAGGACACAACATGAGAGAAATAAAGGACTCTGACTTGAAACTAACATTTTGCGATACCACCTGGAAGGCTCCATTTTCCGGAAAAGCGTTCTATGAACAACACTGTCAAAAAGGTTGGAGTTATTAAAAGAATCTCAAAAATCTAGCCAGATTTCGAGCAGTCGTGAAGAAACTTGTTTGCATTGAAATTGTGCCTTTGTTACAAGGAATACGAGAGGAAAAGAAAAACCCGATTTCCGGATCGGGGACATCTTTCACTGGTAGCAGCTCGTTCGACCCCACCTTTGGGGGATCCTAGGTAAGTAGTAGTGAGAGCCAAGCTTTAGTTTTAGACGACTGATTCCTCAGCCGGGCGTTCTGCCATCCTGTTCGAGCAAGCGCGCAAAATCGCTCGATTAGGACCCACAGGACAATCAGGAGAAGTCTCTCGTATTAGTAGAATTAGCGCAAATTTTTAATTATTCTTTTGCCTGTTATCAAAGCGGTAATCGCATTGTAAGCCGAGTTTTGGTTGGCCACATTTCGTTATTGTTTTATTTTATTTTTTGCCCGCTTCGAAACAGAGGTCGCATCGTAAGTCGACGGGATAGTTCGCATTATAAGCCGAGTTTTGCCCACAGTTTATGTTTATTTTTGAGCCTGCAGTAGCAGATGTCGCACTCGATGACCACACACATGCGTCCTTGTTTGGGCTCCGCTTTTATGCGCAATTCAAAACCGCGACCGAAGCCGACTCACGGGGCGTCCACGACGTCATTCAAACGGTTTCGTCGGCCCAGATGAAGCGGTTCAAATCCTTCGAAGCGCTATTATCAAGCATGGACGGTCAAACGATTCGGCTACACGTCCTCGGTCCAACTCTCAAAACGTCGTCAATGTCACAGACGTGACTCATAACTTTCATCTCTTATATTAAATAGTACTATCACCCGTTATTAAATTGTTAAACTAGCAACCCACATCCACCCCCACGTTACCATTAATAAAAAGATAAGGTCGCATATAAAAACCACAAGAATACACACCTTCCTATTGTAAAGGAAAACCCATCATGTTCTATCACAAAAACTTAATCAAATACATCAGCTCCACCGGAAGCCGTGGGCGACCGGTAGCTGATGTAATCCTTATCACTCCGTTATTAAATTCTTTATTAAATCCTTTATTAAATTCTTTGATTGTAATAGCACCATATACATATAAACCCCCATAACCACCAATCGAGGCCTCTTTCCTTCTTCATGAGTCGCACATGCCGGCTCCGATTTTTACCAACTCTCACCAACACGATCCACCACCAAATTGTTTGTGATTTCCCCACTTTATTGAAGAAATAAAACAGTTTTTTCTTCGAACGTTATTTCATTTCCAACGTCTATTAAAGTGAGTGAGAAATAAAGGGAAGCACCGCCCTACCACTGTTCGGTAGGACGGCAGCTTTTAACCCCTTTACTCTATGTATGTTCCATCTTATTCTTTCATTTTTTTGCTTATTGATTCCTTTTTTCAAATAAAGTTTAATTACCCACGTTTGAGTTTGAGGTGAACCACAACACCACTGAACCAACGACCCCTAAAGTCAACTTAATAAATCCAATACTTCCATGTAAGCTCCCTTATAAAATGGGAGCATCAGCGACACTCAGACCCACGATTTTTTTTGTTATTTTTATATTTTACCATTTATGTCACTAATGACCACTAGAATTCACTAGCATGTCGTGAACGACCCTCTTCCCACGCAATACCCATTTTTAAATCATATATGAGATTTCTTGCTATACCTATTCTTTTCTTAATAAAGGTTTAATTACCCACTTTGAGATTCCAACCACTGGAACAACCACTAAAAATATTTTGTGAATCCAAAGCAATATTGTTCGTTTCTTTAAAACCCATGGAAGATCATGAGAACCCACGATAACACGAGAAGCCGCACTGACAAGAGATATTTTGGGGGTCCTATGTTCCAAGGGGTAATTTGTGGGCCCCGTTTTTCAAAAAAAAAGTAACGTTAATAATCGTTTATTAAATTGTGACGCCAATAAATAAAGTCACCCACACACAGCATTTTAAACTTAAAAAAACTCAATGTATGCTTCCTTATAAAAGAAGCATCAGCACACACACACACTCACATTTTCATTTTTTGTTTTTTATTTTCACCGTTTATTTCTTTTAAAATAAAATTTTAATTACCCAAGTCTGAGATCTTCCTTCTACTCACTAGTCGATAAAGGAAGTCCCTATTTGGAATTTTTCAAATTTTTCCAGAAAAATGCGTACAATTGAAATGTAACGTTTATTCGAAGTTCGCAAGAATTTGATACTAAATTATAGTTTAAAATTGTTTTCAATGAACTATTTCAACGGAAAAATGTATTCGATATCGATCAAGCCAACACAGAAAGTGATCTTCTGGGTTTACTTCTTCGTCGCTATCCGAACCATCCAGCTTCGAGCCACTATCTGTCTACTCTAAAAAGAACAATAATTATACATAATTCATGTTAGTAAATATTACGACAACTCCGTTGACGATGAAACGAGCAAAATTTTCATAATCATCATTGTGTGACCAATTTACTACGGGGTGACTGTACCAAGGGGTAATTTGGGGGGTCCTACCACGGGGAACAACTAAGGGGTCATATTTTTAAAGGATTCCCATATTAGCCCTTGGTACAGTGAACCAGAAATAAAGTAAATTGGGCATGATTTATTGAAACGTCTCGAATTAAACCGGTAACACCGAGTCGAATGCCCATCCGGAGACGCTATTCGTTTTCTGCAATCTGGTGTGGTCCGATTGAAATTCTCAAAAAAAAAAAAACAAAACCGGCGAGATGATGGCCTTCCGCTTATATTTCGTCTTGTTGCACCAACCATCCACCATTTCGCAGTAGGTCGTCTCAAAAACGAACTCGATTTGTTGCGATGAGATTTTCGATGGGTTTCTCACAATTTTCACCTAAAATTTGAAATATTCTATTTTGATTTTCGAAGAAAATACATACGTCATAATTTCTACGAAATTCGCGATTATTGTGCGCCAACTCGAAGAATCGATTCGGTGGAACTGGAAATCGGATGGTTCGAATCAATGCCCTCTCTTCGACCTACGATTAATCGGAAACGTCGTCGTCGTGCCAGTTCGGAACAGATTGTCGAATAGTGTTCGCTGATTGTTCGTCACTAATTGCTTCATCAATAGCAGATGCTTCAGAGCGATTCTGAAAAACAGAAACATCAAGAAAATAATGAAACAGAGGATGTAACTCTTCAAGACTATCGGTTTCTTTGAAGCTTTTGATGCCATCTTCGTGCCAAAATGCTGAAATTGTCTAAAACTAAAAATAATTAACAAAAAAAGTGAAAATGGAGCTTACACTTGAAAAAGTGAGAAGAAACGCAATGGAAAAAAGCATGTTGATTTTCATTTCAAAAATTGATACGTTGGTTTTTATACAATATTTTTTGGGAATGGGTCTAATCGAATCAAAAAATTCGAAACTGATTCGATTAGGATTCTAAAAATAGACTGAAAATGACGCAAACAGTTCCAGTGAGGATATGATCAAGAATTTATCTGGAAGAATTTTTTAACTAAAAATTTGAAGCTTCTGAAATAGTAAAAAAAATTCTATTGCAAAAAAAATTAAATTGTCTGCGACTGTAGAATTTAAATTTATTGTTGACTGAGTATTAAATGCGCGTATGCTATAATGCAATGTACGCAATCTTGCGTACTTGTGTACGCATTGCCAATATTTTTTTTGAAACTTTCTTTCAGTCGTTTGACTCCGACAATAATCGAATTAAATTTTCAAAATTGTATAAAATCGATGCCAAATATGGAACACAACGCTATTCTCCATGCATTTTTCCGCCATCTTCTTCTTCTTCATTCTTCTCTTCAATGTAAGCTATATTACCTTGCTTTTACATCGCTTCCAGACATTTTCAGACCTCTACTGGGATGATGAATGAAAATTTCGGAGATATGGATGGGCAAGCTGAACAGATTAAGCTGAATAGACAAAATGAATCGATTATTTTAGGGTTGTGAACAATCACCTCAATTTTATGAAATATTTTCTCATTAAAAAACGCCGAGATTCATTCTTGAAATTGTTCAGAATCCACCCGAACAAGGCATTTCCTGATGATAGTAAGACCATTATGCTCGCAATAAAAATTTCGGCTTCTTACTTTTTTTTCCACAGCCAATTTTGATGAATTCGTCCGTTTCCTGAAAATCTATCCGCTATTTCGCGAGAATTTCAAGGTGATTATTTGATTGCTCAAATTCTACAACATCTGTGTCATCGCAGATGCGAGTTTTAACATCACCTGTCGAAATTGGACAAGGCCGATTCGAATTCATTTATCAAACTGATTATTATGCTGATCTAGGCAATCGATTCGGTGTCAAATCGTATAAATTGAGGGCCACTATTTCGAAGGTAATGGATTTTCTATTTGAAATCGCCGTGGATGATTCAGAAGTCGGATAGTGCTAGTGGTTGGGCGTTTGACGCATTGACACCTACTAAATGAGCCAATATAATGCTCAATAAATCATGGATTTTTTGTTGGATAATTTTTGTCTTTGAAATGTCAAATGTGTGGATGGGACCCTCTTATCCTCGAACTATGCACATCCTTAGTCCAGTGTAATCTTCATTCTCCGTCTGTCTGTCTGTGTCTCTAACTCCCGCGCGCTCTATCTCTCTTCCCCTCCCCATTCTCTTCCGTCCGAACGGCGCCGTTTCTGAACACCGTTTTCTATTATATTCTGTTGCCTTATTATTTTTTTTTGTTTTCTAACCGTTCATAATTTTTTAAACAATTTATTATATATTATATGTGAAAAATTCGCCTTCTACGTGCATATAGGTTGTTACTGTATTTTTGTGATATTCCAACCTTTCAAACGAAAAAAATGTCAATGTTGTAAAATAATTCCAGCCTTTTGAGATTTTAAAAACTCTTCCATAAAAGGTTGATTTTTTGTGGTTTTTTTCAATATAGAATTTACGTATAGTTTTTCAAATCCGAAAATTTCCGATGGAAGCGGTGAAGTATTAATTTCCGTTTATGGCAATTTGAAAAAGCAGGCCGAACATTGTTAAATCAGGTCCAAGCCGGAAGGCCCAATTTTTTTCTGCTCCGAACCCAAATTTTTGTGCACACTTTCTTCAAAATGAGTTCTAAGAGGTCAGAATTTGAAAATTTCAGAAAATGTTGCTAAAACGAATAATCTTTTTTTTTACCAAATTTTAGATTTTTTTACCTCTACTATTTCAACTTATCAAGAGGAGATTTGTAGAGTTGATGTCTAATTGTGATTTTCAGAAACTATGCAGAGAATTTTTACGAATGAAAGAAAATTTTAACAAGTAATGAACTATTATCAGAAAACTCGATACAGATAGAATTCGTATTTCGTAAACGTGAATTTATTCCTCCAATTTCCAATATTTCAAGTGACCAATTATGGATTTTTTGTTTCAAGCTTCTTTGCAAGCCTTGAGCAATTTAAATACCTTAAATTAACGGTAGGAGCCAAATAGGCCTAAAATTTTAGGACAATTCAACACGTTTAATAAATATAAATTTATTTTGGATAACCAGTAGCAAATTAGAAAGGGAGAGGAATCTTTAAATGGGAAAAAATAGTAAAAAAAAAAATTGGTAGCAAAAGAATATTAAAAACGGAGCAAAAATTAGGATGAGCAGAAAATTGGGCAACATCAGTTCAACTTTTTAAACTAAAGTTTTTTTTAAGTGAACTGAAAAATTAGGGGTGGATTATAAAAATGAGGTGTTGAAAAAATAAGAATGGTTTCTAATAGAACGTTTATTTCTACGAGAGTCCGGACAGGCCACGCGCGATCTTTGATGTCGAACATTTTTGATTTGACAACAAATCATATCTATTTACACTATCATTGTCGTAACTGTAATAAAACCCCCACTGAAATACAGCCTCCAACTCGAAACAATGACCAAAAACTCCGTAGATGTGCGTCAACTCGTGTGTGTGTGTGTGTGCATACACTGCAGTGTGTACCGTAGTCCCTCGAAAATATGAGCGTGCCTTCGGCTCTTCATAACAATTCTCATAATCATCTTATTCGTCAGCTAATTAAAATAAATCAATTGTTCGCTAATTATGTGCAAATTAGAATTGAATAAGGACGGTTTTGTACGCCGGCCGGTGGAGTATTCATTTATTCCGCGAATTGTTGCACAATCTACATATTTCCCTTGTAACGATATAGCACACACCACACACTTTGTGAATATTTGGTCAGCCGATCAGGGCATTGACAGGGTGACGGCAATCAGAGCCATGGAACCTCTGATTAAAAAATTCCACGGAGAAAAGGGGGGACACTTCCCACGTGATCAACGCATTGCTCAAGGGCTCCTTATTCGATGCCCCACCGCTAAATCGTAGATCGTCAAATATCCCAACATTGCCGGGTTCGAGCACCGGCGACCTGGTAAAATTGTATTTCAGTGGGAGAAGATCAGCCCGCATCCCCCCTTCTCAACCGATGAAAAAAAAAACGACACTTCCATCGGATCGTCACTGGCCATATGATCGAGTAACCAGTAATCTAATCTAGGAAAAACGGACGGATGCACATTCACAGATGGATCATGCAAAAACAACGAACACACCATCGTCTGGCCACAAATCGAGCTACAGCCACTATACGACCTCAAGCTCTAATCGAAAGAAAGCACCATCGTCATCCCAGCGCATATCGAAATTCCAAAACTTGGATTATTCACGACGACTACGATATCGTACACGATGAAACCAAATTCTGCGGCATCTGAAATCCGTATATATTGGACAACGAACAGGTCCTGAAATTCCCCCCGTCAATCTTCTCCACTGAGTACGACACTGGAATAATCGTGAACGCGAACCTCGGAAATCGGTTACAATTCTGCAATTCTGATAATCATTTTATTCGTCTGTTACTTATAATAAATCAATTTTTAATTAATTATGTGCAAATTAGTATTGAATATGGACGGTTTTGTACGCCGGCCGGTGGAGTATTCATTTATTCCGCGAATTTCTTCACAATCAAAAATATATTTCTTTTGGTTATTAAAAAAGATTGCGAGAAAATTTGAGATTTTTCCCTAGTGAATACGAACCTGGAACAATGGTACATGCCAACATCGGAAATTGATTCCGGACACCTATCACTCAAGAACTATTCGGAACGCCACTGATACTGCAATCATGGTCATCCTCCGAACTATACGACACCAGCAATATGCCTATCGCGTACTTCAATATATTCGGAACCTGCAACGACCACCGACAAAAAGAGAGAAAGTTCTAATGATGGCAATAAGCGAAAATGACATCACGATCTTCGAAGAACTACTCGTTGAGGAGTTCGGCTCATCACCCAACGGACGAAAGATGATCATACCATACTTCCGCGAACAAGATCTGACGGACATCGTGAAAGCCACACCAAATCAAACAGCGGAAACGTGACAACAAGATCAACAGCCGAATCACATGCTTCACCAGCATTGATAGATCGAGCCGCCAGCAGTTGAGGCGGCGGAGGTGTGGAAAATTAGCCGATTTCCAAGTGCCGGCTAACTCAGGCGAAGTTTCATTCTTGAACATCCCTTGATTTTTTTCTTTCAGATTCCGGCTTAATTGACCCACTCCAGGGAATACGGCGATGAGACACAAAAAATTAAAAATAATTAGTTCGCTTTTATTGTAACATTTATCTCCGTAGTTAAGCACACCAAATTTTAGATAACACTATTTTTAGTTAGATATTGTTCAGATATGTATTGACATCCCAATTCTATTGTATATCATTAAGCTTTGATGTAAGGGCGCCAAGAGTTGCCATTTCCTGTATTAAAGGGGGGGGGGATGTGACGAAATAGCGGAATGGATTTATTCACAATAAACCATCTTAATTATACTGTGGATGTTTGGTGAGCTCGTCAGGGCACTGACAGGGTGACGGTCGCCTTCTGCATGGCGACGGGAGTGGAGGCGTCACAGCACCACAAAAGTCCGACAGACGGTCGAATCGGTAGACCTCTTCTCGAACGGATCGGTGGAAGCCCGCGAAGGTCTCCTGAAAGCTCCAGGACGGCCTTGGAAACAGCTCCAGCCGCGTCCGTCGAAATTAAAAAAAAAACAAATTGCAGAGGTCTTAGCGTAAAAATAAAAATGTAGATTTTTGGGCGAAAGTATAAAGACAAGTTAAAGGCGCACCTACATTTATTGACATTTTGAAAATTTTCAATGGAAAATTTCGTGATTTGTAGGAATCTGGAAAATCCGGGTAAATTTTATTCGATTAACCAAATCGAAAACAATTGAGATTCAGATGGATTAAAAAAAAACTACATTCAGGAAGATCCCAACACCAAATCATGAATCATCTGATTCTGATTCGGATTTTCAAAAAATAATGTGCTATTCGACTTTTGGCATTATGCATTTCAGTAAAAAGAGGATTCGCCTTTTTCCGGCCATCGGATTCCAAATATTCATCATCGTCGAAGAATCTGATTGTTCAAACGAGCTCTTCTTCTTCTTCTTCTTCAATACTTCGGACCGATGCGCTTTCACAAATTCATCGAGCTTCTTCATCTCAAGCTTCCACCTCAAGCTCAAGCTTCTCGAGCTTCTTCTATGTTTGCCAGGTTCATAGGCTTCGCATGACGAGGGGTCGTAAACAGACATCCTGTATTCCGCTCGTGTATTTTCTGTGATCACCAGCTTGAAGTTCGTAGAAAAAATTTCTCTTTTTTTATTGCTCGATTTCTTTGTAGTTTGCATATTTTATTTTGGCGTCAATCGTCTAAACGAAATTTTTTAAAATGAATTGGCTCGTGGCAGCGAGACTGCGTACATTGCATTATAGCGTACGCGCATTTAATATTCAGTCAACGATAAATTTAAATCTACAATGATTTCGCGAATTTGAAGGCCACGCCTCTCGTTAGTGGTTTGACGAAGAATTTTTGCTTAATTTTTTTTCGCATTCAGAATTTATTTTGAGAAAATCTGAATGAACAATTATGCTGGAATCAATAAATCGAACGCATAACCACTCGGACTGTCGCTTTTCTGCAAAAACGGCAACAATTTGAAATCGGAAAAAAAGGAATATCGTCTCGAGACCCTTTCAGAGGCAAATTTTAATATAAAAAGAAATTCGTCTTACTCTCGAAATCCTCGCTTTTCTTTCATATTTCATCAGATTGCATCGAGCGGATCCAAAATTGCAATATTCGGTTTGATAGATGAACTCAATCCGACCACCTCCGATGTGTTTTGGTTCCGAGATCAAGTGCGCCTAAATCTATGCCAAAATTGGTTATTTTTTGGAAATTTTCCAAAAAAATTGACTTTTAAATTATCGCAAAATTGCTGATTCTGATGGCAGGCGTTGAAGAAATTGTCGGGCGCCACTGAACAATTTTGAATTTCTTTTTTGGGCATCGAAAAAAGTACCACCAGTTGGGAATGCATTTCCGCGGTAGACTCGAAACAAACTATTGAAACTGATTTGCCGGCCTTGCTTGATTAATTCAATCATTTTCTTGATATGCTTCTCAGCTGCCCATTTCATTCTGAAAAGCAAATTCGATGGAATTGCCCCCCAAATGTCTCACGCTTCTCCGCCATTGAAATATTTCTCAAATGGTCCGTAAATGTTGTCGTCGACGATAAAGGCAAATATAGTCTAGAATTCTAGATGAAATTGATTGAAAAAAATACACTTACGTTTGTGAAGATCGAAAGAAGAAAAATCAGCGAAAAATTCATTATTTGTGGGTTTTCTCGACATTTTTCATCATTTTTATACCATTCATAATCGAATCAATCAATCGAAATTTGATTCGATTATAGATTTCGAATCAATATTATTCGATAATTCAAAAACTGGAATTCTAGTTTTAAAATTGATAGGAAAAATTTGGATAAAGTTTGAATCATATTTTAAGCCATTAAATCAGACATCAATCAAGGCTTCAGATTCTACAAAAATTTTTTTAAACATTTGTTCGTTTTTGGACAAAATTCGGCATTCGGTCCAACAATTGACTTAATAATCTTATATTCTGTAATTTATGAAACGATCTATGAAATTAATATGTAATCAGTGACCCCTGCCATACGCGGGTAGATTTACGGGCATGCGCCTTTTGAAATGGTCTCGCGACCAGTGAATTCTTATCTTTAAATTTTCATGTAAACTCGTTCAATTTAAATTGTTGAATATATTATTTCCTTGAATTTTTAATATCGTTGAAATTAAAAATTCCATAAAATTCCAAAAAACCAGTTTTTCCGCGCGAGACCATAGTGATAGGCGCAGCAGACCGCCAACTATATACTATTCCTGTTAGGCCCCCCTGTAAGAAGGAAAAATTTTGTGTTAAAAACCATGGGAATATTTTTTTAATCCATCGCCGCGCCCTCCTCGTAAATCGCCCCCAGCGGAGCCGCCGCGCACACGCAACCGACTGCTACAGTAACGGCGTCAAAGAAGAAAGCAGAGCGCACGCTTTTGTTCAGTTTCGCTTCATTTTTCAGGGCTTTTTCATTATTCTTTTTACTATTATTGCTCTTCCGGAACCTCTTACATGCGTGTTTCTCCCGCGTACAGCACACAACTCACTAGGACCCTTCCAAGCCTTGGCCGTACAAACTTCAAGCATTAACCCACTCTAATTACTAACAAGGGGGTTAAAATTATGATTTCTTATTCTGTTGCAAAATACGACGAGAAAGGCCCAATTTTCTACAATTTGGCAGAAATTCAATTTTTATCTAGATCGGTTTTTTTCCGTTGCTATTGAAAAAATTCGAATTAGACATTTTTGAATGAGTCGAATGCGAATCCACTGGGACTGTTGACCTTCTGAAATTCGGTATTTCAGCAAGCATTATTAGCAATTCCAAAATCTACATACATTCGAGATGAACGCCCTTTTGTTGAACGAGCGTTGCAGGCATTGATCGTCGACCGGCTGGCAGTATTTCATTTGATAGACGAATTCATAGCGACCATGTCCGAAATTGGTGGGACGGGAGACCAGATTGATCTGAAAATATTTTCGAATAGAACGGAAAAACGGACAATACCTGAAGACTATTTCGAATCGACGGATTTTGGCGGACATTTTCGAAAAATTGCGAGAGATTTACTGAAATTTTGCAATCTTTTTTCAGAAGAATACCCGCTTACCGTTTGGAGGGAACGCTTGTTGAGGGTCGATTGTCGATCGGAACATGTTGCTGAAGCTGTCTCTCCGATTGTCCACGATCAGCTTTCTCATTTCTCCGAGATGCCTTTGAACGTCAGCGACGGCTCTGGAATAATTGAGAATTGGAGAATTCAAAAATTCTGTTGACATACGCATCGCGATATCCGAAATATTTGGGATCGCCATGATTCTGATTGTCAATGAATCCGACGACTGATCTGTTGGACAAGGTGAGGAGAAGCACGGGAAGACAAAAAGAATTCATGATCGAGATTGATTCTATAGGTTTTCATTCACTTTTATAATGTTCATAATCGAATCAGTCCAAAAAAAAATTAATTTGATTATCGACGCAAAATTTTAATCGATTTTGAATTTGTTGAATTCTTGTTGACACCAAGAAATATAATTTTTTTATTGACGATCTGAAAATATGTTTTAAAATTTGAGGGAATTTGACTGAAAATCAGCGGGAAATCGTTCAACACAAATCAGATCCCAACAATTTTGAAATTTCTAAAAACGATTTTTTTAAGTTACCAGATATGACAAAAATTTGAAAATGCTTTAAATTTTAAACTGCTAATAATATTTATATCATTTTTAACAGTTTTGAAGATTTTGACATCTAAAAAATAAGAAAAATCATACAAAATTTTTGTGGACTAATTTTTTCCCGGCCACGGCCATTTTTCGACGTCTACATTTAAAAATACATTATCAATCAATAATGAATAGGCAATGGTTTAAGTTAATAGATAATTTATCTGCGGACAACGTTCCGGTTCATTTTCAACACATTTTTTTAAAATTCTTATTTTATTGGAATTTTGCAATTATTTTTGAACTGATCATAGGGAATCGAAAGCAAATCCACTGGGGCTGTCAATTTTCTGAAAATTGGGGGTTTTTTTAATTTGAAAAATTATTATAACTAACATTCGAAATTTGGGCATTTCTTTGGTATACTTGATTGATAGGATGCCCATTGACGAGTTCGCAGAATCGCGTTTTATAGACGAACGAGTATCGGCCATTTCCCAGATTTATCTGACGAGATATCAGTTGAATCTGAAATTGTTCAATTTTTTTGGATTTTTTCCCAATTCGACGCCACCTGCAAATTATCACGAAACACTTGGTCTTGCTGAGCATAATCGAAGAACTCGTCGGGTGTTACTGAAAAATAATTTTGTTAGTTGTGGAGCGACTTGTTTTGAGTGCATCGTGTGGATTATTGTTAGGTAGAAGAGATCTTCTTGATAGGACCTTTTTTTGATTTTTTTGTGTGGTTTAATTCCCCAAGTTTGAGGTAAATTGACCTTCCCTATTATGATGTTCTAAAGATCGAAAATCGGAAAAATACATTAAAATAGTGTGCAAGACTCACGAATTAAAAAAAAAAGGGTCCTATCAAGAAGATTTCTTCCACCTAACAATAATGAAAAATAATTCTCATTCATCTCAGAGATAAATCGTAGAATAATGTTTGAAATTACAGATTTGTATAGTTTTTTTAAAAAGATTTTTTTCCCCCAGAAATTTCCGGAAATCCCTTTCCTCTGATTCACATTGTCAATTTAAACAATTTCTATAAAATTCAGCTTAAATTCTTGACGCGAAATAAGCAACTTTTTGCATGCGCCTTTGAAGTTTACTGTAGCTTATGTGTATGCTTGATGCGCAGTCAATTATTGGGGACTGAATGAAAATTTCAAAAAAAAAATTGGCTACGGGCCTATGCGTCTCGAGGCAGCGAGACATTCGCAAGATTGCGTACAATGCATTATATCGTACGCGCATTTAATATTCATTTAAATCGACATTGATTTCGCGAATTTGATGGCCACGCCTCCCTTCAAACTATCAATAGAGCACAGTTGCGTCCTTCAACCTTTTTTTTAATTAAATGGAATGCAACGTCCAAAACTTTTCATGCCGATCCACGTGGCAATATTTCCCCAAAAGGAAACGTAAAAAATTATCTTACAGGTTGTGGTTTCATCGAAAAAAAATGATTGGCCAAAAAATCGAATGAGCAAATGCGCTGTATTGCGAGTTCCCGAGTTTCCACCCGAAATTTTAATCGGAGGCTGCTTATTTTTTGACAAAGTGTTTCTAAGTGTTGATTTCTGTAGATCAATTAAAGGGTGCCATCGAAATTGTCGAAATATCTCGCAGCGAAAAATCCAATTTTTTAAAGTCAAATGAACCGAAGAAAAAAAAACGAACTGGCTGCTGGAAATGCGAGTTGCGGATTCACGCGGAACATTGCGCTGAAGCTGGCTCTTCGATTCTCCAGAATCAGCTTCTTCATTTCAGCGAGATGCTTCTCAACGTCAACTCTCGCTCTGAATCGATTACGCTGATGATGGAGTTTTTCTAGACGTTTGAATTTCTCCTACCCGTCGGCATAGCTGAAATATTTGGGCTCGATGTGATTGTCGGTGAGAAATGCCGAGACGCTCTGAAGTTCGCAAGAACTTTTCGGAAGGAATAATTTGGGAAAAAATTGACATACATATGAGAGAGTAGAGAGAAGAAGGAGAATTATAGAAATGCGCTTCATTTTTTCCAGCAATTTTTTTCGTATTTTCCTCATTTTTATAGCAATTGAAAAAGAAAAAATTTTTGATTCGATTAACGAATTTAATTCGATTATAAAAAATGCCTTGTAAGAGCAAAAATCGATGAATTCGATTTTGAGATTTTTTTTTCTTCACAGATGTGTACCAGAGCTGCACGGAATTCCGTCTTCCGTTTTCCGTGAAATTTAAGGATTCCGTGTTCCGCAAAAAAAAGCGAATTTCAGTAAAAAACGAAAAAGGTTCGAAAAAATGTTTTATTGATTTTTGTGTGTTACGGTAGCGGTAACTCTAACTAACGGTAACTCTCACATTCTGCACTTTTAGTTTTTAAGTATTCGGGTTGGATCACCAAAAATATGTTCCGTCTTCCGTGTTCCGTTTTTAGAAAATTTAAGTTCCGTGCAGCTCTGATGTGTACCATCATGTCAACGAATTTGCAATCGTCACGAGATCCCGATTTCGATTGATCGAACAGGTCAATAGGCCCTGGATCCGACAAAATTCGGCTCCGAAATCAATCTGATCCGATTGGTTGGAAATTCTACGGATAAAATTCTCTGGTAACTCAAAACCAATCGGATCCGACAAAATTCGGCTCCGAAATCAATCTGATCCGATTGGTTGGAAATTCTACGGATAAAATTCTCTGGTAACTCAAAACCAATCGGATTCGACAAAATTCGGCTCTGGAATTAAACTTATGAGATTGGGAATTGTACGGATAACATTGGACAATTGTCGAATCCGATTAGTTATTGTTTTGGGTATTTTCGAATACGATTGGTAATTTGTCGGATCCGATTAGATTTTCTTCGAATCCGATTGGTAAATATTCGAATCCGTTTTGTTTTAATGTTTCAATTCGAATCGGATTCGACAAATAACCAATCTTATCCGTAGAATTACTAATCGAATCCGGCAAGTTACCAATCGGATCCGAAAATATCCAAAAAACGAATCGGATTCGACAAATAACCAATCTTATTCGTAGAATTACCAATCGGACAAGGTTAATTCCAGAGCCGAATTTTGTCGAATCCGATTGGTTTCGAGTTACCAGAGTTATAACAATTGTCAGATTCTATTAGTTTTTTTGGGAAGTTTGGAATCCGATTGGATAATTGTCGGATTTTATCCGTAGAATCGGATCAGTTTGATACCGGAGCCGAATTTTGTCGGATCCGATTTGATTTTATTTATTGCTTCTCGAAAAGCCAATTTCGGTTAGTTATGGGGGATCACGCCACTGTCATTTTGATCCGAGCGCACGCTAGGAATACTGTTTTTAATAATTCTTGGAATTGCTGGATCGGAACGGAAAAAAATGTGCATCAGAAATGAATGGTCCCTAATTACCAAGAATTATTCGAATAAATTCAAATCGCGACGAGACCCATTTCTTTGAGCAATGAATTTGCTCGCAAAATTTGAAATTTTTTTCAAGCTTTTCAAGAAAAAGAAAAAATCAAATTTCAAAGAACGTGAAAAATCGAATCGTGTTCTCCCACATAAAATGCTCATTTTTAGTTCAAATTTCTACAAAAAAATTCAAAATGTTGTATTATTCGAAACTACTCTTTCTGATAGCCTCCGCCAGTGTAAGAGTTTGGTTTTTCGCAATAAACCCGTCGCAACTCAAATTTTGATACAGACGGCCATATTTGGAAGAGAAACCCCAGAAATGCTGTGGGATTTCGAGTGATTTTCAGCAGGACAGCAAAAAAAAAGTTGTTGCAGAGAGGAAATTGCTGAAAGACAAGTGGAGGCGCTCGAAGAGTTCATTTTGAACAAAAGCAAATACTCGCTGAAACAATTATTTCATAATGAGCAGACGAGTTCAGCATTTCTTGACAAACGTATGAATCGATTCGAATTTTTCTTCTTTTTTTTTTCCTAACCAAATTTAGAAACGATGCTTCGAATATATCGATATCGCCGCTTGTCGGCATTTAGAAATGTTTTTCAGGTAATACATTTCGACATTTTTGAAATTTCATTATTGTTTTTAAGAATTTTAAATTCCCGCCAATTTTTTCATTGAAAATAACGAACGAAAAAAGTTGAAGAAATAGTGAATCCGTCAATTAAATTATTTTTACCAAGTTTTGAAAAACAAAATCAATTTTTTGCAAAATCCATTGATTTTTTCCGCTATTTTCTCCTTGTACTGTCGATTCTTGCTCTGAATAGCATATTTCCTTAGTTATTATAAAAATTCTATACAAAAATACTTTAAAAAATACAAGAAAAATGAGGAAAAACGAAGAAAATCGCGAGATTTCGAAACAAATATAACTACAGTAACGCGTTCAAAGGCGCACTGTGAAATAGTGTTTTACAATTTCACGTCTATATTAAAAAAAAAAATAAACATTAAAGTCATTACTCTCTTTATAACGAAAAAATTGCTTAATTTTAATTTTAAATCGGAAAAATTAAAAAATTTAGCAATTTTCTGGTGTCAACTCGACCAATGGCAAATTGATTTTTCAACTATTTGGCAGAAATCCGAAAAAATATCACTAAATCATTTTTCGACGCGAATTTTAAGCAGAATCTCAAAAAAAATCGTAATTATCGATATTATCCAAATTTGGATATAGGCAATATGAGCAAAAGAATATACATATATATGAGATTTAATGAAAGTTGAAAAAGTTGTGCCCATTATAAATCAAATAGCTCCCATTTCTTCAATATTCCGACAATTCTCCAAATGTGGGTGGCCCACTAATTTTTTGAAATTTTGGAAAAAATAATTTATCCGTCGGATTTAATGATAAGTAAATTTTAACAAGTCGCTCCACAACTCACAAAAGTAAAAAAAAAATTTTAATTGCAAAAAACCATCTGCGAAAACCACAACTTTGAATTTTGGTATACACGTTTTTCTATTACTTTTTATTAATTCCCTTAATTGGTTCGTCGTTCAAGACGCCAACCACAGCATTCGAAGCTTTTCGGTCTCTAGATTACGGCTCCGTCAGCTGTGGTGATCCCTTCCGAAGCGAGTCCGACCATCTCATAGGAGGCCTTCTTCATGGCCGTGTCCAATTCCACGACCACCAGTCCGTTAGAAGAGTAGTCCATCTTCCATATCTGTTCTTCTAGAAGCCCAGGTCATCTTCCTCTTTGTGATGTGAGTTGATGGGTCCCGAACATGGAGGACCTGCTCGTGTTGGTGTGGACCAACGACTATTATAAATATTTAATATTTCTGCCATGAGATTTAATGAGAATTTTTGTTCTGTAGACTTGAAAACTCCTGGCCATAGAGATTTGTAGGGGGTTTCTTTATCGAATCCACATTGCACCATTAAAATCCTGATTCAGATCGATGTCTTGCCGCCGGTGACTCAAGAAAACGGGAGAATCAAATTCGAGTTTGAAGTCAATGTATGTATAATCGATAACGAGCAGACGCTTGAATGCGATGAGCTGTCGTATAAGAAGCTGGCGTACTTGGAAAAGGCGAGTTTCGGCGAATTCGACGAACTAGACAAAAAAATGCACTTTTTCAGTTTGAAAAATCGCCGACTGGATGGAAATTCGTCAAAATTGAGCCCGCTGAATATGTATTTGACGATTGAATACTCGTTGCTTCTCAAAATTTTTCGTCATGAAATTCATAAATTTCAAGTTTTCCCCAAAAAAAATTCGTCCACACAATTCAAATTTCTAGGCCACGCCAGAAATTTGAACGCGTTCGAAATTATTAATTTCCGGCGTCTCTTTTTTTTTCTCCACTTGTAAATTATTTTTCAGCAAAAAGAAATTTCCAAAAAAAATTTTTTTAATTCCCTTTTCTTCGTATAAATCGGTTCATCGTTCCCGTCTGACGACACCCTATTGTTTTCTTTTTTTTTTCGCGGCTACTTGTTTGACATGTGTGCTTTATCAGCGTGCGTATTATGCGACAAGCGACGATTCGAATTGGAGAGGAAAAGACAACGGGATAATCGGAGGTTAATGAGCAACGCGCTAAGGCAGACGTGCCTTTGGGAAACGTGGCGGGCCGGGCGGGGCGGGGGCGGGGCCGGCGGGTGCACACCAGATATGGGACCAGATGTTATTCTCTATTGACTAATTGTGGCATTTCTCACCTTTTCTGTCTATACCGACCCCCCATTTTTGACCATCTCATTTTCTTTCCTCAACGCTTTTCTCCCCCTTCGAATTGCATTTTGAGAAATTGTGGACCATCGCAATTTTTTTTTCAATTTCAGTTGATTTTCACACAACTTTTTGAATTTGCAAATTGTCCGCAGATGAAATATTTCATTAATATTGACACTTTGAAATTTTTTACTTTCTCGCATATATGTAAAAGTGCCTACTCTTCCGAAAAAAAAATTAGAGAAGAGGTTAGGCCTATAGTTTTACACTTTTAGTTTTACCCCAAAATGATTTCTATTGTTTTTGTGTGGCATTTAGGGAAAACCATTGCAATTTCGAAATCAGGACCATTGAAAATCTAGACGTGCCATTATATATAAGTGCCCATTGATTCGTATAAGTACAGCCCAAAAAATTTGGATTCTGAAGATTTTACACCACCCACAATTTTTTTCTAATTAAAAAAATTCTGTAGATGCGCGTCAAATCGTGTGTACCGTAATCCCTTCGAAAAGTTTTTTGCTCCTCATCACAATTAGAATTTTGAATTGCCGCGTTGTGTCTCGAATGGAAAATCGTTTGCCACCTCAACAATTTCAGACAATGCCACACAACGAACTAGACATGATCGACGAGTCAGAAGGCGAACGTCAAGAGTACGCCGCGTTTCGGAATCACTACTACGAGACGATCTGGTCGCTTCCATTCGCCAGCTATCGCCTCTACGATCTGTGCGTCGTGCAGCAGGAGTACGCGCAGCGAATCGCCGAAGGTGACGACGTCGACAATCTGCAAAGGGAGTGCCGCATTCAGTTGCTCGGCCGATTGCAAGACGCCACCCAACATCAGCTCATGCATCTCAACGTGATGCTCTACAACAACATGTCGCGATTCACGCGGCTCGAGCACGATCTGCTCATGGAGCCGCGTCGGCTCGTCAAAGAGACGAGACGCAAAAGGCTCATTCTGAACGTGATCGCCGAGAATCAGCGCGAGTTCGCCGACGTGTTCGCCGATGAGGAGGCGCCGAGAGAAAACGAGCCCGAGGCGATGGATGAGGGCGACGAGCAACGCGACTACCAACAGCACGCGGATCGACACGACGACGACGACGATGACGATGAAATGGATGAGGCGATGGAGCCGCAGCAGCGACGCGACATGCCGAGATACGATGTCGATGAGCCGATGGCACTGCTTCCCGGCTATCCGCACCCGATTCCGTTCCGAGAGTTCGTCAGAGAGGATCAGCGACTAATGGCAAGAATTTTTTGAAATTCAACATTCAAACAAATTGAGTAATCATTTCAGGCGCTTTTTCGAGAAATTCTTGGTCGAATTCTAGAAGCTGAAGAATACATCGTTCCCGAGGATCCGGTTCCAAGGGTACGAACATATTATTGTGCTAGCATTGATTATTATTATTATAGGATACCGGCATTAATGGCGAGATGCACTAGATGAGGCCGGTTGAGAAGAGGACACGAAATTCAAAAAGGTGCCGAGACACCGGTGTTTTTCTCGATTCATTTTCTATATTTTTTCGTGTATTCAATAAAATTGAACGAAACAGGAGTCGTTTTGCAATACTAATTCGAGATTTGTGGATTTGTGCACGATAATGCTGATTAGCGCTATGGCAACCGGTCAAGAATCTGTGAAGGGGTTCATTTGATTCGCCATTCCGATTTGCTTCGTTTTTATGTTTGAATTGTTGACGACCGCGGAAAATTGACTAAATGCCCAAAAATTGAATGGCAGTGGTCTTGGCGAAAAAACTAATGGTGTAGATTTACGGGCCTATGTATAAGGATAGGTTAAAGGCGCACACTGCCCATCGAGACCTCTTTTTTAAAATTTTGGCGTTTAGCCAATTTTCCGCCTTCTGTTATAAAAATTAGATATAATTTCGGGAGGTTTTTTTTAGAATAACTTTGTGAAATGAGCTCCGATCGCTGAAAATCTGTTTTTTTTTTTTCAGTGAAAATGCATATGGTTTTTTACAGACATGCTTTAAAAACCGCATAATTATGTTCCAGCAATTTCAGAATTTTTCGATTTTCAAACAATTATGTTTACATTTTTCCCAACTTTGATGAATATAATGGCGAAGCATTATATCACCAATTTTTTTTCAGATATCATTATGAAAATTGGTTCACGTATGGATTTTTTTAGCTCTGAATTTAATTTTGAAATCAGAATTTGAAAATTTTCACAACTGAAAGCCCAAAAACAGGCAATGTATTCGATTATTGTGATAAACATTCTCAAAGAAAAAAATTCCATGACAATTGGAATCCGTTTCCATTTTGTAAAGCGATTCTCAAATAATTGAAACTATTTATTTTTTGGCCACGAGTAATCTAGAGTAATTTAGAGTTAATTGAGGGACTCGTTCGTCTCTTGCTGAACCCATTTGGGTCTCAATGGGAAAATATGCATATTCATTTTTTTAATGAACAAACATTTTGGTTTTAGCGAGATTCAAATCTCATCGACCCCTAAATTTTGCGAGTTTTTATTTTTGGCACGATTCAAACCGATTCTGCGTAGCCCAAATTTGAATCTCGGCTAGCTTAAAATCTGAAAAAAATTTCGAAGAGCAAAAACAAATAAGGACCCCGGTTGGGACTCGCCGGGACTTCTTTTGAATTGCCGCCATCGCTAATACCTGGCGCATCCCGGAAATTGTCCGCAGATGTTTACAATAAAATTTCTCGTTAAGATTCAAAAATACTATGAAAACCATTCGATTCTCAAAAATCTGATGATTTTTTGCAAAATGATAGGGATTTCTTTGAATTCTATTCATATTCCGTAATTTTGCCAAAGAATTCGCGAAATTCTACAATAAGCGTATTAAGCGTCTTGCCAAGGGTAATGCTTAACGAAGCTGCTGCTCCGCGCGATGCCCAACTCGAAATCCTGCGAGCCGACTACCAGCAGCGAATCCAAAGCCTTCGCGATGATCAGCTCCTCAAATTCTCGATCAATAAGGAGCTTCAATCGAACGCCTATTGTTTGATTCACGAGACGTGCGCCATCAATCGGGCGATCGCGTTCGAGAGCACCTGGGAGACGGTGGCGCGAGTCGTCGCCGAACTCGCGCCGCCCGACTTCATACTCGACAAACCGCGCTTCATGCACTACTGGAATCGATTCTACGAGCTCGAGCGAAAGCTGCTCGTCGAGGAGAGCAAACGGAAGCGCGAGATCTGCCGAATGAACTTGATGTTGAGGATCATCGAGACCGACGCTGATGAGCCGTCGGGATACATTCGGACGGCCACCAAGAATTGTGGCGATCTCTACCGACGTCAATGCCCGTCTTGCGGACCATCGCAGGTAAAAATGAGTACTAGATGATTGATGAGAGATGTGAATTCAGCCGAGAGCTCAAGTCAAAGAGGAAGTGGCGATCGTCGAGAGGAATGGACTCGATGAAGCGATGGGCGAGCAGCCTGTGGTAAGCGGCCTTGAAATTGTCCGCGGATCGAATTTTTTTAATTGTTGACTTTTTTTTTTCTCTCCAATATTGAAAAATCGGCGAAATTCTGAATTCAAATGCAAAAAAAATTGAAGAAATGCCAGCGTCAATGATTCCAGAAAAAGTCTGTTGGTTTTCAGCTATGTGCAGTTCAAAATTGGCGTCAAAATAGTGCTCAAAGTCCAATTCTCGAGGTAAATTTTGGTAAATTTTGAATAAACCAATAGCAGCCAATTCAACATTCAGAATGAGAGCGACTCTTCGGCAGGATCAACACTGGAAAGCTATCAGGTAACTGATCCGATCCGATTCGATCCGATCCGAATCCTCCGATATTTGTTCAGCTTACACCCGATTCTGGCCATATTGTAGTGTCGCCGATCATGTCTGATGGCAACGTCTCAAGAAGCCCATCGCAATGCTCAGGATTCTCGGGAACCGGGGTATGAGAGAATCGGTGTCTCATCGAAGGCTTCAACGATTTTCAGGGCAACGAGCGACAAATGAATTCCATGTTCCATGAGAGTTTGAAGATCAGCGAGGTGGATTCAGATGAATCGCGACGACGTCATCATCTCGAATGCGACGACGACGAGAATCCGAAGCGACGCAGGCTGACGTGACATTATGAACAATTTTATTCGATTCTAGGCCGGATAAAGCTGATCGAATCCAAACCCGCTGGGGCTGTCGGCCTTCTGAAATTCGGTTCTTTTCGTTGGAATCCGTTTCTCCCACTGCGAATTGTTACCATTGACAAATATGCTTTGAGTCGGTACTCCTTCTTTGTGCACTGATTCCGGACCAATTTGCAATATTGCGTCACATAAGTGAACTCGACTCGATCCCTGCTCACCGGAATCGGGTTCGAGACGAGTCGGACCTGATAGTAGTTGCGAAACTCGGGAACCCTTTGAGCCAGCTCGAAAAACTCTCCCGGCGAGCCTGAATTGGAGGGGGGGGGGAGTCTTTGATTCGAGGTGCTCCAGCTCGTCTTACTCTCAAATGGAAACGCTTTTCTGATGTCGACGCGGAACATCCGATTGAACGATTGCCTTTGATTGCTCACCAACAAATACCGCATCGTATTCAAATGTTTGTCCACAGTCCTAAACACCATCCCATTATGATGCTCCTAAATGGTGAAGGGGGGGGGGTCCTACTTGATATCAATGGCGTAGACATCGAACATATACTTGATGCCATCATATAAACTGTCGTCGATGAATCCGAACGACTCCTAGAATCGTTAAAAGAATCCTGGAAAGAAATAAAAAGCGAAACTCACATTTGCGATGGCGAGGAGAATGAAAACCACGAACAGCATGGTATTGATGTTTCGAAAAGTTTCATTTCCTTTTATGCCGTCTTTGTTTAATTCGATTATTCCAAAATTGGGTGTTGAATATGACGTCATCGAAGACGAATGTCTCGACGAATCGATTTTTTTTTGGCTTTTGGGAATATTGAATAGACCAATTCGAAGACATATTCCAGGAAAAATGCGGGCAATTTGAGATTCGGAGAATCGAGCTAATCGGCCTTCAAAATAATGGTCCCTAAACTCAGAAGCAGATGGGGTTTGAGCTTATCGAATATGTTACTAGTGATGCCAAAATGATTCATCGAGTGGAAAATACTCTGTTTGAATTGTTGGCGACCGCGGAAAATTGGCTAAATGCCAAAAAATTGAATGGCAGTGGTCTTGGCGAAAAAACTAATGGTGTAGATTTACGGGCCTATGTATAAGGAAAGGTTAAAGGCGCACACTTCCCATCGAGACCTCTTTTAACTTTTTTGGCGTTTAGCCATTTTTCAGCCGTCGCGAGTCTGTTATAAAAATAGATATAATTTAGGATTTTTGAGAATAACTTTGCGATATGAGCTCGCTGAAAATCTGTTTTTTAGTGAAAATACATATGGTTTTTTTGCTTTAAAAGAAAGGAATTTTCAGAATTTTGCGATTTTCAAACAATTACATGTTTTTCGTCGACAATATAGTAGGTTGGAACGTTTTTCAGAGTACTATTTTCTTTCAAAATTTTTTCAAATATCCAATTTTTAGCAAATTATCAATTTTCCATGAAGACGCCGTCTCTTTTTGCTTCCTCTAATAGAATCTCAAGTTCAATTTGAAGGTGTGCATTCAAAATGTGCACATCTAAATAGCTGCTACAGTAACCTCATGGGAATCTCGAAGCATCGAAATTCGGTTCATGTGGAGGATTCAAAGCCCAAATAGGAAATGGATTAAAAAAAGTTCGAATAAAAATTCGACATTTATGGGAAAAAAGATATTCAAATGAGATATGTGCATTTTTGTTGGGGGTTTTTTTTTTCGGTGATACGCATTTTCTCGCGGCTACCATTTATTTCAATTTTTCTGCTTTTTGAAACCTCGAATATCAATAAATCACAAAGAAAGACCAAAAATGAAGGATGCGTATTCGCGAGAAAAGCCCGCCCATCGAAAATATCGCAATTCCAACGCCTTGCGCAATTTTTTCAGCAATTTCGAGTTTTTATGGATTCTTGAAACAATTTTTAATTAATTTTTGCTAGTTTTGAGTTTCGAACATGATCCGAATTCCACCAAATCGATTCTGAAAAGGACGAAGTTGAAAATGTGGGTTGCTCGAAATTTGGGTAAGCGAAGCGTAAAACAACTCTCAACTGAGTTGTACTTCCTGTTCGGATTTGTTTTCAACATTTCATTTCAACTTTTTTTTGTCGTTTCTCGCCACCAAAACGCAATTCGTCAAAAACGATCGGTTTGGGTTGTGGTCCCCATGGGGGGTTGGCATATTCTTGGTGGCTTCTCAAAGCGACGACATTGTTCGATTTATTTTTTTGTTTGTTCAAACTCGGGACCTCGATTGACGAAAAAATAGAAAAGGTTCGCGTAATTGTCGTCGTCGGAGACAAAAGCGTCGACGACGGCGAATTTGAGATTGGTCGGATCGGCAGGGGAGGGGAAGGATTCGTCGGTCGATCCTTATTCTCATATTTCTCTTCTTTTTTTTTTCGATTTGCCGCTTTTTTTTATTGCCAAAGTGCGAAAATGCCCTTATTGTTTGCGAAATTCGCCAGTTGTTCAGCGTCCGTCGACTGATGTTGATTTACGGGCATGCGCCTTTAAAAATGGTCTCGCCATTTTTCTTAAAATTTGTCTTGATGAATATGTCAATTCCTTGAATACTTATAATCATGGAAATTAAAAATTCGCGGGAGGACCTTTAAAATCCAAAATACCCAGTTAGTCGGTGCGAGACCATTGCGAAAGGCGCATGCCCGTAAATCTACCCCGGTCGCACCGACGCGACAAATTTGACACTAAAAATGAGTTTGTTGTTGAATCGCTTTTGTGGCCTAGAAAAATTGACCCCAAATATAAGGTTCGGCCACGGCCACGCTTGATGAATTAATAAAGGAGAACTGAATGAAGCACTTAAAATTTTCAATTTTTGAAAATTTTGACCCATTTTGTTTAGGTCGATATTCCTGAATTATTGCTACAGTAACAGGGGAACGAAGTGGTACTGTAGAAAATATGGACGTGGCCGAGGTTTTCGGAATTTCTTTTTCTGCAATCTACATTCCATTTTACAGGGTCCTCTTTGAATTTTTAGCCGATTTGAAAAATATCGTCAATTTTTTGTCGATCTCGTTGAGTTTTCTATCTCGTTGAGTTTTCTAATTTTTTTCTGGAAATATGCGAAAATTTTTGAATATTTTTTTTTTTTGGAATTCTCAAATTCAATTTTTTTTTAAATTTTCTTAGCTTTTCTTAAAGACACCATTGTCCCAATGGCTGAAAAAAAAATTACGAAGAGGTCTTGCCGCGATGCGTTGCAGTGTGCGCCTTTAATCTAAAAATTTATCAAACGCCCAATTTCCTTCATTTTGAGCCAACCTTTTTTTATAAATTCACGATATTGACAAACCTGAAAATTGTCCGCAGATGTGATTAATTAACTTGAGAAAAAAAAATGTATGTAGATTCAAAATTGAAATGGTCTCTCCAAGAAACTCGGCCACGGTCAGCTTTTTCGCATCCTACTGTACCTTAGTTTTTATTAGATCGTTGCAAGACTCCTAAAATTTCTATATGCGCCTTTAACCCGTAACGAATCGATTCTTTCAAATTCTATTTTGATTAAAGGCGCATTTTATACGATTCTTTCATCCTTCAAAAAACTTGACCGTGGCCGAATTTTTTTTGGAGTTTTTTGTCGGCGATATTAAAGGATTTTTTAAACGGTTTTTTTTTATTTTTTGCGAAATACGAACATGCAAAAATTTCAAAGAGCTTATATTAATTAACACCACCCAAAAAAAAACTACACCATCCATCGCGTCTACACCCTTTTTCAAATTGCTCTTAAATATTTGAAACGGCCGACGACGCTTAAATAATTCCATGACAAGGTTTCAAAAACCTTGCCATTTTAATTATCTCGATTCTATCGTTCAACAAATTCGAATATTTGATTCGACGCGTAAAATTAGAACCCCCCCCCCGCGGCATTTTGTTTTTGGTGTTGATGGGCGGGTGGATGGCGAGGAGACAAAATGGCGCAACTCAATCTTGTCCCTTTTCGGCCCACGATTGAATTTGTGTGTTTCAATCTCGAGTTTAATTTTGTCTCGATGCGTTCTTGGTCGGTACATCGAGAAGAAGAAGATGAAGACAAAAAAAAAAAACAACTCGAATGAAACTAATCAGGAAGTTGAAGGCACGCTCAATTTGCTTCAACGGGAGGATTTAATAGAATATTGTTCTCAATTTCCGTTTTTTTTTCTTTCTAGAAAAAAAAACGATGCGTTTGATTTTCTTGAATCTATTTTTTTGAGCTGAAATTCTGAAAATTGGTTATTTAGAAAAAAATATTTTGACGCGCCCAAATTTTGTTTTCGCAATTTTTTTTTTCAAAATGGGAAAAAATTTCGGAAAAAAAGCGTGGAGAAACTCAATGATTTTGAATTTTTATCGAGAGTCTGTGAAAACATCCGGACGCACAAATGCACACACTTTATTGTAAATCAATTTTATCGATGACTGAGTATTAAATGCGCGTACGTTATAATGAAATGTACGCAGTCTCGCGTACTTTTCACAAGACCTCGTTTTTGATGGCAAGATGAAATAAAAATGAGTGGTTTTGTGGAAAAATGAATTCGAGGAACCATTTTTGAATGTTGGAATTAGGGTCCCGTATGGAAAACCCCCTCCCGTATGAAAAAAATTTTTTTAAAGCCATTATATGAAATATTAGTATTATACTACAAATTTTAGAAGCCTTTTTGATAAAAAAATGATCGAAATGGGGAATCAGAACATCATACCTATTAATTTGCAGCTCTTACATTCAAAACCTTCAAATTCATCCATTCGCAGCAATTTTTTTTTCGTAATTTCATCTAAAAAATTTTTTAATTTTCGAATATTTATTGCGTTTTTTGAAAAATCAGTTAAAAATTCCGAAGATAACACATTTCTAAAAAAAGAAAATGATGGACGTGAAATGTGTGATGGCCGAATAATTCGCGGCCGCGGCCGCTTCATTTTTTTGCGTCATTTCCGATTTTTTGTTCGCAAAATATTATTTTGAGGACTTCCGCACAAAAAAATGGGGAGGACGAATCGATTCAAAAGTGCTCAACGCGTAGTTTTTTTTAGACAACCAACGCATTTTAAAAACAAGCGTCGAAATTTTGGTGGCCGAATTTAACTATTCACATAATTAACCATTCTATTCTTTTATGTAAAGGGCAACAAGTCCAATAAATTTGCGTTATATCACCTATTTTTTATTGCAAATTGCTCTTAATTGTTGTCGCGTGCCTCATCGCTACAGAATATTTCATTGGCTTGATGATTTCATTCAGCTATTTTAGGCCATTTTGACATTTTTTTTTGGTCAAATTTCATGTCGTTTTTTTTTCCAACATTTTTGCTCTCGCTCAGCTTTTTTTAATCGCCCTCCCACTTATATTGAAGTATCACGGCTGGCAATGCTCATATTTTTTTTTTCAATTTCCGCGATTCGCCCTGTCGACAACTACACACACATTCAACTTTTGAATAGAACATTGAAAATTAGCCGCGTTTTTGTGTTATGAATTGTCCAAAAAAAATTTTTTTATTCTGTTACAGGAAATTGAAATTGCTTCCGATAACCTGAGGAATTCTATTCCTCTTTTTTTGTTGCCAAAAATCCGACCTCGCATATCAAACTTTTTTCAAAAGGCCAATCTGCTCCCACTAAATTTCTTTGTAAAATATTTTTTGAACCTCAAAAAGCGCATCATTTTCAAATATTTGCC